AATATAACTTTTGGTTATATACTCTCATTGCACGATAAAATTACACAAAACACATATCATATGTGTGCAAAAAAAAAGTAAAAAGGAGGTAAATTTAAAAGGGTAAAAAAAAAAAAAAAAAAAAAAAAGGGAGTAGCAGTAGCTTGAGAAGCAGCTGGAGAAGACTTGAATCAGGAGTAACTAATGATTTATGGCTTGAGTTAAGGTTAATGCTATAATAAACCACCTCAGGCACATACGAATAACAAAACATGGAGAAATACACACACATGCAAAAAGTACATTATCCCTGTTCTTGTTCATACTTTTTCAAAAATATAAAGTTTCGAATAAATGCCTAGTTTTCTATATTTATGTAAAATCAAGTAATACATATATCCTCAAAATGTGTCTTCAACGTACACCAATTATTATTTATGTGTTTTTATGCACTTGAACATATAAGAAAAAAACATATGAATATTATAGTTCTGATAAATCCATTTTTGATATTCTTCTCGATATTTTTTATTGATGTTACTTTTGATCTATGGCTTTGTTATTTTTTGCTCATTCTTTCCCCACAGCTAATATGAATAACAAGCTGAAATTTTTTATTTTAAAAAAAAAAAAAAAAAAAAAAAAAAAAAAAACATTTCCTCCTTCAATGATAAAAAATCCTTAAACATTTTCATTCAATAAATTATCGAAAGAAACTCCTTTGCTCAGACATCGAATGTAATGATATATGAAGTCACCCATGAGTAACAACTGAACAATTTGCATTATTACAACCCAAACTCCCACATATGATTTAATCTGTCAAACGAGTGATATGGGGGAAAATAAAAATAAGCAAAATATTGCACACAATACATGTACATATATATATATATATATATATGTATGCATATTCAGACAAAAATGTAAGAAAATTATGAACTGTGCAGGTAAATATACACATGTATATCCCCCCTCCCCAAAAAAAAAAAAAAAAAAAAAAACAAGCAACACACGATATACGATACATGATTCCAACTGGCATAAACAAATAAATATTGTATGTTCTCCTTACAATATTATCCGAAGAGTTCAACTCCCTATATGACACTATCCAAAAGAGAAAAGACAAAACCTGAAGAGTAAACAAGTGGAAAATATGATCATACGTATGTTTCGTAAAAAGGTACGCGCAGCACGAGAAAAAAAAAAAAAAAAAAAAAAAAAAAAACATCACTACAAGTAATCTATTGTTCCGTTTTTACCTTCGAAAACGCCTGTGACGCGAGGAAATGAGTGGTAAATGCTGCAACTTTGCCCTGAAGTGGGGGAGAATAAATTAGAAGATATAATCACCATAGTAAAATTTGAAGAAGAAAAAAATCATACACACATGAGCGGGGAAAAGAAGTGGAGAAAATTACACACGACGTAGAATGAACAGTATCGTTTTTTTTTTTTTTTTTTTTTTTTTTTTTTTTTCCTTTTCTTCTTTGTTTCTTATTCACTTACCTCCTTCTGAAACATGGACAGCTGTGGTAACACACACACTGATTCTAAGTATAACGCAAATGACCAGGCAACCTGAGAAATTTGAAAAGGGGTATTCGTTTTTTTTTTTTTTTTTTTTTTTTTTTTCATTTTAACTGAAAAAAGGTGAAAATAGATCATTATGTGTTAATCTTTTTTCTTTTTCCTTTTTTTTTTTTTTCATTTTCTTGTTGTGCAGTCCTTACATCAGCCGGGAGAAAGGAGTTCAACGAGGGGTGCACAAAGATGGAAATTACAAAGGCAGGGATAATTAAAAACAGGTTATTAAAAATATCGTTCGAGCTATCGTAGGTATTTTTGTATTTGTACCTGCACAAGTACACAATACAACAATTGATAAATAAAGAAATAGCTTCAACCAACTGATATAACCAATCACCACTTTTGTCATAAGGTAGGTATCCTTCGAATGGCACAATGGACAGTAGTCTGGCAGTGTTAAGAACAACATAACATTCCATCATTTTTAAAGATACACCTGCACATGATTTATTCATTTCTATTTTTAAAAATACCATTAGGAAGGAGAACATACTAATCACAGAAGACAGAGTCAGCAGAAAGGAAAAATCTCCATCAGAAAACAAATGATAAAATATAAATATTACTACAGCGAAAAAGCAGTATATTTTTATGGACGCGCTGTGATCTGACAAATATCTTTTCATTTTTTCCACATCGTTTACTTTTCTCATAAAATCATTAACTCCTTTCATTTTGTTTGTTTCAGGGGAAAGGGAGGTGGAGGCAAATTCGTACGTATATATGAATATATATATATATATATATATATATATAAGTATCTTTGTGTGTGCTCGCGGCCGTTTATGAGTATCACTTCGGCTTCCTGTATGGAACCTCACTTTCTACTTGTGCATATACCAACATTCACACATATACATGCACATTAGACTGTGTACACGTGTGCGTATTAGTATATATATTTCGTGCACAGTCTTTTCCCAATTGTGAAAATATATGAACTGTTTTTTTTTTTTTTTTTTTTTTTTTGGAAATGTGAAACTGGAATTTTTATACTTCCCTTATTCTCTGTCGTTCAAAAAATTTTGCTACGTGAAGGTTCAGTAATCTGTTGTGACGAAATATGTGTATATATATATGTATGCATATGTACAGGTATATGAAAATTGATATGATACATCCTTTTCCAAGTATTCCCTATGTGTATTTATTCTGGTTATTCCTTCTTCTCCGCCTCCCTGTGGTTATGAATTTGACAAGTTATTGTTTTTTTCCCCTTCCTCTTTAAATTTGGTATTTATATTCTCCTTATTTAAAATAGCAAAAAAAAAAAAAAAGAAAAAGGAAAAAAACCTTGAACTTTCTAAGGTATTATATGTTATATTTCGCTCCCCTCTCCCTTTCTTCTACACTTTTTATCGTTTCTGCAAAAAAAATGGATGAATTTTTTGTTAATAAATATCTGTTATTTTCTTTTTCACGTTCATTTCATTAGCTTTACCGATCTTCAAATTGTTTCTTCAAAGAGATTGCTTAGGTGTGCATGTGTGCATAGTGGAGTGAATTATGCGTAAAGTGCATATACATAATTATGTGCCAGCTTTTGCCTACTGCCTTTTGTCCCGTCCTTGACAATTTGTAAAACTGTTGTGTGAGTGTTGAGTGATGCAATTGTATTTTGCGTTCACCTTAACCTTCAATTTTGTGAAAATATGAAATTGTGATTGTGTAGTTTTCTGTCGCTTTGCGTTACCTTGTTGTATCGCTTTGCATTGCCTTGTATCGCTTTGCATTGCCTTGTATCGCTTTGCATTGCCTTGTATCGCTTTTCATTGCTTTATATTGCTTTTCATTGCTTTATATTGCTTTGCATTATTTTATATTTCTTTTTATAGCTTTATGTCACTTTCGTTTAGAAGTGTTTCTCTTACGTTTTATTTTAAAATTCTTTTTAATTTTTTTAATTTTTTTTTTTTTTTTTTTTTTTTTTTTTTTTTTTCTTTTTTTCCTCTTTTTTTTTTTTTTTTTTTTTTTTTTTTTAGATCAGGGAATAAAAAACATTTCCCCTGCTCTCCACTTTTTAGCTTAGCGAGAATGCGAATGCTTGTAAATATATACCCGATGCAATACATATGGATGATTTTTTTTATCACCTCGTGAAATCTTGGGATTAAAAAGTGTATGTCCGTGTGTATTATTGTACATATCTATTATGTACCTATGTATTATGTACGTATGTGTTATGTACCTATGTATTATGCACGTATGTGTTATGTACCTATGTATGTACATTGTTTTATTACCTGAAGTAAATTCATTTTTCCAGCTTTAGCGTTACCATAACATGGTCAAATTATAAAAAAGAAGAAAATTTTGAATTTATTCCCACCGCATAATGAAAATTGCTTAAAAGGGTGATTTCAAGTATAGCAAAGGGGAAAAATGTAAAAAAAAAGTGAAAAAAAGTGAAAAAAAAGAGTAAAAAATGAATTTAATATGGTTGAAAGGGTGAGGACTAAGAAACTGGTTGAGAATTCAAACTGAATTTTGGGTAACACTGTTGAGCCATGTATTTTTTGTTCCTTTACCTAGTTGACATTGCTTGTAAACACCTTTACAAAGATAAAATATAAAATGATACGCAAAGTAATTCACAAAGTGTATTTTTTGTGTAATAGGTAGAAGAAGACCGGGTGTTGCTGGTATAATCCTTATTACAAAAATTACAGAATGAAATAAAAATGTGTTGTACTCGTTTTAACATACCTTTTAGGATACCCATTATGTATATTACATATATTACAGATATATGTATATAGTTTAACTAATTTCTCGGATGGAATGAGAGGATATTTTAATTTTTATGTTTAATATTACACTGTGGAAAATTCTACCCTCCATAAGTCACTAATCTGGTGCAGCGTTTTTTTTTTTTTTTTTTTTTTTTTTCTTTTTACCTTTTTTAACAACAGGATGTACATGTTCTATCGGTTGTGAAACATATTATCATTCGTAATTATATATACCCACAGTTGGACACCTTTTTATTAACACGTTTAGATGATCATCCATTTTGAATAAATATTTTAAATTATCATTTATCATAAATCCGTTGTATTGTGGTGTACCATTTTTTTTTTTTTTTTTTTTCTCTTTTTCCCTCTCTCACTTGATAAGTAGTTCAAGCAGAAGAGATCACATTGCCTGTGTGTAAAAAAAAAAAAAAAAAAAAAAAAAAAAAGACCATTCACATCGTGTGTTGTTTACTAATACAGTTTTGTTTTTAAAAGAAATTTAGCAGATTGAGCATTTTTTTAAAATAAGACTTTCTAAATATAACAAATAGGAACACACCGATGTAATGATATATGATAAAACAGATAACAATTTCGTCCACCTTTCGTACTTCATTCGTCTTCCATTCGTCTTCCATTAGTCCTCCATTCGTCTTCCATTAGTCCTCCATTCGTCCACCTTTCGTACTTCATTCGTCTTCCATTCGTCTTCCATTAGTCCTCCATTCGTCCACCTTTCGTACTCCTTTCTTTCCCTTTTCTCACAAAATAGGGATTCCCCAAATGTGAATATGACCGGTGTGCATTTATAACTATATAAAAGAGTTTGATCATTTTTATTCAGAATTTGTATGTACATGATTGGGTGAAGAAGTGTGACTAGCCAAAACATGTCCAATTTTTTTTTTTTTTTTTTTTATCCCGTGCACAGCTAGCCAAATGTAGTAGCATATACAACACCAGTAGTATTTCCTAAAAAAAAGGGGAAACAATTCGAAAGATAAATAATAGGTAGTCCTACTTGTAAATATATTCTTATGGAAATTATAATTTCGTGAGCCATTAAATGTTTCCAATAGGTTTCTCTGAATGGCTTTCTGTCTGTTTGTCTGTCTGACAATGTGTTGGTGTACGTACGTATTTGGTGTGCATGTATTAGGGGTGAAAGGTCAACGAAAAAAGGAAGGAGAAATTTTATCCAAATTAGGTCTTCACCCAAATTGGAAACATCCCAAAATTATGATGGTGCGGACCTTACAATAACTAATGCATACACATTCTGACGTGCTAGGAGGGAGTAATCTTCTTTTCCACCCTTCCTCCGATTGCTTATATTCGATCAGTTGTTCTTGCTTGTCATGTAGCAATGGTAATCTGGGTAAGGCAAGAAGTTACAAGTTACAAAAAGTTTCATGGGAGGATAACTGTGAGTGTATTCCTTTTTCTTTTTGGCCTCTTTTAGCTCCACTCGCGAACTCTATCCAGATTGTTATTCACCAATGTGTCCATTTGTATAAATGAGGGAAAAAAGAAAAAAGGAAAAAAAAAAAAAAAAAAAATATGTACCATCAGTTTTACTACACAAGGGCATTACCCATCGTTATTATGTTCAGAAAAAGTTCTCCGCTTGAATGCTCATTTTGTATTGGAAAGAGAATGATAAAAAAGTCGATTGGTCAAGCCGTTCGAATTTATGTTTCACTTAAAGTACACACGAAATTGTTTCTTCATATCTTTTTTGCTTCATATCTTCTTTGCTTCATATCTTCTTTGCTTCATATCTTCTTTGCTTCATATCTTCTTTGCTTCATATCTTCTTTGCTTCTTTTCTTCTTTTCTTCATTTTTTTATTTCTTCATTTCTAAATATCTTCATATCTCCATTTCTTCGTTTTTATATTTTTCTTTTCGATTAAAACACATGCAATGGTCTATGGTTGGTAAAGGGTTTTAAAAAAAAAGAAAGCTGTGCATTGTTCGTTTTTTTTTTTTTTTTTTTTTTTTTTTTTAATCCATTTGCCATTCGTTGAAATTACCGCCCCTTTTATACCAGCGAACTTTGAAAGTTTTTTGTTTTATTTTGTGATTTTTACCTATTTAGTCACATTTACCCATTCTGCTGTGTTTATTTATTTATTTTATTTTATTTCACCTTTATGTGTACCTCAAAATTCTTTCGCATGTTATTTGTGCACATTGCGCAACTGTGAGTTCATCAATATGACAACATTAAGTATTCTAATTTTTGAAGAGGTACACTATTCATTAGCAAAATCATGTACATGAGGATAACCTGGACATCTCCAAGTGTATATAACAAATCTGTTGCAAATTAATACAAATTCTTGTGCATTGGTGTATTTTTCTTCTTTCCCGCCCAATCCTTCTACCCATTATTCACCCATCCGTTCTATAAAAAAAAAAAAAAAAAAAGGAAGGAAAACTTTGGAAATATAAAAACTTAAGAAAACTTCATTCGTATGTTCAGTTCGGATGGTACGATAGAAAATGAAGAATTTAATTGCGAACAAAGAAAAGATAATAAGAAAAAAATAAGAAGAGACACACACAGACACAGGCACACACCACAGGATAGCTTTCTCCATTTTGTCATTTGTTACACCTGCGTGTGGGATTCACTGGTAGGAGACAATGCCAAAACTGCACTCGTAAGATCTACAAAGTTCCAAAAAAGTCTAACAATATATTAATCAAAAGAGGAAAATATGGAAGAAACAGAAGAATATAAAGAGGAAAAACACGATCAGGAGAAAAAGGAGGTAGAGGATGATACTAGGACATGTCCAGAAAATAATAAAAACGGAAGAAATGAAAACAAAGAAAATATGAGTCACGTGTTTCAGATCGTGGAAAATTATATAGATAATGAAATAGTATATGTAAATGATACGAACAAGACGATTGTTATGTTAAGTAAGAAGGAGAACCAAATGGATGAGGAGGAGCACCGACGAGCTGTACCGGCAGAGGTAGACATGAATGTATCTGCAGAGGTAGACACGAATGTATCTGCAGAGGTAGACACGAATGTATCTGCAAAGGTAGATGCGAATGTATCTGCAAAGGTAGATGCGAATGCATCTGTAGAAGCAGAAAAATCTGAAGGGAAGGAAGCTGAGGCAGGTTCAGCAAGGGGAATCAACTTTGATAGTGATCCAAATGTGTTACAAAATAATGGAAAAAAAATATTCAAGAAAGATCAATATTGTAATTGTAACGCAGAGAATGTTAAAGAGAATAATGAAGAAACGGTTCATCCGATGAATAAAGAAAAAATAGAAAACAATATGATAGGAAAGCAGGTAGAGGAAAATGAAGATGAACACAATGAGATACACAGCAACGGTGACATTGACACTTGGTCTAACTTAAGTTATCTGTCCCTTGATGAGGAGGTCAGCATGTATAACGAGACAGGTGATGCGAACATGGAAATGTTTAAAGAGGAACAGACTATGATGATTAGAAAACAAATGAAAAGGAGGAGGAGGAGATTAAGGATGAAACTTGAGGAAGAGGAAGAACAAGAGAGAAACATGCAACGGGAGGTTCACGAAAGGGTAGATGAGACAAAAGGTGGTATCATCCAAGAGAAGGGATCACATCCACCTGTGGGTGAATCAGCTGAAGCTGTTTCGTCAACTAATTCAACAAGTGAGGTGGGAGAATCCAAAGAATTTTGTCTAAATGCAATCGACAAATCATTTATACAAATTCCTTTGAAGTGCATTTTAAACTCGTTTCGAAATATTCAGAAAGAGCTAGAAAAGAATTTTACGATAATAACATTATTTATCGAAAAGAAATTACTCAATTTAACAGATGAAATTTACCTGAACAAGCTGAATACAATTTTAGAAAAATTAGAAGCCTTACGAAATAAAGTTATGGAATCAAAAGTATTGTTAGATAAATATGTCAATCGGTTAGTTAGCAGATTGAAGTATGTTTATTTTGAGGGAGATATTCAACTGGAGAATTTGAAGCACGATTTTCGCTTTGAAACTTATGAAAACAGAATAAATTGGCTAATTGACGGTTTTTTGGCTAGATACGGATTTTTTGACACTGCTGAAATTTTTTCTAAAAGATACAAATTGGAAAATTACTCAGATGCAGATGTATATAAAGAATATCTAGAAATAATAAATGAATTGAAAAAACATAACATGAAGCCAGCACTAGAATGGTGTCAGAAATATAAATCCCAATTAAAAAAAATAGATTCAAATATAGAAGCAGAATTACATCTACAACACATTATTAACATAATATATGAAAACAAATTTTTTGAAGCTATTGAATATATTAAGAAAACAGTCCCTAATCCAGATGAACATATTTCAACAGATGTAAAATATCTCATTACATACATAGGTCTCTACGGTTCTAATGAAAGCCAACATACCATTGAGTCATTGAAGCGCTTTAATAAAAAGAGGTGGGTTAAAGTTATCAAATCATTTCAAAAGGTGTATTCAGAAATAACAGGAGTCTTGAATAAACCACTTTTAGAATTGTTGCTTAAAGCAGGTATTTCCGTTGTCAAAACGGACCAATGTGGAAAGAAAAAATCAACGAAATGTCCCACTTGTATCGATGAATTGAAACATACAATTAATCAAGTTCCTCATATACAAAAAACAAAAAGTTTTTTAATTTGTCCTTATACGAATGAAGTTATGGATGAGAAAAACCCTCCATTCACAACTCCTAGGGGACATGTCTTTTCAGGTAAAGCTATTTCTTTGTTTATGAAATCAGAAGGCATTTTCCAGTGTCCCATAACGGAGGAGAAGTATTGCATACAGGACTTGTCTCGGCTGTTCATCTGAGGGGGGTAGAGAGTGCATTGGTCCGTTTGGAGGAGAGTGCATTGGTCCGTTTGGAGGAGAGTGCATTGGTCCGTTTGGAGGAGAGTGCATTGGTCCGTTTGGAGGAGAGTGCATTGGTCCGTTTGGAGGAGAGTGCATTGGTCCGTTTGGAAGAGAGTGCATTGGTCCGTTTGGAAGAGAGTGCATTGGTCCGTTTGGAAGCGATTACAATTAGGAAGTGTAGTCACTTTTGGTAATAAAAAAAAAAAAAAAAAAAAAAAAAACTTACGAATAAGTAAACGATATGCGCCAAACGAACGTGCAGAGACATGGGGACGACAAAACAGTGCAGGTCATACTATCGAACTATTTATACCTTCAGAAGAAAGTTGCAGACACAAAGACATGCGTTATAGCAACATATGATGGTTATGTGGAATTAAATATTTACTTTTCTAAATTTTTTTATATCGACACAACGTTTATTCTATTCGTGTATGTCCCATATGGGAATATGCGATCGTAGAGAGGAGAGTATTTTTTTTTTTTTTTTTTTTTTTTTTTTTTTTTCTCGCTCCCTCTCGATCTAAACGGGAAATGAGACCACTACTGCCACGATACTTCTACAAGATTGCCATGAGACTGCCATGAGACTGCCATGAGACTGCCATGAGGCTGCCACGAAACTGCTACAGAGAGGGGGGACAAAATGGAGTACCTCACACAGATTTGTTTAAAGCCAAAGTTGAGCAGATTTACTTATGTGTCTGGTATTGGGCAATCTTAATAATCGTGACGCGAAAAATGTTCATGACCACATGAAAAGGGGAAAAAAAAAAAAAAAATAAAATAAAATAAAAATAAAATAAAAATAAATTGATACCCACGTAAAACATACAACGGTATTGTTAATGATTCCAAAGCAGCATAGAAATTGTAAGCATTAAATTTTTTAACATACAAAAAAAATGATCTTCCAGGAAGGGATTGGAGAAGGTATTAAGAAGGGGCTGGGAACAGTAGCAGACGTAGTTGCCGCGTAATTGCTGCGTAATTGCTGCGTAATTACAGCGTGGTTATCTGGGCATGTCTCTGCTCGTCTCCCCCCTTTTTTTTTTTTTTTTTTTTTTCACTTTGCTTTTTTTTTTCTGTCGGAGGGTCGGGCCGAATTCATATGACCTTCGTTATAACCCCAGAAGCAACGGTCCTACCACCTTCTCGCAAGGAGAATCGCAAGCCATTGGTTAAAGCTAAGGGATACATTAACTCAATTGTGCACTTTATACTATCTCCAGGATTGGCTACCTGGGTATGTTCATTCAAAATAACAGCACAATTAACATCAGCAGTTCTTATGTAAGCTTGAGGTCTATAATAGGAAGAAAATGGATTTTTTCTACCTCCTTCTTCATGCTTTAAAATATAAACATCACTTTCGAATTTTTTATACGTTTTTAAATTTGGCACTTTGGTTACAACCATACCTCTTGAAATGTCGTTTTTTTTTACATTTTTTAACATTACTCCAATTTGATCTCCTGCTTGTGCTGCATCTAAAGTTTTTCTGAACATCTCAATTCCTGTTATAACAGTTTTTATTGATTTCTCTTTAATACCCAAAATTTCCACGGGATCGTTTATTTTTAGAGTACCTTGTTCAACTCTTCCTGTGGCTACAGTACCCTTTCCAGAAATTTGCAAAACATCATCAATGCTCATCAAGAAGGGAAGATCAATTTTTCTCTTGGGTTCATCAATATAATTATCACATGCATCTAACAATTTTAAAATAGATGGGACACCATATTCAGATTTATCATCATTTAAAGCTTTCAGTGCTGATCCTTTGACAAATGGTATATTATCTCCATCGTACTTGTGAAATGAAAGTAATTCTCTTATTTCTAACTCCACTAAATCAACTAATTCTTTATCATCACACATATCTATTTTGTTTAAATAGACAATCATCTTTTCGATACCTATTTGTCTGGACAATAAAACGTGTTCTTTTGTCTGTGGCATTAAACCATCATAAGCAGATACAACTAGTATCGATCCATCCATTTGTGATGTACCTGTTATCATATTCTTTATATAATCTAAATGACCAGGACAATCTATATGACTATAATGTCTTTTTTCTGTTTCATATTCTACATGAGTTGCATTGATTGTTATTCCTCTCTTCTGTTCTTCTGGTGTCTTATCTATTTCTTCATATGATTTGAAAGTACCTCTATTTAAATCTGCACACACTTTTGTAATAGCAGCTGTTAATGTTGTCTTACCGTGATCAACATGTCCAATTGTTCCTATGTTCATATGTGGTTTCTTCCTTTCAAAAACACCAATAGCAAAACTTCTGCTACTCAAAGCGAATAAACCTTTTCTTTTTTTTTTCTCTCCTTGGTTAGTAATGGAGTGTAATTCACGCGTATCACACCGTCCATGATGATAGTTCCACTTTAATCTACTTTCAATACTTGTCTTTCCATTTATATTCTTCGTGCTAGGAGAAAAGAAAAACTTCCTTAGATACATGCATGTAATCTTTTTTCCCTCACTGGGGAATGTATACAGCATGTTGTTTTTTGCTTTCATCATTCTTCTCTCGGAATGACTATTGGGCTGAACACAGTAGGTATGGGAAGATAAGCGTTGGAACTGTTCCCTAAATACCTCTGCTTGATAATCGCAGGCCACTTGGAGTACTTCTTACGCATTCATGTGGATATGTATAGCAGGTATGTATTGACATATCTACATATCCATATGTATGCTATGAGAATCACTGTAGCTCCTTATACGCTCCTATGGTGATCTATTCATGCAGGAATCGAGATATAGATTTTTCTTCTTATGCTTTTCTCAGTTGTTACATAGAGAAAGTTGATATGGTCTTCTTCCGTTTTTGCTCCTGCACGTTACCCTCTTTTTTGTCATCACGCTTTTCTAAGCTAGGGTACCAAGGAGTTGCAAAAACTTAGAATTCAAAACGTTTGACCTACAAGCTTCACAATCTGAGCCCCAAGGGGTAGGTACATATATGCATATATACATACATATATACATACATATATACATATATAAAAGGTGGCATAAAAAAAATGTTGTTAAAACTTTATAGGAGAATTACAGCCATTGTGACTGTTGGCAGCTTGCATTGCATTCGAGTTACGTAATTTTCACTTCACATCTAATTTTACCCATCGTGCTAATCCCACGATTTTTTTTTTTTTTTTTTTTTTTTTTTAACCTGCTTTTACAGTATTAGAAGAACTCTGGAGAGGTATAAAGAAGAATGCATACCGTGTTATGAATATATATACCTACATCAACATATGTACATATGTACATATATATATATATATGATATATGCACATGTGCAGATATGTAAGTGAATGTATGAAAAAAGATTCACGTGAGCATTCTCGTTTCGCGCAATTCCTCCCTATATTTGCGGCACGTTGCAAAAAAAAAAAAAAAAAAAAAAAAAAAAAAAAAAAAAAAAAAAAAAAAAAAAAAAAAAAAAAAAAAAAAAAAAAAAAAAAAAAAAAAAAAAAAAAAAAAAAAAAAAAAAAAAAAAAAAAAAAAAAAAAAAAAAAAAAAAATGTTACCTAAGTTTTACATATGCAATAGGTTCCCAATTGTACAAAATAGAAAAAAAAAAAAAAAAAAAAAAAGGATTTTCTTTGTGAAATAAAAAGGGAAAGTAAAATTATATCAATCTTCACACATGTGAAAAACATATACATACACACATATTCACGAATGTATATCCCTTGTGTTCAATTTTTTCTACACACATTTTAAAAAATCTGAAATCCACTTTTTCATATACTCTGCACATTTTTTTTAGCCCTATGTGGATTGTGACTCTAGAGGGGAGCACCCGTGATCCAACGCATGTTTACTTTTTCACATGTGTGTTCTTTCATGGGACTTGAGTGGGTAGAGTTAGATCTAGAATGTCATTACCACAAGTCGAGTTTCCGCAAACCGAGTTACCACAAATCTAATTTTTGCGAATCTCATTACCTCAAATCCCTTTGACACTCTCATAATATACATATTAACATTTTCTCTGACATGTACATGCTGTCAATCGGGAGTGCCAATAAGATACCAAAATTATATCACTGCTCATAGCATGAATGAACGAAAAGCAGTTAACTACACAAAGTGCCGAAGAGAATCGAGGCACTGGAAATTAGCTGCAACTGTACTCGTCTGTCTCATTGTAAGAATTACAGCATTTTTTATTCTATATGTACTAGAGGGAAGCGAATATGAATACATTAACATGTTAATAAGAATTAAAGGAGATGCGAGGCCTTATGAAAATTTGCATAAAATAAATGAACGTTTTTCGCACATAGAGACACATTATGACTTAAATGCGCAAGGGAAAAGGGACACAAAAATAATGGCAGAATATTTTCAGAAAAATAAACGAAATAGAACCTTGAAGCAGTTTATATTAAGAAATGATGCGATGCATTATTCCTTTAACTCAGATATATACAACTTAAAGTACATCTATGAAAGTTACATATTGAGTAAGATGTATGCAGATGTATATCCTTCTCTCACGGTACGCATCAATCCGATTTTTCTTAACATCTTGCATTTCCTTCTGCTTAAGGAAATTGCAATAAAACAGAATGGTTGTGTTGGAGGTGATGATAAGGGAGGTAGAAACCATAGCTCTGATGGAAATCATAGCTGGAGGGGTAGATGGTGTGAGATAATAGATTCACTGGTGAACAACCCAGAACTTAGATACTTCCTTCTCATCTGTGTAGTAGATATTCTAACTGGAATATTTTTATTCCTAATTGTACAGTGTTTGGAAACATGGAAAATATATTTTCATTATGTAAATCATCAAGATAACCAGAAAAAGGAATGGAAATTGATCGATCCCATTTTGTTAATAAATATCTACCTTAATAATCCACTCTCCATATTATCAAATAGCTTTTTAACATTTGACAATTTCAAATTTTTAATAATAACAATGTCTTTTTATTTGACCCTTAAAAGAAATACTATAAAATTTCAATTTCCACTTGTATCTCTTCTCAATCTTATTACAATACTTTTTCTGAATGCATTACTTTTATATGTAACATCATTTCATTTTATCCTAATTCTTATCGGCATAAATAATTTTATCATTTTTTTTCACCAAAATTTAATGAATAAGCATAAAATTAAGGACACAGTTAACTTTTCTCAAATGTTTTATATCTTGTTGCAAAATCTTATTCTGTTACTTTCCACAATTGCAATGTATGTTCTTCTTATACTTGCCTCTGTTCATCTAAATTCTGGCTCATTGGTAAGTCTATAGCTATCTATTCCATGTGTCTCAATCCGAATAATCTGACACGCACAAAACAACGTTGCGTGTTCAAATATCCAAATTAATCATTGAGCATGAGATATATCCAATGTAAATACACACTCAAATACACACGCACATAAACAGAGATATGCTTCTCGCTGTCTGGTATGCAGTAGTTTTCTCTTCATGGCCATTTGAAGATTTTTCTTCCGTATCCTTCTCCATGTCACCTCTTGCAGTCTTTTCTGAACAACACCATAATTAATGAGTATAAGATCCTTTTTCTATTACCAAATCTGGGAAATTATTGGTACCTTTTTTCTACGGTAATGTCCATACACATGAATATATACGTGTGCATATACGTATATATATTTTTTTTTTACTTTGGAGAGATAACTTATGAACGAGAATGCAATAATGGAATCATATTTGGAATCTCGTAAATGTTCATCATTGTGTCAAATTGGCTAACATGCAGAATTATTCCTTTGCATTTTTTTTTTTTTTTTTTTTTTTTTTTTTTTCTCTTTTCAGATGTTCCAGGACTATTACCATTCCTTCTTGTTCTTATTCCATGTACGAACAAAAAATCATTTTGTATTATGTCCGAATGGAAAATTTTGAAAAGACAAGAAAAAAAAAAAAAAAAACTCTAGTTCATTACAAAGCGGATGTGAAATGAGGCATACAAAATGGAATGCTTGTAGAACCTTAACCTGAATGCACAATATCTTAGCATTCGTTTTATGCTGTTTGTTTTATTTTTTTTGGAACGTTTATCATTCCTCATTTATCTTTTTTTTTTTTCCCCTCCAACAATACAGTTTCATTTGTTCCTTTACCCGGTTCCTCTCCTTTTTCGATTGGTGAAGACACCATTGATTTATTTAAAAATTATGATTGCGGTGAGTACCCAGATGTTCTTACTTCATCTGTCTCATCCCAGTGCCTCGATTGTACATTCCCATATATGAGAATTGCACACACTCGATCGCATTCACATGGATCCACTCACATCTTCACCCCTTTCAGATTGCTTTGGTATTCCATCCTAACATAACAGTCGGCGATATCGTATTTTCCTTGGTACACTTTTTCTAGCATGCCACCACATACACGTGCACATTTGTATACGTTTGTTATGTGGAGGATATATTTCTATCTTACCCAAATTACGAACCCTATTATATAACACACGCATTTTTTTTTCCCCCTTTTTTTTTTTTTTCTTAATTTTTTCATTAACTCTTCCTCTTTAGCTGCTGTTCATAATTGATTACGAGAGGACAATTTATGCCATCCCCTTCGCTAAACTGGTAAACTTTTAGCATACGAGAAAATTTTCTCATCATTTTTTGTGTCTATCTTTTTATGGTTTGTACTTGTGCATGTGTTTACGTACAAGAACGGGCACGCTGATAGGCAGACTAACAGGTGAAGGAATTTTCCTCCTGTCTTAGTGACTATAATTTTGCAAAATGATCTGACCCGTTCAGCACAAATTCACAAGCTGTTCATACATTTTCGTCGTCACATTTTGCACACACTTTTCAGATAATTATACTACTTGCAAACCTTGGCCTCTTTTTTGTTACAACGAATTTGTGGCTCCGCAAAAATACAGGAAATGCCAACTATGCGTTTTTTAACCAATTGGCTGTTTTCAACATAACAAGTAAAATTCTGCATGTAAACAGTTGTGTGCAGATTTTTATGCGTTAACTTGAAAAATAATGTGTGCATGCTTGAAATTGCAAACAAATTTTAAATTATACATTTGCCTGGTCATATTTTTTTTTTTTTTTTTTCTTTTTACTTTTTAAACAGCTTTTATAATAACAAGTAGCATAAAATTTTATATTCGTGTCCAAACACCGGTGAAACAACTAGAAGAAGGAAAATGCATAGTCGTATCGAGGCATAAAGTAAAGTTTAGCATTTTACGAACTTTGAAGGAAACTTTTTCGTAATTTATTACGAACAGGAATTTCCATAACAAGTATGCAAATTTTTGCTTTGGGGTTGGGGTACGCTAATTAGGGGAGAAAAACAAACACACCACCACATGTCACATGGCACAACCGTCAAATCATGAATGAAAAGGTTGTTCAGTCAGATGCAAGTGGAATTAAGAGGGATTTTTTTTTTTTTTTTTTTTTTATCACTGCTTATTATAGCTACATAAAAAACAAAAAAAAAAAAAAAAAAAAAAAAAAAAAAAAAAAAAGCGGAAAACATCCATACGGAGATAAAATTTTTGTTATACAAATGAATTGACACAAATCTGTATATTATATTATATTATTTTTTTTTTGTTTGTGCTCCACGTTTTATTAGCCTTAAAGTTTATTTTCCCCTATTCATTGGAGACATACACGAGGTAGATGATTGATACGTAGCTGACCTTGTGATGGCCAATTTATTCGTCACTAGGAAATTGCTTTGTGTTTTTCTTCTTTGCTCTTTTCCGTGGTTCATATTCTCCCTGTTTTTTTTTTTTTTTTTTTTTTACTTTTCTCCCCTGCTTAATTATTCCTCCCCCCCGCAGCATTTTTTTGTTTGCACTTTTTTTTTATTTTTTATTATTTCCATGTGTACACAAACAAAACAGAGGATACAATATTTGTTTTCTTGTTCGCAACATTCGTGCTTTAGAGAATAGGGATAAGGTGCTCATATGCACATACGCACATACGCACATATATAGTAACAAACTATTCGAAAATGTTACATGACTCCGATGAAGTAATTAACGCTCCAACCAACTCTCCTTAGCCCGCTTTCTTGTGATGAAACCGCCCGCTGATTTTTGGTTCCCCATTTTGTGGAGCTTATGAAAAAAGGTTAATCATCAAGGCATAGGAGAATTTTTAAAATTTACCAAATTCAGATAATTTCCATAAGCATATATCATAAGGGGTGTGTAGAGTTAAGTGCAACATTTGAGGAAGTAAAATATGCACAAAAAAAGAGATTCGAAGTCATTACACCCCTTTAAAAGCTTCTGCAAATGTTTGTTTATCAGTTTGGCGCTGTTTTTTACAAAGTTCCATGAAATTCAAAGTTCCAAATTTATGTTAATATATATATGTATATATGTAAGAACTTTGGTATGCATATATAATCATGTATAACAAAAAACACTACACCGAGTAATCGTGGGTATGTCGTTGAAAATTTTAAAAATAGTACAATGCCTACTTTGTATGTTTACTCATATGCACACATACATTTATACAACATATATACATATGTGTTTTTTTTTTTTTTTTTTTTTTTTTTTTAAACCTTTAAAATACGAAAATGAAAAAAAAGCTACCTGTTATAAAAAAAAAAAATTTTATAAATGAAACTGATGAAAGGTTTATTAACAGGGTTTAAGAAATATTAAAGTTTAATTTTTTTTTTTTTTTTTTATTTTATTTTACATGTTTTTTTTTTAATTTCAATTTTGAATGCAATATAAATAATATTTTCACGTGAATAAAATGTAAAATAAATATTTAAACAATTTAAAAACAGCAACGATTTAACAGAGTAACCCATTCTCATCTGTAGTAACCATTTTAACGGGGATATTCTTTTCCCTTTTTATTTTCATATTTGTTGTACTTTCATATAATTCTTATATTTGTTATACCTTCCTACTTCTTATAAATTCTTATAATTCTTATATTTGCTATACTTTCTTATAGATATTTTATTTTTTCCCATTATATAAACATTTTATTCCAAGAGATATTATTTCCTCTTTTTTCTTTTTATTTTTACCTTTCTATCCCCACTGCTTTTGTTTTGTTAAAATTTTCATATTTTTAATTCGTTTTTTTCTTTCATCATTTTATTTGAATTTTTCACCATTTTTTTTTTTTTTTTTCTTGTAGAAAAAAATACTTAATAACAAAAGAGAAAACAAAACAAAACAAAAACCCCTTCTGAGAAGGAATCAGTTTTATCTCTGTTTTATGCATATCGCATCAGTTTATGCACGTTTTTACTTATCCATTTGCTTTGTATTTGCCTACGTCTCTGTAGTACATAATTTACATTTATGCAATAGCATACATGCAAAACATATATATATATATATATATATATATATATATACACGAGGAACAACCAAACGAAATTAAACCCAAACCGTATGGTTAAGAATCAAGTTTTTCACGTAGAGAAAAAGAGTATTTATTAATTTTCTTCCCATTCCCATTTCAACATCGAATAAATATAAAAAGAAGGAAAAAATATATATATATTAAAAAGAGGAATATTTTTCCAAATTTTTTTCATAATTATTTAAAATTTATTTGTAAGTACCTTTTAGGGTTACACTTGTTTTTTCTCCCACAACAGGAGGAAAACGAAAAACAAACAAAAAGTGAAAAGCAAAAAGTGAAAAGCAAAAAGTGAAAAGCAAAAAGCGAAAAGAAAAACGCAAAAAACGCGTACTTTCTTCAAATCCAACTCCAAAGCTACCTCCTTTTCTAATACATATACATGTAAACTCATTTCTGACGAACACTTCAATTGCACGGCACGCAAGAAAGTATTCTCACCCTACTTTATTACTTTATATATTTACTTATTTATTTACTTATTTATTCACTTATTTATTATTATTTTATTTTTTTTTTTTGTCACATCATCACATCAACAAAGATCAACTCAAATACGAATTTTTTAAAAAAATGGCCTTGGGATTATTTAAAAAAAACAAAGGAAACGACAACCTAGCTGAGGAAAAGAATGTTGCAGGTTCGTGTGCCACGTCTCACGCGTATACATTTGCATTGTAGTGGTGCATGTACGTACATATATATATATATATATATATATATATATATATATATGTGTATGTGTATGCATATATCTATTTTGCTTTTTTTTTTTTTTTTTTTTTTTTTTATGATGAAAATAAAAATGACTGATCAAGTTTGATGATTTTCGCTATTTCACCAAGATCTCTGAAAAAAAAAAAAAATAAAATAAAAAAATGTGCCCATATAGTATGTGAATGCGCAGCATATATTAACAATTTTCTCCTCCTTCCACCCCTTTCATCCCGTGTGTGCTATATATATATTCCCTTCATTGTTGCAATGATATATACACATGTACATGCGTTATCTTACAAACTTCCCTGGCGCGATTTTACATCCCAATGTGAAACACTTTCAAACAGTTTATACATATCGTCTTTCTTTATCCCCACCCCACCATTACAGAAGAGGACAATAAAATTGAAAATAAAGTAACGGAATCCACTGCTGCAGATTCGGAAGCAAAATTTGCAGTTTCAAATAAGAAGAAAAACACCAAGAAGGGAAAAACCACAAAGAAAGACGCTTCTTCGGCTTCATCCTCCACCACATCTGATTCTTCAGATAATAGCGATGGCGAGGCGAATAAGGAAGCTGTGGACGCAGATGCAGGACAAGTGTTGAATGGAGAAACAAATAACAATGTATCTAAGTCTAGTTCTGATTCATCTGATACCTCCGATTCTTCAGATGAAGAAACCAAAGAAGTTGTGCAACCGGTGAAATTGGCAAAATCGTCCAAGCCAGAAAAGGAAGAAAAGGCCAAGAAAAACGAACAATCGAAACAACACGAAGATTCGGATTCAGATTCCGATTCTGATTCAGACACTGATTTCGATTCGGATTCAGACTCAGACGAGAATGAAATAGAACAGCAGAAACAGAACCCAAAGCAGAAGCAAAACAACAAAAAAACTGCGTCGAACATGAATAGTGAAGACCAGTCAAATGCACTAGCAGGTGGAAAAAATAAAAGAAAAAACGAAATTGTTGCAGAAACAAATAAGGGAAAAAACAAAAAACAGAAATTTAATAAAAATGATAAAAACGGAAAGAACAAGAATAATGCTGAAAATCAAGAAAATGGAGAAAAATCGTCTACTACCGTTATTCCCACGGAGTTCATAATTACCATTATCAACATTAGCAGAGAAACCAAAGAATCAGAATTGAGAAATTTTTTAAAAGAATTACTGAATGAAGATTATGTAGAAGACAAAATTTATGTATATTTGAATAAGCATAACAACAGTGCATATGTATATTGTTCTGAAAAGAAGATCAATGACACATTGGTTAAGAAACATAATGAAAAATTCAATGGAGTACCAGTAAAAATTCATGAAAATCCAAATGCATTAAGCTCAATCATGGTTACTCATATGAGCAAGAATACCACAGAAGAAGAGGCAAAGCAGGTTTTTGAAAAATATGGAAACATTAATAAGTTATGGTTTAATCCTAATAAAACCAAACTACAAATCACATTTGACAATATGGAAAGTTGTGTTAAAGCATTGGAACAAGATGGATGTTTATTAGGGGAAAGTTATGTGCATGTTGGTCTGATACTGAATGGAAATAACAGCTTCAATTTTTCAGAAAACAATTTTGCATACAAGAGTAACAGGAACAATTATTACAATAACAATAAAAATAACAACAGTCAAGATTTCGAAGGAGGAAATGCTGGAGGAGGAAGGTCAAATGGTAATGCTGGTCAAGGTGGTTTCTTTGGAAAGAAGTTTGGACATATGAACAAATTCAACAGAAACGGAAGCAACTTTGACAGGAACAATGGAAACAATTTCAACAGAAATGGAAGTAACTTCAACAGGAACAACAACAATGGTGGAAACTTCAACAGAAACGGAAGCAATTTCAACAGGAACAACAATGGAGGTAACAATAACGACGATATGAATGGAGGAGGAATAACTTTCACCAATGGAAACAGCTTCAACCGAGGAAACAATTTCAACAAGGGAGGAGGAAATTTCAACAAGAATGGCAACTTCAATAAGAACGGCAACTTCAACAAGGGAGGAAATTTCAACAAGAATGGCAATTTCAACAAGAACGGCAACTTCAACAAGAACAGCAACTTTAACAAGAATAGTAACAATAACAATGAAGATGGAAACAACAACGATAACAATAACAACAGCAACAAAAACGAGGCGAACAAGAAGAAATTCAACAAGAAGAACAAAAAAAATCAACAGAAGGAGGTCAGCACGAATGCCGACAACTAGGTGCAGCGGCAAAAAATAGAATAATAATAATAATAAAAAAAACGTGCACTCTCAACAGGCAATATATATATATATATATATATATATATATGCGTATATATACCAAATCGAACTTGATTGCTAAGAAAGCCGGTTCAGGGGAGAAGTCACATGCCAAATGTACGGATGCTACCTGAGAGGGTAGCACGCAAACACACTTACACAGATGTATATGTGCATGCGCACGTATTAGAACAAAACATACATAAACAGTAAAATATCCTTTTTTGCTTGTGCAAAAAAAGGTTTATGTTCATTTGTCGAACCCATATTTTTCTTACACATTTACACAAAAGGAGTAGATAAAAAAAAAAAAAAAATGGATAAAAGAGAATAAAAAAAATAAAAAAAATAGAAAAAAAAAAAAAATAAACTTTTCTTTTTTTTTTTTTTTGTTCCAGTCGATAGACAAGCCAATTTGTCCACGTATATACACAAGAAGAAAAAAACTTTTCTCTACTACTCACAAAAAATAATGTGGCACATATCGAATATTCGGCACATTATTCCATTATTCTCAGTATATGAAAATTTCATCGAATTCTGCCCTAAAAGTTCTGAAGCCGGATGCATGTTTTATCACACGTTAGTCTCCATATATATGTGCACGTGTGTATGTGTTTGTCTGCGTATGTGTCTATATACATAATACATATGGATCATTGTACACAGTTATGCACAGCCATATTGCACAGTCCATATATAGTCATTATGTATAGAGAGGACAACAAATCCTGTTTCACATTTCAGTTTTTTTCTCATCCTTTTTTTTTTTTTTTTTTTTATACCTCCTTCTTTCCACCACAAAACAACCTTTTTATATTTGTTATACTCTCAAAAGAAATTAAGTTCTAACTGTGAGACGTTTAAATCCGTACAGACAGGAATTTCAATTAAACAAATTTTCTAAAAAAAAAAAAAAAAAAAAAAAAACTCTCTTCTGTTAACATGGAAAAGTTTTTTTTTTTTCTGTTCCCTGTAGATGATGCACCAACCCCATTAAGGCAGACCATGTAGGGCGTTGGCGATGTTCATAAATCAGCATATTTTTTAAAAGGAACAGTAATTCTGGTTTTGTAATAAAAGACTGTATACTATCCAATTTAAATTGAAAAGCATACTGATCATCAATGTGATTCAAAATGTCTTCTTTCATTGTTAATATGTAATAAAAGCATAAACCTAAGCAAAAAATGTCATTCTTAATTAGGTATTTATCAATATGTTTGTTTGTTTTTTTCCTCTTTTTTATTAGTGCAATTTTTTTGTTCAAATAAAGTAAAAGTTCAGGAGAAATATATTTCGGCATCCTTCTTCTCTTATCAATAACATAGAAGTAATAATTTATCAATTTCGTTTTGGGGACAAAGTTTCCAATAAGTATATTAAAACCATTGTTGCTTATGAACAGATTGGTTGGTTTAATGTTTCCATGAGCGATATTTTTCTCTTCCAAATAACACATGAGTTTTATAAGGTTGCACAAATTTTTTAAAACAAGTTGGCTATCAAATTTGTATTTCACATAAGGATGTACATTTTCGATGAACTTTTTTATATTGCCGTTCAGAAGAAATGGTGTCAAAAATGCTGCAACATAGTTTTGCTTCTCGAACTCTTTTTTTTGCAGCATGATAATGCCGCTGTAAGGAAGAACACCCAGCTGTTCGTATGTCATCTCATTGCTCAATGAGAAACTGTCTTGATTTCGAGCTGCCTGATCAGTCAGACCATTCGGTACAACATGACCACTTGTCAAAACATTACCGTGACAACTTGAATCATATCGTTCACTTGTCCCATTGAATCCCTCCCATGCCTCAATATCATGGCCCGCACTTCCACAACATTCCTTGTACTCATATAACACTTGTTGTAGGTTTTTTCCCTCATTAATAAGTATATTTATCTTTAATTCCTGCGTATTTGCCTCAGAAAAAATAAATTCCCTGTTTCCTATAAGAGTTTCATCACAGTCTATAATCTTGGCGTTATACAAATAGGTTTTGAATTCTCTATTCGTTGGCTCATTGCGCTTTTTTTTTCCCTGCTCTCCCTTAACTCTACCTGTAGTATTATAGTAATTCGAATATTTTTTTTTTAATATCTCTATTAAATTATCTCCCTCAATATTTACAAACGGGGAATCCAAACGAATTACATGGTAGTAGGGTGTTATATTATTTACAATGTCGTATTTCTCATCAATGGTTTTTATCTGGAAAAGTCGATCTTTAAAATATTGCTTCTTATCATTTAATCTTAGCAATATTTGATTAGCATTGTTAATTTCCTCTGAATTATTTTTATCTAGATCGAATTCTAAATCCTCTGAATTATAGTGATCATTTTGTTCCTCTAAATTCTCACAAATACGTTTTGTCGTATTCATCAATTTATTCAATTGACTTATCCCTTTTTTAAAAATATTGTGAGCTACATTTCCGTTGTACTTTACCACATAACTGTGCCCGAATTTGTTTTCTTTCCCTTCATTTTCCACGGCATACAGAAATTCATTTGGCCATATTATTTTACTTTTCAATTCTCCCCATTTGCTCATGTTGTGAAGTTTATTAGATGTTCACACGCTATCCCTATCGTCCCACAGGGTGGATGCGTCTGGACAAGAAGCCTGTTGAGCCTTTTGGTTTTTTTTTTTTTTTTTTTTTTTTTTTTTCTCTCAGAGTAGCTAGAAAATTTGGCTAGTTCTTGAAAATCGTTAAAACGTGTATTAACAAGTCAGACAAAAAGTGCATACGGGGATATAATACACGCTGCTGTGCACACACACAAACATGTGTATATTTGCTTATGTGCACATATAAGCATGAACGTAGACCTTTTTGAATAATTTACATTTGGCATGACAAGGCCAAGTATCTACAAATTGCAAAAGGACAATTTTTCAACTCTTTGAAGGGGTTAAAGAGAATCAAACAGTGCATAATTTTCATCAATAAAAAGGATTAGAAAAAAAAAAAAAAAAAAAAAAAAAAAACGGAGAAACGGATGGAAGAGCGGACGGATGGGCAAACGGCAAATCAAACCAAATTAATCACATAAGTGGGGGAAAGGAGAAAAAAAACATCTAGAAGAATTTTACTCCATATAAGGTTTGAATATGCTACATTCATCATAACACTATAATGCATAACATCATTTTAAATGAATGTATAATGTAAACTCTTCTATCCACGCAAAGGAGAAAGAGAAATGAGCAACTGAGACGTAAACATTTTGCTTTTTGTAAACACAGTCGTGTGTTACACGCATAGGGGGAGGAATGCAGAGTGTTTTTTATCTTTTCAAATAAAAAAAAAAAAAGAGAATCAATCAATTAATCAAAGAATGGAATGAGAGAAATAATGGACGAAAGAGCGAAAGAATGAAAAAGCGAAAGAACGAAAAAGCGAAAGAACGAAAAAGCGAAAGAACGAAAAAGCGAAAGAACGAAAAAGTGAAAGAACGAAAGAGAAACAAATTGTCAGAAAAGGGGGCTTTAAAAAATTTGTTAAAAAACGAAAGACAGGATTTTAGACTTCATCTTTAGTAGCAAATTTTCCAAGGCGATGCAAAAAATGTCCCTAAAAATGGAAAAGAAAGCGAAAAAAATGAAAACAAGTAAAATAATTTAACACGAAACAATTTGACGTGAAACAAATTGATATAAAATAAGGTATATAAATAAATATAGGGGAAAAAAAAAAAAAAAAAAAAAAAAAATAAATTAAAAAAATAAAATAATGGAAGATGGTCAATATTTTGCAATTGGCAACACTTTTTTTTTTTTTTTTTTTTTTTTCCATTTTTCACATTACAAAGAATTTTTAAAATTCCGAAGAACTTTACAGTTGAAAGACAAATTGTAACAACACTTCACATACAAATTTTTGATTTCCTTTATTTTGAGTCTGTACCTGAGGAAATGCCGAGGGTGGTGAAGTGAGAAGAAAGACGGGAAGAAGTGGGAGTGGTAATAACAACAAAAATGTGAACGCAAAAGCGGGTGAAAAATAAAAAATTTTGTCGTACGACACATTTGGTGTAAATAAGAAATCATATACACAATATAATTTGGTATAGGATGGCATAGTATGTGGCTTAGTATGGCCTATTTTTTTTTTTTTATCAGTTCATTTTATTCATTCGTTTTTGATTACTTCTTTCCAACGGTGTATGTGTCTTCTCTGAAAAGGTCGTAAACAATCAGGGAAAAGTAAAACCTTTTAATTTTTACCCACTCAAAGTTTTCACATATCTCGTCTATGTCCGTCCTTGCAAGAATGAAAAAAGGGGATGGAGGTGAGTTTAGTAGGAGAAAACTCTCTATGCATGTATTTTTGCGCGCGTTCAATGAAATATCCCATTTATGCACAAATGTCTTTGCAAATATCTTATAAAAGGTTGTATATATATATATATATATATATATATATATATATATAACCCTTTGGAGATGCTGCTAATTTTTTTTTTTTTTTTTTTCTTCTGTGGTTTTTTGCATGTGTAATAATTTTTCCTTACTCTCCACGTAGAATATTCTTCGCTGACTCGACACATAGGTGTTCGTTTTTCCATGACTTGAACCGTTTTAATTTATCAATACTGAGGTCAAAATATTGAAAAATTTTCTTAACATTTCCATCTTCATTGCTATTACTGGATATTATCATTTCCTCATACACGTCAAAATGAATTTTTAGCGAAATTTCGGAATTTATGCAAAACACAAAAATCATCAGTAAGGTATCCGTGGGAAATCCTTCAAATTGAGGGGAGGTAGGGAAGGGTGGGTGGGGTTAAATAGCAATCATTAGTGTTAGAACGGATCACATTGGAAGGGATGACTTTGGAATGGATCACACTGGAATGGATCACATTATACGCGCTAGCATTATACGTGCTAGTATTATACGTCCTAGCATTATACACCCTAGTATTAGACGTGGTAGCTCAGGGAGATATGGTGGTGGAAGCAAGAGTTGCCCTCGAAGGAACAATCGTGTTAGGAATTCAGCGCGGTAGTTTTCTCGCTGTGGAAAAAGAGATTGGATTACCCTTGACGTATACATACTGAATGAAGGTGTAGTTGAAAATGAAATCCAAAGCATTGTATATGGGGTGAACATAGGGAGACATCTCTGTACAGGAAATGATATCATCATCTTTCAAAATGTCATAAACATAAAAAGAATACTGTTTAGTGTTTACATTAATAAGGAATAAATATTTGATAAATTGGACAAATATGTTTTGAAATAGATTTTTGTTAAATTGTGTATCCTTAAAAATTAATAAAATAGTGACAAAGGGTAGGGAAAAAAATTGTTTTTCTTGATTTAAAAAATATTTTAACTTGTAATTCTTATGCAATTTTTTAAAAAGTTCAATTTTTTGTTGTAAATTATATTTGATTAGTAAGTCCACATTAATGTACTTATTTAAAAAATGGAAATCAAATAAATTTTCAATATTATACAAATTTGTATTGTATATTTTTGCAAATAAAGAATAGTAATAACCTTGTTCCTTTTCATATGGTATGATAATTAACTTATTTTCAAATAAATATTGAAATGTTTGTTTTATTTCTTGCATTATTAGATCTTTACTATTTATTACGTTATTACTATTTGTGTTACTTTTTTTTTCATCCCTTTTGTTTATTTTAAAAAATTTAAGGGTATACAAAGACAGAAAGTCAAACATATCCTTTTTTGTTTTGATCAGATTTAATTCGATAAATTCAATGATAAATTTGCATAGTTGGAAATTGTGAAGTTTTGTTTTCAGATTACACACGTCCACATCGTCTTTTAAAATTCTTTCCATGCACGTCTTATCACATGATGCTAAGAATATCAGCACCTTCCCATCACAATCAATATCGTAGTCCTTTACTTCCCCCCTTCCAATGCACACTTTCTCTTGGTCCTCAGGGTTCCCTCGCCCCTTCCTCAAGCCACTATTCTGACCGCTGTTCAGGCAACTTTTCGAGCCACTGTTCTGGCAACTTTTCGAGCCACTGTTCAGGCAACTTTTCGAGCCACTGTTCTGGCAACTTTTCGAGCCACTGTTCTGGCAACTTTTCGAGCCACTGTTCTGGCAACTTTTCGAGCCACTGTTCTGACCACTGTTCAGGCAGCTATTCAGACAACTTTTCGAGCCACTGTTCTGACCACTGTTCAGGCAGCTCTTCGGGCTACTGCTTAGAACATCGTTCAGATCACCGCTTCGACAGATTCGACAGATTCGACAGATTCGGCAGCTTCCACAGCTTCCACCATTCCCACCACTTCCACCAATTCCACCGGCACACTCGGGTGTAGTCCCCGCTTGATGAACCTTCTTTATGCGTCCGCACCTTCCAGCTATTTGCACAATCTGATCCTTCGTCAAGAAGGCTTTGCCTAATCTTAAGCTTCTAATAATCACTGTGTGCACATTAAAATTGACCCCCACAGATAAAGTAGTTGTGCAACAAAGACAGAAAAGTATGTTATTTCTGAAAGCACTTTCTATGATTTCCTTTTCATTTTTATCCAGCTCCGAGTGGTGATATAAAATCCCAGCGAGAATAAATTTTTCGACGTCTGGTATTTTTACACTCATCTCCTTTAATTCCTTTATAAGCTTCATTCTTTTTTCAAGCAATTGGCCATCCACTTTATAATTTTTATTTTTCAAATAATACGGCATAATATTGCTTATGAAAGAAGCAATTTGTTCACTTTTTTTTTTTGTCGGGCAAAATATCAAAACATTTCTCTGAAGAATTAATTCTTCGCTTAGCAAGAAAACCAAGTGGTCTGGGTCTAGATAGAATGGAACATCCAGAGTTCTTTCCAGTTCTTTCTTATGTATATCTTTATATATTGCATTTTCTATTTTGTACAGGTACTTAATTTTTTGTAATTTCTCTTTACTCACGTATACCTTAGCGTCTAGCCATTCTCCGATCTGCGAAAAAGAAAAAAAATAAAATAAAATAAAAAATATTGCAAAAAAATGTTGCAAAAAAATGGGGAAATGTTCAAAGCAAAACTAGTGATATGAACTAGCCAAATTTTACACATGAAAAAAAAAAAAAAATCCTTAAAATGGAAATAATGTGCAAAATCGTATGAACGACAAGGCAAAAACTAGCCATTCTAACAGAACGAAGGAAACTTTATAAAAACCACGTAAAAGACGTGTGTGAAGTAGCTAGATATAAAAAAAACTTCGATGTGTACCTGATCTACATTTGACAAAGTTGCAGAAAAACCACATGCTCTTATATTAAAAATGCTTTCGCAATTCTTTTGAATGTATTTAATTTTTGTTAATAGCGACTCTATAAAATATCCGCGTTGCATGTCATTTATGTAATGAATTTCATCAATGATAAATATATAATTGCATTTTAAATTATTTTTAATAATAATGTTTAGTATAATATTTGCCTGTTCATATGTGCATAAGGCAATATCGGTTGATAGACTGTAGGAATATCCTGTAAAATTGAAACTATTAAACTTTTTTATATTTAAAGACACGGTGTTTTCACCAAGTAATTTTTCATAATAGTCATTCTTTTCATTAATCAAAGATACTGTGGGTAGGGTTAAAATGACTCTGTACCCTTTATATAAAACCAGACGAATAATTAGAATGTCATAAATTATTGTCTTCCCCATACCTGTTGGTATGTTAAATAAAAAATTCTTGTAAAAAAAATTGTTCTTTGTGATGTTGTTCATGTATATGATGTTCCATTTCTCATCATAAATGTTTACATTTCTTTCTCTTCTTTGTCCATTTTGTGTACATAACATTTGTCTCCTCTCTTCCTGATCTTCGTCTCGTTGTCTAAATTCCTTCTCAAATGGAATGAAAAAATCAGAATTTAATATATAGTCTATATTCTTTGCATTGCACTCTTCGTTCCTTATTTCCTCCATTTTATTGTGTATGTCATTTTCCACCTGTTCGTTTTGAAGTATATTCCTCAAGCATTCCGCTTGTTCCTTGTAAAGTTCGTATATTCCTAATTGGTTGTATTCTCTGCAGGAATCAGCAGTAGGTGTGTGGTGTGCTTTTGAGTCATGCGTTTGAGGTCACGTTAGAGAGGGCAGATGAGCGAAACGATTTGCCTTCCTGGGAGATATCTACTTGGGAATATCGATCCGTTTGTAGAAAAGAGGAAAATACTTACGTTATAATGGATGGGGGGATACAATAGTACTCAAACATCTTTTCGTCGAAATTTCTTTCCTCTTCATTTTTCTTCAGTCCATTCACTATTCTATACATCAACTTTACATCGTTTATACATGACTTGATACCTGTCTCTAGTAAGGGGAATTTGGGGTGCCGGATGAATTGACTTGAATAGAGGTAACAAAAAAAAAAAAAAAAAAACAATTACAAACAACAAACAACAAATATACATTGCTAAAAAATAATAAAATTCGCTTTCTGTTAATTTTAACCAAGTCTTTATTTTTTTTTACTTGATATTTTTAATTCGTTCAGAATGCGGTTGTCCACTTGCACAACATCTTTGTAGTTAGACTGATCAAAAAAAAAAAAAATAAATAAAATAAATAGATAGATAAATAGAGAGATAAATAGAGAGATAAATAGAGAGATAAATAGAGAGATAGATAGAGAGATAAATAGAGAGATAAATAGAGAGATAGATAGAGAGATAAATAGAGAGATAAATAGAGAGATAAATAGAGAGATAGATAGAGAGATAAATAGAGAGATAAATAGAGAGATAAATAGAGAGATAAATAGAGAGATAAATAGAGAGATAAATAGAGAGATAAATAGAGAGATAAATAGAGAGATAAATAGAGAGATAGATAGAGAGATAGATAGAGAGATAAATAGAGAGATAGATAGAGAGATAAATAGAGAGATAGATAGAGAGATAAATAGAGAGATAATATATATATATTTTAATTTTCGCGTATGGGTGCGTGCATTAGTATGAAGAGATCAGTCTGAAAAATAGAGAGATATAAATAGAGAGATAAATAGAGAGATAAATAGAGAGATAAATAGAGAGATAAATAGAGATATAAATAGAGAGATAAATAGAGAGATAAATAGAGAGATAGATAGAGAGATAGATAGAGAGATAAATAGAGAGATAGATAGAGAGATAAATAGAGAGATAGATAGAGAGATAAATAGAGAGATAAATAGAGAGATAAATAGAGAGATAAATAGAGAGATAAATAGAGAGATAAATAGAGAGATAAATAGAGAGATAAATAGAGAGATAAATAGAGAGATAAATAGAGAGATAAATAGAGAGATAAATAGAGAGATAAATAGAGAGATAAATAGAGAGATAAATAGAGAGATAAATAGAGAGATAAATAGAGAGATAAATAGAGAGATAGATAGAGAGATAAATAGAGAGATAGATAGAGAGATAAATAGAGAGATAAATAGAGAGATAAATAGAGAGATAAATAGAGAGATAAATAGAGAGATAAATAGAGATATAAATAGAGAGATAAATAGAGAGATAAATAGAGAGATAAATAGAGAGATAAATAGAGAGATAAATAGAGAGATAAATAGAGAGATAGATAGAGAGATAGATAGAGAGATAAATAGAGAGATAGATAGAGAGATAAATAGAGAGATAGATAGAGAGATAAATAGAGAGATAATATATATATATTTTAATTTTCGCGTATGGGTGCGTGCATTAGTATGAAGGAGCATGTTTCTGCAAACGCTGGAAATCACCTTAACCGTTAAGGTGATTTTTTATTTTATTCTATTCTGTAGCACACACCCCTAGGTGTATACTCTTTCGACTTTGCTAACATTTGTATAAATACGTCCAGATAATGAAACATATATTAACTGATGCTTGTGCTTGTAATTTTTTTTCTTATAAATTCCTAATCTGCAGAAGGGAAAGGTTGTTAAATCGGTTATATGTTGTAACGGAACGGTAAAAAGGTTAAAGCGAAAATGAGAACTTTGTGTGTGAACAAAATAGTATGACGTGGCAAGGTTAAAAAAAAAAAAAACAGGGTTGTCTCTTTTTAATTTTAGTCAAGTAGACAAAATGGGAAAAAAAAAAAAAAAAAAAAAACATTTTCAAAGGAAAGAAATGGTTGTATTAAGTTTAGTTAAAACTTTTGTCTTATAATTTGCAAATAAGTGTACAATTTTATTCTTTTTTTTTTTTTTTTTACATTCTGTATATTTGACATAATGCACACGTTTTGTATTTTTTTCCGATATAACCTCCTATGGCACACGAAAGAATTTGCCTTTTTTTCTTTTTTGCTTTTGCTTGATGGAAACATGGTTACACTTTATCTTTAAAAGGGCAGTAAAAATAGTGTGAAAGAGGACGCAAGCCCAGAAAATGTGATGAAAATAGAGGTGAAAATGAAATAAAAGCAAATCAGGTCAAATGAAACCAAATCAACGAGGTCAAATGAAACCAAATCAACGAGGTCAAATGAAACCAAACCAATGAGGTCAAATGAAACCAAACCAACGAGGTCAAATGAAACCAAACCAACGAGGTCAAATGAAATAAAATAAAATCATGTCAAATGAAACCAAATAAAATCATGTCAAATGAAACCAAATCAAATCATGTCAAATGAAACCAAATCAAATAAAACAATGTAAAAGTAAAGGAAAAAATGTGTAAAAAAAAAAACCAAATGAACAGAGTAATAATAAAAGCCTTTGTCCAGCTTGCGTAATATGACACACTTGTGTGCAAAAAAATAAAATAAAATAAAATAATAAATAAATCAATAAATCAATAAATAAATAAAAGTAAAAATAGTGGGATTGAAAGGAAATTAGCAAAAGTTCATATTGTTAGAACTTCTTTCATTAGAACGCGTTGTGGATGGACAAATTGGAAAATGTCAAACCGGTAGAGAAAGGATGTCAATTTGGTAATGAAGTGTAATAAAGGAATACGTCTTTTTCTTTTTTTTTTTATGGTATTTCTCCTTTTCTTTTTTCTGTTTCTTTTTTTTTTTTTTTTTTTTTTTTTTTTTTTTTTTTTTTTTTTTTTTTTTTTTTTGGCTCATATTCGTTGCTCTGAAGAGAATACAATTCATTTATGTAAAAGCCTTGGCTCAAGTTCTTGGTTGTTGTCCTCAGCCTATTTTAAAAATTTTCATTAACTATAAAATGTACTTGGCTATTTTCCCCTATTCGTTAAACAAGTGTATAGCAAAAAAAAGAAAAAAAAAAAAAGGGAAAAGAAAAAAAGAAATGCATAACTTGGGCTTAGCTAGCCGACAATTGTGCATATGTGTCCATTCCAACTAAAAGTTCTTAGGATTGTGCATACAAATTATTTATTTTATGAACCTTTGAAGTGACCACTATTTTTTTTTTTTTTTTTTTTTTTTTTTTCACATTGCACCTTATACGAGAAGGGAACCTCCTCCTGAAGTTGCGAAAAAAATAAAGAAAAAAAATTAAACAAATCGACCTTTTTTCCCCAACTTTTTTGCCAAATTTTGACATAAGCTAAGCAAATACTGTCAAGCGTACAGATACCACATCGCGTATATTAAATATAAAAAAAAAAAAAAAAAAAAAAAAGCCTTCATATATATCTTTGCAACAGCAGCATGATCGAGAATAATTGAAATGTAGTTGACAAAGAGGAAAGCGAAGAGATATGTAAAAAATATTAGATCGACATCTACAAGAAGGGACATATTTTTTATTTTTCACTGAATGAGAGATTGTCAAAGAAGAAGAAGTTTTAGTACTGGAAATAACAGAACGAAGAAATGTACAACGGAACATGGAAAAAGAGGGAGAAGATCAAGCAGGGACGAGCATAATGGTACTCACCCCGTGAAAACAAAATGAGTGAAACAAAATGAGTGAAACAATGTGAGTGAAACAAAGTGAGTTGCTTGGTGAGTACCTGGGGGTAAATATTCCTCTAATATTTGGTGACTCTCTATATGATTGGAAGATAGTAGACCAAATTTGCAACTCACGTGAGCACGCTAAAGGATGCATATTTATGTACATATATGTACATATATATATTTCCCTTCTTTTGCAAAATCGGAAAAATTCACCGTGTGGAAACAATTTTTTATAATTGAGTGATATCCACCTAGAGTGTGTTCAACTTACACATAACCAAATTGTTAATCATGAGAATTTTTTTTTTTTTTTTACACTTCATTGAATTGATCAGTGCGTGTGTTGCTTTGCACGTCCTAATAAGCCAATCCAGTACAGTTATCTCCTTTTTTTTCCCCTTTGTTCATAGGATGATGCATCAGAACAGAACGCGAAGACGACATTCTTTGATGATGGAAAATCAATAGAATTGAAAAAAGACAAAAAAAGGGATGAATCTATAAGTAACAAGAATGAAGAGATAAAAAACCAAGTCAAATTGTACAATGTAAATATTAACAATGAAACTGAATCAGTTATGTATATAAATATGAGGAAAAGAAAAATTATGAATCCCGATGACGATTATTATTCTGTGAAAATTCCTAAATTTATAAATGTATGCCCTAATATAAGACACATCAGTCCAAGGGAAAGGGAGATATTCACAGATGTGATTGGGCATGCAGATTCATCCTTGGACAATGAGAGTGAATCGATAGACATACAAATGAATAAAACGTCTAACCATTTGGCAAAAGGAGAAAAATCCATTATCTCGTGGTGTTTTGATGAAGATACATACAAGAAGATAAAAAATGCAAAGAATGGCACATGTGATGAGGACCCACCGAATGATAATCTAATGGATATTCTTAACAAAACAGTTGTAAAGGAATGGATGAAAGAAAAGTGTATAAAAGGAGAATCTCGGAATGAAGAGGAAGCAACGGGTAGAAAGGAAACAATACTTGTAGATCATACGGACGATAGCGATATGTCATATTTGACAGATGATGATTTATCAGATTTTGCAAATGTGGAAGAATTTTACGAGTGTTATCAAGTGACGAAAAATTGTCATGATATGATGAGCGCGCCGAATATGGATCCAAATGATAAGGTGAACATTCTGTGTAATAATATGAAATATATGGATACAAATTCCTTTATTGCTGAATATGAAGATGGGAAATTAATTTTTTTTATAAATGAAAAACCATATATTTTGGAACATGACAAAGAGACCAATTATCTCATTGAAAGTACAGAAATGAATATGATGCCTATTCATTGCAAGTTGGAAAAAAAGTTTTTTATTAAGTCGATCACACGGGATGAGCAAAATATTTCTCCCCCAAAAAATTTGAAATTGAAAAATACCGACATATATTATTCTCTTTACCCTGTTAAGAAGTGAATTTTTTTTTTTTTTTTTTTTTTTTTTTCTCGCACAGCATACATGATCATATTGTTAGCATAAGTAATTCTCAGGTGAGAAGGATTATACCCCTCTCCTCTCTGTGGTCAAAAATTATATTTATTTTTTATAAGTTCTTATCCGTGCTTTGGAGGGTATTTCCACGGACTATCTGATCTGGTAACATGCACACATATAATGTGTATTCTTTTTGTGTATATCTACGCGTATGTATATCCATGCCCAGTGCTCAAGGGTGGTGGGGCAGTACATGTCTACTAAAATTCAGTCACATCAGTTTATTATAGGCCATCCACCCCTCTCGAAATTATATAAATCTTTTACTTCCCCACAAAATGGTTTTGCAGAATTGGTTAATGGGAAGATAAATATGAGAGAAGAAAGGAAATGGGAAATGTGTACTAAAACATATGCTTATTTATCTGCTTGTCTCAGTTGTACTTCTCTTGCATTTGTTACAGTGGAATGTATGATTCTCATGTAAGAGGTTAAAAGTGTACAATTATATTTATAAAGTTTCACATACTTTTTTGTACACATGCACATTTGAACATGCTTCATTTTTGGCTTAAACAGAAAAATGGGATTGTTTATTTGAAGAAACAGTAGAGGAAGCTACAGTAGTAGGATTCTTCTCCTAATTACCCTATATTTTGTCACCCTTTTTTTTTTTAGCCCTTACATTTGGCTCTACTTTTTGATCACACGTGAAAATATTTATTTCGTCATATTTTCATTTATTTTGTTTTTTCTCAGCATCATGTACATTCATTAGTAGTAGCATGGATGATATACCACTTTTGTCCACTTTTAGTAACTTATTTTTGTACGAATTTTGGCTATTCTTTTTTTTTTTTTTTTCCTAATTTTGTATATACACAAGAATTATTCGTTTTTCTCCACATAATTATATATCTCGTGTGTCACACACACACACACAAATCGTGTTTTTTTTTTTTTTTTTTTTTTTTTTTTTTTGCATATACTTGTGTTTTTGTTCCTCATTCATGGAAGAAATCATTTTAATAATAATAGAAAAAAAAAAAAAAAGAAAATTATATCCCAATTTGTGCATAACAAAAAATGTGTTTCAAGTTAGTAATATAAAGTGGCTACTTAAATATATTGAATTTTTTCCGTTTTTCTTAATTTGAATAGTGGCCAAGTGTGTGCCACGTGGTAGATATTTGAAAAAGGGTTGGTTAGCACACTTCGAATAAAGAGGTGGAAAAAGTGTAAGCAAAAAAGCATAGCAAAAATGTAACAGTTTCGACAGATCTTATGTGTCCTTAGGTACCTTTTTTTCTTTTTTTTTTTTTTTTTTTTTTGTTGGCAATTTACTAATCAAGCGAGGTAAGCTTACCTATTTGGAACAACTTGCATAACGCAAATGTTTACACAAAAAAATAAAATAAAATAAAATGAACCGAACTGAACTGAACTAAACTATACTAAACTGAGTGAAGTGACAAAGTGAAGGAGAAAAAAATAAGATCATCCTTCTTTTTTTTTTTTTTTTTCCCCTTCACATGCGCTGCCACAGCAAAGGAGAAACGAAAATGATACGGCCTACGAAATTGTTAATTGCAATTGGCCCCATCCATCACATGACATATTTCTCTCATTCTAGTTAACTAAATTTTGCATCCTTCACGTAACACCTGCTGCTACAAGCCATACAGGAGAGTGACACAAGAAGGGAACAATTTTCCATTTCTCGAACTGAAGCATCTGCACATGCATGCGTACAGGCACGAACAATTGTGCATAAGGTTATACAAGCACACATCTCCACATTTTTGCAACCCCATGCAATGGATTTCATAAAAGAGCAATATAACAGCATTGTGCTAGAACTTAAAAAGACTTTCAGAAACCCTAGAGATGGCATATCACATATATTGAACGTAGCATGCTTGCTCTTGAATGCTTTGATGATATGGAAGCTTCTCGTTGTTCTTACAGGTATGTAAAATTCTACTTTCCTCGTAAACACATCAGGTGACATTGTTATAGTTGATGCAAAGAGGTGTTGGCGAGGTGGAGTTATACACCTAATTGTTCGCACTCCTCAGCTGAGCAGCCTTTAAGGCCGTTTTTGGGGCAGTTTTTGTGTCAATTTTTATGGCAATTTTTGTGTCAATTTTTAACGCTACTTTTTGTGAGCAGACCGCAGGACTAACTATTTTACCTTGTCGTTCATGTGAAAATGGAAAAAAGAATATATACGATATTCTTGTTTTTTCATTTATTTATTTATTTTTTTTTTTGTCGCACAATTCAGGCTGTGAGTCACCAGTTGTTGTAGTACTGAGTGGTAGCATGGAACCAGGCTATTTCAGAGGAGACACATTGGCATTGTATCATCCACCTAACATTCATGCAGGTGATGTTGTGGTTTACCAAATAAATGGAAGAGATATCCCCATTGTGCACAGGATATTAAACATTCACATTTCTAAAGATAACAAATTTCATTTATTATCAAAAGGTGACAATAACAACATTGACGACAGAGGATTATATGAGCCTAATCAATACTGGTTGGAGAATGAACATGTTCTTGGTCTTTCAGTTGGTTATGCACCATACATTGGTATCTTAACTATATGGGTTAATGAATATCCCGCTATGAAATGGGGAATCGTGTCTCTCATGCTGTTCATGATATTACTTGGGTATGAGTGAAATGGGTAAAACGAATTTATAATTATTAACCAAGTGTCTTTTTTTTTTTTTTGCCTGAACGTTCAGGTAAAAGTGCAATTTTAATTTTTTTTTTTTTTTTTTTTCAATCATATTCGTTAATACTGCTTATCAGCTAACTGTTTTGATTTATTCATTTCTTCGTAAACTCCCCACTTTGTACATTTAAAAAATTTAATAGCACAAATGCTTCTTCTACCCACAACCTATTTTATATTTTGAATATGATTTCATATACATGTTTTGGTTACTCGTCTAACATGATTCTTTTTTCATTGTAAAGACGTATATATAATTAACAAGTTGATAATAAACGTTGCTTTTTTTTTTTTTTTTTTTTTTTTTTTCACTGAAAACCGACGTGTGTCTAGTTTTTTTTTTTACCCTTTTTCTAGGTGTTGTTACATTTTGAATTTTTATATTTTTTTTTTTTTTTTTCATCAGTGCAGCTTTGTATCAGTGTATTTCTTTCCCACTTTTTTTTTTTTTTTCATCTAAAAAAAGGAAAAAATAAACTCGAAAAAAAAGTGCTTAAAAATAAGGCAGTTATAAGTGAAAAGTTTACGAGTAAATACTTAAATTTTTAATCAAAGATCCTCAACATGGAATATTGGAGAAAAAAAAAAAAAATCATTCTTATATCCATGTATTTTTAACTTGCTACTCTGATGGGAGAAAAACTGTGTTATAGTATGAACTAAACGTATGTCTAAAGTGTTACGCAAAAGGGATGGAAAATAAAATAAAGAGGTGGGCGGGAATCCTCAGCTCTTACAAATGTTAACAATGAAAATGTGTTAATGATGGTATTTTCAAGTATATCTGTACATTTGTAAAAGCTGCAGCAACCCATCTACCCTTTTTTTTTTTTTTTTTTTTTTTTTTTTCCCATTTACATACATGTATATATAATAATATATGTACTTTCCTGTGTATTTACACTATGCATAGGTTTGTTCAAAAGTGGGGCTATGTAGTGTATGCCTCAAGTGTGTATCCATAAGGCGGAGAAAATTACGACAGGTGTATACTTGGATATGTTAACATGTGTATCCTATTCATGTATCTCCTTTTTCTGCACAATCGAATAAATGCATATATTCCAGAAAATCCCTAGTTAGAATTTGAATAATTTGACTTCACTTCCTCAAATGTTCTTGGACAAGTTAGGTGATAATTCGTAAACATGTGATATATATATATATATATATATATATATATATATATCTTTGCTGTGAATTTTTTTTTTTTGTTTTTTTTTGTTCATGTGTTGTGATATGCTGTGCGCAGGAGTACATTATATTATATTTCTTTGCACTGTACTTCACTGTATTGCACTTTCTTTTTTTTTTTTTTTTTCCCCTTTGGATTTACCGTTGTTAAAAGACAACTGCAGATTTGCAGCTGCCTACAAAGAACGGAATCCAGAATTGTGTTACACCCCTGTTCCATTGTCCCTTGTGTAACAGTTCAAACTGTGTTTAGAGAGACTACATCACGTTATCATTTCTGCACCTGAAAATGCATAATGGATACGTTTTGATGCTAATTGCGATTGTAGGGGGGTGGTCAGATCGCTTTTTTTTTTTTTCCTGTACCGTTAAGAATTATAATGACAAAACGGATAGTGCGTTAAGCTCAAGTGGAATTTTAAAAAATATAGTTAAGCACGCACCTAGAATAAGCGCTAAGGAGATAAATGAAAGTGAAATAAAAATAGCGAAAATGGCACATGAAGACGAAAATAGAAGACTTGAAAAAATGGAGAAATGTGTAAAAGATTATACATTACCTTGCCCAAAATTTTGGGAAAAAAAAATTATGAACAAGTCAGAAAATGTGTGCATAGCTAGTTCAGGATATAACGGATTTTGTGACCCTCTTCAATCATTTGACAATTTTACACAAAATGAAAAAATGGAATTTGAAACAAGTTGTAATGTAGAATGGGGTTGTAAAAATGTAGTGAAAGATTCATGTGAAAGTGGAAAAAGAAATTATAATGAACCTTGTCCAGAAGGTTTTATATTACAAAATGACAATACTTGTAAGGCTGATATAACTGTTTATAAAGGTATGTGCAGTACTGATAAAATAAATTTTAGTTACCTGACCAGTTCAGAAAAAAAAAATTGGAGTGTTGCATGTGAAGCTTATTGGCCATGTTATATCAACTGCACATCGAATAACCATTTTTTATCGACATGTCCATCAAATTGGAGACAAATAAATACATATGAATGTGTACCACCTGAGAGTTACAAAGGACCATGTAAAAAAGCAAAAAATTTTAAATTTTTTACAAAATCGATGAAAATTAAATTTGAAGAAAAATGTAAAGTTACATTTGAATGCCATCAATTTTGTGAAAAAAATTATGAACAGGAAGAATGTCCATTAAATTGGATAAAAGAAAAGGGATATTGTTTAGCCCCAAAATCTTTTGACATGTGTGATAAAAAAAAATTATCCTACGAAAATTTAACAAAAAAGGAAAAAGAAAATTTTGAGAGTGAATGTTCAGTTCATTGGCCTTGTCAAAAAACTCATTTCTGTGAAATGAATTGGAATTCTGAATGTCCTCTTAATTGGAAAAAGGATATACAAAAAGAACGGAATACTCAAAGCAGTTATGTCTGTATTGTTGATTCATCAATGTATGAAGGAAAATGTACACATATTTCTCTTCCAAATACAGCGGATGAAGAAACAAAAAGAGAGTTGGCTTCCATGTGTGATACCCCTTGGCCTTGTCTCCATACACATATCAATGGGGAGAATAAATTGTCTCCATCAGATTATAAACTGAATGAACATGTAGTATACACAAATGAAAATGGACCTCTAACATATGAAGGAGGGGTACGCCCAGTGCGTCGTACACCTGTCTATCACATAGTTGATGAACAGAGGGATTTTTCCTTTTCAGATATCATGAGGTAAAAAAAAAGATGTTGTGATAAACATGTGATTATATCTAGAAAGTTTGCCGTATATGAAAAATGTTCTTTTGCAAATGAGTGCTCTTTTAAAAACGTTTGAAATTATGTTCAGAAAAAGTTCCCTTTTGGGGTGGGTGGTATAGCAAAGATGGGAAATGTTATGCTACACACACAGGCATGCACATGTTTGTGCGAAGGTATGATAACTCAATGTTGTAACTGTATGGTGGAATGACTGTGTAGCTTCATAACTACGTATATTTGCATCCACAACATATTCGAAGAAGGAAAGTTACCACTCCATTTTTGTAGAAAGATGTAAGTGTGTATGTGTGTGTGTGCGTTTTTGTGAAGCATTAACCTGTTAACCTTAACGAAAAATTCAAAATGAAGAATTTGAGGGAGGGAAATTATGATTCTCACATGTTGTATTATAAAATCTATTTATGTACAATTTTTTTTTTTTTTTTTTTTTTTGTAATTTTAACTCACTGTTATAAATTACCATTTGTAATGAGATGAAAAGGGTTAACACATTTTATGTAACATATAGCTTGTTGCGACAGGAAATGATGTGATGAAAAAAAAAAATAAAATAAAATAATTAACAGACTGTGTACTTTTATACATTTTATGTGTACATAAAAAATCGTCTTCTTTGTGCAAAAGTGGAGTTTCTTTATTGTGTCATATATATATAATAAAAGAAGCGAGATTTATGCGACGTGTTGCCATTTTGAAAAACTCTACTTTTATCCACATGTGTAGGAAACTTCAAGAGAAAATAATGTAATAAACTGGGTATGTACACAAAAGGTATCAACGTTGCTACAGAGGCACTAGAAAAATGTTCCCCTCTGAAAGGAGCGAATGTGTGTGTGTTTGTGTGCGTGTGGGGTGGCGATATATTCTTTTCATTTTCCATCATTTGTCCGAAACATATTTGTGCAAATCTGTTAAGCTTTCACGACAGATGTGAAGAATATTTCACAAAAGAGAAAATGAATGATGAAGAAATAAACAAATAAATAAGTGAAGAAATAAATAAGTGAATGAATAAACAAATAAATAAATGAATGAATAGAATAAACTTTTAGTGGACTACTTCCCATTGTGAATTTTCCCATTTTAAACGTCACGCACATGCAAAAATTTGACATTTTGAAGGAGAAAAAAAAAAAAAAAAAAAATACAATTTTCAAACGCGTGCTGCACAGTTATCGCTTTAAAAAAGAGTCAACGACAACCGAGTTGGCGTAGAGGTGGGAAAGCAAATCAAAAAAAGGAAAAGGCGAAAAGGTGAAAAAATCTTACAAGTAGGTGAAACGTTGAAACGCTGAAAATTACCTAATAACCAGAAAGACCAAAGCAGCAAAAATCGAAAAAAAAAAAAAAAAGAAAAAAAGAAAAAAGAAAAAAGAAAAAAAATCACACCGGGAAAACAGACCGAAGAGCGGGAAGGGGTTATAAAAAATATAAAACTTCTCTTCAAATTTCCATTTATTATTTTTCTGTTGGACATTTTTCCACGAATTTGTAATTTTTAGGAGCTCCATTTGGGAGGAATAACACCCAGAGGGGTGAAAAAATCCCCAAAAAAAAAAAAAAAATTAAAACACAAATCAAAGCAGAACAGACTAAACCAAGGCCAGACGAAGCACAACATCAATCGACGCAGCACACGAGGCAAGTGGTTCCCCCAGAGCAGTGGTGCATAAAAAGACGAACTTTTTCTTTTTTTTTTTTTTTTTTTTTTTTTTTTCCTCCCCCATCACCCATCCATGTACCCATCTTCAGTTGAGAAATGTAGGATGGAAAACATGACAAAATTGGAAATAAGTAAACAGAGAGAAGAAAGGGAAGACTCAAATAGAGAAAGCAAAACGTCTTATGGTGACTTTATCGAATTGCGAAACAAGATTATACAAAAGGAAAAGGAAATTCTTGAAAAGAAAAAAAAAAAAAAAAAAAGTTATTCAGAAAATGGACAAGAAGCAGGAAAAGTAGAAAAAGATGGACAAGATGAAGAAGAATTAGAAGAAAAGGGAAAAGTTATGTACAGAACTTTTGATGAATTTTATAAATATAAAAAAGATTTCGAGGAACATGAAGTTAAAGCTAAGAATGATGCGATAAAGTCATTAAGTAAATGCAACAAGGAAAGAAATGTTGCATGTGATCCCGATACAAGCGGTTACAACAATGAAAAATATTCATATATTAAATTTAAGACAGAAAGACAAGGTACGGTCAAGCAACTAAAGGAATATTTTCAGAAAATTCAAGATTGTAATACGCAAAAAAGAAATAATGATATGTTTCTTAAGAAAGATAAAAGGGGAACAGTATCAGTCACTGATAAATCTAACAAATCGAACAAATCGAACAAATCTGACGATCATGAAAAAAAAAATTTCAACACCACTTTGGAAAGAGCAGAAAATGAGAAGAAATGTTACTCCACTGAAGATGATATTAACACTACATTACATCTATGTGTTCATAACAAAGGAATGCAAAATAAAACATTACTGGAACCTCTACATTCATTAAATAGCTCATCAATTTTGATAAAGCAGAAGAATGTCACAGAGGACACGGAAATTATACAGGAAACAGTTAACAAAATAGACAATCATAAGAATAAAAGCAGCGACGAATTTGAACAGATGGATATTGAGGAAATAGAACTACTATATAACCTTATAAGCGAGATGAAAAAAAGCCATGATAATGGGGAAGACTACATCTCCAATTTGATTGAAGAATTGCATAACTCCAATAAGAGTTACATGATTCAGAAAATTCACAACATGTTGAAATTTTTCGATAATAAAATGACATCTGAACAGGGAAAAAAGCCATTTGATGGACATTCTTCCGTTTTACCTCAAGTGGGGAGAAGTAAGACTGAAGGGAAAAGAAACCCATCAGATGAACTCATAAATAGGAACATTAATATCAACACGAATATGAATGCAGAACCCGTGGATAAAACAAACGAAGTAGACGCAGTTGAAATTAAAAAGAATAAACATATCCAATTGGGAAATAAAATATATCTAGCGAATACAAATAGTGAATCGCTAGATAAAAATAAAATGAATGAAAGCTATCGTACGATTCCTACAAAAGATACAAAAATAATTGAAACCATAAATAAAGAACAGGAGAGGAAAAAAAATCAATTGATAAATACTTCCAGTCCTGTGTATATGAAAATAAAAAAATATAACAGTGTTTTTCAGGATGCACAATCCAAACGTGATTTTCCCCGGACACTTAAAACGGGTGTTGACACTGGTGCTGAGTATGTTGATCCAACAACGGAACAAAACAAGGGGACACTGGACGATAACTTAAGCGACGAGGCAAAAAGGGAGGTAAAAAATGAGGAAAAAAATGAGACAAGTAACGAGGAAAGTAACGAGACGATCAATGAAACGAGCTATGAAACAATTAATGAAACGAGCTATGAGACAATTAATGAAGTGAACAAAGAAAAGAACAACAGTGACAATAATGTAACAACGGAATCTCCCAATGATAGCGCAATAAAAAATGAGGGAAATCACGCAAGCAAATTTGAATGGTTCTACTCCACCATGAATGAGATGTATAAATCAGATATAGCAATTGGAGAAGAAAAAGACGAACGGAATGGCGATGAAAAGGACGATCAAAATGAATACTCATTCGAGGATAGCGAAAACAACGACCTGTTTCTATGGCTAGAAAATAGAGATGTTGAACATGTTTTAAATGGGGAAAAAAAAAACTAACGAGAGTGATACAAGTGAGGAGTGAAGATTTTGTTCTCCTTCCCATAATACCTTGAATTATGAAAATGATAATTCATCAAATAGTCGTACATTTCGAGGTTGTCTTAAAGGTGAAAACCAACGGAATATATGGGGATGATTAGAAAAATTCGCGTTAATAAGAAATCTCAAATATTTTCATTGACAAAAAAAAAAAAAAAAAAAAAAAAAAAAAAAATTAACTCTCCTTCTCTTCTCATTTTTTACCCTCTTTACATACACAACACCCTTCACGTTGCAATGCCTGCACGATATTTATTTATGCAGATATATTTGTGTATATCTATTTATCTACTCTCCATACAGGTGAAGGGTATGATAAATGAAAAAGAGAAAAAAAAAAAAATGGAGGAGTGGGAGATGTAGAGGGAGAATCAACAATGGGGAACACCCTTTTTATGAATGAAAAGAAAATTTATTTTTTTTACTTTTTTTTTTTTTTTTTTTTTTTTTTTTTTTTGACATTTGATTGAAGGGGGGAAGGGGGATATATGAAGTATATTTAAAAAAAATAGAATAAAAAAAAAAAAAAAAAAAATAGGACTTAAATTTGAATTCAATTTACCATTAGTTTCCCAAGACTTATACATATATACTTACGACATATGTATATATGTACATTCCTTTGCAAGACATATCTAGTCAAATGAATTATTTTCCTTTATCCTCTGGGGTTATATTTCTTTTAAGCCCAGTTTTTGTGTCAGCTCTATTATATCACACATTTGTTCATTAAATATTGCACACTGAACAGGGTGTGCGGTGAGAGATAAGCAAATGAGCTGAGTGTTCACTTCAGTTGTGTCGATGAGCTTATATCCGCGAGCTGTATGTTTAACAATTCGATGAGATGAACGAGGGGGAATATTTGCTTCGTATATGAGACATTGGACACATGCTTCCTAGCTCGCGGTGCAAACAATTTGACACACAAACATGAACACAAACACAAACATGAACACAAACACAAACACGTCATGTTTTCACGCTATACACATTTTTTAATCTATTTAATTCTTTTTAACGACTGCTTATCATTAACGATTGGATGTCCTTAATAATTTGTCGTTTTCCATAATCTCATGTTCCAAATAGGAGTAAAAAAAAAAAAAAAAAAAAAAAAGGTATGCAAATGTGTACATGCATGTTCTCTGATATATATGTGCGTACGAAAGAAGCCTGAACAAATACACGTACAATTATTTTTACAACGTCTTTTTGTTGCTTCGATCCAACTTTTTGTCTGTTCCCTGTTCTTCCTTTTTGCTTTTCCTGAAAAGGGAAGTGTGTAAAATATAAGCATGTAAATTCTCCATATCTATATTAATATGTAAAATGATGATGAACATAAAAAGAAAAAAAAAAAAAAAAACACAAATAAAGACAAACACTAAATGTACATTTAACGTTCATAAAATGCATGAACAGCAAGCACAATATGCAACTAAAAAAAAAAAAAAAAAAAAAAAAAAAAAAAAAAAATTGGAGAGAAAAAAACAAAAAAGAAAAAAAAAAAAAAAAAAAAAAAAAAAAAAAAAAAAAAAGATAAAAAAACAAAAAAAAAACAAAAAATGCAACTAAAAAAAAAAAAAAAAAAAAAAAAAATAAGTGCAAATTGGAGGGAAAATAGCTAGCTAGGAAAAAAAATAAAAAAAATGGAGAAAAAAAAAAAAAAAAAAGCTGTACAATTCCATTTCGGCAGAATTGGTACAACAAAATGAGCAAATTAAAAAGGTGTGCACATAGGTATACACAGACATACACATACAAAAACTTACACACACGTACACAGAGGTATACATATGTGCATAGGTGCGTGCAGCACAAGTTCAGCGAAAAATACCTCATGGCTGCCGCGTAAAGCAAAATCCCCCCTGGGATGTAAAGGATTAAGACAAATATGCAAAAGTAGTAAATGTCAATTTGGAAATTTAAATTGTTGGGCATAGAATATGGGTATGCTCTCAGAAATGGTGTGGCGTGAATGTTTTTGAGGCTAGATATAGTACAGACAACTTCTGATGTTATTCCTATTGGGTATAATATCAAGGGCACTGATGGGGAAAGAAAAAAATAATGGTGGGGGGGAAGGAAATAGGAAAAAAAAAAATATAATTAAATTAAAGTTGGGTAAAAATAGAATATAAAAAAAATTGCCACGGGGTGTAAACATGATATGTACGAGTTATCATGAATCACTAGTGTGTCATGATTTGAGAGACTTTTCTCATTCCTGGAAGAATGCTTTGTTTGGATTTTTTGCATGAGACAGTTCTTGTGCAACAACGTTTGCTTATCTTGCACAATTCTTTTGCACTTACACTTGTTCCGCAAGGATGCCAATAAATTAATGTGAAAATTCAGTAGATTCAAAGAGTAAAATAAATAGCGAATTATATCGATAAGGGCCCAACTAATTAAACAAGAAAAGATCCACTTGTTATTTTCAGGAAGGTAATTAAAAATGAGGTAAACGACAAAGAGTCGACTGCACACTTGCGTTGTTACAATGCTTACAACTGATTTGATTAAGCCTGTAAAAAGGAACGTGCGCTCGTGCATACATATATATATATATATATATATATATACATACATAAGTGTGTATGTGTGTGTGCATATGACGATCGCGTGCACGGGAAATGTTTACACCATACTGATGTACTTTGGTGTGCACTCGAAGATGTAGCGCTTTTTTGATGTCTTTGCGTAAGCAACTGGATCATACCAAAAAGTGTAAATAAAATTTCCAAAACGGCCAGAGATTGTGTTACTGTTATCAAATTTTTATAATTTGGCCAAAAGGTTTTTATAGGGTATTTCTCTTTATTAAAAACATACTGTAATGATATGAACAAAACACTTACCCACAAGGTGCAGCAAGCAACATTATAAATTAGCATACACTTATTCTTCACACTCATCTTAGCAAATATTTGGTGCGGTCTCACAAATACTCACGCTTGAACACGCATACATGTGTATATAAATATGTACACAAAATATGTATGAAAAGGTGTATGAAAAGGTGTATGAAAAGGTGTATGAAAAGGTGTATGAAAAGGTGTATGAAAAGGTGTGTGAAAAGGTGTGTGAAAGTGTGTATACATATATATATGTGTATGTACATATGTATCTCCTTATAAACTTTTGCTGTTATTAATATTTTCTAATTTGTAACTTGGCGTGGGGAAGTGTGTGTTTATATGTTATACTAAAAATGATATAAAATAAAAGGGGGACGGAGTGGGAACACAAGGCAGTTAAAAAAAGGAGAAAAGAACAGATGATGAACGAAAAAGGCATAAATTCTTAAGCCCCAAAAGAACGAAAATCTATGAACAAAAAATGGAAAGAAAAGAACAAAAAAAGAAAGCATATGAATATAAAAGCGAAAATGTATAAACGGGAAAAAACAAAAATATATTAACAAAAGAGAAAAAAAAAAAAAAAAAAAAAAAAAAAAACCAAGTACGCAAAAATTACATTAACAGTTCAGGTAAATTAGGCTCTTGTTTGGTAACAAAATGTTCGATTAAACAATATATATATTCATACACATATAGGTGAGAAGAAAACAAAATAACTATATTTTGCTTTCCCTAAAAGTGAACAATTCAAGGGACGGGCGCGTAAATTGGTCGAAAAATTAACAAGTGCTGATGTATACATACGTAATACATATACGTCGCGAGTTGGAGATTTAGCCAATTTTATTTTTCTCACCTCACTACCCTCAAAGTAAGGCCTCATATACACACACACACACCACATGAAAGTACATTGTTTATAAGAAAACGTAAGAATTCTCTAAACATAGAAAGGACTATGGAGAAAACATAGGTAGAAAATGTCCAATCCACTCTTATGTTTCTATTCTGCACGTTTATAGCACATTTGTTATGTACACCCCACCTCAAGGGAACACACAGGCGAATGTGTATTCATATACTCCTGCACGATTGAATTCCTCAATTAATTGGTTCACGCTCTTGCACATTCGAACGAGTGAGCCCATTGATATGTCACGAAGAAGCCTATCATTGAATCGTTCATAAGAAGATCTTAACATTTGTGAATGCAATAAAGAGATAAGAAAATTTTGCACAAAAATGTGTATCATCGTGCGAGGTGGGGAAAGCGGAAGAGGGTGGTGACAGTGGCAGTGATAGTGGTAGTGATAATGGCAGTGATAGTGGGCGGTTTGCTTTCCCATGCTATTCGTTCTCATCTATATGTTTCACCTTTTCACGAGAATTTTACAAAGATAGCTATTCTCATCTCATATTTGAAAGTGGGAATGGAATTATGCTTAAAAAAAAAAAAAACACACACACACATCTATGCACAAATGCAAATGTGAAGAATGATGGAGATTTTTGTGCACAATTCATCCAGTCCATTGAAATGGAATAGGATTGCATTATTTTTTTTTTTTTTTTTTTTTTTTCCAAATAATCAACATGTTGTGTTCATACAATATTCCTTGTAACTGTTACGAAAAAAAAAAAAAAAAAAAAAAAAAATTTTTTAAAAGAAATTTGTTTAAACCAAGTTCTATATTATGTGGATTTAATTCGTATACTTGTGTGTTACACCCCACCTGTAGGCACACGCATAAAAAACATTATAAATCCACGTGATTACCTATACAGGGAGGGAGATAAGCAAATTTTGTAAGATGTAAAAAAATGAAAAAAAAAAAATAATAGGGATATGGGTAAAATGTATCTTTTCTTGCAAGCATTGCATATGTGTACAGAAGAAAAAGAATTTGCATAGATATGAATCTGGGAATGGTGAAACGGTCTCTTAATTAGTTAATTAGTTAATTATTTTTTTTTTTTTTTTTTTTTTTTTTTTTATCTATTTATATTTTACTTTATTTTTTTCACGTAATAACCTCGATAATGGGTTAGGAAGCGGCCTGTTCCAACTTTTTTTTCTCTCGCAATTTCCTCTCCTCTCGCTTCATACGTCGCTCGCTTGCAATTTTTTCGCGTTTCAGTTTATCCATTTCTTTCTTCAGAAGGTCTTCTTTTTTTTTTTTCAAAGTTGTGTTATCCACAAGAGCAACGGTTAAATTGAAAACAGGGGACTCCTGGGTTGAATCCATATCTTTTGTAAAAAATCCAACCCTTTCGAATTGTATAGGATCTCCAACTTTGCAATTGATTGCATAATTTTCAACTACACCTTTATATATTTCTAATGATTTTTTGTTTATATATTTTCTCCATCCTGCATTATTATTTTGTTCTTCTTTGATAAGTTTATCTTCTTTTGAATTCTCTTCATCTTCCTTTGCACAAGTAGTAGTGTATGTAATATAATTATCATACACATTGGAATTTTCAACGACATCTTCCATCATAGTGCTATTTTTACTGTCAAATACAATGGTATTATCATCATTTGTGTTTTTTTCAACAATACCATCGTTATCATCATTTGATTCTGGGTTCGGTTTTGTAAATAATTTGTCATACATTCTAAATTCTGCAGGAATAGCATTTGATTTGGCTACCCAGTGTATAGTACTACATTTTACTTTCTTAGAATAATCTAAAGTGTTATAATTATTATTATTTACACCACTTTTACTTTCAGGTTCGTATGTACATCTTAACTCAAGAATATGATTATTTGTCTCATCTTTAACAACTTCGTTGCATGTAATGCAAAAGGCGTATCGCAACCGAACTGTTCTATTTGGGGCTAATCGGTAGAAAAGATCTGATGGATTTTCTTGGAAATCTTCTTCATCTATAAAAATTTCTTTTTCAAATTTTATTTTTCTTTGTCCCATACTTTCATTTTTAGGATGATTTAATGCAATTAAATCGTGCAAATCGAAATTTGTATCATCTAGCTTTTCCTGAAAGTTAGTAATAACAACTTTTAACGGTTTTAAAATTCCAAAAAGACGTATAGCCTTTTTATTCATATCTTCCCTTGCACATAATTCTAAGAGATCATGTGAAATCATATTTTCTCTTTTTGCAACTCCAACTTTGTTACAGAAATCTTTTATGGCATCGGGACTATATCCTCTTCTTCTCATACCTGAAATAGTTGGCATACGAGGATCATTCCAGCCGTTTACATATTTTTCATTCACTAATGTTAATAATTTTCTTTTACTCATAACCATGTATGTAACATTAAGTCTCGCAAATTCAATTTGTCTCGTTCTATATATTTGAAGTTTCTGTTGGAACCATTCATATAAAGGTCTATGTGTTTCAAATTCTAGTGTACATATAGAATGTGTAATTTTTTCAATTGAATCTGATTGTCCATGTGCAAAGTCATACATGGGATAAATAACCCATTTGTTTTTACTTTTTGGATGAATCTTATGAATAATTCTGTATAGGATTGGATCCCTCAAATTTATATTTCCTGATGACATGTCTATTTTTGCTCTCAAAACTTTTTCTCCTTCTTTAAACTCTCCTAATTTCATTTTTTCAAAAAGTTGTAAATTTTCTTCTACACTTCTATCACGGTTTGGTGAATTGACTCCGGGTTCTTTTAAATTCCCTCTATTTTTTCTTATTTCTTCAATGGATTGATCATCCACATATGCATCTCCTTGTTTTATTAGCTGAACAGCCCATTCATATAATTGATCAAAATAATCTGAGGCAAAATATAAGTGATCATGCCAATCAAATCCTAACCATTTGACATCCTCCTTAATCGATTCTATATATTGCACTTCTTCCGTTGTTGGATTTGTATCATCAAAGCGTAGATGAGTTTGACCTCCATATTTTTCTGTTAATCCGAAATTTAAACATATACTTTTTGCATGTCCCAAATGCAGATACCCATTTGGTTCAGGTGGAAATCTTGTAATTATATATGTATGTTTTTTTTTTTTTAAATCATCTTCTACAATTTGCTGTATAAAATTAGTTCTAGTAAATGAATTCATTTCTTCTTTTCTAATAGGAAAATTATTTTTTAAAAACCAAGAGTTTATATTTATATACTTGTTTGCATCACCTATTTTTTCAACTTTATTTTTTTTAAAAATACAAAAGAGTAAGAAATCCATATATCCCACTTTATTCTTTGAGAAACCTTTTTCAATCGCCATTTCGTTTTCGACTCTTTTATAAAAATTATCATCGATTTTTTTGTTACTTGTCAGATATTCCTTTAGGAAATATTTTAATTCTTCTCTCTCTAGTGCCTCAACGGTTCCTTGATTTCCTTTGCTATCACAGCCTGTGCTGCTAGCATTAGTATTCTCTCTATTGGCAGTATCACCATTAGAAGCAGCACTACTAGCTGCACCCTCATATGTAGCATCATCACTAGTAACAGTAGTGCCACCACTAGTTGTGCATTCTTTCCCTTCACACGTCAGACGAAATATTGCTTCACAAGAATTGAGTTCACTCACAACTAACTTCTTCCTATTGGTCAGCTCTAAAATGATGTTACTCCTCAGGCTGCTGTTTTCACTTATGATGAGGCACGTGTTAAAGTTCAGTTTCAACCAATTGTAGAAGTAAAAGAAAATTTCCGAGATATCGTCTTTATTTCGAATGTAAATTTTTTCAAGGTTTTCCATCTTCCTTATATGGTTTAACTGTGTTAACAGTGTGGATGTGTGTTAAGGGGTAAATTGTTAAGCAGTTTGGTCGTGCATAAATGGACCTGTTATAGACTCTCCTTTAAGTAATAGGACGACACACAAGGGATGTGAATGAGGTGGTAGTGGTGGTGGTGGGGAAAAAAAATTGCAAAGTAGCATGTACGTTTATTTAACAATCTTATAGTTGTATGATAAGCGCTGCATTCTACATATTATATGTTTCAATCAGAGTGTTCAAATTTGATGCATGTAACAAGGTTTATTTTTTTTCCTTTTTTTTTTTTTTTTTTTTTTTTTTTTTTTGTCTCCCCTCTCCCTTGAATATTTAAGGACTCTTTATAAATGTAAAACAAAAGGATAATAAGTATTCTTTCCACCGATCATTGACTAGTACGCATGGGGGAAAATCATACATATGTAGGGGTAAATTTGCGTGTATAGATATATTTTGCTAGCTAATATGTTCATAATATATAAATGTATATATATGCATGTATGCATATCTATATGTTTACACACATAACTATATAGATACTTACATGTTTAGATACATGCATTTGTGCATATACAAACAAACATACATACTTTGCCTTTTCTGAAGATGCTGTTTAGGCACTTATCTTGCATAAAATTTCCTCTCCTAAGAATTGGAAATTATGAACGATCAGGTAAAAAGTTGCACTTTTTAGAACTTTGGGGAAAAAAAAAAAAAAAAAAACAGCTATAACGGTTGTTCGTTCATACTTAATTTTATCTGAATTCAGTTCAATCAGCTCTGTTTTCGATTTCGTAACATTGGGATTATTTTATTATCACTAAATTTATTCGCTTCTTCCTTTATATTTCCCCCCCTAATATTAGTTTATATTACCATTACCTCTTATTCTGTTCACATCATACGTTTGTTTATTTATTTAACTATTTTTTTTTTTTTTTTTTTTTTTTTTTTTTTCCCGATATACACATGACTGTGCAGGTGAAGTTGAACGAAAAAAATTCAACTGCGTCCCCAAGGATTTTTTCTTAAATAAAAATAGTCCATGGGGGGGAGGGCAAGGAAAAAGTAGAGAGATAAAAAAACACCATAAATTTTTTGGGCATAAAATTGTCCCTTTTGTCAGCATTATAATTTAGAGGGCTTAAACAGAAATTGCACTTATCCCGAGAAGTGTCCTTTTTACCACAGAAATTTAATGTAACCCCATAATGCCGCAAACCCCGCAGTGCCGCAATACCGCAATGCCTCAAACCCACGCAATCGCATTTTTCTGAATGGATCTCCTTGAAAGTGTGGAAATCACAAATAATAATATTGCATGTGCTTGCTTGCCTATACATATGTTGATGTAGTTTGGTTATATAAAATATAGGCACGTGTTTCAAATTTATTGTGCATGTATTTTGCATACTGGTTTACGTACAATAATGCTACAAATTATTTTGCCAGTGAAGGGGTGTGTGGGGGGTGACAAGAGTGCTAAGCATTTAAGTACTTTATGCTAGCGAGGTCGTCTCCTAAGGAAAACTTTCTTTTCTTGCTTTTTCTTTTTTTTTCATATTAATGCTTTCGCACCATAATACATAATATGATACATTTTTATATGTGCATCATCAATCCATGTGTTTGTGCAGTATTGTGAAAATGTATAAAAGTTTATTCTTTTATTATTCAAATTAGGTATGCACGAAATGAAGGAAAAAACGGGATATAATTAAACGCTACCCTTGTTCTTTCCTTACTTCTTTGCTGCTTTACTTCTTTGCTGCTTTATTTCTTTGCTGCTTTATTTCTTTGCTGCTTTACTTCTTTTTTTCTTTTTTTTTTTTTTTTTTTTTTTTTTCCACATTATCAGAAAACACTTCTTTAAGCCGCAAGAATGTATATCAACACAACACCTTATTTATATTATTACAAATTTCAATTTTACGCAAATTTTATTTTTAAGATTTTTTTTTGTATGAAAATTATGCATACAATATTTAACATTTATATACGATACCCATTTATAAAAAATAAAGAATGGCTTGACTTTGTAATGAATAAATAAAATTTTTGTATTTTAAATGTTGAAAGCTTTATTTAAATGCAGATTTAAATAATTATACTAAGATAAGAGCAAGCCCATATGTAATAACACCATATATATATATATATATATATACAAGTATATATGTATGACATGAACACACGTAAATATTATATATATATTTGTATGCCTTTTTTTTTTTTTTTAAAGAAAAGAAGATTGTATGTAAACATATAACTTGATTAACCCCAATTGTCATCGAGTTAAATTTTTATAACAATATTTATGCAGGCCCAACTTAAGCGTTCCCATACATTTTTTGTTTTTGTTTTTATTCTTATTTTTATTTATTTATTTATTATTTTTTTTTTTTTCTTTCCCTTCCACCATTAATGATTTGTTTTAGGAAACAAATATATTCGTAGTTTACGTGTACAGTAATATCCCATAGGATAAATACATTACAAAATTTTATTTCCATTTTATTTTGCCAACCCTACTCCACCCCTTACCCATTCCCTTTTTTTTGAAAATAATTCAAAATGAAAAGAGGAAGAGCTGGAACACTAAAAAACAAAATGAGAATTACCCTATCCTTACCCGTGGGTGCACTCATCAACTGCTGTGATAATAGTGGAGGAAAAAACCTATATATTATTGCCGTTCAGGTACGCAATTTGTGTATAGATAAAATGTACTCAATGAGCCAGTGAGCTTTTGTGGACGATCCTTAATCCACATTTTTTGTTGCATCATTTCCGTAACACTAATTTACATGTATACCTGCGCATGTGAAATTTTAATTCCACAAAAAAGTTATATATAAATATATAACCTACAAACACATACACCCATACCTGTAAAAAATATTATATATATAAAGCTTTCATGATGATTTCAATGATAGGACAGAAAAACAATAATTTCATGTTGATAAATCATTTAGCCGATATTATTAAATAGATTACTGATCGATTGCTTTTATATATTTTTCGATTTTGTTTTATTTTTTGGTTTTTTTTTTTTTTTTTTTAAAAGAAACCCTTGACACTGTTGGGATGCACAAGTGCGCGCGTCCGCAGTCATTTTTGCATGAATGTCTACGTTTATATATATATATATGTGTGTGTCGTAAGTTACCAGTACGTATATATATTGTTACGTGCACTGTTCACAAACTGCTTTATACCTGTAATCGTTCACACTGATGTTCTTTTTTATTTTCCTTCTTTCACTAAAGGGTTTTGGCTCCTGCTTGAATAGACTACCTGCGGCTTCACTTGGAGATATGGTATTGGCCACTGTGAAAAAGGGAAAGCCAGACTTAAGAAAAAAAGTACTGAATGCTATAATCACGCGCCAGTCTAAGGCATGGAGAAGACATGAAGGATATTTCATTTACTTTGAAGATAATGCTGGTGTCATTGTGAACCCCAAAGGAGAAATGAAGGGATCAGCAATAACAGGACCTGTTGCAAGAGAATGTGCAGAGTTGTGGCCCAAGTTATCTTCTGCTGCTTCAGCAATTGTTTAAATAAATTTAATGAATTTCCTTTTTTTTCTTTTTTTTTTTTTTTATTCCTTTCGTTGATGGGCATCCTATATATTTTGCACAATATACTCAATAAATGAGATTGCGTGTACAATTCTCTTATATATTAATTTTACTTTGTTTATTTTATTTTATTTTTTTATTTTTATTTTTTTTTGCTTTATGTGCATATTGCACATTTTTTGCGCATTCTGTGTGTATTGTGTGAATATTATTCCCATTTTTATTGCTTTCTTTTTGAATGATTTATATGCATAAGGAATTAAATACATTTTAAGATATAATATGTAACCTTTTGAAAAGATTATCATAAAGTTATTTCACATAACATATATTTAACACCTATTGAGATTTACAAATTAGTTCCAATAGTGTTTGTCCATAGGCCTAAACAGGAGAGAGGGAATATGGTTATAATTTTTTCCACCAAAAAGGTGTTCATTTTGTCCAATTATTGCTGCATAGTTCTCGAGAGGGGATAAGCGGGTCATGGATTATATTTTGTTGAATTTTGTCTCATATTCCCCGATTTTATCCTATTTTATCATAAATCATCCTGTCTTATCGCATCCTAATTTTATCATATCTTATCTCACCTCATTTTTGTGTAATCCCTTGAAGGCCCTCTATCGCGAACGTACTTCATACACAAGCATACGTAGTACATATCATGAGGCTCTTCCTTTTGGTCTATTTTTATTCTGTTGAAAGTAGAACACAGTTACAAATGGTTAAAATGTAGGGGCGCGTAGCTTGCAACCAGGTAGTTTTTATTAACACGAAGTTTTGGAAAAAAAAAAAAAGTGCATAGTATTATGAACCGTTCATAAAATATTTTCAAAAATGTTCCTAATGTTATTAACGTTCATACCCTTTTTCAAAAATGGATATGTGATGAACGATCAGGAAGTTTTGCCATAGAGTATAAAAAGGGTAAGCCTATGTGTCAGCTTTATTTTTCTTAACGCTCCATGCCATACTATTTTTGTTTTTCCGTCCAAATGGATAAATTAGAATTATTTTCATAATGTTTTAATTTTTTTATAACTGAAATGTTTTCATAAATAAAATATAAAATTTATGCATGTTCATATTTTTAAGAAATACGATCAATATATTTTGGATAGGCACAAATATATATTTTTATGTGGGGAAAAAAAAAAAAAAAAAAAAAAAAAAAAAAAAAAAAAGAAAAAAAAAAAAAAAAAAAAAAAAAAAAAAAAAAAAAAAAAAAAAAAAAAAAAAAAAAAAAAAAAAAAAAAAAATTTTAAAACACATTTGATCATAGATTTGTGTTTAAATTTAAATAAGTATGGGTGTAAAAGCACAAAAAAAAAAAAAAAAATTCATGTGTACACATACATTAATGGGGAAACCACAAGACATGAATTCTACGAATTCTTTTATTTTCTTTTTCAAAAATGTAGGAATTATTATATTTAATAAATAATATATGTTTATATGCTAAGAACAAATATATATGTACATATATATAAGCCTGTAAAAACGACATGTACTAAAAAAAAAAAAAAAAAAAAAAAAAAAAAAAATGGTTGGGTGGGGATAAGTTGCGAAGGAGACTCGTCATCCAAGCGAGTTGAGTCAATCAAATTATTAACTGTTAAAAATTGAATTTAAAAAGGGTAAAATGAACATTATTATGATTTATAAAAGTGAGTGCATCAAAGGGTGCTACGTAAGCTATGCATACAACATATGTATAAACATATGTGTACACACATATGTGCATATCCTTTGAACTTTTTTCCAGTATGGCGATAAGAACAAAGTAATGAAAAGGTAAAGTAGCATTAACCAACTAGCATGTCCTTGAAAAGCTGTATGGACTTGTTATGCGAACAATACAAAAAATACTATCAGGATGAAAATGCAAGCGAAAATCTGCGACGGGAAAGTGCATATATTGTGGGATTACATATATGTAAATACGTATATGTATATATATATATATATATATATATATATATATATATATATATATATATATATGTGCATATGCAGGATGGGTGTATATATAGACACTGTATGAAACATGATACCGCTATGTATTCACATTTTTACATATATATGAACACTTCTACTTGTGTGCATAAGGAAAAATTCCTACCTGGAGTATGAGCGTCCGAGTAGAAGTTAAACGGTTAAAATATGACAAGAGATAGTTTTGTCCCTCCATTGTGTTGTATAAAGAAACATCGATATCTTCATCAATACGCTGAATCATTTGGTCTTGTTGAGTTACCATGGTTGCAACCTTTTGAAACATCTGCGCTAAGTCTCCGATTACTCTTTGTATATTTTCCATAGCATCGGCCCTCGAATGCAAGTAGGACGAGCGTTCAGGCATTTGCAGCGTTTGTTGCTGCCCACTGAAAAGGCAGTATAAAAGAATAAAAAAAAAATAAATAAATAAAGACGTAAAAAAAAAAAAAAAAATAATTAAATAAAGAAGTAAATAAAAATAAATATGCATATGTATAAATTGCACGTACACGGTACAAATCATTTTAAAAATACAACAGTATGGAACACAAGAATATTTCTTCTTTGCAAAAATGTAAAGAGACTTTTCTCCTTCACGACGTATATGAATATTTTTTTTTTTTTTTTTTGGTAAAATTATTCTACTAATAATAAATGCATGCAGTTATGTGTGTGTGTATAATATACCTTTCAATATCAATATCAGAAATAGGAGTAAACTTGTAATTTTCGTTGCTAAATGTCGATTCTGTTGTTGTGTAGGAATACATTTTTCTACGGTTTACTTGTTTCTTTATGTGCTGAAGGGGAAGCACAAGAAAGGAAATGTAAAAAAAAAAAATGAGCACGTTTTGTAGGAAATCCATTATATGTATCAAAAGTTCACCCATAAGACAAAAATGAGGTCCACTATCAATGATGATTTTTTTTTTTTTTTTTTTTGTGTATCATCCATCGAACTTATTTATGCATGTGAAAAGACACAACTCATAATACCCACCTAAAGTAGTGAGTTCCAAATGCATTTCAAATAAGCCCTTGAGATATTACTCAGCCATACCTCACTCCTAATATGGAGAACATCCTTAAATTTCTTTGTAAACTCAATAAGTCTATTTTTTAAAGAAAAGATAATATTATCCAAATGTGTTTTCCCTTGAGGATTGCTAATGTTAAGGTTACAGACATATTCAGTAAGTCCATCTAATTCGTTTGTGGTATCTGTTATGGCTTGTTTAACTTCGTATGTTAATTCTTCTATTTGTGACGTCTTGTCATTGAAAATTCCTTTTTGCCTGACACCTTTTAGTGCGGGAAAAAAAATTCGTGTAAAGTATAAGTACTTATAAAAAGAATAGGGAAAAAAAAAAAAAAAAAAAAAAAAAAAAAAAAAATGTACTTCTCGTTCAGACGGAACCACTCATCATGAACCCGTGCATAATATGCGAAAGAACTAAATTTATGTGACATCTAGAAAATGGATACAAGCGATTACAATTTAGAAACACATGCTGTTTCCAAGGAACATATTTGACACTTTTTCGTTCTGTTATATGTGTGGTGTTATTTTGTCAACACGAAGAAGTTATACAACTGTTGCGTATAGATGATACCAAACTGTGATGATACATTTTTTTTTTTTTTTTTTTTTTTTTTTTTTTTTTTTTTTTCAAAACCGTTTTCGATACTAACATTTCTCTAACTGCTGTAACTTTTGATTCCCTCTGTGTAGCAAGTCTGTAATTTTGGAGGCCAATTCATTCACCTCTGTATCTTGGGAGATACTTCTACCCTTCCGCAAATTGAAGTTGACATTGCTTAACTTTTCAACCTTTTTGAAGAACTCCTCTGTCTTGTCAATATATGGCATTTTTCAAAAATTTATTTTATGATTTTTCCTTCCCACAATGGGAAAGGAAGCTGGGGGTGAGAAGAAAAAAAAAGGTGGATAAAAACTGTTTTTTTTTTCGTCCTATTTCGTCTTCTGTTAGTCTTCTATTAGTTCTCTATTTTTCCTCTTTTCTTCCGCCTTTCTTCCTCTTCCCCAATTTGGGTGCGCGGAATTCTTCAAATTCCCACGTTTTAAAAAAACACGGTATCGCAATGTACAATTAACGTGCGATGAAAGAAATCATTTGATTATTCATTTTTTGCAGATTTAATTTTCAAAGTTATTTCCTTGAAACTAGAAATCTAATTTCAACACGGTTATTTGATACCGTCAGAATTTTGATTTCCATTTGTACCATCTATTTATCATTTTGCGGGAAGTGCTAGATCGGCATCAAGTCCGGGTGAAAGAGGAGTGTACAATGATCCATATGAATTAATGTATACTTTTTATACGTGTATTCATGTGTACGCATATATATTTATATATATATATATGCTCATTTGACATGTATACTTGGCTCGGGAAATATTTTCTTTTCTGAATTACATATACGTAAATTATGTATAATTGTTTACCTTCTTCCATGCTCTTTTTGTTCCATTCTGCCTCAAGGAAAAAAAAAAAAAAAAAAAAAAAAAAATTCTAAAAAAGTGCAGGTCATATGGGGTGTGCACAAATGGAGGAAACGCAAAAATATAAAAAAGGCAAGTTGGCATGGTATCGAAATGGAAATGAATATGGAGCCAAAATGGAGGCGAAAATAAAAACAGAACAACGCAGTAGCCGAAGAGGCCTCAAGTGGCTTGAACGAAACGCTAAGAAAAAGTCACGCAGGATTCCAAAACGTGTGAACAAAACCCGTGTAGTCATATCTAAATTGTTTCAAAAAAAATTAATCAATTTGGACATTTGCAAAATAGTGGCCCCACTGTATTAATGTGTTATACCATCATGTGAGACCGCCAAGCTTATGAACTTTCCTTTGGCATTATTTGAGGAAAAAAATGATGAATAAAATTTTGATAATATGTCTCTCCCAATTTGTACTCTCTTAAGGTAGTTCAAGCAGATTATTACGATCTACAGCCACCTATACGACTTACTTACGTGTTCCATCCCAACATTCCCATTTGACATGCTAACATGTTCGTCCATTATTTTTCTATTCTTATTTCTTGCGAAGTAGTTTATTTAGTCGATGATTCATTTTTTCTCTTAAGGAAAAATGGTTAAGGAATGTTATATACGTCCAGCGACGTATTTCAGTTAGCAGCAAAAGGGGACATATAAGCATATAAATATGCATGTATGCACATTTGATGAAAGTGTTTTAATTGCACATATATGTTGCAAGTATCGCCATGTCTCCACCTTGAAATATAAAGGAGGAAATTCCTTAATGTGAAAGCAATTGGATAATTTACTTTTTTTTTTTTTTTTTTCTCCCTTTTGTCTGAACAGTTCATACTTTTATTTTATTTTTTTCTCACTTTTGTCTGAACAGCTCATACTTTAATTTTATTTTTTTTTTTATGAAATTAGCTAAGGTTTTTCCTGCCAGTGTAGATGAATTCATTGCAAAGGAATTTATGAAGTCTACTTAGTTTTTAAAAAAAAAAAAAAAAAAAAAACATCGTAAACTTTCTGACCCTTTTTTAGTTTTTAAAAAAATATTCCCATACCAAATTGTGTAGCGAATAGCTAACAAACACAAGTGCAGCTTTGATTAGAGTGAAAAGATACGTCGGTCTGTTACCCATTCCTCAACAACGCATACATATATGAATACATTTGTGCTTGTCTGTGTATGCTTATATATATATATATATGCTTGGACTTACACATGTGTGCACAATGTAAACGTTTCTACACTCTATCACCTTGTAAAAAAAATAAAAATCCCTCCTTATCACCATCTCAGTCACAGCACAATGCTCGTCTTAATCTACATTCCCATTTTTGAAAGTTCGATGGAAAGACGGGAAAATATGTCAGTACAATGGAACAAAGTTGTTAAAAAGAAAAAAAAAAAAAAAAAAAAAAAAAAAACTTTTTATTGCACACTTTAAATTTTTTATTTTTTTTATACTTTACATTTTTTACTTCTTATTTTTTCACGACTTTCTCACAAGCTGAAAGGCCCACCAACAGCGGTGATCCTCATGTGGCCCCCTTAACGACTCAACACAAGATAAGTGCCAATGAGTGACAAAAACCCTAATGCAATATTACACTTCATTTTAAGCAATTTAAATCTAAATTGTTTAAGAGACAAAAAAAAGCCATGCCGTACACTGCAAGCATAATTAAATGCCAATGATTATGTACACCATGTATTTCCCCCTTCAACCTTTTCCAAAAATAAAAACAAAAACAACGAAAAATTTAAAAAAGTAAAACGTTTAATACCTGTAAGAAGGAAATAAAGCTGTTGCAAAAATACAAGTGATGAATGAACTCATACGGAATAACGCTTTTGTTGTTCCCCATGTAATTTGTTTTTATATTTGTATATCTTCAATTTAGTACAAAATGGAAAAGTTTTCCGAAAGCATATTTTTTCAGTTTCATTTTGGGAATAATTCCAAATGCAAATATGTGAATTTAAAACTGAAGACAAGGAATATGTAGACTCAAGTGTGAAACGAATATTGTCTTACTCTCTATGCATATCCCTGATGATGACGTCTAAATGTATAAAAAAAAAAAAAAATAATAAATAAATAATTGTATCTGAACATACTGGATAAATGAGGAAAGTGTAATTAGTTACTCAGAGGTACAAGAAGAAAAAAAAATAAATAAATAAATCCATTTATAATTTACTAATTTGTAGTGGCATAGTTATGCCTTTTGGGATCTGTATTCATGTTCGATTCCCCGGGAAAAAACACTTGTCGCTGATCTCACTTCGTACCAGTTAGCGAAAGATATTTTTCTTTAAAATAATGAATATATTTATGGAAATTCATGACTTGTTAGGTTTATGTAGTGTGGGAAGATGGAGCATGTATGTATTAGAAGATTTATTTACAACATTATTTTTTATCATTTTACCATTATTCAAGCGTTTTGATATATTTTTATTTTTTTTTTTTTTCCATGTGGAAGAATCAGTGTCCTTATCCTAATACCAATGATTATATGTTTAAAGAAAATGATAATAAAATGAAGTCCGCATAAGGACACATAGAGGTAGAAATGAAGGAACAAATAAAAGACTTCCTTTATGATGTTCCTTAATATATATCGTACGGATCGTTCAGAAATAATAACAAAAATTTTCTGTTCAGAACGGTACACGTACGCGAGTATATTTTTTTTACGATTTGTTGAACAAAATTTTATGTGACTTCTTAGTTGTAATGATCATAAAAGGACTAACCATAAAAATAGTGCGTGGTTGTGAGGCCAAATATATATCAGTTTTGCGTTTCATATGTTGCACAGGTTGGTAAATTCAAAACGTATATTTTATTTTATTCTTACCTTTACCTATCTATTCTGTATAAACTACATTGCACAGCTTATTTTGTGGGTAGTAAAAAATCGTAGCAAAATAGTAAATTTTGTTACGTATATACATTTTAGAGTAATAGAATACTACTCAACGGTTTTAAACTTTTTAAGAATTTATTATTTATCCCTTTCAGGTATGTCAATCTGTGTGAAAATTTTATATGTCTTTTGCAAAAAACAGTTAACCATATTATAGTGATATGTTTGCTGACTATTCATTTAGCTTGTGTTTTTTTTTTTTTTTTTTTTTTTTTTTTATTTTATTTTCAACATATTTGTCAAAGCATTCATCACACATGATATTACATGTGGATGGAGTTTTATTAGCTATCAATGCAAACATTGGGGGACCCAGTTCTTCTTCTTCTTCTCTCATGTCTCATGTTTTAGAGCTGCTTGATTTGACAGTTGCAGCGATTTTCTGGGGAATATCGTTGGTTATTTCGTGATCACGCATAAAGCAGTAGCTATTCAAGCGTTTTTATGAGAATTTTATGAGAATTTTTTTTTTTTTCTAGCACATTTATTTAGTGCTATTTTTCCGTTTTTATTTTGTTGTTGTGTCTAAAAAATGGGCAATGAACATATGTATACAAATGACGCATCTATAACTTTGCCAATTCACCAACTTGCGTACTCAAATAAATAATGGTTAACACTATGCTCAAAACGAAAACGAATTCGTAAATTGTTCAAAATATCACCTGAACAGTCATAATAATTTCATGAAAAAACTAGCCAAAATTGATAATAGAAACATTTTTACGTGTTCCTGCAAAAATTACCTGAACAAGAGGAGTAAAAAAAAAAAATAAATAAAAAAATAAAAAAAAGGACAATTTTGTGTGTGCATTTTCCCCTGAATGCGTGAAAAAAAAAAAAAAAAAAAAAAAAAAAAAATTCACAAGAAAAATGAAATTGAATATACATAAAGTACCAAACTGATCAAAGAAAAAACGAAGTTGTAGAAAAAATACAATGATTATCCAAGTTGTTCTATCAGCAACTGAAAGATGCAACAGAATTAAACGTCTACAACCATTTTGCGTGATTTTAAAAACACACAATGGAGAATTAAAATGAATTGAACCTTTCTCACACAAAAAAGTGTAAAAAATAAAAAAAAATCTAAATTAAAAAAGTCACAAAAATAGTCACAAAAATAGTCACAAAAATAGTCACAAAAATAGTAACAAAAATAGTAACAAAAAGAGCAATAAAAATAACAACAAAAATTGCAGCATAAATTGCAGCATAAATTGCAGCACAAATTGCAGCACAAATTGCAATAAAAAAAAATAAAACTTCTGGTGGAAATTTTATCCAAAAAGAATTTCCACTTCGATATACCTGAACACAGTTACGCGCGTTCACAAATTGTTTATGTGTAAATTCGGGTACCCCTGGGGCCACCTTTTCATATTCGCGCATATGTAAATCTAAAAATATGTGCAAGTGTAAATTTAAATATATGTGCAAGTGTAAATCTACATATATGTGCAAGTGTAAATCTAAATATATGTGCAAGAGCAAGTGTACGTAAATATACACACATGTGAACATTTGCACGTTTGCGAATATGCAAATGAGCAGATCGGTCCTTGTGTTGCTCTAATTAACCGATGCACATTCATCTTGGCCACTTTGCATTGCGTTAATTTTCTGCATTCGTTTGTTGCAAATGTTTTTCAAGAAAACAGCCACTTTGCCAATCATCCAAAGGTGACAGGCAACACCAGCCACTCCTTCGCTACTTGGGATCATTTAATATCTTCCCCTTGTTTTGCTCTTTTAAAGGACGTTTTGTATTTTCACATTATCAACCACTTTTGAATATCAAATTAGTGTCCACTTTTGAATATCAAATTAGTATCCACTTTTAAATGTCAAATTGGCAACCGCTTTTGAATCCGAAATTAACAGCCACCTTTCAACCTCTCTGTCAAGATAATTTACAATTTCGCTTGAAACAACACTGAGAATTCTCCCAGTGAAGTCACTCAAGATGAATCCATAGTTGTGTGTACACGTCTGTATTTACACCGATTTGTCTATTTATTTAACTTATTAATATCTAAAGGGTTTTCCCTATTTTTTATTTATTATTTTTTTTTTTTTTTTTTTTTTTTTTTTTTCCCATAACTTTTGTTTTTTTTTTTTTTTTTTTTTTTTTTGGTGAAAACATTGTCTTCTCTATTTCATCCATCCTTTTTTAATTGTGTGTTATTCAAACTGTTTTTCACATTTTTCCGAGAAATTATCATTGTCTCCAAAAAAGTGTAAACAGGTGTGGAGATAATTGCTTCTATATCTGAAGAAAAAGAAGAGTTGTGCATTTTTCCCTTTGCATAATATCTACATTACAACCTTCATAAGAAGGTATAACTTCATTCACAAACCGAAGCAATGAAGAAAAAAAAAAAGAGTGTTGAAGAAGTGAAGGTGTGGAATGATGCTTTAAAAAACTTGGATGATGTGGAACGAAACAAATACAACCTGACTATTGATACTGTACATGGAAGAATAAGACCAGAACCCGAAATCATTGAACATATTTTAGAAGGGTTAGAAGATAAAATTAGATATTATTTTAATTTGTACAAAGTAGAAAAAGAAAAAAGAAATAATTGTGAAAAGGAAAATTATCGCTTGAATGAAGAAATGAATCATACATACACTATTTTGCAAAAGAATAAAATATATACTGATAAGTTAGAAAACAAATTGAATAACATAAAAGAAAATCAGAGTTCATTAATAGACACAGTAAGACGTATTGATTTATTGTACATCCAGCTAGATACACTAGTTCAGTCATTTGCTGGTGTCTGTTCACAAGTTGCATCTGAAGTGAAATTTGAAACTAATGATATTAACAAGAAGAGAAATATTATGAAAATGTTACTTGATTATATATACCCATGTAGGACACTTGATCCTCGTATTAATTCATTATATGGAATGTTGTATTATCAATCTATTGGATTTATAAAAGACGGGAAATTTATGAGTCCTCCAATTCCTCCTATCCCTCCATTGATACCGTCTGAATCTGATGGATGGCTAGCCCCTTCTTCTCGTTCTATTCGTCATGAAGAAATGCATGGGAAACAATATATTCATAATAATCATATAGAAGATTTATATGAAAAGAATATGCATCCCTTCGCATCTTCTAGGAGCAGTCGTTCTGATTCTATAAGACAAAATGGATGTAGTTACAACCGAGATAATTCCAAAGATAATAACATAGATGACAGATATTTTTGCAAATATGTATCAGAAGAACAAAAGAAAGCAGAATCAAATGAATATATTTACAAACCAAGCATGAGTCAAATAATAAGTGCAGAATTACAAGGATTTGATATTCAAATTGGATATCTCGAAATTAAATATAAAAAAGAAAATGCAAGAATTATTTGTGTTGTTAGATATGACAATGAGACAAGTGCTTCTGCAATCCAAAACAGTAATAGAGTAACAAAACCAAGAGATATGAATGGAATTGCAAATGGAGGGAAATGTATTTTTAACATTGATTATACAATTAATTTAAATTCTTTGCCTCAGAAAAATCCAGGATGTGTTCCAAGTTTTATGATAGATGTACATGATGTTAATGGAAAAGCATTAATTGGAACATCAAGGTGTTCATTCATAAGTGAAAAAACATTATTAAAAGATGCATCATGGGATATATATTCTAGAGATGTAAATATTAAACCAGAAATAATTGGAAAAATGAATGTATCTGTCCTTCCATTCCCTAAAAATGCTATTCTTCCGAGTGAAATGTTCAGGAAATCAAAGCAATCTTTACCTTCTCCACTTTTACACGATCCTAATTCCAAAAATGAAGAAGCAACGAGTGACAATATGATAAGAGATAATAATGCCAAAGTTATGTTTCAAAAACAATCCCCTCTCATCAAGTCTACCCAGGAAAAAAATGAAAAATCTCTATCTCCTCAAACCATGAACCAGGATCTACCTTCCACCGTGGGAGGAGCAAAAATACAGATAGTTAATAACAAAACCCAGGGAACTAATCTTTTTCAGCGAGGAAAGAAAGTCACCTTCAAGCCACACACTTCTAAGAGTGGTGATCCAGGTAAGTAATCACTGCATGCGTGCGAGAGCAAGTGAAATGTTGAAAGGATGAAAAGTTGAAAAGTTGGGAAGTTGAAACGATGAATAGTTGAAAAGAAAAATTGAATAAACACGCAAAAAGTGTGGAGGAGACAAAGCTCTACCCCTCAGATGAATGAAATCTACTCACATCGATTCTTCTTTTTTTTCCACATTATCCCTACTCTACAGCCGGATCTTCTGACAGCAGTAGCAAGGCAAAAACCGAGATAGAGGAATTCAAGAACCAAAAAGAACTTTCTAAACGAAATAACACTATTGGCAGAAATGGAGATAGTAACAATAAAAGCACAACAGTCCCTGATGTGATTCAGAAGAAAGGAGTAAACATAGGATTAATAGGAAAAAGTACCACATCATCGCTAGTTCAAAGTCGAATACAAAATTTAGCGAAACAATTTGAATCGAAAAATGGAACACCAAGGAGTAGTGAAGAAGATTCAGGTAGCAAGAATAGCTCTACTGTAACAGTTGGAGGAAGTATAAATAAATTAGGGAAACCTTTAAAAACAAATTTACCTCTTCCTAACAATAAAGAAAATAATGTATCCTCGGATGAACAAAAATTAGTAAAAAAAGAATCTACTGAAAAGAAACAAGTAACCTCATTAAAACAAGTGGAAAATGTGCAAAAAAGTCTGCCCGTAATGAAAGATGGAGTGACAAAAATTAAGCTACCTTTTCCAGGAAAAAAAGATTTAACAAAAAAAGAAGACTCAGCAGAATTGACAAAAAAAGCAGACGCAGCTGAACTGGCAAAAAAGGCAAACTCAGCTGAACTGGCAAAAAAGGCAAACTCAGCTGAACTGGCAAAAAAGGCAAACTCAGCTGAACTGGCAAAAAAGGCAAACTCAGCAGAACTGGCAAAAAAAGCAAACTCAGCAGAATTGACAAAAACTGATTCTATAAAAAATGTAAATGATGTGAAAGACAATAATATTAGTAGCAAATCATTAAAGCCTCTCTTGAAAATTAAAGTAGAACCCAAAAAGGAAAATTTAAACAAACTTTTTAATAAATTGCCTTTGAAAACATCACTTACTGCATCTAAGGAGAAAGAAAATAAAAGTTCAGATGCAGAACCTGCTTTAAAAAAGAGCCTTTCAAAAGGAACAGGAGTGGGAGCAAGTAAACTAAAAATAACAACACCTCTTAACATGAAAAATGTTGTAAGCAGTGCTGCGAACAGTGATGTGAAAAATGTGTCAACATATGAAGACAAAATGAATAAGAGTAACACCACCGAGGCAGAGGTTGCAACTGCCAATACTGAAACACCTGAACACCAGGCAAAGGGATTGATGACATCTAAAGCAGAAGCAGGAGGATCCACTAACACAGAAAAACGTTTAGAGAAAAAAATATCAATTAAAAATAAGATGCTTACCCTTTTGAAGATTAAACCTGTGGATCCTTCTGCAATTTTGAAAAAGTCTTTGTCTAAAAATACCCCTCCTGCACCAGCTGAAGGTGAATCGGGTAAGTCCATAAAAATAGGATGGTGCATTCCCACGCACGTTGCATTCTGATAATTCATGCGTTTGCATTGTGTTTCACTCTTGCACGTATCACTCTTGAACCCATCACTTTACCATTCGTAGAATCAAGCCAGCAGGAGCCAGACATAAAGAACCTGCTAGAAAAGGCCAAAAAAAATGCCATATTCATTGACAAAAATAAAGTAAATGTGAAATTAAACAAAAAGGTAGAAGTAAAAAGGGAGGTAAAGAAGTTTGTTCCGAAGTTGAAGAATTTTGAATGAGGCACCAACCAACCAACCACCCAGTTGCAGCGAGGTGCAATTACAAAACAGTGCGACTAAAGAGGCAACTCTGCTGCCAAACAGTTTGGTTAATCATTTTTATCCTTATTTATGGTGATCCCTTCCACATTCATCCTCACTGAATTGTTTTTAAAAAGTAGCAAAGCATGCATCTGATTTGCTCTCTTTACAAACTACTCTAGCTATCTTTGGATAATTTTGTACATAGAAGAGACCCGATTTGGTATGTCTATGTTGAAACAAGTAGATTTTATGCACATTTAAAGCAGAAAAGAAATAGAGCTCGGGAGCTACATTATTCATACTTCTTGCACCAGGAGTTAAACTTAAAATCAGATTAATCCTAAAAAAAACTAGAAATTTTCAAGAATTGGAGAGGCTCTATAACGGGATCTAGTATTTTTATATATGGCTAAGGCTTGGACATGGGTTGTTTTATTTTTGTGTCAATTAAATTATAGAACAGCCTTAAACATGCATGACATTATTTTTACTTGTTCATTTTTTTTTTTTTTTTCTTCGCTCTTTACTATGTTATTGTTTTATTTTATTTCACTTTATTTTACTTCATTTTTCTGTCATGCTTTTTTTTTTTTTATTTTTTTCAACTCCGTGTAAAAGTTAACGCACTTGTGAGTGACCAAAATTTTACATTGCTGCACGTTACTCTATATATTTTTTTCGCTTATCTGTTCGCTTTATTTTTTTGGTTAATAAAAAAAAAAATGACATGCTTTAATTTGCTGCGTGTGTGTGGGGAAAACTTTTTTTGAAAAATCCACATGGAATTAGAAGCTCACAAAGTGAGATAAGAAAAGATCTATCTACCTTATATTTGGTGACACAATTCATCATCTCAGCTGAAGTGGTAGAGAAAAAAAAATAAATAAAAAAAAAAAAAAAAAAAAAAACAGGATGAATCGAAACAGTGTTAGTAGTAGTAACCCTGGAATTGTGTATCAGGTTTACGTACTTACAATAATTGGAAAAGGTGACATACCTTTGTACGAAGCAGATTTGACCATAAATGGAAAAAAAGATATATCTGAACATCTCGCTCAGTTTATAATTCACCAATCGTTGGATTCTCTAGACGTGTTAGTATGGAAAAATACAAATATGTTTCTAAAAACGATCGACTCATTTAATAATTATTCAGTTTCAGCATATTGTACCCATGGTCATATAAAATTTTTACTACTTTATAAAAATAAAAATGAGTTAAGCACTTTAAGCAGCAGTACTACTGCTACTATGAATAATACTGTTTGTTATGTCCCATCAGATGACAATATCAGAGCTTTTTTTGAAACAGTTTATGAAAATTATATTAAAGTATTGTTGAACCCATTATATGAACACAATGGAATTATAACAAGTTCCTTGTTCGATCAAAACGTGCACTTGGCAGCAAAGCGCTTTCTGCATGGTTAAGGGGGAGAGGAAGAAGTAAATGCATCGAATGCCAGAAAAAAATGAAAGCACGTAGAGAAAAATGAGAAAAAAAAAAAAAAAAAAAAAGGAGAGGTATAAATATATATATATATATATATATATATATATATATATATATAACCTAGACACAGATACTATGCAAAAACACAAATGAAATAACTCAGGAATAGTAAGAGAAAGGTGTGGCGATTATTCCACTGAATTGGCACAGTTGAATCTGAAAGCGTTATTGTACAAGTCTAGGGAGAAGGAGAAAATTTTTTCGAGAGCAGAAAACAAGTGTATCGAGTCTGCATGTGTATTCATGTCAAAGTATGATATAAAATCATCTGTGACCATTTCGAATAATTTTTTTTTTTCTTCTTCTGTTAAAGCAAAATCAAAATAACTCATGTTCCAATTGGGGTTTGGAAAGTCTACTTTTCTCCTTTTTGTAAAAACAATATTATCTGGATTGAAAAAATTGCCAAAGAACAGTGGAAAGGAATAACTAGTTGCATTAAATTTACTTGCTTCAACATATTTATTTTTATAATTCTCCTGGTTATTATTATGATCATGATCATGACTAAATTTGTGCTGATTTATTTTTTTTTTCTCTGCATATGAATTATTCTGCACGAAAGGAGCTTTTTGATGGCCACTTTTCTTCAGCCCCATAATTAAAGATATGAGTGTGCATAAATTATGACTAAATAAATAAAAGACATATTTAATTTTGTATGAATTTTTTCCAATATCAAGGGATGGATCTATTGGATTTTCAAAACACAAACGTCCATTTTTTTCAAATTCTTTTCTCATATATCGTGGCATCGTATGTCCAAGACCTCTTAAAACAGGACAATTATAATCCAAGTTATAATCAATACTGTAATAGTTAAAGAATTCAACTAATAATTTTATCAAATATGTATTATTAAATACAGTTGTGTCGAATGTAGATGGATGAAGTTGTAAAAAATGTAAAACCATACAACAAAGGAGAAAGGAACCAATTCCACCAATAAATGTTTCATTTAAATTTCTTGTATTTAAGAAAAATTTCAAAAGTATTACAAGCGGTCTTAAATATATATATTCTTGTATTTTTTTTTTTATAAAATCTGTTGTTTCTCTTGATGATTTTTGATTTATACATACATCTACTTGAACCCCTGTTTCTTTATCTGTATATTTTAATATTTTCACTCTTGCATCTTTTATAATGCGAATATCTGCAACCATTTCTAATTTTATTAATGTATATGCAATTATAAGTAAGCATTCAATATCTTCTATTATAATTCCTAAGAAACACACATCTATATCACTTCCAGGTATGGACAAACCTGTAATAAACGATCCAAATGGTTCCATTTTTGCATCTGGAAAAATAGACTTTACGATAACTTCTAACTTTAATAAAGATTTCTCCTTTAATAATTTTTCTTCTTTTGTTGGTGTTAACCATTGTAGAATGTAAAAACAAGCATATTCAATATATCCAAGGTAGTTAAATTTTCCTTTTTCTTTTTCGATCTTTTCAATAAAACATTTTGTAAATGTGTCATCTGTGTAAAATATCTGTTTCTTGTAATCATAACCGACATGTAATTTCTTCATCATGTACTTGTAGTATTTTTTTTCTAATTCTGTAAGATTCTGATAATTTATCTTAAATTTCTGAAGAACCAAACCACCACTATATTTCTTTTTTTCCCTGTTTATTTCATCCACTGCAGTGTTAACTTGGTTAGTATGATCAGCTTGCGTAACTTGATCTACCTGATCAACCTGGTTATGTCGTTCTTTTTGTTTTTCTTGAAAACAGGAAGGACGATTTTTTGGAGGATCCATTTGGTCTCTCCCTTTGGAAGTAATAACACCATGTGGTTCTCGTGTGGTTGTTCTTTCATTTCTCTCATTCTTAAGACGCTTCTCCTCGGTTCGTCTTTTAAGATTTTTTTTCTCTGTATACTGTGATAAATAATCTGTGGAAGAGGAGGAGGAAGAGCTTGTCGAGGATGATGAGTCTGATCTACTGCTTCTACCTGAGATGCAACTGTAGCTTTCACCTCGGGTTCTGTCACTACATTCGACACTCTTCCTCTTCTTTGTCGTTCCACTCCTAATACTTCTGGTGTTGTTAAGATTCTTCATGTTATTATTACTGTCTAATGGAAGAGTTGACTTTCCTTCATCTATACTCATCACCCTTGACATTTCTGTTGCCATGAGTGACATCATCCCTTTTCCTTTTTTGTCACTTAGTGAAGCATTAACATCACTAAATTTTCTTTTATTTTTTCGAGTCTCCTCAAGTGGCCCTTCCCCTAAATCGTTAGCATGTCTAATTTTCCCTTCAGACATGTTTACATTATAGTGTTCTCCGTTCACTGTTCTCTTTCCACTACACAGAAGTGCACCTTGGGCCTCATCAAATGATGCTGCACCATTATTTGCATCCTTATTTGCATCCTTATTTGCATCCTTATTTGCATCCTTATTTGCATCCTTATTTGCACACTTATTTGCACACTTATTTGCATCCTTATTTGCACACTTATTTGCACACTTATTTGCATCCTTATTTGCATCCTTATTTGCATACTTATTTGCATACTTATTTGCATACTTATTGGTATCTTTTTCTTCATCCTTTGATGACAAGGGCCCTGTTAACTGATTACCCATTGGGGGATAATTATGCCTGTTTTTTGAAAAGTGTTCACATCCATCTTCTGATACATGCCCGCTTGATCGGATTGAACTACTCTTTTTCTCGAGGTTCCTTTTTCTCACATTAGAATTATCACCATCATCATCATCACAAACGAATGATGGTGATGATGAAGATCCTTTTTTTGGTTCATCCTTCTTTGCACCAATTAGTGAAATTATATTGGACGCTGCCTTCATTGGCTTACTTGTCTTATTACTCCTTTCTCTGTTTCTTTTTAGCACTTTGTGCAGCTCCATTTTAGCTCCTTTCACCTGTTCCGATTCTTCCTCATTTTGAATAAAATAATATTCGAAATCCATGGGGTGCAAAGCTTGGTGTGGTAATCGAGTACAATGTAAATACTGCAAACTGTGTGCAAAATTTAAGCAAAACATACGACTCGACTCAGCTGATAAGGTAAATCACAGCTAATGGATGTACGCTTTGTCGTGCCAACTAGGGGGAGATCAGGGTGAAAAAATAGTATACTATGTTCCCCCTCTCCCAAACTATGCTTTCTCACATATGTTAGTATGTCGAATGTTACATGCATAGGTATAAGTACTTAAGAAAATTTCCACCACCCACCCATTATTTACTTTTGTTCGATAAGATGAGGGTTACGACATGCCTTTTGCATACGTTTAATTTTTTGCCTTTTAGTCCACTCTTGTTTAGCCACTATTTTTTTTTTTTTTCTTGTTTTGCCTTGCTTTGCCTCTCCTCTTCTCTTCTCTTTTTCTTTTTTTCTTTTTTTTTGTGCTATTGTTTCCTCTTTATTCCTTATTTGACGTCATATATTTTTTTTATCACCTTTTAAAATTTTAAAAAGAAAAGTTTTCTGCATATTTTTTTTGCCACACTGTTTTTCTTTTCCCTATGATGTAATTTTTTTTTCTTTTTTTTTTTTTTTAATTTTCTGCCTCATTTCGGAGCAGAAATATGTAAATCGCCTTAACAAATTAGCAAAAAAAAAAAAAAAAAAAAAAAAAAACCATTTTAAATGCAAAAAAGTGAGATAAAATTCTGAACAGGTCAGGTAAAAATGTGCCAAAAAAAGAGGGGGAAAAAAAATTACATCATAGGAAAGAAAAAGAAGATCACAGAAAGAAAATAAAACAAAAGCAAAAGAAAAGAGCTACTGGGAAAACCTAAGCGTAGCCTTATTTTTTTTCCATTTCTGATTTTTCTTCTTGTAGAGAGTTATATTGGCACATACCCTTGGAACGAGCTATATTTAAGGTTTAAAAAATTAAGCAGCCTACACGGAATATATTCACATATATTCGCATATATATTCACATACATGTGCGAATATATGTGTACATTTCACTTTTACATGCATGCATTGACTCACTGTGGTGTGCATACCACATCACCTTTTCTCTTGTGCACGCACGTGTATGCATAACGAGGCGAGCGAAGGTCAGGGGTGGATAGCACCTGGCCCCAAGTACATTGTGGAACATTTGGATGAACTGGAAGAGTGGTGCATACTAGAGTATGTACACATATGCGAAACAGTAAAGGACGAAAATGTCATATTTACAAAATTTGACAAAGAGTTTAGCACTATATCAAAGGAGCATAAACCTACATGTTATCAACAACCTATTAACCAATTGAGAGAAAAATTCGGATGGAAGAGAATATGTCTCCTAGACATGAAAGCAAAAGATGTTTTAACATGTGATGATAAAAAAAATTTGGATTTTTTACTCTTTGGAGGAATACTAGGGAATGTGCCATCTGATGATAGGACTTCCATTTTGAGAAAATGTCAATTTACTCTTTCGAGAAATTTAGGAGATATGCAAATGACCACTAACACAGCTGTACTAGTTTGTCACATCATTTTAAATAATAATGTCGAATTGGATGCTATTCCTTTTGTTGATAATCCAGAAATACCTTTGAGAAATAAAAAAGAATCAATGGTTCTTCCCTTTCGCTTTGTTTCCAAGTACTTTTTTACAAAATTGGAACAAGACAGACATGTCCCTGTTCTCCCAAGAAATTTCACAGAATATTTGATTCGTCTCGGGGATCAGCGTTTGACAGACTTGGACGATTTCCTTTCGGCTCCTTGACAGGTGGGCTGTGTCTGCACGAAGTTGTGAACTGCTCTCCACGAGTGTGCACGAAGTTATAGGTTTCTCCCCACGAGTGTGTCGGATGTTGCACGCTTTTTCTTCTCGCTTTTGTTTTCTTTGCCTACGCACCTGTAACCGAGGGAGAGCTGAGAAATACCAAATCGACACGTTTTACTTCGTCTCTAGTCCACCTGCATGTGCAAGGGAATCTTGCTTGAGTCCTAACTCGTAAAGATAGCGTATCTCATACTTATAAACAGATTCATCATTAGTGACATCTGGAGTTTCAAGAATTATGGGAATTTTTTTAAAATAGTTAGATGTCATAATGTACCTGAAGGTGTCCAAAGTTAACTTACCCTTTCCAATATTTTCATGTCTGTCTAAACCACTACCAATATCTGATTTTGAATCATTCAAATGAACAGCTTTTAAATAAGATGCATCTACAATTTCATCAAATTTTTTCATTACATTGTCGAAATCTGCATATGACTTTATATTATACCCAGCTGCAAAGGTATGACATGTATCTAGACAAACTCCAATTCTTTCTTTATCTTCAATTTGTAAAATAATTTTTTTCAAATCTTCAAATTTGGATCCAACAGAATTTTTTTGTCCAGCTGAATTTTCAAGAACTATTACAACATCAGATGTTTCTTTATGAACCCTATTAATACAATCTGCAACATTTTTAATTCCTTCTTCTAGAGAACATAATCCAGTAGTTGATCCTGGATGGAAATTATAAAGTTTTATTTTTAATTGTTCGCATCTTTTTACATCATCTAAAAATGATGAATAAGATTTTTCTCTTTTTTCTTTATCTGGGTTGGCTAAATTAATTAAATATGAACCATGGGGTAGTATATATTTGGTGTCCAAATTATATTTTTTACAATTTTCCTCAAATTGTTTTATATTATCTGATGATAATCCTGGACTATCCCATTTTCTTTGATTTTTTAAAAATAAAGCAAATGCTTGTCCAGCAACTTTGAATGAATTTATTGGTGCATTCTGTACTCCACCTGCTGCTGATATATGTGCTCCAAGATATACATTTGTTGTTTTTGCATATACTTTTATTCTTTCAAAATCATTCCACAATTCGTCCATGCTTTGGGGGATTGGAGGGTAGGTCACCACACTATGTCCTGCTTTTCCCGGTTCTTTCTTTGTCTCCTTCTTTTTTGTTTTTACTTTTTGGTTGGATCCTTTTTTCCCTTTCTTACAAATTGCTTTGTTCTTCACAAAAGTACCCTCCTTTGTAGTGTTCTCTCTCTTAATAACTTGGCTTTTTATTTCTTCTCTCGGTTCTGATTTCAAAGGGATGTCGTAACCATTTTTTTGACACTTTGCTTTACCATCTTGACCGATTGTAGAGTCACCATCTAGACCATATGTGGAACCATTTTCTTCCTTTCCAGACATGTTACTTTTCTGTACACACATCATATGTAATAATAATACCAAAACGTGTGTTCTCTTTTTTTTCTGAACGTTCAGGTGAAAATGACCCCTTTTATTTGTCCCCTTTTTTTGTTCAAGTCTACCACCTGCAAGCTTTAGCACATGGATTGGATATTTCTTCAAGTCCCTGTTCCTCTCAAGGTGAGTAATAAAATTGAAAGTGCTACTTAAGTGGTTCTTATTTTGTTTATTCCTCAGCATGCAAATTCCTCGATTCCCTTTGCGTGTGTTCGTCAATAGCATGCATAACAGAAGAAAAAATACGAGGCGTGGAAAAAAAATCAAGCACAAAATGGGGCGAAAAAGGGGGAGAAATATGGGGAGAAAAATGGGGAATAAAATGGGGAGAAAAATGGGGAGAAATATGGAGAGAAAAATGGAGTAAAAAATGGAGTAAAAAATGGAGTAAAAAACGGAGTAAAAAACGGAGTAAAGAATAGTATAAAGTAACATTTAATTTTGCTAATTAAAAAAAAAATCTGGTGATTGTGGCATTCAAGTGGAGGTTACATGGGCCAGAGTTCCAGTTTAAAGTGACGCAGAGGCATGACAGACATACATATGTAAGTGTATACCTACCTGTGTCAAAGATAAAAGAGATGAAGCATTTGAAATGAAGTGAAATGCTTGAAACAAAATGAATTAAAATTTGTGAAACGTATGCCAAATTCGCGATGCCATTTCTGTTCATGTACATGCTTTATTAATGGATATGTCCGTAATATGCATATTTTACAAAAAATTAAAATATGAAGTTAAACCAAAAGAGGAGAAAAAATTGCATACTTTGCACAAAAAAGCAAATGGTGTAAAATGCACTTTTTTTTTTCCTTGATCTCAAAATGTGTCACATATGAGCGTGAAAAAAAAAAAAAAAAAAAAAAAAAACACAAATTACGCAAAAAAAAAAACAGTAAAGAAAAGTCCCCAATAAATTTGCATAAAAAAGGAATATTTAATTTTTCATGTTTTTTTCTGTAATATCACATTTTCCTATAGTATATAAAATGTTGTGTGAGGTTATTTTCCATGGAATGACCATCATCATATTGGGTTATATTATTCTCTACTTTTTCCTCCAATTGTACGTAGTATGCTTTTTTCCTGTATGTGCCAGAACAGCAATCCAAAGGCGAATATATATTTTTTTTTTATGAATTAACCATTCCCAAAATGTGTAAGAAAGGATAGGATAAGATAACAAAAGACAAAATAAGATAGGATAGCATAGCATAAGATAACATAGGATAACATAGGATAACACATGAGGTCTCTCTCTTCTCTCCTTATGGGTATGCTAAAGCCAATGTCGAATTTGTTAAAAATTTGAATTCAACAGGAGTATAATAATATAACCTCCCATGTCGGTTAATTTTGTGTGAAAAAAAATGATGTTCTTATGATGAGAAAACAATATGAATTACATGCAAAATTGTTATACATTTGGACGTGTGCCTGTTTTTTTTTTTTTTTTTTAAAATGAGAATATGCGCGAGAGGGTTTCCTCGTTTTCACATTTTTTTCAACAAGAATGAATTAAAAAAGAAAAAAAAAAAAAAAAAAAAAAATTCAGTTACAAAAAAAAAAAAAAAAAAAAAAAAAAAAAAAAAAAAAAAAAAAAAAAAAAAAAAAAAAAAAATAAATTAAAAAAAAAAAAAAAAAAAAAAAAAAAAAGCAAACTCCGTTACCAAAAAAAAAACAAAGCAAACAAACTGGGTTACAAAAAAAAAAAAAAAAAAACCAACTCTACATATGCACACTGGATGAACACACACATGGATGTCTACATTTTTTACGTGGGTGCACAGAGAAGATAGGTATGAAAACCCTTTCCATACACGTATATATGTGTATCACATGTACAGGCAAGTTTCCAGAATGTTTTTGTAATTATTATAGAAGCGAAATTGGTAAAGATGTCTTCGTGGGACGTGGGAATATTTGAAGAAGCCTTATGTGTGTAAAGTTATATATCTTACTCTCCTAAGATGTATTTTTCATTCTCTTTCTCTCTTTTTCCCTCCCCACAGAACCATCATGACGATTGCCAAATGTTCACATGGAATCGTGTAAAAATCGTTGCATATGTCTATTTTCTAAGCGCACATCTTCTCGTTCTTTGAGAAGCATTTCAGCTTTCTTAAGGACTCGACCAATTTTAAACATATCTTGAAGAACTTCCTTCTTATTCATACGATATAACTTCAATGCTGTTTTCATAATTTGCTTAACGTGATTGAATGAGTTGATATCTCTCTTGTCTACAAAAGATATGGCTAATCCTTTTCTGTTTGCTCTTGCAGTTCTTCCAATCCTATGAATATACAATACTGCATCATTTGGAAAATCAAAATTTATGACGAATGAAGTTTTTGGAATATCTATACCTCTGCTGATTATGTCTGTTGCTACTAAAATTTTACAGAACCCATTTTTTACTTTTGCTAAAGTAGCTAGTCTCTTTTTGGGATCTTTTGATGAATGTATAGATTCTACAGAAAATTTTCCCAACATAGATAAGACAGTATATATTAATTCACATCTATAACAATTGTCAGTAAAAATAATACCTGATTGATCAGCTAATTTATTCCTTAACAGATAAACCAAGTATGTTAACTGCGCAATTTCGTCTATATATATATATCTCTGATCCAAATTTTTTAGTGGTTTTTGTTTTTTATTAGCATTTACAAGAATTAAGTTATCATTTGGAAATGATTCCAACAAAAGATTCAACGAATCAGTAATGGTAGAACTGAAGAGAAGAGTTCTCCTTCTTTTTATGCTACTTCTATCTCTTCCTTCTCCAATGTCTTGGTTACCACTTTTTGGTAAATTTTCTAAAATTATTTTTAAATTCATTTCATAGCATTTTTGCAATAACAAATCTGCTTCATCTAAAACTAAAAATTCTAATCTTTTAAAACAATTTCTTACATCTTCACAATTATTTATAATATCACTCATTCTACCTGGGGTACCAACAATGATGTGTGGTTTCGCTAGTACACTTTTCCTCTGTTCAATGAGAGAAAAACCTCCTATACATGAAATAGCTTTTATACCTACTTTAAATCCATAAAGAAAAAATTGTTCAATAACTTGTATTACTAATTCTCTTGTTGGAAGTAATACTAATGCAAATATTCCAAATAAGTTCTTATTTAATTCTTGTAAGATACTCCAACAATAACATATGGTTTTTCCTGTCCCTGTTTCTGATGTTGCAATCACATTATTTCCTTTCATAATGTATGGTAAGCACAATTGTTGTATCTTTGTTGGGTAATTAATTTGCACACTTTTGCTTATTTTAATTAACCAACTTTCTACTCCCAGTTCTTCAAATGTTATCACTTCTGGTGTACCTTCAGATATGGTTTTCTTCTTACTCCTGCAAGTGAGAGGTTCACAACTTAAAGGGGTCTTCTCCAGCTTGGGTGTCTTCCCCAGCATCTCTGTCTTCTTCTCCTTTTTCGATTCTCTGCATTTTCTATCTAAATATTTTCTTATGTAGAAGAGTCTCATCAATTTGGAATACCTCAGCAGAGGACGATTCCCGTTCCTCTTCACTAACACCATGTGTGATTTACTTTCTCTATGAATGAATATCTTGGTTGTGCCCTGATATATGGTGAAAGGAACTACACTCCATTCGTCAAGGTGCACAGCCTTCGAGGAGGATTCCTCTGCCAAGTGGGGTGCCAATTCAGCTTCTAACTCAGCTTCTAACTCAGTTTCTAACTCAGTTTCTAACTCAGCTTCTAATTCATATGAAAATATGTGTGCAGCGAGAAAATAGCAGAATTCATGGCAAAAATAGATGAACATAAAATTTTCCCTACTTCACAGGTTCCTGTATTGCACTGTGATTTTCAAGCAGAAAAATGTGGGACATTCCTACTTTCAATTCTTCTGCAGTGGGGAAACTTTCCTGTTGACTTTGTCTGATTGAAGCTCCTTCACATTTGAGGAAATTTTCTATGTATTCTCGTGCCGAAGGTATGGAAGAAAATTTTCCTTTATTCTAAAATTTGTGCAAAATTTAGTCCTAGATTTTTTTTTTTTTTTTTTTTTTTTTTTTACAAACTTTCACTTTTTCAGCTTTTCTCACTTTTCCTACTTTTCTTTACCCTTGGTGTTGCTTATCCGTTTTATTCACTTTCAAATGGTCGCACGTGACGAATGAGCTAGGGGACTAACACTCTTACAGCTTTGGAAATAAAATAAATAATGTCACAAGGGAAGGGACAGATAGGGTGCTCTGAAGCAGGAATTAAGAATTGTGATAGATTTATCAGCTCTTAACAAATGGGAGGTTCTCAACTAGTGCTGTATTCTTGAACACGCGTCGCCTTCTTTTAATAGCAAGGCTTTATGCAGATACATACATATAGGTATGTACACATATATATATATATAGGTATGTACACATATATATATATATGTATGTATATATGTATGTATATATATATATATATGTATGTATGTATGTATGTATGTATGTATGTACTTCTCCTCCCCTGGCTCTGCAAATTTATCTATGGGGGCCACCCCTTCAGAATACAGCTTACGTTTTTCCTTTTACATAAATTTTATGAATTTGTTTTAAAAAGAAGGGAAAAAAAAAAAAAAAAAAAAAAAAAAAAAAAAGCAGTGTTCTGGATTTTTAGTTCTCTTTCCACTCTTCCCCTTCTGGAAATCCTTTTTTTTTTTTTTTTTTTTTTTTTTTTTTTTTTTGTAATTTTTAACAAAATGAAAGTGGGAAGAAGAGGTGGAAGAGGAGGGTATATATTTTACGGTTGTAAATTGAAAAAGCGGAATGTCAAGAGGTACAAAAATGAATCAACAAAAGGGAGACTCCCCATATATATATATATGTATGTATGTATGTATGTATATGTATGTATGTATATGTATGTATGTATATGTATGTATATGTATGTATGTAATGTATGAGTAGGTATATATTCATACTTGTGCACGCACTTATGCAGGTAACTGTTTTTTTTCTTCCTTTTTTCTCTCCCCCTTTCAAGTGGGGTATGTATGCTATACATATGTATCCATCTAACAACTGTCCGTTGAATAAGAAAAACGAAGAGAGATTTAAAATGTATTCTTTGTTACTTCTCCATATGAAACTAGACTTTTTACCACGTTTTTTTTTTTTTTTTTTTTTTTTTTTTTTTTTTTTTTTTTTTTTTTTTTTTTTTTTTTTTTTTTTTTTTTTTTTTTTTTTTCCCATATTTTTCTTTTTTCTTTCTTTTTTGCGTAACTTTTTTTCCCGATTTACTGATACACGTGGATAGGGAAATATATCTGTCGGGTCTACAGAGATACTCCAAAAAAAAAAGCCAGCAAGTAAAACAAATATAAGTCCCAAAATGTATTAACCACAAAAAAGAAAAAAAAAAAAAAAAAATAAACAGATAGATGATAGGTAGATTGAGAGAGAAAAAAAAAAGGTAAATAACATAACGTAGGAAAATAAAAAAAAAAAAAAAAACTATTTATTAATGCCCAATCAAACAGGCAATTCATTTTTTTTTTTCCCCATTTTTTCCCCATTTTATTTGGGCCATTGTCAAAAAAAAGAAGCAACACTTTTGTACCTTTTTTTTTTTTTTTTTTTTTTTTTTTTCATTCCGTCCCTCCAACGTTTGTAGAACATACACAATCGTACCTATTTTCCTTTCGCGCATTCGTCCTTCCACTCGGACAACAGAAAAAACTTGTATGTATCGTCATACATACATGCATACACATATGTATACGTAGGTACATACGTCCGTACATATATGCACCCGTATGTATATGCTGGGTGGCCACTAGTGACATCTTCTAAATTAAACAACCACGTACTTGTGTATATTCCTTTTCATGCGCTGCCCATTTTACTTGTTACCATAACAGAGAGAAACAAATTCATTTTTACTTTGAAGTAAAAATGAAATGACAGGCAAAAGTCATCACTTGTATTAGGGATCGATACAATTCTTTTTCCTTCTTTTAGTAAAAAAGGGAGAAACGACAGGTGAGACATCAGAAGCGAGACGTGAGACATCAGAAGCAAGGCGTGAGGGATGAGACCCAGTATTACACATTGGAATTTTATCCCAGCAATTTTACATACATCAATTCGTCTCAATAAAAATTTGCACTTTGTTCTTATGCTCATGCATACATAAGAGGAGAAAACACATGCTCTCTTTTCTCTCCTGCATATTATGTATGTTCTAGAACGAGATGAAATTTCTTATTGAGAGCTTAAAAATGAGCATATTAAAAAAAATTTTTTTTTTTTTTTCACTCCTTCTCTATCTCTTTCTTATAGTGTTAATCAAATTGGAACCCACAGGAACAATTTGTGAATAATTATAATAAAAAAAAAAAAAAAAAAAAAACCTATACAGATAACACATCCGTGTAAGAAATGCACTCGAGAAGATACCTTATGCATGTGTTGACATTTTAAATTGGTAGCATCTTAACGTGGCAGCTTCTTAACGTGGCAGCTTCTTAACGTGGCCATTTGTTCATTAGTTAAAAACCTACTGTACAGCACCAAGCATTTTCTTTTTCGAAAAATTCTGAAAACCTCCCCTCACTCACACCCCTTCCCCAACTTTTCAAACGCGCCAAACGCTTCAAACATTTCAAACATTTATATATGAGAAAAAAAAAAAAAAAAACTGTGGTTGAAGAGACAAACCGCACTGTTAATTAGACTAAAGAGAATCGCTAGTTAAAGGAAAAAGCAGAAAAGGCTGAGAAGTAAAGAGAGAAAAAAAAAAAAAAAAAAATTATCCCAATTAATTTTGGAGCAGTAAGTTTTCCCACTACCCAAAGTGTGTAATCTGAAAAAAAAAAGTAGACGCCTGCAGAATGGCCATCCGGGTACAGTTTGAAAATTCAAATGAGGTTGGTGTATTTTCAAGAATAACAAATTCTTATGCTTTGATAGCATTGGGAAGTTCAGAAAATTTTTCAAGTGTATTTGAATCTGAGTTATCACAACATATTCCTCTTGTGTATACAACAATTGGAGGGACGAAAGTTATAGGAAGAGTGTGTGTAGGAAATAGAAAAGGTTTACTTGTTTCTAGTATATGTACTGATCAAGAATTGTTACATTTAAGAAATGCATTACCTGAAAATGTAAAAATAAGAAGAGTAGAAGAACGTTTATCAGCACTTGGGAATTGTATAACTGCAAATGATTATGTTGGATTAGTACATACAGACATAGATAAAGAAACAGAAGAAATAATTCAAGATATATTAGACATTGAAGTATTTAGAACATCTATAGCTGGAAATTTACTAGTTGGAACTTATTCCTATTTTACAAATAATGGTGGCTTATTACATGCTATGACGTCGTCACAAGAAATAGAAGAATTATCTGAACTATTACAAATTCCATTGATTACAGGTACGGTTAATAGAGGTAGTGATCTTATCGGTGCAGGTCTCGTAGCTAATGATTGGTCTGCCTTCTGTGGCATGGATACTACTGCTATCGAATTAAGTGTTATTGAAAAGGTCTTCAAGCTCAATAATATAGAAGATGCAAATATGGAAGACAGTTTCAAGTACAAGTCATCCATAATCCAAACGATGATATGATTTAGAAACCATGATATGATTTAGAAACCATGATATGATTTAGAAACCATGATATGATTTAGAAACCATGATATGATTTAGAAACCATGATATGATTTAGAAACCATGATATGATTTAGAAACCATGATATGATTTAGAAACCATGATATGATTTAGGGATATATCTTTCCCTTCCCCCGAACTCCCTACCTACACACACCTGCCAAATGAAAATATACACATAATCTTTCCACATTTATATGCCCACAATACATACTTGTTTATCTGGAATCTGTACTCAACTTCTCCCCATCTTCACGGAATTTCACGCGCTTTGCTAGGTTGCTTCATTTTACACTGCTTTACTTTTATATTATTTTTTTTTTTTTTTTTTTTTTTAATAAAATTTTACCCATAGGGGAGAGGGGAACCTCCAACCCAGATGAACAACCAACACAACCATGCTTACGTTGTCTTTGTGGTGCAATATTTTTTTTAAGAATTATGTCAGTGCCCACTACACATGCATAATATGGAATTTCTAAGAAAGTGCACTCTTTCTGCATCCTACATTCTGATTGGTGATACATATATATATACATACATATATATATATATATATATACATACATATATATATATATATATATACATACATATATACATACATATATATATATATATATATATATATGTGTCCGTTTTGAATTCGGGTAAAACTATACTTACCCCGTCATCCTGTTTAATTCATGGCCAGAGGAGATTAGCCGCTTCTCTTTGCTCCATTTAAGGGAGTTTGCTTTGGAAAAGAGAACAAAAATTGGGGTTCAAATTTTTGGAAGTTGAACTTTTTTGAAGCTCTAATTCTTGGAAGTTCAACTTTTTTCAAGTTTTAATTTTTTCAAGTTTCAATTTTTTCAAGTTGAACTTTTTCAAGTTTCAATTTTTTCAAGTTTTAATTTTTTCAAGTTTCAATTTTTTCAAGTTGAACTTTTTCAAGTTCTATCTGGATTTGGATCAAACGCTCGCATGAAACAAAACAATGCAATGGTTATGACAAGTTGGATGCAAAGTAAAAAGATGCACTGCGTATATATATATATGTACCCTTCTGCATGTACGTAACTATAAACATTTATGCATGGTGATGAATTATATAAGGATTCGAAAAGATGAGAAGAGAAAAGCAAATTCTCTCATTTGTGCTGAATTCTTCGAGGTTTTTTTTATCCCTCCATCAGTTTATTTTGTGTGTGTGTGTGTGTGTGTGTGTGACTCAAAGAACCGATGCAATCTGGGTCACGCCTCAAACATATCGCGAGTTGATTCTCCACCCCTCCTCCTTTGCTGCTTTTCCATTTTGGATGATTTGGCTCACGTCTAATCGATTATCACTACAATCTAGGGATTTGGCAAAATCTTTCACACTTTTACAGACCTCTACTCCCACGCACTCCTACTTCTGCAACTTCTGCTGCTTCTGCAACTTCTGCTGCTTCTGCAACTTCTGCAACTTCTGCTGCTTCTGCAACTTCTGCAACTTCTGCTGCTTCTGCAACTTCTGCAACTTCTGCTGCTTCTGCTACTTGCGCTACTTTTTTTGAGTCCGCCCGCTGACCTTCTAATTTTTTGTAAAAACAATGCTGACCTCGTTGTTACCAGCAAGACTTATACACTCTTGGTGCATCTTTCCCTCGAGCTTCTCATAATGGTCATGGGAGGTAAGGATGTTAAGTTGACGACGAAGACATTTGTGGATGTATGGCAACTCACTAAGCATGCTGTTTCTCAAACGTTGATCTGAAATGAAAACATGCATTTGTACAGGGGAATTTTGATTTAGGGATAGATTTTTTCTCATTTTTTGAATATGATTACATAGTTCTCTAGCATTTGCCATGTCTTCAAGTTGTTGATCTGCTGTGAAATCCATAAGAACAGTTACAGATTCGCTGCTAATAATTTCTGTATTGTTGTCTTTCAGGGTTGGTTTCATTTGGATGATAATGTCATCTCCCTCTAGGAGAATTCCATCTAAAATGATTTTGTTTTCTTTTTTATATTTTTCAATAGATTGTGAATCCATATTTTTTATATGGTTTTGTATATTTTTCAAATTTCCTCCTAATTTTATTCCAAGATTTTTATAATTTGGAACTGCTGTGAAGTTTATGCAACTCGTGTCATTTGAATATTCAATATGTAATACGTTTAATTCTTCTTTTATATAATGCCATATTTTTTCAAAATTTGTAAAGAAATCTACATTTTGGTGCAAAATTTTTACACTTCTAAGAGGTTTTTTAATTGGCACCTTCCTTCTTTCTCTTAGAATTCTTCCCAACAAGATGATGGATTTCATTTTTTCGATCAGTTCAATAATTTCATAATCGATTGTGTAATTTTCATCTACTTGTGGCAGAAATTGAAAGTGCACGCTCATATTTCGTTCTTCTTCCACTACTCCTTTGTAATCCAAATTTTGTTTCACTGTAACATTGTCGCTATTTCCATCTGGTTCAGCTTCAACACTAATACTACTACTACTAGGCTGTGTAACAGAATCCATTGCTACTCCCTTCAATAATTGATAAATATATTCAGTAATGTATGGAGTAAAGGGTGCCATAAGGATAGTAAACAAATACAATGTCTTATATGTTGTGCTGAGAGATTGCATGGCATTTTCTTCACCCATGGTTCCTCTCATTCGGTCTCTATTAAGTCTTATGTACCAATTTGTTAAATTTTCAATGAACTGTAAAAGTTTTGGAAGAACATTATACAACTTGTAGACCTTCATTTCTAAATGAACAACTTTAGTCAAATTTTGAATACATGAAAAAATCCACTTATCCATAATATTTTCATTATTATAAATCCATTTTTCTTCAAAAATGAATTTTTTATTATTCATAGTTTCGAATCTAAGAACTTCTTGTGTAAAAAATCGAAAGCTATGATAGTATGGAAGAATAAAACTTTTGACAATTTCATTTACACCTTTTTCTTGAAATTTTAAATTTTCTGCACGAACTGCAACTGAGTTTATTAAATATAATCTCAAACTATCAGCACCATATTTATTTAATATGTACATTGGATCAGGATAATTTTTTAATCTTTTACTCATTTTTTTTCCATCTGAAGCAAGTACAAGACCATTACAAATTAAATTTTTAAAAGGGGCCTTATTAAATAATAAAGAACTAATCACTAGTAGTGTATAAAACCAACCTCTGGTTTGATCTAACCCTTCTGCTATAAAATCAGCTGGAAATATTTTTTCAAAATCTTCCTCTTCTGTACTGAACGGATAATGTACTTTTGCATATGGCATCGAACCACTTTCAAACCAACAATCAAATACTTCTGCAATCCTTTTTAATTTTGGATATTCCTTTCCTTTTGGATTATCAATTTCAATATCATCAATAAAATGTCTATGTAAATCTTTTATATTTTCTACCCCAGACAGTTTTTTTAAATGTTCTATACTTTCTACACATATGATTGATTCCATTTTTTCATCTGTCCATATAGGTATAGGGGTTCCCCAATATCTATTTCTACTTATACACCAATCCTTTGCATCCTTGATCCAATTATGAAATTTTTTTTCTTTGATATGATGCGGAATCCAATAGGTCGATTCATTATTTTTTACTAATTCTGTTGTGGAATTATGTACCCTAACAAACCATGCTGGAATTGCTCTGTATATCAATGGGGTGTCACTTCTCCAACAGAATGGATATGAATGTACTATTGTATTATTGCTTAGTAATGCATTTTTGTTTTTTAAATATTTTTTTATCACATTATCTGCATCTTTTATGTACATATTTTCAACTTCTTTAATTTGGCTAGTAAAATATCCATTTGCATCTATTGGATCAATAAAAATAGAATTCTCAGGATCACAAATTCCATTCTTTTGACATACTCGAAAATCATCTTCTCCATATGTTGGAGCACAATGTACTATTCCTGTACCTGCATCATCTGTTACAAAATCGTCTACTAAAATTTTATATGCACGTTCTTTGAAGTTGTATTTTTCATAAAAATGGATAAACAGAGGTTCATACTTTAAGTTCTTCAAATATTTTCCCTTGAATCTGTTGAGGATTTGCAAATCTTCTATATTCCATTTCAGCTCTTTTAAAATCCATTCAAGCCGAAATTCTCCCACTATCACCACTCGATTCAATTTCATATGCTTCATTCTCAGATATATAAAGTTCTCATTCACACATAGGGCCAAGTTAGATGGAAGAGTCCAAGGTGTTGTAGTCCACGCTAAAATTTCATTTTTATTATTATTTGATACATTGTCTGTGGAATCTCTTTCCTCTTGTTCATCTGTTTGGTTCATTGTTTCTTCACGTTTTTTTTCACTACACAATGCAGCAAATTTTTCATAAATCTTTTTTTTTTTTTTTGCTTCATCAAATGATAGATTCTCTTCTTCATCTTCCACATTGGGAAAATCGGATAGAATGGTGAAACTAACTATTATACTTGGATCTGGAGTGTCTTTATAATTTAAATTAAGTTCAAAATTTGATATTGGAGTGTTACATTTGCAAGAATATGGCATTACTTTGAAAGATTTGTATATGTAATTTTTTTTATAAAGTTGACCAAACACCCACCAGACACTTTCCATGAATGTTGTATCCATGGTTTTGTAATCATTCTTAAAATCAATCCATCTTCCTATACGTTCCACTGTATGAATCCACTCGTTTGAATATTTTAAAACTATACTTCTACACTTTTCATTATATACATCTATACCCATTTTTAAAATATCTTCTTTTTTGTTGATATTATTTTCTTTTTCAATTTCATATTCAATTGGTAATCCATGACAATCCCATCCAAATTTTCTCTCTACTGAATATCCACATTGGTAATGATATCTAGTAACACAATCTTTTATAATCCCAGCTAGTAAATGCCCATAGTGTGGTAATCCTGTAGCAAAAGGAGGTCCATCATAAAATATAAATGGCTTTTTCTTTTCAGCTAATTTATTTGATAAATTAAAAGCATCAATACTTTTCCAGTAAGTTAATATTTTTTCTTCTTCTTCTACAATATTTGGATTTTCAGCTATTCCTTCAAATGTAACATTATTATTCTTTCTTATAGTCATTATTTCTCTTTTAGATAAATGTACACTTCTCTTAATATTCTGTTTTCCTATTTCTTCCTCTTTGTGTCTTATTCTTACTTTTTCTCCTCTCAGTGTCTTATCTCTTATGTATCTCTTCACTTTACACACACTACTATTGTTTCTTCCTCGTGGTAATCTACACAGCAGCATAAAAAATGTCCACTTGTTTGATATACTCTTTTTAATCGAGTGTGCAGTATGTCTGTCTTTCCTAGGGAAGCGTTCAAACGGGTGCAAATGTATGCATACAAAGGTACACACTAGGGTACATGCAAGGGTACACACTAGGGTACGCACTAGGGTACGCACTAGGGTACGCACTAGGGTATATACAAGGGTACATCTATGTTTTCCCTCTTTTCATTCGCTTCTATAAATCCAACTTTTCTGAATTCCCTTTTTTTTTTTATTATCTTTTTTTTTTTTTTTCTTTCATCAGAAAAGGTGAAAAAAAAATGGGGTGCAGTAAAACAAAATTGAGATGACGTGATGCAAAATTGGGGTGGTGTAAGGCAAAAATGAAAACACGCTTAGTGTTGTTTATGAGAAAAATTAAATGCCTGCTTGAGTGTAAAACATGCCACGCCTGAGTGTGCAGGGAAAATCGAGAGAAGTTCCTTGCTGCTGAGTCATCTTCGAGCGGATATGTATGTTCATGTGAAAACACTTGTAAAATCTGCACATGAATTTCAGTTATGTATGTGTCCATGCTCAACCCACAGACACATTTTTGTAAGCATGCAAAAATGTGGCAAAAAATTTTGAGAAATGTCCCAAAAAAAAAAAGAAGCATTTACAATTTTTTGCTCACGCGGAAAAATGAAGAAACATTCTTGTATAGTTGATTACTTTAGTAAATTGAAGGTCCCTATACATTATTTTTTTTTTTTTGCAAATCTGTTGTTGGGTTATAATTTACCCTTTGTTCGCGGTGTGCTCGCGGAGTTCTTGAAGTGATTTTTTTTTTTTTATTTTGCTTTGTTTATTTTGCTTTGCTTTATTTTGCTTTGCTTTATTTTGCTTTGCTTTATTTTGCTTTGCTTTATTTTGCTTTGCTTTATTTTGCTTTGCTTTATTTTGCTTACTTTATTTTATTTTTTTTCCATCTCTCAACTTTTATCTGGTTCAACTGAATGAATGCTTAATTTGCTACGAATAATTTAACTCCTTCTCCCCATTTGTGCAATTATTATTATTTTTTTTTTTTTTTACATTTTTTTTCATAAAATGGCATACCAAGCATATATGCTAGTTACCTCAGCACTGCAGTGGAGATGAATTAAAATTTTTTCGTTTAACATGAAATATGAATAAACTTGAAAAAAATCTCTTGTACAACCTTGAGAGGTTATAGGGCATGGAGCTGGCACACACGCAACAGAATTGTGAATGGTTACAGAGTTGTGAATGTTACAGAATTGTGAATGTTACAGAATTGTGAATGTTACAGAATTGTGAATGTTACAGAATTGTGAATTTTACAGAATTGTGAATGTTACAGAATTGTGAATTTTACAGAATTGTGAGTGTGGTGATGACGGGGTTTGTGTATGCCACAGGTTATGTATGGCTAAAGTTATAAATACATGACTTTTTTTTTTTTTTTTTTTTTTTTTTTTTTTTGGTGCATACAAGTTTATGTGGTTCCCACGGGGTTCTTTATTTTATTTTATTTTTTTTTTTTTTCATCCCATCCTTTGTATCATCTATATACTTCACCATTATTTTACCTCTGCTTCCATCATTGCTATTTCCTTTTTTGTCACCTTTTTGTCACCTTTTTGTCACTTTTTTGTCACTTTTTTTTGTTTTTCTTCCACCGTAATACAGCAGCACACTAACTGTAGCAACACTTGTCCCCTTTTGTGGATTCCCCACCTATATGATGTCATAAAAAAAAAAAATTCGAAAGAAAAAAAAAAGTTTCATTTCATGTATCTCACAAAAGTCCATGTGCAATATATTTTTTTTTACGAACCATAAAATAAGCACACAGGTGAACATCTCTTTTTGCGTTATTCTCTCTCTCTTTTTTTTTTTTTTTTTTTTTACACCTGCGTGTGATTTATAAGCTACTTTTTTTCTTTTTACATGTTACAGGAGCTTACATAAGAGGTTTTTAAAAATGCTTATGGGGAAAGGGGTCTTAAAGAAAAAATAAAGAAAAATAAAAAATATTGTAATTTGCAGTAAGTAGCCATTTCACATTTCTGAGTTTGAGTTGCATTCACTAGCATTACTGGGATACCACAAAAGGAAAAAAAGAAAAGAAAAAAAAGAAACAGGTTTCCCTTTTCCCCTGCCCACCGCACGCATATATACGTGCATATATACATGCAAAAATACATGCAAAAATACATGCTAACATACATGCAAACATACATGCTAACATACATGCAAACATACATGCATAAATACATACATACATTCATACGTACACCCATACATGTAATAATTCCTCAGCACCACATCATATATGGACGCTTATCCAACTTAAACACCTTTCAAAATGAAAGTCTACGCATTTGTATCCCTCGTTTCTCTATCCCTATCAACAATTTTAGCGAAAAGAATTTCGTTAAGCAATAATTTGGTGAGTCTAAGAGAGTTCATTGAACATGAAAAGTTCGTGTTCAAAAAAAAAAAAAAAAAAAAAAAAGAAAACTCTCAGAACAGTTACCTCTCTTATTGGAAATCAACAAAACTGTGGGATTCAGTCTATGGTGCATTCCCAAATTTGCACATTAGACAAAATGTTGTCTCCTCTGTTATTTCGATTGTTTTGCAAAAGATACTGTTCATGTGGAGATAAATGTCAAAATATTCTCCTTGTAACTTCACCAATGGTGTTATAAACGAAATTTGAATCAAACCCTTTGTTATTTTGCCATTCTGCTATTTTTTTTTACTTTTCTATTTTTCTATTTTTTCAGAATTTTGTCACGAGTAATCCGAAACAGCTACAGCGAACTTCCTCGCAAAGACTGCGGGCAACAGGTTCGGGATTTTTACCAAATTACATTTTTTGTTACACTATATTATCATATTATATTTCTACATTATATAATTACTGTTTGTTTATTATTGTTTGTTTATTATTATTTATGCATTATTATTTATGCATTATTATTTATGCATTATTATTTATGCATTATTATTTATGTATTATTATTTATGCGTTATTATTTATGTATTATTTTTTTTTTTTTTTTTACCTGAACGTTTTTGCAAAGCGATTGGTGCAAATTTATTCCTTACATGTTATTTTTTCCCCTTTTGTGCGTGACCTACCAAAAGCTTAATGTACACAATATATCGTGTGCACATATATGTACATATGTACAAATACATACGAACGTGTGTTTGCATGTTCCTCGGTACGCTTAGTACCCAATTTTTAAAGACGAACGGAAGTTCATCAACCCTATTTATTTTCCCTATAAAATTTAAAACCTTTGTTTAGAGTACAAACTGGATAATAAAATAATAAGAGGTCCCCTAACACCACTTAACGAATTTGTTTTGATTCAAAAGGATGAAGCGTATGACACCACGGAATCTGGAGTCTTCATTGGAGACACGGTATAATTGCATAATAACATATTCATTTGACACGTAGTAACATTACCACATGGCCATTTTATTGATTTGTCTATACACCATCATATCTTTTACCACTTTTCATCTACAGATGCGAAAGAACCAGTACATTGGAAAAGTTCTAGGAGTTGGCACAGGAGTAGTCAACATGAAAAACGGGTAAAAAATACATCACCAAAACGAGTAACCAGAAATTAGGAACAATGAAGAGGAAACATGTTTGTGAATATGCACTGATTAGAGGATATAAAACAAATCATCCCATATGAAAAAAAAATACTCGTAGTACAAACCCGCTAAAAGAAAATATGTCACAAAATATGATTGTGTAGAATGAAATATTTATGCAACATGGGGATAGCGTATTATATTTTCATGTAACCCCAATTTGTGTAAACATTTTAAACAAAACTGTTACTGCGCGTATAGGCTGAATTTTTAAAAATAAAGAAAATTTTAAAAATAGAATACTATAAAAGCGCAAAAAAAATAAAATAAAATAAAATAGATCTTTTTTTTTTTTTTTTTTTCGTTTTTTCTTCTTCATTTACATATAATGTGTGAGAAGAAACACGTAGAAAAAAAAAAAAAAAAAAAAAAAAAAAAAAATGCAAAAAAGACATGATCATACAGAATAATTATATCATTTTTTTTTTTTTTTTTCTTATTAACGTGTTCATAACATTATGATCATAAGCTTGGCACATTTTTCATTATTTTTTATTCCATTTTGCTTGATTTTGCTTGGTTTTGCTTGGTTTTGCTTGATTTTGCTTGGTTTTGCTTGGTTTTGCTTGGTTTTGCTTGGTTTTGCTTGGTTTTGCTTGACTTTGTTTTATTTTGTTGATTTTGTTTTACTTCATTTTTTTTTTGTGCCCACATATCCCCCCACCCTTCCCCATTTCAGCGAAAGAGTGCCAATAGACATCCATGTTGGCGATGTCGTGATTTTTAACCCAAGTGATGGAAACAAAGTAAATCTTTTTGCAATGAAGTAGTGTTATGATTATTCTGGTGAATGAGAACATATGAGAAGAAAAATAATAAACATTTTTGTATAAAAATATTTCACCAATTGAGGATATTATAAAAAAATCGTTCGTCACATTAAGGTACACATATATATGTGTTTTGTTCACTATTGATTTCTTCTCGTAGATAAAGTACAATGACAAGGAATGCTTACTAATATCGAACGAAGAAATTCTAGCAAAAATTAATGACATGTCTGATGAGGTAAAGCCAGACAATGTCACCCCCATTTATGACCGCGTGTTAATAAAATTAGTGAACACAAATGTAACTTCCGATTCGTTAATAATTATGCCTGAATCTAAGAACAGCGATAAATCCACTGATGGGCTGGTTGTAGCAGTTGGAGATGGAATTTACGATTCGAATAATAATAAAGTTCCAATGGATATACGTGTTAATGATTATATAAAATTTTCTCCCTTCTCGAATGAAAGTTGCGAATTTACATATAACGGTGAAAAGTTCACGTTTGTAAAGGCTAGGTATATCATGGCCAAGTATTAACAAGCGTTAAGAAGTATTAGCAAACATTAAGAAGTGTTAGCAAACATTAAGAAGTGTTAGCAAACATTAAGAAGTGTTAGCAAACATTAAGAAGTGTTAGCAAACATTAAGAAGTATTAACAAAAAAAAAAAAAAAAAAAAAAATCTTGGCTAGCTGGGCTGAAATGTGTGTGCATTTTTTTTTTTTTTTTTTAAAAAGTTTCAATGTTTTTCATACCCCTCTAGTTGTCCAAGTTGACAACTGTGGCTTTTCTGTCACTATCCTTTTTGATTACCCACTCTTGTTTATCTTCTTAATTAGCACTCCTTCCCTACTTATGTCTTTTGAAATTCCAGAGAAGAAAAATTCCTCCTGCACGTATATGATCCATGCATTTCGCACGTATATTTCAGCGTACGTGCATGTATGTGTATTTATATATATATTTGCTTGCGTATTTACTTCATATTTGTGTGCGTGTCTATATGTATATTTACATGTGCTTGTACTTGTAAATGCCCACAACGCCACATTTTTTAATAATTTTTTTGTAATCTTATTTGAACTTGTATGAAACAAAATAGACAATATAAACATAATAGACAGAATAAACAAAGTAGACAGAAATAACCAAAATAATTCTCTGCATTTTTTTTTTCGTCTTTTTTTTTTAACATGCAAATTTAAGTGTAGTTTTCTACACAAACAGATATCACACACGTTTGCACCGTGTTCCTTTTATACGTAGGGTTTATTTGACAAAAAAAAAATAAAGCATGTATACACATTTGGTTTGAAATTGTGAAGAAACAAGGAATCCTTCAAGTGTTTTTTTTTTTTTTTTTTTTTTTTTTTTTTTTTTTTCATGTTAAAAAGTTTAAAATTTTTCCACGCAGTTGAAATGGCAACTGAAAAAAGAGGGGATAAAAAAATATTTTTTTTGTATGTTTTTGTGTATACTTGTGTTTTTGGGTTTTTTTTAAAAAAAAAAAAAAAAAGCATGTAAAAAAATTTTGTTTTAAAATTTGAAAAAAAAAAGAAACATTTTAATTTTTTTTTTTTTTTTTTTTTTTTTTTTTTTTTTTTTTGCATGTTAAAAAGTTTAACATTTGTCCACGCAGTTGAAATGGCAACTGAACACAGAGGGTATAAAAAATTATCTATGTTGAATGTTTATGTGTATGCTTGAGTTTTTTTTTTTTATCTAAGGATGAGAAAAAAAAATGTTCAGCAAAAAAAAAAAAAAGAGAAGAATATCCTCTATTATGTAAAGGGAGAGAACAGGTGAGAAATCTCACGAATGTGCAAAATTGAGAATGGAAAGAACGGCACGCAATAGGCGTAGTGTTATAACTGGGTAAATGTGTGTGTGATATATATCAGTAATAATACATAGAATATCCGCTATGGCATAATTGTTCATACTATTTTTTAATTCCCTGTAGTTTTTTCCGTATATTGGAGATTCCCCACAGTCACATGTTCTAATATAGTAATCAATGAGCTCACGTTCACGCACATATTCATATTGGTGTTCATAATATTTTCTTACATGTTGGATATATTGAACTGACACAAAAATACATATAGCCTCCTCCAACTCTGGTGATAGATAGAAAGCTAAACTTTTGTGGAATTTATTAGAACCGCTTGTATATTCGGCCTCAAAAGAATTATGGTGTAATTTTTTTGCAATTCTTTGTATTTTTTCAAAATATATTGATTTCTGAAATTTTGAAATCCATAAGTATGCATGCATTAACTCGTGGGAAATATAAAAAGAAAATGATATTTCTGGCAACGAATTCGTTAAAGACAAATGATCGACAAGTTTTATATGTTCATTATTTCGAGGAATAAGCTCGTTTAACTTTAAATTTTTATATTTATAATTTTTTTTCTTTTTATTTTGTTCATGTAAAAGGAGCAATTTTTTTTGAGAAACGGTCACACAGTTACATGACGCGACAATATTTATTTCTTCTTTCGAATTTCCTCTGAATTTATTTTTCAGGTATATAATATCGGTAGACTTCAGTTTATTGTTTATCAACCTTTTAAATATTTCCTCTTCATTCTCTTGATTTAAAAACGATAGCACAACCTGCATGTCATAACTTTCCCCACTGTTTGGAGTACTGATCCTGGCCGCAACCCTAGAGGCAGTTCTGGCAGCAATACGAGTCGAGAGGTTAGTGGCAATGCGATTTACTATTTGTTTCATACTCTTCCTTTCATCCTTCTCTCCACGTTTCGGTTTGAGCTCCGGTCTGAGTTCGGGCCCACCTTTCGACCATCCTTTCGACCATCCTTTCGACCATCCTTTCGACCTTCCTTTCGACCTCCCTTTCGACCTTCCTTTCGACCTCCCTTTCGACCTCCCTTTCGACCTTCCTTTCGATCTTCCTTTCGATCTTCGTTTCAGTCTACTTTTCGAGTCACTCACCTCATCACTTACCTCATTACTCCCCGTCTCACGCTTCATCACTGTGGTCGAATTTATCTCATCGCCCAAATTTTCCAGAAGAGAATGGTCCACTTTCACATGATTCTCCACTTGAAGAGAACTTATGGTTCTCCTATACTTCGTTTTTTTTCTTATCCTGCTACTCAACAATTTGAAATACCCCAAGAGAGTGGTAGAAGTTTCCCATTTATGCAAATTTAATTTTTTGGAAATTTTTTTCTTCTTTAGTTCATATTTTTCTGATTCCAAACTTTTCTTGCTTGTTTCAGCAGATTGATCATTTTTCACAACTGGTACTAATTCAGCTGTAGAAATTGTCATTTTCGAAGTAGGAAAAGTTCCATCGCTCTCATTTGTTCTTTGGATAGTAGGACTTTCCCCCTTATTCTTCTCTTCTACTAATTTGCATTTTTCGAAATTTACATTTTGCTGATGGGATGGAATGTTCACCATATTTCTCCCTCCACTGATGTAGACTTCTTCTATCTCTTCAGCGAAATCTGTCTCAGAATTATATTTTTTTTTTTTTTTTTTTTCTTTTTTTTTTTTTATTTGTCTATGGTTATAATACTTGGAACGGCTGAACCTGCTTAGGAATCTTTTGATGGCTTTGTTTTTTTTATTCCATTCCAATTTAGGGTTCTTCACCTCACTACTCTCCTTGTCATTTGGCTTCTTCAGGATGTTCTCCTCTTCCATTTGTGAGATTTCACGTTGTACATCTTTTTGCACATACCCAATATGGTCATATTCAAAGGTGCAGAGATGATTTGCATCATTGTATTTCTCCTTATTGAACGTGTAAATATTTTGATAGGTAACAAAATTTGGAGGAATTTTAATACCTATGTGATAATCCAAAATCTGTAAAATATGAGGTATCAAATTCCCTAATTTTTTATCACAACAGACAATGGGTAATGCGCTACATATTTCACATAAATTATCGTATTGTGATTCACAACAAGAAGAATAAGTACGAGATGATATATTATTTTCTTTTATTTTTCTTTCACATGAGATACAGGATTTCAAATTAATTTTACATTTGCTACACATCTTATATGATTTCCACATAATGTGGTAGTATGCTATCCCATCTGTTCTACCGAAGCAATAACAGCAAGTATCTTTTACGGATGTTTCCATATGGATATTTTTTATGAAAAAAAAAAAAAAAAAAAAAAAAACTAACTTGTCTATCGTTTTGCTAGTGACGTCATGAAAACAAATGTGAAGACATAACAATTTTCTATCTATATGTACATTTAAAATTTTTAAGGAAAAAAAAAAAAAAAAAAAAAAAAAAAATTGACATGATTACTACACGTTCATATGAAGATAAAGTAAAGTACTTCATAGTTAATTTCCATAATAAAAAGAAGTATGAAACACATCATTGTGAAAATTTGCCTACAAATTATTTGCAATCGAAGCAGAGGTAAAGGATCTGCATACGAGTAGCAAATGAATCTGTTGTAACAAAGAATCGTGTAAAGACATAGACACCAACACAGATACAGGTACAGGTGCAGGTATGTATCATCGAATGGGTACCAGTGTACATAAGGATGGACATGCATGATTTTATTATTTCAAAGCGGGGATTAATGATGGTACAAATTGGGGGGTGGGGGAGAGGTAGTTTCAGAAAGTTTTACCTAGCTAAATGCTATTGGAAAGGAGCAAATATGAAGAGGTAAAAAACTGGTAAGCAATAAAAATAGTAACAATGAACAGGTAAGAAATAGTAAGTGATGAAAATGAAAAACGAAAAAAATCAAAATGGGAAAAAAAAAAAAAAAAAAAAATATAGCACATCATAAGGAGGAAAAAAAAGACAAGCAAAATGAAGATAAGTGTACCTGTGCCAATCTTTCCTAATCCCATGTCAAAAAAAAAAAAAAAAAAAAAAAAAAAAAACAGTTCGGTTAATCCTCACAAAAAAAGTTAAACATATTGTAAAGTGGAACAAATATGCAAAACATGGTCTCCATTTTTTGCCTTTGTTTTTCAAAAATTTTAATTTATAAGGGCTCTTGTTTTAGTCTCCCTTTTTTATGCTTTGGATAGGAACAAAAAAAATTAAAAATTGGTTGCAAAATTTTGTTCGTAAAAGGAAATGCAAAAAAGTTTTGTTAAAAAAGGACGCAAACAAGTTTTGGAAAAAAAGGACGAAAAAAGTTTTGGAAAAAAAGGACGAAAAAAAGTTTTGGAAAAAGTTGTTTCAATGAATCCTTGTTCAATGTGGTAAGGTTTATCTTACAAAGTTGATGGCACCAAAATGAGCGCTTAAACTTGATAAGACTTATTTTGTAGAGTGTGTCTAAATGATTCACACGATGTTGTAAAAGAATAAAATGAAATAAAATAAATGAGGCAAAAAAATGAGACAAAAAAATGAGACAAAAAAATGAAACAAAAAAAATGAGACAAAAAAATGAGACAAAAAAATGAAACAAAAAAAATGAGACAAAAAAATGAAGCCAAAAAATTGAAGCAAAAAAAATGAGACAAAAAATGAAGCCAAAAAATTGAAGCAAAAAAAATGAGACAAAAAAATGAAGTCAAAAAATTGAAGCAAAAAAAATAAACCATGAAAAATAACCTCTCACAAGTTAAAAAATAAACGGGGGTGAAGCATTGGAGAAATATTGGAAATTCGCTAAAAAAAAAAAATAATAATAATGAATGGTCATATTCGCCTGAACAAGCAAGATTAAAAAAAAAAAAAAAAAAAAAAAAAAGGAGAATCATTGGAGAAATAGTGACAGTAGAATACGGTAAAAAAAAAAAAAAAAAATGAATAAAAAGCTAACACATTTGCCTGAACAAGCAAGGTCAAAAAAAAAAAAAAAAAAAAAAAAAAAAAAAGAAACAAAACAAAACAAAGCAAAGCAAAATAAAATAATCATATTGACTATTCCTTTATAAATTTCGCCAGTTTAAAGAAAGAAAAATGAGGATTTATCTTACTTGCGCGATAAAAAGAACATAAATGCTGATTAACATAAATAAGTGAGTTTACACAATTAGAAAAAAAAAAAAAAAAATCATAGAGAAAAACTAAGGAAAAACCAAAGAAAAACCAAAGAAAAACCAAAGAAAAACCAAGAGAAAAAATGACATGATTGAATATCATTGGAGAAGCTTGTATTCTTCGCTTATTCAAACATATGCCGGACGTGTATTAGATCGAATGTTTAACTGTTTTAGATGAGAAAGAGAGGAAAAAAGTATATAGAAGTATATCGCAAAAAAAAAAAAAAAAAAAAAAAAAGAGGTGGACAACTTCATAGGCAGCAACTTAAAAAAGAGAAATAGTGTAAAATGAAATGGAAAAAATAAGCCAAAATAAAAGAAGCCTGTATAACCCCCCCAAAAACAACCAAAATAAACCTAAACAAATCAAAATAAACCCAAACAAAACAAGGTAAAACAAAATAAAGCTTAAACAACATTTATGAACAGATATATGAGCTGTGGAAGCCACCTACACACATACCTACTGACACATATACTCACTCCAAAGGGGGAAACCTCAAGTAAACACACGAAAGAACGAGATACAAATGACAGAATGAATGTATGCAAACAAAGATCAATCACTGCAGAGTTGCAAAAATGAAAAGATGAAATGTTTACTTAATGCTCTCTTTAGGAAGTTATTATATTGCATATGACACTTTCATATGAACAACATTTTCATAAATCGAGAGAAGAGGAGAGGAGGGGAAAAAAAAAAAAAAAAATAAAAAAAAATAAACAAATAAAATAAAATCAGAGAAACATGTTAACCGATTAGATAAAATGTATCAGTCGGATATGCACATATAGGGGCACATCATCCATGCCTTATTTTACACGTCTGTGTGTAGAGAAGTGTAAGCAGAAAATAACTAGACGAAAAGGAGGGGAAAAAAAAAAGGAAATATGAGTTTAAGAGGACTAACTATGAACAGAAATTAACAATTTCTGTTTTTACACCATCACCCCCGAGAAGTGGGTTAAAAGATGGACAAGAAAAATAAAATTTAATTTTTTTTTTTTTTTTTTTTTTTGCACAACTCATCATGTGCCAGAATAAGGAAAAAGCATTTTTTCAGGGGCATTGATATTTTTTCTTCTCTTTTTTTTGTCCTTTTTTTTTGTTCTTCTTTTTTCCCTTTTACATGCCGTAGCTTCCTTTTTTTTTCATTACATTTTTTTTTGACCCTCTCCTATGATGTTAAAACTATGAATCTCGCTTGGAATTTTTTCTGCATTTCTATCTTTTTTGTCATATTACACAAAACAAGTACGTCCATTTGTCGCACATTAAGTTACAACACGGTTAAGATTAATAGTTGGAATATCAGAATTCCAATTTATAACGATTTTAACAGGAAGGATAATCTACAAAGGAAACATTTCGCTATATTAAAAACGAAAGAGAAAAAGAGAGTGCACCATTTAAACAAACTATGTAGCATCATACAAATAGAAGAAGGAAAAAACAAAAAACGGGAAAATGGTTCTTGTTCAAAGAAGAATTACTTAAATGAAAATGTAAACAAAGGTTTTAAAAACTGGAATATAGAACATCAGAAAGAAGGATACCTTACTGATTCGTCTAATGAAGAAACACAAAAAAAGTGGCTGCAATTGGGCACATGCATTTCGAATGGAGAAAGGAATAAAATAGTGCAAGATAAAAATGTCCACACTAGGACTGATGATGAAAAGGGGATAATAGATAAATCGAATAATCATGAAAAGTTGAGTTTTAAGACAAATTATAAAAATGAGAAAAAACACAATCTTAATAGTATTGATATGTTGCAGAAGGAAAAAAAATATAACAGACAAATATACACACATGGGTATAAGGAAGAAAAAAAAATTCGTAAAAGTAAAATATTAGTGATTGGGTTAAATGGAATAAGTAGCGAAATTTGCAAAAATTTAATTCTATGTGGAGCGAAAGAAATAGGAATTTATGATAACAACATTTTAAGTATAGACGATGTAGATAATCTCTTTTTTTGTGATCAAAAATGTATAAACAAAGAAAAAAAAAGTTTTGCATGTGTTCAGAATATGCGTAATCTCAATGACAATTGTAAAATTGAAGTTATCACAAAGCTAGATCATAATGTACAAAAGTACGACGTAGTTGTATCTGTAAATCAAAAAGAAGAATTTAATGTAAAATTAAATAATCTATGTAGAGGAGGAAACAGCAAGAAAAAAAAATTAATTAAATTTATTTGTGTAAATACTGTTGGACTATTTGGTCGAATTTTTGTCGACTTTGGAAAATTTTATTTTTCAAACTCGCATAATACTAATGAATCATATTGTATAAGCAAAATCGAATTCGAAGGAGTGGAAGAGGGGGATGATCAAATCGTGATGCATTATTTGGCTAGTTACAACAATGTCCAATTGAATGACAAGGATAGGGTATATTTGTGTGTGCAGAATGTTCATCAGAGTGTAATAAATATACCATGCGAGATTAAAGACATATGTAAGAAGAAGAAGAAAATTTGCGTATCCATTTTGCAGCGAAGAAGTTTATTATATACACTTATCAAGTATATCTTCTCCTTCAAATTTGTAAAATATATTGAAAAAATATGTCTTCTTTATAAAATCCAGCTGTTAACGAATTTGAGAAAAGTGTACGACAAAAATAGGTATAGCAAATATGTAAAGGAACTTGTTTTGAAAAATAAACGTAAAGATTACAACTTGAGCATCATAAAAATGCCTGAACAGGTAATGTTAAATTATGTAAGTTTGGAAGAATACTTAAATAATGTAAAAAAAAATGTTGATAAAGGAAAAAAATTTTCATTCTTGTCCCATTTCTTGAGATCACTTTTTTACCAACGGGCTGAAGGAAACCATGTTAGTGATGAAGAAATATGCTTTTTATCTTATGAAGAAATGATGAAAAATAAAAAAGGGGAAAAAATATTCACTCCAGATGATATTACAAAATTTCAAAATTTATGTACAAAAAAAAAAAAAAATATGAACATTCAGGTAGCAAAGCAATTTTGTTCAGCTGCTCATATTGAACTACCTCCATTTTGTATCTTTTTTGGAGCTATAGTAGCACAAGAAATTTTAAAAGGAGTAACACATAAATTTAAACCCATTTATCAAACATTTTTTTTTGATAAAAGGGACTTATTTCCTTTTTCCAATATTTCGAATAAATACCACGGAAGATACATGCACCAGCTGAACTTTTTTGGACCAAAATTTCAAAATTTTCTGAACAATATGAACATATTGTTAATCGGGGCAGGTGCCCTGGGATGCGAATTTTTGAAGCTCCTCGCGCTAATGGGACTTTCTTCCCATGAAGAAAAGACTAAGGATGGGATGCTGTCAGGAAAATTGTGTCCACACAGAAGAAAAACCAAACGGACAGGCCAGACGTGTGATGACAAAGGGGGAGAAAAAGGGGAAGCAAATGGGGGAGAAAAAGAAGGAGAAAATGGGGAAGCAAATGGGGAAGAAAATGGAGAAGAAAATGGGGAAGGAAATGGGGAAGAAAATGGAGAAGAAAATGGAGAAGAAAATGGGGAAGGAAATGGAGAAGAAAATGGAGAAGAAAATGGGGAAGAAAACGGAGGAGGGCTCATCCAAGTTGTGGATTATGACTTGATTGAGGAGTCCAATTTGTCTAGACAATTTTTATTTACGACCAAAGATGTGGGAAAGTTGAAGTGTGAAGTGGCTGCAGAGAATATTAAAAAGTTAAACGGAAATATAAACTGTGGTTTTGTGAAAATGAAAGTGAATGAACATATCTTGGGGAATCGAAATATGTTGTTGAGTTGGTTTTTCCTTGAAAAAGGAAAAGAACAAGGGGGGGAATCTCGAAGAGATCTAACTAGCCAAAGTAAGGGCACACCTTTTAGCTGTTCGAAAGAGGGTGTCAGGAAAATGAGTGAAAAAGAGAAACTCCGAAAGAGACATAAAATATCCCCATTAATTTGCATTCTATGTTTGGACAATTTTAAAAGCAGAGCTGTATGCGACAGATTTTGTGTGATGAATTCGATTCCATTTGTAGAAGCAGGGATAGAAGGATTAAAGGGCAGTAGCCAAATAGTCATTCCCTTTTCAAGTGAAACATATACGAGCAATTCGTTCGAAAATGAAAATGATGAAGAGAAAAATAACTCGTGCACAATAACGTCTTTTCCAAGACATCCAAAACATGTGATCGAATTTAGTAAAAGTGTTTTTAATAATTATTTCTTTGATAATGTCATAAAAATGAATAATTTTTTAAATGATCCTGTATATTTCATTGGTCAACTGTGTAACTATGACAATGTAAGTAATTTGATTCATTTTTTAAAATTGACAAAAATATATTTCAACCTGAACATAGAAAAAAATGTTCAGATTTTATGGAATAGCATATTTGTACATAACATTATACATTTGCTAAAAAATAACGAAAAAGAAATGGACAAATATTTTGAAGAATTAGAAAAATTACCACAACCAGTTTACTTTAATGAACAAAATAAAAATCATGTCTTATTTTATCAATGTGCTGTTAATAATTTTAAAAAAATTTTTAAAAATTTAACGAAAATTGTAACAGCTCAGAAAATCAACAAAGATCATATTTTTTTTTTTAAAAATCAACAACAAGATAGGAAAAAAAAACACAACTTTGAAGAGACACTAACTCAGATAGTACAAAATAACAATCTACATGTGGATGTGAAGCGGCTCGTATATTTCCTCTCAGTAATACGAAAAAATACGAATGAAAACTTTTATGAAACCCTTGAAAAGGAACTTTTTGATCTTTTTAATAACCCTGTTTTTATTTCATCCCTAAGACATGTGCAGCGGTGGAGGGTCCGATCGAATGTGAAGGATTCAGAAAATCTGGGCAGGGTAAATTTCCAAAGTGGGGTTAATAATTTGACAGGGTGTGGTGATAAGGCAGAGAGTGATGAGCCGGAGAGGGGCTTGAAAGAGGTGGGAGTTTTGACCCCACTAATATGCAATCTGCAGGAGGACAATGAAAACATTAATTTCGTTTTTAGCCTGACCAACATACGAAATGAAAATTATAATTTCCCTCAATTAGACATTTTGGAATTTTTTAAAATATGCAATAATATTGTGCCCTCAATTGTAACTGTGGTGTCAGCTATCTCTGCTCTAGCGTCTTTGGAGCTGTACAAATTGGCTCACTTGATGCAACAAGGGGAGGAGAAGGAGCAGCAGAAGGAGGAAGAGGAGACGAAGGAGAAAGAAGAGCAGAAGGAGAAGGAAGAGCAGAAGGAGAAGGAAGAGCAGAAGGAGAAGGAAGAGCAGAAGGAAGAAGAGGAGACGAAGGAGGAGGTCATAAATGGACAAGAAAAGTGGATAGAAGAAGAAACAGTATTCACCATTGACCAAAGTAAATTTCGTGAAGAGAAGTTTAAAGACATAACAATTAGTATGCACGGAAAGCAGGTGTATATTATAAAAGACGGAAAAATTTTGTTTCATTTTTTTAATGTACCATATGACGAATGGAAAAATATGTCAGTTGTTATGAAAAATCACTATATTAATTTGGAGGATAACTTTTTTACACACTCACAGCTCAACAGTGTATATCCTCCTATGTTATATAGTAATGCATCTACAAGTATGATGAAGACATTTCAGTTTTCCATTTGGAATTACATTTATATAGATATTTACACCAAAGGCAGAAAGAAGAAGGATCAAGATCAAGAGAATTGTTGTGCAGTAGGAAGTTGTGGATTTCCCTCTTCTCTCTTTAATGACGGAATGTTTGTTTCATCTGAACAGTTATGGTGGCGTGTAGAGGAGCACTTGGCCCATGTGAAAATTTCCATTCAGGAACTCAGGAACGGGTCGATCCAACCTTCTTCCCATACTGTGAAAGAAGCAATAAGACTAGCTGAAGAAATCATCAAAGATCTCTATACAATGAGGACCGAACTTAGAAACCGTTTCCACAAGGGACACACCACCAATGTTGCAACTAATGAAACATTTTTGCAAAAGTCTCTAAAACACATTGATGATACTAAAAGAAATCTATGCTTAACATTATCGAGTATATCAAATAAAGAAAAGTATTATAAATTAAATGAAGAAAATATATTATCCAATGCAATGCAAAGATTGAAGAAGGTAAAAGTTATTACGAAACAAATGATTAAACAATCCAAATCACACATTAATATTATGAAGTATGAAAACAAAGATGACATAACATTGGATGAAGTTGTAACATCCCTTGAGCTACTTTTCAATATGTCCATTCAGACAATTGCTGTCAAAGACAAAATAATTTACACAAAATTTCAATTGCCATCTTTGAGATATTCAGGGAAAAAAAGTCTTTACAATATTTTAACTGAACTCTTCAAGCAAGAGCAAGAGCAAAAGAAAGAGCCGGAGATATATACCTACACACTGAACATTTTTGCTACAGATAATGGGGAAAATCAATCCGAATCAGAGGAAAAAAATGAAATAATTTTCCCTGATGTTCAGGTGAATGTACATCATCATCAGAAATAGTTTTTTTTTTTTTTTTTTTTTTTTTTTTTTTTGTCATCATATTATTTGTTACCTTTTTTGTAAATTTTTTTAAACGTTTTAATAACATAAAAAAAAAAAAAAAATAAATATATAAAGTACGAGAAACGGATAAAGCATGTTAAAAATTGATTGTGTAAACAATACACACCATAAACACGAAAGGATGGACATGATGATGTCACATGTAATGAAAGCATTTTTCAAAATAAAAAAAAAAAAAAAAAAAAAAAATATACTATCTCCCCCCCAAACTTCTTCTGGTTCAGATGTGACGAAGCAAACTTGGTAAAAGGAATTCAAAATTTATTTACATTCAAATGTACCACATGAGGGATATCCCGAAGGTTTTTTTTTTTTTTTTTTTTTTTTTTTAAAAAATCGCTGGGAAAAAAAAAAAAAAAAAAAATATTTTGGGGGAGGAGCCACAATTTAAATAATTTTCTTGGATGTGAAAAATCGCTTAAAATAGAAATCCTGAATAATAGCAGCAAAAATAATTATTAAAATATTGATTAAGGAGAACCACATAAGGGTATCGTTTAACTTATCACTGGATTTTTTTTCATTTTCTTCTGAAGCTTTAATTCTTTTTAAGTTGATATGAAAGTTATTCATTTGATCAATTATTTGTTTTAAGTACATGGTTGCTTCATTGAGGTGCTCTGATTTTGCAATTTGTGCATAATCCCGTGCTTCCGTTCCATGTTTTATTTCGAAATAAACATCCATTATTTTACGTGTTTTATTATATGCACAAAATGAATACGACGTTGAATAAAAAGTTGTGAAGGCAGTTTTTATGTCATGTTCATTAAGTGTCTCAAATATTGCTTGTCTTTTTTGTGGATTAAAATTTCTTTCATTCACATCAATGTCATATATAAATATAGACACTGGAGTATTTTTGTTTTCTGTCTTGAATTTTCCTACTACCAAGGTATCTTTATTTATTCGTTCTTTTATGCACTTCATTTTATTTGGTTTCACTGTCACGTAAATTTCTATGCAACCAAAAACGGGTAGGTTTACCAGAAATATCCCTACCAGCAGCCCGATCAGGTGGAAAATTCGCAGCATCATTTCTGTGTGTGTGTGTGTGGGGGGGGGGTGGGAGAGCTGAGCACGTGTTTACATTCGATTTGATTCTTGATTTGTCTTCTTTAGTTTGTGTTTACATTCGATTTGATTCTTGGTTTGTCTTCTTTAGTTCGTGTTTATACTCGATGTGTTTCTTGGCCCTAAAACACAAGCATTCAGAAACGTGCATAAAAATGTTTGACTTCTCAATTTGTCTCCTTCCCCCAAAAGCGTATACAAAATGTGGGTAAATTACCACTTTTTTTCAATATCTACAAAGTTTTTTTTTTTTTTTTTTTTCTTTCCTTTTTTTTTCTTCTGTTCTATGCACGTTTCAATGTTTACGCTTTTATTTTGTTATGCATATGATAAAATCGTTTTCTTGTCACTTTGCTAAAACTTATGATAAAATCGTTTTCTTGTCACTTTGCTAAAACTTATGATAAAATCGTTTTCTTGTCACTTTGCTAAAACTTATGATAAAATCGTTTTCTTGTCACTTTGCTAAAACTTATGATAAAATCTTATTGTGTGACAAAAAAACCTGTTGCTCGTTTTAGAAGATGTCTGAGGAAATTCCATAACAAAGTACTTTTCAATTATGTATGCAACTATTTACTACTTTTTTTTTTTTTTTTTCCCTTTTTTTTATTCTGTGTAATATGTCCACTTACCTTTTTTTTTTTATTCTTTACCTTCACCAAAAAGGAAAAAAATACAACAGAATGAAGCATAACAATAAAGTAAAAAATAAAGGGGTGTGTGGATGTCACGGCTATGCAAAGTAAAACTGCATATATACTAATACACGTAAGTAAGCAAAAAAAAAAAAAAAAACTGTATAGACAAAAATAGCAAATACTAAAAAAAATAACATTTATATTTACCCAAGCATAAGAGTGATTTTCGTTAAAAAAAAAAAAAAAAACTTCATAAAAAAGTTCTTCATTCGCAGTTGCAAGAGTAGATTGAGGAGGTGGAGATATGACAATATTGAAAATTAAACAGTGTAAATATGTGTACATGTGTACATGTATGTTTAAAGCGTATGTATATATATATATATATATTATACAAGCACATGAATGAACTTTGCATTTCACATTTCCCGGTCGTTTATGCTATGTTCACACTTTGCTCTTCCTCTCTTAGGGCTAAGAAATTCCAGTTAATGTGGAGAAAATGTTGTTTGAAACGCTTTCCTTCATTTCAAGTTTCTTCGAGTTTGTTTTTTTTTGTTGCACAGTTGGCGCACCTTCAAATTGTCCTCTCCTTCACAAAAACACGTGCATAAAAATTTGCGTAAAAAAGTGGGGTAAAAAATAAAGGTAAAAAAAAGTGCGTAAAAATGTTTACCCCTCCTCCCCCCCCAAAAGGCAAGCACTATAGAATACAAAAATCTAAACTCTCGAAATTTCGCCAAGTTAAAATAAAATATCTTCCCTCTAATACCACCACTAAGTGTCCCCTAAAATATAAATGAAGGGAAATGAACTTTATATGCATGTATATATAATTACCATATAATAACATGCTAGATGGACTTAACTCGCGTTCTCATACTATGCTGCTCTCGATTGCAATTTAGTATAACTAACGTTTGTCGGTACAATGTAACGAGAGAAAAAAAAAAAAAAAAAAAACCTTGTGAGAGTGGTTGACTTGGCATAACAGATGAATTAAAAATATAAAAATAAACGTAACAAAACTTTTTAAAAAGTTTTCGCCCAAAAAACAACTACAGGTTGGGGAAAGGAGAAAACTTATATTGCAAAAAAAAAAAAAAAAAATGTTCACTGTTGATTTAAAAATTATGGCTTTTACATTATAATCCAAAGGAGACGACCAACACTATCCTAAAAAGGAAAGCGTATACAAGGGGGAAAAACAGCCACAAATATGTGTATACATAAACGTGTATGAATATATATATACATATGCATACCTTTTTTTTTTTTTGCTCCTTTTTCCATACCCCTCCCCAATCCAAACGAAGCAACATGTCTTCAAACTAACTTGTTAGGAGAAAACGTGGAAAATAAGCATAATTTGTAAGAAACAAATGTGAATTCAAAATTTTCTCCATAACAATAGAGAAGTAACAAAATTGTAGAAGAATATAATTTAGCACACTTAGTAAAAAAAAAATTTCGCCAAAAGTACACATTCCTTAATGTTTCCCAACGCTCAGAATAATCAGCTCCCACAGGTAGCGCTAGGGACCCTAACAAACTTGTCACAACCAGCAGTATCAGTTCCATCGACAAGCATACCTTTCTCTCCTGCTGGTTTATCCTGTCTACAACAAATGGTGGATCCATCCATAAGTTATGAAGAAAAGGAAGAACATATAATAAAGGGAGAAAAAGAAATTGTACAAGAATTAATAGAAAATAAAGATTACATCTGCTCTTGGTGTTTTGATGTATTAAAATATGAATTAAAAAATGAGAAATTTGATTACATTCCACCATTGCTTCAATCTTTACATGAAAAAGGATTCAGGATTCCACTTTTCGTTAAATGGATGAAACTTAACGATGTAAAAGATTTGGGTTCCTATGATTATAATGCATACGAATTAAATGGGTGTATAGGCTGCTTAAATAAAATAGATATATTGGATATGCGTCATTATGCCTTAGAAAGTTCTCTTAATGATAAAAGATTTCATCCTATTACTTTAAAAAATATTCCATACTTAATGGTTACAATAACATATTTATTTAATTTTGAAAAATGTAATCATGTATACGATTGGACAATTGGAAAACATGGAGTTAGCATAAACTTTGTTGTAAACAAAAGAAAATACTCTTCTACATTCTTACCTGAAGTAGCCCCACAACACAACTTTGACCATAAAACAACGATTAAAAAATTAATAAGAAAAGCTAACTACAAGGGAGAAATTAATGATGACCTGTTGAAAATTATACAAGTTGAGCGCTACGAAGGTGTAAGCTGCAGTCTCACCTACACGGATTATCAAAAAAGTAAGAGGATGTACTAGAGGCAAGTAATTAAAAAGGGAGGATGAAAATGAAAACCGTTTGCGAAATGTACAAGAAATGGAAATTATCGTCTCATCTGCTTTAGTTTTTTTTTTTTTTTTTTTTTTATTAACTGTGTGAATGTTTGCTCTCAATCCTGTTTCTGTTTACTTCAAGGATTTTTTTTTTTTTTTTTTTTTTTTTTTTCACATTGCTTAAAATGTTTTGCTTATCGAATGAAAAAAAAAAGGAAACTTCCAATTGGGATGATCATGTTAAAATTTTACACTTATATATAAATAATACAGAAAAAATGATTCAAGTATGTTTTTCTACCCCTCTCTTCTCATATCACCTTCCCCATGATCTCGTAATGTAGAAGCGAACCTTTTTGTGTACAACATGTTGTGTAATCTGTACTTGTGCTAATTGAAGGGAATAAAAGTAAATGAACAAATATATGCATATATATGAGAACACACAAATGTGTATGTAAATAAATAAAAAAGTTTTCACACATTTCTTCAAATGTCACCATGGCGTCATCATCCTTCCATTTTTGGAAATCACCCCAACGGGGTTACCTAAAAAAAATTACATTCCTTGTTTTCACAAAAAAGAAAAAAAATGCACATGTGGTTTGTGCCTGAACAGATGAATTTTTTTCTGAACATTCAGGCAAATTAGGTGGAAAAAAAAAAAAAATAAATAAATATAAATATATAAATAAGTAAATAGCTAGATGGGCAGCCAAATGGTAAAATTTGCAAATTGTGCACAGAGGAAAACAAAAGATTGATGGATGGGATGAACTTTTTTCAAACCTAGAAAAGGGAGATTTATAGGAGAAGAAGAAAATGATCATTCCCTCAGGGAAAAACAACACGAGGGAAAACAACTGCTGGGTTAGGTTTTTAAAACAGTATTAGCTCAGATTAAGAGTATGAACATAAGGTCATCACATTTGAAGAAAATAATATATATATATATGTATATATTTTCCCCTCCGTTTTTTTACATGAACATTGTTAATAAAAAATTGGCCAATATTCCCTGTTTTTTAAAAAGATGGTTACATAGTAATAACAAGTTTACTACACGACATGTATCGAATCGTAGGAATATTGAACCTTATTTAAGTGAAATGAAAAAAAAAGGATATTCTGTTAATGTTTTAAGTCTAGTTATAAGTAATAATAACCTATGCTACTGCTTGTTAAAGAATAAAATTATTAAAAAAATTGGACTGATTAACATTAAGAAGGATTTCCATTCCAATGAAAAACAGGGTCCTCCTGCGACCACCAGAAAAGGAAAAAACAATTTCGAAAAGGATGTATTGAAATACAGTTATGACAGGGAAGCGAATCCCTTAAACTTTAACATACGAGAGATTCTAACAATTTTGAATTTTATAAAATTGTATTCTAATAGCGAAAAGCAGGGTGTGTCTGAAAAAACTTCGAGGAAAAAAAACACCAGTGAAGATTTCTCTACACAAGGAGAAGAAAATGATGAACACGATATGAAGCATAATGAACAAGCGAAACAAGAGGATAATCATTTAAATAATAAAGACCATGTAAAGGAGCCTGTACAACATCTTTGGAATATTCCCTCAAATGAAACAGAAGCAGGAAAAGATGAATGGATCATAGGTATCGAAAAAGTAAATGATAAATACGAGAAAAACAAAATGAAGGAAAAAATATTATCTGTGATTGTGTATTTTTTAAGTTCCATTTTTGAGTGCAAAATTTTATTTTTTTGTCCAAAAGAAGCAAGGAAATATTTCAGTACTAAATGTAATTACAGTTTGAATAGCCGAGAAGAAACATATAAATACATAAAAGATAAAGTTAAAAATTTCCCAAGTGTAAATAAAAATGATAATAATATAAACTGCTTATTCAGCGATAGTTATGTCGTAGCTTTTTATACATACCGACATTATATGCACGAACTTGTAAAGAATAACCCAACGGTATTTACATACCTCGAGACTGAGGTTCGTAGAAATAAAAGCTTTAACAATATATTGCAGGCCCTGAAAAAAATGGAAAATGAGCAATGCACGTTAGATTTCAAAGATTTACTCAAGGATAGAATTGCTCGAATTGTAGAAAAAGAATCCTACAAATTGGTTGACAAATATTTACTCTAGGGGAATTTCCATGGTATCTAATTTTGTGCCAATTTTTTTTCCCAATTTTGTGCCCATTTTTGTGTCCATTTTTGTGTCCATTTTTGTGTCCATTTTTGTGCCCATTTTTGTGCCTAATTTTACGTCCAATTTCGCCTGAACAGGGAATTAGACGCATGTGCATATTTTTGCTACGCTGTCGCTGCACACATGGGATATATTTTTCTTTTTATTAAAGCATCATATTTTTTGAAGGGAACAAATAGAAAAGAAGGGCATTTTATGAACGCATAAAAGCTGCTAGACTAATGAATTTTTTTTTTTTAAGTCATACGTTATTTCATACGTTACTTCATAAGATATCTCATAAGACATTTCACAAGTTAGTCATGGCAATATGAACACATCTACCCCTGAGGTAGTTTAGAAAAAAAAAAAAAAAAAAAAAAAAGTGTACCTAGATGTAGATCCACTTTTTTTTTTTTTTTTTTTTTTTTATAATTCTATCAAATAGAAGTCGATATATAAGTAAAAAATAAAAGAAAAGATAATGCGAGTAGGAAAAGACAGTTATAAACAAATGAATCGGCAAATTGGCGAAAAAGGGTGTGTACATAAAAAAAAAGAAACAAATTTATTTTTCCTAGAACGGTACATCCGTGTTTTGCACATGTGCATGCATCTTCGCGCGTGGTAGGAGAAACCATGTAATTATGAGGCCCTATCTGCATGCACTATTGTGACAAACATTACTCCACATATTTCTTCGTGTCGGCTACACTAATAAGCGTAGTATCAATATTCTTGGGCAAACACAAAAGTAAAATGATCTCGCTCGTGGTGATATGCAACATGTTGACACTCAAAATATTTTTCCTTTTTAACTTCATTAGTGATTGCAAAGAGAGAACTAATGAGTTGGGGCTGAGATAAACATTATGACTTGGAAACTTTTGTAGGGGATGATCTCCTCCTCTTTGGTCATTTGTCCATGGATTTGTCCCATAGTTAATCCCATCAGAATCGACAGTTTTAGACATATTACCAGTCTGTGTATCTGCTTGATCACCTCTGTATATGTGTTCCCCTGTCTGACAGTTTGTGCTGCAATGATTTTCCAATTGTGCCTTCTTCATTTGATTGATTATTAATCGGTATACATTTGCATCTTGAAAATAGAACTGTTTCATATTTAAAAAATTATACTTAAAATTGAGAGATGATAAGTAGTACTGTTTCATCATATTGGCATTGTGAGACAACAAATTTTCCAAATTAGACAATTGGACATCAATGATTAGATCGTCAAATATGTTAAGTCCAACTAATTCTACCATATTACATCCCTTCAGAAGGAAACAATATTTACAATTTAAGTGGTTGTTCATATTATTTTTTGTAAAAATTTGTTGTACACTCTTGTATTCATCAATTCCATGTACATTCTCAATTTCTTCATTCTCTGGATGACCGTTACAAATGTCTGTTTCTTTTTTTTGCGAAGTTAAATTCAACAAAATAATTTCCTTATATTCCTTGAAGTGATAATTTTTAACACATTGAGATTTGATGAAAAATATTCTATTTGTATTGTAACATATGAAGTATGTATAAATATAATTGTCCAAAGTGAAAAATAATAAGAAATTTTCAGCAACAAAGGAGTATAAATAACTACGACGTATATTTCTTTTGCTTATGTTAAAATCGGAGATTCTTAAACATGTCTGCAAATGCCCTTTTAAACATTTAAAAAACAAATATACATTTTTTTCGTTATCTGTGCATATTATTAACTTCCCATTATTATACTTTTTAAAATTGCATATAATTCTATCCACTTGTATTTCTTCTTTTACTTTTTTCTTCTTAATGTTGTAAATGACTACGTGGTATGTATGCATATGTTCACGTAAATTCATATTCTCCTTAATCTCACTTCCATGCACATGTTTACGCCTTTCGTATGCCTCATCCTTGAGAAAACCATGCCTTCCTCTCCTTCTCGATTGGTCCACTTCATCCGATTCGTTCACTTCATCCGATTCGTCCACTTCATCCGATTCGTCCACTTCATCCGATTCGTTCACTTCATCCGTTTCATTCACTTCATCCGTTTCATTCACTTCACCCGTTTCATTCACTTCATCCGATTCGTCCACTTCACCCACTTCACCCGTTTCATCCACTTCTTCCCCATGCACACGTCGTGGGCTCTGCCTGATTAACGACATGACGACAAGATTATCATTCACAAAAGCAAAGTCATACACTTTAAGAAAATTCAAATTCGCGAGATCATAGTTGTAGATAGAGAGGTCCTCTATGTTGAAGTGATATATGGAAAAATTTTTATTCGTTTTGCATGCAATTTTAGTTGACATATCGTTTATTACACAAGAGTTAACAAATTCATTTTCTCCAAAAGAAATATTAGCAATGTGTTTGTAATTGCCCACACCAATGTGTTCCAAGTCATGATGTGAAATTAATCCTATATCCAGGGCATTTTGTTTTTCCTTGTTGCTTCTGCTGGAGGAAATGAGACAACTATTATAGTGAATACTTATTCCTCTTGTGTGCGTAGAAAAAATGGTTTTCATATTTTTCGCAAAGTACACATTTCTATTCATCTCTACATTTCCAATTGGAATATATTTCTTGACATTATTTAAAAAGTCGTAATGACAGAATGTCATATCATCACTTATACTCAGCACACTGATACCATTTAAACAAACGATACGTATTATATCAGAAAGGTGTGCTGATTGTTTATTCATGAGGTACCATTTTTTATTGGATCCTTTTCTTTCTTTTACTACTTTGTTCAGGAAGAAATGTTGCTCTATCCCTATGCCAACATTTTTCCTCCCCTCCATTTTTGTGTCCATTTTTGTGTCCATTTTTGTGTCCATTTTTGTGTCCATTTTTGTGTCCATTTTTGTGTCCATTTTTGTGTCCATTTTTGTGTCCATTTTTGTGTCGTGCTTGCCTTCACGAAGAGCCATCATATAATCACCAACATTAAGATCCTCTGAATTCGTGGAACACTTTGCCAGAGCAGCATAATTTTGATTCCCATTTACGTTGGAGGTATCTTGAGACTGCAAAGATGTACATGCATATTTATTAACATGCCTATCTACTCCAGCAGTAAAGATGTAATTTTCATTGTATGTCTTCGTTATAGAAACGGATTTGTAAAGATGATTATTAAAAAAGTATTTAACACTAAATGTTTTGTTATCAAAAATGATTAATGACCCACTATTATCTACACATGCAACTTCATCCGTTTTGTACACGTATATTACATCCCAAATGATAGAATTTTTATTAATACTTTTAAATTCTCCTTCACAACATTTATTTGTAATGTTATACTTGTATATTGTAGAATTTTCACTTCCCAACAGAACATAATGTATGTAACTATTATACGATTTTTCTATCTCTTGGATTTTATTTCTCATATAGTTTTTTCTATTTCTTTTTTTTCTTACATTAGAATTTGTCACAACATTATCCAGTTTATTAATCGAATCGGATAGGCTCTCCTCCATATCGGTAGTCACATCTCCACTTGATATCATTTTTTTTCTTTTTCTCTCTTTCATTCTGTTCGATTCGTCCTTTTCTACATTATGTAACAACACATCTCGATCTTTTAGAGTATCCATGAAGTATAGACATACCAACTTTTCTTTGCACTTAAATTTGTTCATTACAAATATGTTAAACATGTTTCCTACATGTCCATCATCCATTTCGTCTTTGCCTCCTCCCTCTTTCTCCTTCTCCTCCTCCTTTTTCGATATTTGAAATATATATCTCATATCTGAGCAATAATTTTTCTCGCTAATCTTCTCATCACTTTCTATGTCTTTTATTTTTTGTGATGATATATCCTCCTCTAGGTATGTCGAAAGGTCATTCGATAATTTTATTTTTTTTGGACTTGGTTCTTTCACATCTGTATTTTGCACCTCCTGTGAATCTTCATCACTTGAGGTATACACATACGATTGGGTAATATTTTCACAAGATTCATCGTCCTTATGATTAGAATTAGTATCGTTGTCGCTGCCAATAGTAGCAGATGTACTGTGCTTCTCTTCCCTGTAGAACCTGTCGAAACAGTTGTACATCTGGTTCTCTACGTTTCTATATATATTGTACAGGTAAAAATAGCCATTCAAATTCGTGATACCAAAATATTGAAGACTATTATTTAGCTTAGAACAGGAAATACTACCATTGGTTGAAATGCTATGTACAATATTTTGAGATTCCAAATCGTATATCATTATATGACCACACAGGGTCGAAATTATAAGTAGGTAATCTTTGTATTCGTTATGCAAAAATAAATGCTTCTTTTTCTTGTTCTTCTTGCTTATCCACATAATTGATTTAATGGAACCACGAGATACATGTAACTGAAACAAGTAAATAAATTCTTTTTTTAAAATCTTATATATGTATATTATTCCAAACCCATCACATATGCACATATACTTTCTGCATGGGGATATTTCAATTGTCCTAAGTTCTTTCTTTTCATTCTCGTAAAACTTGAATTCGGTAAAATTCATTCTTACTTGTTCATACTCACATCTACTTCTGAACACATTTTCTTCAGGTTTTCCCTGCCCTTCGGGCTCTCCATTCACGGGGTGCAATACGCCCATTCTGCTTCCTGGAGCGCTAGGCCCTTCACTTCAATATGGCCACTTTAATATGACCACTTTAATATGGCCACTTCAATATGGCCACTTTTATATGGCCACTTCAATATGGCCACTTTTATATGGCCACTTTAATATGACCACTTTAATATGACCACTTCGTTACAGCCACTCTAATATGATCCCCTTGCGAATGACTCTTTACCCTCGTTCTTTTAAGATCAAGCTGGAATGGTAATTCTTTGTGTACTCATTATCACCCCTAACGATGTGGGTTTTTTGCTTCTCCTCCTTTTAATTATGACGTGGAACTATGACGACGCAAACTGAATGTTCTTTATTTTGTGCACCAAGTCAATTGGTTAATGAGGTGCATACATTTACATATACACATATGTACACTTTATACATATGTATGATTCACCTCATTCGGCACACTTTAAAAAAAAAAAATGAGATTAATCAGGGGAACGATGTTTCCTGTATTGCACCCCCTTTAACAAGTCAGCAAAGAATTCGTCCTCGTTCACCCGATTGACCTATTTGATCTCTTTTTCACCCCGTTGACCTATTTGGCCTGTATAATTTGTAGCAAAAGCAGAATGATATAATAATTCTTACATGTTTTGTTCATTGGTTTGTCTCTTGACATTTAATATTGATATATTATCTTTCTTCCTCAACTGTGTGCTCCACTTGAAATGCTGTTCAAAAGTCAAGTCCAAATTCGGCAAAAAAAAAATTTATATGATACAAGATTTTTCATTTGATCCTTTTTTCCTCTACCCCTTGTCAAGTTTCGATATGTGACGTCGGTCCAAAAATATATAATGTAGTAATAATACGGTTTTATAAGTCTTGTTTTGTTGCTAAGTTTGTATTATTATTTTTTTTTTTTCTTTTATACTTTATTTTGAAAAGAAAAAAAAAAAAAAAATAATAAAATATGTACTAAGCAAATTTAAGAATTGGCGCACCCTTCCCTATATTTTCTTCCTCCAATTGGCAGAACATTAAATAAAAATTAGTATGGGAAAAAAAAAAAAAAATTTTTTAAAAGTAGAAAACAAAACTTTTTTTTCAACCTGTTTTTTCTTCTTTTTCAGGTGGTTAAATTTGGAAATGTTCTTTTTTGAATATAGTTATCTCAACGATACTTATGCATCACGACGTGATTTTAAAAAAAAAAAAAAAAAAAAAAAAAAAAAAACAGTTGAGGTGTTTTCCTTTCTTGTGGGTTCTCACCCCTCCCGTGCTGCATATATACAGTTGTATATGCATACAAACTTTTTCCCTCCATAGATTGAATGTATAGATATGTATAACAGTACTGGTCACATTCGTACATTTAATATATACATATTTTGTACATATTTTTCTGATGTTTTATATATCTGCAAGAATACGATTCGTCGTGTGGGGTTTTCGATTTTTTCCCCCGCTTCGGTAACCCCTATCCCTCCCCCATTCCCAATTGGGTGCGAAAAAATGGCAAAAACAAAAGAATAATCCAAGTTCCTTGATACATTTTAACAATGTTATTTTTTAAAAGAAATGTAAACCCAGAGGTGAGGAGAAGCATCTTTCGTTCTTACTAAGAATGGAGAGGTTTATAAGAATTAAAAAAAAGAAAAAAATGTTTTGGGGTAAATAACTGTTATTTCCACCCCCCTTACATTTTACATGAACAAATAGTTTATGTTTAGGATAAAAACTTAACAAGTCAGATGAATTGAAAGCTCGTTCAGTGAGAATGCAAATTTATATTATTTTTTCTATTTATTTTTTCTATTTATTTTTTCTATTTATTTTTTCTATTTATTTTTTCTATTTATTTTTTCTGTTTATTTATTTTATTTTATATCTTTTTTCATTTTTTACAATATTACGGAAAATGAAAAAATTGGTGTAAACCTATCAGACGGGCTCGCATGAGAGGCTACTTTCATTTTGACAAAACAAAATGGGATGAAGAAAAAAAAAACAAGGAGAAATTGTACGGGCAAAATTGTGCAGACAAAATTGTGCAGACAAAATTGTGCAGACAAAATTGTGTAGTCAAAATTGTACAGGCAAAATGGAACCACAAATAGGAACAAAGCAGGCGTGGGGTGAGCGGTATAATTAAGAAAGCGACAAATTGACAAGGAACAAATAAAAATTTTTATTTATTCACAAAATAATTTCATTTCTCCATATCCCTTCGAGGTTATTTTGTTCGTGCTCGAAATGGTTCGTGGTACAGGAGTAGCTATCTATATTCTATGCATCCACATTAGGTATTTGTGTGTCCATATATATATATATATATATATATATATAGCTCATATGTATTTCTTCCATATTTCCACTATAGCGCCTGCACCAAGCGCAGGAATGGTAACGACTTATTGATCCGCGACCAACACAGGATTTTCATTTTAACACGTCCCTACCAAGTGCACCTCCCTTCTTCGAGCGCGGTGCAGACAAAAAACCATCAGCATTTCGACACTTCCGTTATTTGTCTATTCCACTATTTTGTATTATTTTTTCCCTCGCTGGGCATATGGAATTCACGCGGCATATGTGCAGATTCGCGGTCTTTCCCGGCATCACAAAAAATGAGATCCACGTTTCATCATGTTTAATTTAAACGGTAAAAGATGCATATATATATATATATATATATATATATGTACATATCCGATATGTTTCACGTTTTGGCAAGATAAATCCCATCCTCCGCCATTTGGTCAATCTCGACCCCGAATTCGACGGGCCAGGTGAATGTCCTTGGGCATGAGAGTTACTCTATTTGCATGAAGGGAGCATAGATATGCATCTTCAAATAAACTTACAAGGTAAGCTTCAGATGCTGTCTGAAGTGCTAACAATGCTTCGGGTGTATAACGTAATTGTTCATCTGGGAGTTCAAATAATCTAGTAATTTCTTTAACAACTCTTACAAACGGTATTTTTGGAATTAACAATTGTGTTGATGCTTGATATGCTCTTATTTCTTTTAATGCCAATACACCAGGTCTATATCTATGTGGTCTTCTAATACGTGTTGTTTTTTTCATACCTTTTTCTAGAATTGAATTTTTATTCCCTTTTCCTATATTGACATTGTTAGTATGTTTTCTAGCACGTATTTCTTTATGTGATATGTTCGGTACTGTCTGATTTGTCTCTCCATTAATGCTCCCCACTCTTGCATTATTATTCATGGGGTTATGCATAGGCACGTTTTTTTTGGTTCGCACCATTCTGACATTGTACAGGGTGAGCGGTTTCAATGGCGAAATTGCGTTCACCTGCACGGTTCCTACGTGTGTATGTGCGCGATTCCTACCTGTGTATGCTTGCGAGTGTGTGGTGGCCGTGGGGCTAATATGTTTTGATAACGAATTACACTCAACCACTTGTGTCCTCGGACTTCTAAAAATTTGGGAATTCCACTTTCAATATTCCTTTGCAGGTTAGCGCTTTGGCAGGTTGGTAAATTGGACGGTTGTTCATATCACAAGTTAACACCACACAAATCTGAATTTGCCGCTGATCACTCTTTGGCTTCCCCTTATACTATTCCGCCTTTTTTTTTTTTTTTTTTTTTTTTTCTCTGCTCAATTGAATTTATCTTTAAGGAACGAACAATTACGCCTGTAATTCTCTACATGCGTTTTGCGAAATGTGAAATTACACAATACCAATAACAAAAAAAAAAAAAAAAAAATTTGCCTGTAATTCTTAAAAACGTGTTTTTTAAAAAACAAAAATTTTTAAAAAAACAAAAAAAAAAAAAAAAAAAAAAAAAAAAAAAAAAAAAAAAGAGATAAAGTATCATAAAATATGACAAAATAAGAAGTGAAGCAGTAAATATACAAAAAAATAAATTTAAATTATTTTGCATTTGCTAAATGAGGTTAAACTTTTTCTTTTAATTGCCTTTTTGTTTTCTTGATAGTATAGTGGTGCAAAGAGGAAATTTTTTTTTTTTTTTTCTACTCATTTTTTTCCACACTTTTTTCCATACTCTTTTCCCCATTTTTTCCTTCATTTTTTCCCCATTTTTTCCATCATTTTTTCCCCATTTTTTCCTTCATTTTTTCCCCATTTTTTCCATCATTTTTTCCCCATTTTTTCCTTCATTTTTCCCCATTTATTCCCCATTTTTCCCTCAATTTTTCCCTCAATTTTTCCCTCATTTTTCCTCATTTTTCCCTTTCGTAATTATTTCGAGAAAACACGGAATTGAGAAGACTAATAGTAGTTAAGCAAAGTCGTGCTGCGGAAAGTGGCACATTAGATATGTTGTGGAGTATATATGCTATATTGTAGGAATACAACCAGGTGTACATATAATTCAGATATGTTACATAAGATTAATCGCAATATTTAAACATAACACACATATATAGTGTGTATCAGTTATATCCTCAAGTGTGAAGGGTCTCCGTCCCCTCCTCCACACGTAGACTTTTCCGTTCCATCTTTGTCTGCTCTATGTCATGATACCATTGCCACACTTGATAATCCAATATGAATATTAACACACTACAACCCTTTCATGGATGACATATATATATATATGTTCACTTAGGACAGTTGTTTAAACGCCACTTGTTCTTATAGACATTAAGCAGAACAATTCCGTGTGTCATCATTTTCTTTTTTTTTTTTTTTTTTTTTCCTCATTTTTATTTTATTTTTCACTCGAAAACATTAAATATGGGGAGTAAATGCAAATATGTATATTGCCCAAATGAGATGGTGAAAAAAATAAAAAGGATAGACAAAAAGAAAATCACCTGATTGTCCAAACAAGCAAAAACAACTTTTTCTTCATTTTTTTTTTTTTTTTTTTTTTCCAAAATGCAAATTACTTGTACATTTTTAATTACAAAATAAAGTGGAAAAAAGAAAATAACCTGCGCCTAAACACTTGGGGATGAAATCTGGTATGTACTTTTGGAATTTAAACGTAAAGAAAACGAGACAAAAGAAAAAACGAAAAATATATGTAAGCCCATTTTTTGCAATCATAAGTGTGTTACAAATAATGTAACACTTTAAGAAAAATTCCTTCTTTTTACAAGAACTTTTTTTAATTTCTTCATCACACCCACGTACTTTTACAGTCTTCTACATACTTGAGCAAAAAAGAAAATGAAATGGAATGATATAAAATTAAGCAAAATAAAATAAAACAAAGTAAAATAAAGCAAAGTAAAGCAGAGTAAAATAAAGCAAAGCAAAATAAAACAAAGTAAAATAAAGCAAAGTAAAGCAGAGTAAAATAAAGCAAAGCAAAATAAAACAAAGTTAAATAAAGCAAAGTAAAATAAAACAAAGTTAAATAAAGCAAAGTTAAATAAAGCAAAGTAAAATAAAGCAAAGTAAAATAAAACAAAGTAAAATAAAACAAAGTTAAATAAAGCAAAGTAAATTTTTCTTTTCTTTTTTTTACGTTTAAATATATATATCGAATCGCAAGTCTGCTGTCCTTATTTTTTTATTTTATTTTACATGTTCTTAACGAACCCCACAGGTGTTGTCCTTGTCCTTGTCCTTGTCCTAGCTTTATTTTATTTTTTCTTTTCCTTCAACCCCTTTTTGCAACATCATCAATGGGTACCAAATTACAATGCCTAAATACGTAATTTCCTTCGAAATAAGTTGATATCACTTTTTTTTTTTTTTTTCCATTAAGCAAAATTTTAAAAGTAGAATAAAAATAAAACCCATGTATTTAGAGAAAAGTAGCTATATTTTGCTTGTTGTTGTATGTACTTGCATAAGCTTCTTTTTTTTTTTTTTTTTTTTTTTTTTTTTTCTTGTTCGTTTTGCTTAACACACCTATATTTCATATGTTCTGCTTTCTTATACGAAATATATTCACATATAAAACAAATACTACTACTTTATTCCATACTCCATATTATTCTTCGTTATTTTAGTTTAATCCATTTCCACTCCCCATCACTTTACTCATCATTTTATTTTATTTTATCTTATCCTATGTTATTTTTTAATTTTAATTTTTTTTTTTTTTTTTTTGTAAATATACATCCCCGAGGGGAGAGGAAAATTAGAAATTGGCCCCAACGAGGTAAAATTTGACATATCCCTTGGTTGGATGAAACAAAAAGAAAAACGCTTTTATTGCAACATAGCAACTTCGAAGTAGATCTATTTTATTACTTAATTACCATTCTACAAAAAAAGAGCCTTTTTATTTCTCGAAAAAGGCAAAAACGGGTGGAAACGCATATAAGGAATAATAAAAAATAGATTCCTTTATTATAGAGATAGATAAGGTGTGATCTCAATTTGAAACCTCTTGGGTTAAGAAAGAGGAAAGAACTAGTGAAAGAAGAACATCCTATGTACACTAGAACGACGCAGCTAACCAGGAAAGCATTGCCAACACAAAGGCCGTTTATAACCAAAAGGTTTTCTTCAATCGAGAGATCTTCTTCAATCAAGAGATCTTCCTCAATCCAGAGGCTTTTTTAAGCGAAAATGCCAATCGGATTCAATTGCCTCACGGAAGAAGGTCAGCAGGCCTTAGAAGATGGAAAAGGAGGATCTGTTATCCATAAAGATAACGAGATAGAATTCATCTACAATAAGCTTAATTTGGGTATGGGGAAGTTATATATATTGGAGAAAAAATTAATATGGGTATCAAACGAAAGTGAACAGGAAAAAGAAAAGAAAAAAAAAAAAATCACAGATTTTAAAGAAATTACTACTAACCCTAGTTATTTGAAGCATTATGAGAAACACCACAATTTTTATATGCACCTTTTGAATAACGTTAGTAACATCTCTGTCGATTCCTCAGACATCGCTTTGCATGCAATTACATCAGATAAAAAAATATGCAGTAATTCTTGTGTGTACATACAATTAAACTCAGATATTACAGGAGAGGGTGAAAATGAAATGAATAGTATTGGTGATGAGAGAGAAGTAGGAATGGTTCAGGAAGAAGAATCAAAATATTCAGTTATGAATAACGGAATTGGAGAAGATCCCTGTAAAGGAGTGAATAATACGAGGGATGAAAATTCATCCAAGTCATCTCCTGAAAAACTAGGAAAACGACTGTTAACAAAGTTGGTAAAAAAGCGAAATTTTGTGAAAAAAAATAATCAGAATGTGGATAATGAAAGTGACCATGAATTAAACGGTGAGGATATGTCATATGAAGAAATTATAACCCCTGAGATAATCCTAATTAGTAAAAATCATTCTAACAATGAAATAATATTTCGTCAACTAAGCAATATGGAGAATTCGGAAGATGAGGAAGACGACGATAGCGATGGGGTAGAGGGAGAGGAGGAAGAAGAAGAAGAAGAGGAGGGAGAGGAGGAAGAAGAAGAAGAAGAGGAGGGAGAGGAGAAGGAGGGTGAGATGGGTTAGACGGGTTAGACGGGTTGGACGGGTTAGACGGGTTAGACGGGTTGAACGGGTTGGACGGGTTGGACGGGTTGGATGGGTTAGACGGGTTAGACGGGTTAGACTAGTGAGATGTGTGAATAGAAAAAGGATGATACCTAAGACAAACGAAAGATGAGGTCAAAGCGAACATGAGTTGGAGATCAGCACACTTGGAAGGATACATATACAAACGCATAATGAGACAGAAAGCGGACTAAAAAATTAAAAAAATAAAATAATAAAATAAATAAATACAGAATATAAAATAAGTTATACATTTTATGTTAAATTCTCAAATGAATGGTTCATATTTCAAAATGGTTATTTTATTTTGTATTACATTTTTTTTGAGGAATTTTCCACTGTGCAGAACTTAGCTACAGGCACATGCTTAAGTACATTCTCCTCGTTAGACCTGACGTATACAATGCTATATTTTTTACTCATAAGATGTCATAGCGAATACACAAGAATGTGCAAATTATCTCAAGTCTAAGTACCAAAAGTTTTTTTACATGAAACAAATAAACGGTTTTGACCTGTGGTACACGAAATATGGCCAATAAATGTGCAACAAAAACTCGTAAAAATTTTTGGAAAAAAGATCTTTAATGTTTTCTTCCATTGCTGTTGCACAAAACCGGCTATTTTATTAGTACATGCTGTTGTGTAACTGCTTGCCAGAGTATTCAATGATATGCATGTATATGTTAAAGAGAACGTTTCCCGCTTGTTAAACATTTCTCCTCTATTTGTCTTTCATCACTTCTTTTATTAAGAAATTATTATAATTTTGCCATGAATATCACACCTTGCACAATATGTGTAATTTTGCATTCCTTTTCATGCATGTGAATGTGGAAATTTCCTTCATATGGGTAGCATAAAATATATAAAATCCATTTCAGACACATTATGATATGATACATTGTGCTATATGTGCAACTGTGTATGTATACCGAGGAAATCGTTACATGTCTTGAAACACGAGAGAAAACGCAGCTTTCTATTTTTAACCCTCCCTCAATTAAGAGGGAAGAAACTGTTAATTTGTCGTTACTTATAAACTCTTATTTTTGTCATTTTCCCAGTTATATTACGCTGCTATTTATTTTGTTAGTTATTTTTTTTTTATTAATTATTTTATTTTTATTTTATTTTTTTTGTCATCTTGATTAACCCATACGTAACAATAATTTCTTAAGGCAATGTCCTTCACCTAGCTTTCGAAAAAAAAAAAAAAAAAAAAATGTTCACTTTTATGACAATAGGAATTACCTGTCCGTTCAGGCGAAATGGGTTTATTATGTAGCAGTAATAAATGTGGTAAAAAAAGCGATGGAATTTGTAACAACGCTGCTGAGAAGTTTAACATATATATATATATACACATGTATGTATATATGAACTGAACAAAAAGTGGGAAAAGGCACTTTGTGTTTCGACTTCTTCACACGTAGAATTTTTGGCGCATTGCAACTGCCACGAAGTTGCGTTGAAATTATTTCCAATTTTTACGAATTCAAAAGTTAACTATATAATTGGGAGGGAAAAAAAAAAAAAAAAAATATTTCCATAAAAAGTTCCCGATGTTCACAAGTGTAGGTTACAATATATCTTACACCACAGGCAATGTGTTTTTATTTGAATGTGCTTGCAAACTTGTTATAGTAAGTTTGTGCCAATACTAGCTTTACGCCCACTATTTTGTTTTTACTTTATTCAATTTTTTTAATACTACGGAAGGAAAAACCTGCCAATTTTGAATTCGACAAGAATTATTACAGAAGCTTTATTACTGCAGAACTGTTTCTGTTGAAGAAGTGTTACTGTTTAAGAAGTGTTACTGTTTAAGGAGTGTTACTGTTTAAGAAGTGTTACTGTTTAAGAAGTGTTACTGTTTAAGAAGTGTTACTGTTTAAGAAGTGTTACTGTTTAAGAAGTGTTACTGTTTAAGAAGTGTTACTGTTTAAGAAGTGTTACTGTTTAAGAAGTGTTACTGTTTAAGAAGTGTTACTGTTTAAGAAGTGTTACTGTTTAAGAAGTGTTGCTTGACACAATTTAGAAATGTTTTTATGCCAGCATTTTGCACATTCGACAAGCGACAGAGCGGAAAGAGCGTCCTAAATTTTTGTTGTGCCTCAGATAAGATTAAAGAGAGACAAAAAAAAAAAAATAACATTCCTGCGTAGTGAATGTGTTCTTGCAGAATTTTAACTCCTCGCTCGTTGGGAGAACACTCATGTGTGAAAATGAGTTAGGAAAGCTAATCATATATCCATGTTCGATGTAAAATTGGGAAATAAATATGCAAAGGCTAAAGCAACCCTCTCCCCCCCTCCCCCCTTTTGCGTGCAGTGTAGTTAAGAAAGGGAGAAAAAACCATTGGGGAGAAGGATCAAAGGCGTTGAAAATTGTGAAAACACACCTAGAGGAGGGAAAACACGAAAAAATGGTAAGAAATCGTACCGAAAAAAAAAAAAAGAAGAAGTAAAGATATAGGCACCAGAAAACAAATGTGATACATATAAAGGATGTTTTCCTTGTTAAAATTTGTACCTTTTTTTTTTTTTTTTTTTTTCACGTTGAAACGAGAACTTGTTGGTAAAAGCTATTTGGAAAAAAAAAAAAAAAAAAAAAAAAAAAAGTGGCTAGCTAGCTAATTAGCTGAGCTAACAATTTAACAATATCCCCACATGTGCCACAGTTTCAATTATGAATATTTTGAAACGCACAACGTTGGTTAGAAAAAACCCCACATGTTTACACATACGAAAGAATCAGATATACTCGAAAAATGATTTAACCCATGATATATTTGAAAATGAAAAATGCATAGACAAATTTGAAGAGTTCAAAGAAAAAAAAATAATTTATAAAAAAGATTATAAAGATTACATGAAATTATATGAATGTTATAAGCCTTATTATACAAAGCTAATTGTAGAAAAAAGAAATTATTTCAATTTTTCTATTTGCTGGACATTCAATGATGAAAGGTCTGTGTGCGTGAGTAACGACACAAATAAAAAGGTGAAAAGTTTTACAGATACATTATGTAAGCTGAAAGTGGAATTGTCCAAAATAAGACAATATATAGACAACAAGGAAAATGGGTTACAACTTAGTGGTGTAAGGAAATCTCAAGATAGAGACACAAGTTCATTAAAAAATGTACGAACCGTAAACATTGCTGCAACAAGTGTGAACTTTACAAATAGCGAAAATAAAAAAAATATAACAGATGAGGAAAGGAAACAAAAAGAACATGAGAAAATTAGTGAGAAATTGTCGAATGAATGGAGGAATAATCCCATCCCGTCGTCTGCACACGGAAAGGAAAGAGACTCTTATGTGGACAAGCCTAGTGATACAAAGCAAAAAGGGAATCGAAGTAGATACCAAACAAGGGAACAAGAAGAAGAGGAAGAAAAAAAAAATAGCAAAAAAATGAATTACACAAAGTTGAATAAAATATGGGAAAGTTTTCTATTTCATAAGGAAAGAAGTAATATTAAGGAAGAAAAAATCAATTTTGAAATTTTAAGAAAAACTTTTTTAAAAGCACAATTTTTTGAAAAAAATAAAAAAAAAGATTTCCAATTTTTTGAAAATATATTAACTGATTTGTTACTGAGGCCAGACATATTTATAAGTGCTTTGAATTCGTTATATTTTATCTTTTTCGACATGAAAATAAGTGATACAAATTGTTATAATGTTTTTTTGAAGAAGGAAAAAGTACACACAAGTAGTGACTTCTCAAGGAGTGGAAGTTACAATTTGCTCTATGACCCATCGAAAGAAGAGTGCATTCATTCATGCAAAAACATAGAGAGGGAAAAAAAAATATCGGGCAGCGTATTGTTACATTTAGCTAATCCTAAGAAGGAAAAGGAAGACGAACAAAATAGTTCTACATTTGCAAAAAAGCAGGGCAGCAAAGAAGTGAAAAAGGCGAGAAATAGTAATGCATTTAATGAAAAAAATACGATTGATGAAAGTATTCCTTATAAAATTCCAGCTAAGGATGAAACAAGTGGGAAAATCAGAAGATACATATTAAATTATCTGTTCAATATATATTATGAAAAACATATAGGATTAAAGAATATGCATAAAACATTCGACATACATCTAACATATAAATTACGTTATTGTAAGAAGGAAGGTAATTTATATAAGTTTATCGCTTCAAGAGGAATTGAAATTGAGAACAGAAATATTATTTTAATAAAATGTAACAAAATAAGTGGTTCATTTTTAGTAGGATTAGTAAAAAAAATTCAGAAAACAAAAGATTTTTCTATTCTTTATGTAAATATCAAAAGGTACAATTGCAACAAAATCGGGACTAATGTTGTGAAATTATATGAAGAGATGGATTTAAGTGACGAATACATGGAAATCTACTTTAATAAAACTCATGTATTTCCTGTTGAATTTTCTCATGAATTTAAAAATCCATGTATCTTTACATCAACCAGTAGAGATAATTGTCCAAATGTAGGTGATATCCACCAAAACGAGGAGAAGAATGACACAAATGTGTATGAAGCTGTTATACTATCGGTTCACCTCAGTACAATTTCGAATAGGATAAAATATTCCATGCTTAGTCTTTTTGAAAAAAAAAAACAAGTTCCCAATAATCAAATTTTAGAGTTATTACTAAATGAGGAATATAACCATTCACATGTATGTGCATCTGAGGAATCGCTATCTAGCTGTGCCATGATGCACAGAGATGGAGGTTACAATTTTCTAATCCAAGAAGCTATAAATAAATTTTTCCAAAATAGAAAAAATGAAATGACTTTTCTCAATATTATAAATAAAGATCTTATAAAAAATGATAAAATAGTCGGTAAGCTTCACAAGAAACTAAAGAATAACATGGACGAATTTTCCCGAATGTGTAATGTGTACATAAAGTTCGATATTTATCAGAAGAATGTCTTGCGGGACATTTTACTCAATGAAGGGGAGATCCCTGTGCACCTCATTCGTGGTAAGTGCTACCCGGCGTGGTACCCATAGATATAGGGTCATCATTATCACGATGATTGTCACTTTGATTATCACTATGATTATGCACGCATGTGTATGCATATGTCTATGAGGAGAAGTGCTAGAAATAGTTCTGCTAGCGTGCATTATGTATGACTAGCATATTACCCTAACTCGTCATGCCCATATTGTATTCTTGCCATGTACATGCATATCCCCTTCGTGCAAAATTTCTCGTTTCAACCGTCACACTGTTTGATCCCATTTTCTCCAATTTTGTAGGTGCTCCGGGGAGTGGAAAGAGTGACCTGATATCTTTCATAATTTACTTCCTAACACTAGAGAGGAAAAACAATATTTTTGTCGGCACGAGCAAGCACATTTCGGTGCAAAATATTCGTGAGAAGTTACTGCACTTTAAGTTATGCCTGAATAGAGACAATGTACAAAGGTCGAGGAATCAGAAGTCGGATATATATATAGACACGATATATCAAGCATTTAAAATTAAAGATAAGAAAATAAAACATTTAATTATTGATGAAGCTTCTAGTTTATCCGAATACAACAGTTTAATTTGTCTAAATCTGAATTGTGAATTCATTTACGCCTTTGGTGACGACAAACAGTTAACTTTTCATAGTTTGATATATGAAAAAAAGAAATTACAAATAAATTATCTAAGCATTTTTGAAAAAATAAAACGTTATAAAAACATAAAATATCATCATTTACTAATTCAGTATAGGTTAATTTTTCCAATGTATTTATTTATTTCTTTTTATTTTTACAAGAAAAAATTAATTGCTTCTAAAAAAATTATGGACAATTTTTTTCAGTTAGAAAAAAATAAATGCAATCTTTTTAATACCCTATCAGGGGAGGAGGACCTTCTACGCATCTTGAAGAAAGAAAACCTTTTTCATCATTGCTCGATACCAATTCTGTTTATCGATACGTATGAAGCCGATTTAAATTCACAAACGTTTGAGGAAAAAATTAATTATTCTTACATAAACCAGTTTGAAGCAGATATCATTTTAAAACTGGTAAAAAATTTGAATATAGAAAATCAAAAAAATATTACTATCTTAACTCCTTATACAAGCCAAAAATTGTATATTCAGTGTATTTTAAAAAATACACATTTGGATAATAGAACTCAACGTAATGATCCCCAATTCGATCAGCATAAAAAGAATAATAATAAAGAAATATGCAAACATTTGATGTATCAAACCATGGTTGATCGGTCTTCTAGTGAAAACATGCAAAAAGTAAGTCCAATCACATGTGCAAGAAACGAAACAAATTCGAATTCTAACCACAGTTATGGCCAAATATTTAGTCTCTTTAAAAATGATCATTTGAGAGCAGGAACTAACGAATCTAATCGTGTGTCTCCATGGGAAGATATATTTGAAATAGGTTCTTTTGCAGACCGTCAAGGTGGGCTTAAAGGAGGGCATGAAGTGGGGAATGAAGTGGGGAATGAAGTGGGGAATGAAGTAGGGCATAAAGTAGGGCATAAAGTAGGGCATAAAGTAGGGCATGAAATAGGCCTTGAATTATGCCATGAGGTAGGGAACCAATCCAGGTTCCACAGGGGCCATCCGAATGATACGGATCCTTTTAGCGACCTTTTTTCCAATACCTTTTTACGAAAGAGTGAAAAAATTGGCGAAAATAATTTTAGTTTTTCGGAGAACAAATTTCCCATAGCTTTGAAGATGTCAAAAAATGGATGCAATATAAATAATTCCAATGTATGGATGAACGAACAAAATGGGAATAACAAATCGGCAAAATGCAATCGAGACGTTGAAAAAAATTCCAACGTTTTGCACAAAAATGTTCACACAATTGACAGTTATCAGGGTTGTGAAAATGACTTAATTATTATAAGCACAGTTAGATCGAATGATAAACATATGCTTGGTTTTCTGAATGATGAAAAGAGGTTAAATGTTTTGCTGACTCGAATGAAGAAGGGAATTATCATTGTTGGAAATTCCAAAACGTTAATGAACAACTTTTTTTGGAAAGAGTTTATTTCCTTTCTGGACTTTTTCAAATCCAGGAAATCCGTCTTTACCTTACCCTTCATGCGCAATTGCAAATGAGCATATAGCATATGTGCGTGTGTGGTAGTGATGGTAGTAGTGGTGGATGGGTGTAGAAAACCCCCCAGCGTGGTTTCTCCCAATTTATTATTTTTGTAAAGATTGTTAATGAGACATGTTACACGTTTACTTGTCCTTTCAAAATGTTCATGGTTTAGAGCATGCACAACAACTCGCACAAATTTATCACTCGTGGATTATTTCTGTCCACCTTTTTGTTTACGTACAATTTTCATCATTATGTATACATATTCCAAATCCGTGTTTCCAAATTGAGGCTTTTGGCATATTATGAATTGTTTATTATCATCCTACAACCGTTAAGTTTTTCTTTTTTTTTTTTTTTTTTTTTTTTCACAGTTTCAACTTGTAAGATTGTTTTTTTTTTCCCCTTTTTTTCATAAAATAAGCTGATAATAGTTGTGAAGAATTTATTCACACAAATTTTTTTCTACCATTTGAACATGTGCACAATTATACATTTTATCCTCCTTTTTGATTTGATTTTTTTTTTTTTTAAAACCTATTTAGTGAAGAAATATTATAAACCCTTCTTACATTGTTACGATTTAAAACAATTTCAAAAAAAAAAAAAAAAAAAAAAAATCGCTAAGTGTTAGAAGAATATATTACAAAAACAAGGTTCTTATGTGTATGTGTGATTACACCAAAAAAAAAAAAAAAAAAGACAAGTAAAAAAAAAAAAAAAATTATATTATGATCAGCAGGTTAAACTGTTAAAAAATTATGAATAGCAAGGTAAATTGTGAAAAAATTATGAAAAGCAAGGCAAAAATAGCAGAAGAGTTACAAAACCGTTCATCAAATGCTGAAAAAAAAAAAAAAGAAAACACGAATTGTTTAAAAATTAAAAATACAGGGTATAGGTGATGGACCTATTTATCAAATTAACAAAAAAAAAAAAAAAAAAAAAAAAAAACTGATATCAAGAATGGGATTCTTCCAAACTGTTCATTGCTGCGTGTTTTCTATTGTTTAATAAGAGGGATGCATCAAGTGAATAAGCTATATATATATACTCATAAATGGTAGAGAAAGCGCAAAATGAGGATATATAAATACGTGCATACATACATGCACACATACATACATGCATAGATAGGTACACCCATGGCACCCCTCAGACGCGCTTAAAAAAATCCGTTATTTTGGTTGACTGTTTTGCATAGGACTTCCCATTTCTGCTTTTGTTCGTTTTAACACTACAGACATGTTTGAGTGCGGAAGAAACTGCTGTCTGTGGTTTGTAGCTACTGCTCGAACTTTTTGTGTTCCCCGAGTCGGTTGGGATGGAGTATACTTCAGTGAAGTCCTTCCCTTCCTGTGTATTGTTCTTTTCGGTGAGATCATTAAAAAATTTATCCACGGATTTGTTTCTAAATATGTCTACTTCAATTGAATGAAACTTCCTTCTTTGGGGGGTAACATTAATATGTTCAGGGGAGTTGGAGTTGTTAATTTTTTTGTCGATAAAATTGATGAAGTCTTGGCTGTTGTGAGAGTTGCTGTTGATGGAATTGCTTCTTAACGGATTGCTTCTCATAGGACTGCTTCTCATAGGACTGCTTCTCACAGGGCTGCTTCTCACAGGGCTGCTTCTCACAGGGCTGCTTCTTATAGGGCTACTTCTTATAGGGCTACTTCTTATAGGGCTACTTCTTAACGGGTTGCGCGTTAATTGATTTTCACTTAACTCAGTAGTACCACTCGTTTTGGATTTACTATAAGTGACTCCTCCTGATCTGCTGACGTCTGTTTTTCTGCCAGAATTTAGTGTCTTAATCCGTCGAATTACTTTACTTTTAATTTTAATCGTCTTTGAACCACCATCACCAGGCTGCTCATTTGCCAGAGGCCTGTCATTGCTGTCTTCATCTGCCATGTCGTGATTGAGTCTGTAGGCATAGAGCTTTTCCTTCAATTTTTGAATTTGGCTATCTTTTTGGATTATATTTTCCTCTAACTGCTTAACAGTTAATTCACTTTTTTTTTTATTGGACAAAGAGTTTTTAATATAATTAAGAATGACATTTTGTTGTTGTTCTATTGTTAAAATGTTGAAACCAAATAACAAATTAATTTGATTTAAATCTTCTTTATTTAAATCCTCTAAATATTTTTCCACAATTTTGTATTTTTTTAATTCCTTATCATATTCCTCAATTTTGGTTGTCAGAAGTATTTTATCCTTAAAATATTCATCCTTCAATTCCTTTAATTTTAATTTTTCACATTGCTCTTGATTAATTTTGATGTTATTTTTACATATTGTATCACTTAAAATTTTATTTTTATTTGTCAGTGTTAAAATTTCTAGAGAATATTTCTCATTTTCATTTTGCATTTTTATAAGTTCTGCTTCATATTTTACCAAGTCTTCATATAATTCATTTTTACTTTTGTTAATGTAGTTTTCATCCATCATCATAATTTTATTCTCCTCATTTATTTCGTAGTGAATAAACAACAAGTTTTTTTTGCAGCATGTGCATTTGCACAAAGGGCAGGATTTCTGGATCCCTATCCATTGTTTCATGCAACTGTAGTGGAAAATATTTCCGCAGTTTTTTTCTACACACAGATTGTTTTTTAAGCTTAACCTACATATGCAACATTCGGGGATAATGTACATTTTGTTCTACTTTGTGAAAGCGCAAGAAAAGAAAAAACGCTTCTGGGGTATTTCAAATGAGAAGCCTTTCAAGTGAGAAGCCTTTCAAATGAGAAGCCTTTCAAATGAGAAGCCTTTCGAAAGGGAAGACAAGTTAAGGTGTGTTATTGTTATCGTTATTGTTATCGTTATCGTTATCGTTATCGTTACTGCTATTGTTATTGTTATTGTTTGCGTGTGTGTGTGCTGACCGGCACACGTCTTTCGCATGTTAACTGGAACAGAGATGTCTATTCTATTCTTTCTTTTCTGACATCACCAAATGGTAAGCGTACACCTCTTTCATCGCCGCGATCATTCTATGAGTTTGTAATTTTCGACGTGTATCTTTGTTAAAAACGTATTTTCATCAACTGTGAAATCTTATCACAGTCAGTTGCAATATCTTTTTTGTCACTTTATAAATTGTATTTCTTCTTATTTTCCGAACCACTCGAACTATTTTCACCTCGTCCTACGATTCATATCCTCGCAAAACAAGCAATTAAGTTTCCTTGCTTTCAATTGGATCATAAGTCGCACATCATAAAAGTTTTTTTTTTTTTTTTTTTATTTCCCCATCCCATGAGATGTTTTCCCAGTTTACACCTTGGCTTGGTGTGAAAACTAATACAGGTACCACAATTAATCGATGTGAGACCTCCTTATCACTGTACAAATTTCTGCAACAATTGTTATTACGACCATGTGCTTAGGACTTTCTCATTCGATATTCCCGTTTCTTTTTCTATTACAAATCGTTCATACTCAATTTCATGCATTTTTTTTTTTTTTTTTTTTTTTTTTTTTTTTAAAAGACTATTCGAAGGCACACACGAAAGATCTCTTCACAATTTAAAAAAAAAAAAAAAAAAAAATAGAAATGAGTAACACCGTCAGGAGAACGCTGTCTGTTTTTTTTTTTTTTTTTTTTTTTTTTTTTTTTTTTTTTTTTTTTTTTGTATATTTTTTATTTACTAACATTTGCAAAATGGGTTACCTAAGGGAGAAAGGAAAAAAAAAAGGAGAGAAAAGGGAAGCGAAAAAAAAAAAAAAAAAAAAAAAAAAAAATATATATATATATTATATATATCTAGCGCATTTTGTGCTTAAAAAATATGTGTAGCTCCTCTAACCCCAATTTAGTATACACTTAAGAAAAACATAATGCCAATTTTTTTTTTTTTTCTTCTTTTTTTCCTCTACTTCAATTGCGATACTTGGAAATGCTCATAATATATCTGCAAAATGTGAATATAAATGTGTGTGGAAGCAAATCTCATTTCCCAGTTCGGTGTAAATATAAGCAATTTTGAAATTAGTTGTTCGTTACTTAACAAAATATATACTTCTTACATTTTTGAACAATAAAAATGCGTGAAATTGGTAGTAAAGTCATAGTTTTTTTCATTTGCACACCGCTGGAAAATATTCCTTGCCCATTTTTTTCCTGCAACATTCTCTTTACTATGAAAATAACCCCCTACCCAAAGTGACCGTTTCCCTAGCCCATTATTCAGAGTAACCAATTAAAGTACAAATGAAAACATAGTGATACACATTTTCGAAAGTTATATATATAATGATCATAAGGTATGAGAGGGTGGGGGGAGGGTTAAATGTTTCATTTTTCATGATTGATAATGAACATAATTTTTGTGTAATTCATTTCGGAAGAATTGCAAAACCAAAAAAAAAAGAAAAAAAAAAAAAAAAAAAAAAAGAACTTTTCAAATATGTCACCCTTTAATTCATGCACATCACAAAAATAAAAAAAAAAGTAAGAGTCTTCCTATCTCATGTTCACGAGCTTTGTAAAAAGTATGAATTTCTTGAAATAACTTCTAAACCGATTAAGGGGTGTAAAAAAAGTGCCAAATGGAGAAAAAATAAGGGAGGGAAGCCATTACAGGACGTTTTAAAATAAGTAGGTATACAGCTAGCCATACATCATCAAATTGAAAAAAAAAAAAAAAAAAAAAAAAAAAAAGTGCCAAATAGGGGGTGGTGAAACGGAGTAAATGTGATAAGACATTGTTAATAATAAGTAGGTAACCAAATTGGAAAAAAAAAAAAAAAAAAAAAAAGAAGACAGATATATAATTTACTTGCCAAAATGGGTTTTAAAATATAAATAATTTGGAGAAGACTATCCAGCAAAAGGTGTATACGCATTTTTGTAGTTACAATAGAAAAGGTGAGAATACATTTCTCCTTGCGTAGTTTATCTAACCCTTATGTACAGTCGTACGGTGTAAATATATATTTTACTCACATGTGCACACTTGCATACTTCATAAAGCTGCGTTGATTGTAGCTAATCCTTGCCTAATCGATCGGTCTATTTCAATTCCCAGTTGGATTCGACCACCTCCACGATCAGTACCAATGCAAATACCAATATCAGTGCGAATACCAACTCCAATTGCACTACCAACTTTTACTGCATAACCTCTGTGTTGTGCTTAACCCACTGAATCAAATTGTGGTTCAAATTGTAGGATTCGATGTTTTCCAGAAATATGTCATAGCAAGGGAATTTTGTAGGTTCATGCAGGCCAAAAAGATCATTGCTGAAATTTTTAATATTCAAATGACTTAAGGAATATGAAGACAAGACAATAATGTCCAAGTCGACTAATCGAAAAAAGGATCTTCTGTAAGCATCCAGGGAAAATCCAATAATCTGTTCTTGTGGATAAGCTTGTTTAAATTTATTAATTTCTAAAATTATAACATACAATGTTTTGGGTAATAATTCTTTTTTATATAATCTTGTAAATGCACATAATATCATATATTCAATGGAACATAAATCTCTCAAAACTTTTTTTATATAATGTCTTCTAATAAACTTAGATTGTACATTATTCAAAATGTATTGACTTTCCACTTTTGTTTTTAACTTTATATTTTCCTTTAATTTACGTGGACTCATGTCTATATTCATATCAAACTGGAACTTACTATCTCGACATTCTTCATTTTTATCTTCCCTTGCATCATCATGCAAATTTCTTTTAACTGGAGTGCAGTATAATTTTCCTGGCCTTTGTTCCATTAGGTATTCTAAGTTGGCTTTCTTTTCTTTTGAAAAAATTCCCGATTTATTATTTCCCAAATGTGCATGATTATTATTATGCTTTTTTCCCTTCATTGGGGATGCTTCCCTTAGTTCTTCCCCCTCCAAAAATTGGTTCTGCTGCCAAGTATTTTCCCCTTCCTCTTCTGCTTCTTCTTCTTCAGCATGCGGGTTCATGCTGCAATTCAGAGAATCCGAAGTGCCCTTTTTACAGAACCCGTTTTCTGGATCAGATGCGTTTGACATGTAATCCGAGTGAGCGTCCAAAAGAGTATTGTTTTGGAATGCACCCATGTGGTAATTGTCAACACTGGAATAGTGACTATTCCCACTGACATGTCGATTACCATTGTTTCTCCTCTCACCACATAAAATGTGTCGATATTCACAGATAGAAAGTATTGCATCTACGCAAGTGTGATAAATGTGCCTGATGTCAAGACCATAGTTGATGTCATAAGACCACTGCTTGAGAAGAAGAGAATCAGCAATCTCCTTTTGCATAGTGGAATTGTAGATTTGCAAAAATCGTTGTATTTTTATTAAATCTGGGTAGGTAAAATAGACAGAGTAATATTTCTTGATAAGATGGAAGTCGTCCAAATTGACATACAATATTTTGTATACAAGTTTCGAAATTTCTTCTATATTTAAAAGAGGAGAAATATGTAACATTTCGAAAGTGAATCTCGATTTTATTCTCTTTTCTAAGGTTTGTGTAATATCTAACACATTGGTCAAACATATAATATTAATGCATATATTTTTTTTGTGTAACAAATCAAAAAGGGTATATAATAAATTCTGCTTATTCTGTAAGCAAAATTTTTCAACATTTTCAATAATCAATAGAGTTTGTTTTTTTTCATTATTTATTTGAATTAATAATTTTTCCAATTTTATAATATAATCATTTAGTAATAAATTTCCTTCAGTTTTGGAATCCACATCATCTACATAATTCTGTAACTGGCTTAGTATAGATTTTATACACTGCATGTCATCTCTGTATAAGTATGCACTAATTCTAATTGTGTAAATACATCTTTGTTCATTTTCTTCTTTTTTTATTTCTTCTACAATTTTTTTATATTTTGCATTAAATTCAGCATTGTCATCGTCACTTTGCGTTTTTATTTCGCTTAAATTATTCTTTTCCTTAAAAAATTCTTCAAATTGAATTTTATTTCTAATATTTGCGTTTTTTCTTAATGGTGAAAGATCGTTATTTTCGAAAATGTTTTTTATATTCTGGTTTATCTGTTGCGCATTCAGGCTTGCTTCACTTTCACTCCACAAGTAGGGGTTACATTGGTCTTTCTCTTTTTCTTCCCCTACGTCTTCATCTTCTTCTTCATCTTCTTCTTCTTCTTCTTCTTCCTCCTCCTCTTCATTTGACGTGCATTTTGATTCATTTCTCCTTCTTACATTGCTCTTCCCGTTATTCATTTTTCTCTTCTTTGGTGTAAAGTTAAAAAGTGGTTCATCACAGTGAATCTTAATCTTCTTTTTAACGTGTCTAGGAGAGGACTCAAGACGTGAGGTCTCTTCTCGCTGATAGTTCTTCACACTATATGGCGTTTTTTTGTATATTTTTTTGCTTATACTATCATCCGCAGACAGAAATAAGACATTCTTTTTTTCATTTTTGCTTTTCATATTTTTTTCAATTTGTAAATATTTGTTGAAATATTCAATGGCTAAACTAACACAGGTAGTTTTTCCACACCCTAACATCCCAGTAACTAAAAAAATTTTATTTTCTCGAATATTGTATGATTTTATTAATTTTTTCAACAATTCCTTAATGGAGTAATTCAGGTCTTTCTCTCCTACCCCTCCTCCTCCTGCTGCTGCTGGTCCTCTTTCGCTGTTTTTCTTCTCATTTGCTTCATTTCTTTTTTCTGGATCTTTGCCTTTTCCATTATTTCCACTTCCATTCGTTGCACCACTTTTCCATGGTTCTAAAAAATTTCTCTGATCAGTGTGTCCATCTTTTTTCAGCAAATTTTCTAGCATTATATTAGAAATAGATTCCTCTTCATATTTCTCAAAATAATTACTGTATAATCCTCCATGTAGGGCTAAGTTAGTTTTTATCCTTACGATATGTTTTATGTACGTCAAAATATATACGTTGTAGTAACTTTTACTGTTTTTCTTTCTTTCCTCTGATTCCTCATTTTTGTAAATGTTATTATTTTTATATGCCTTGATTTTCACATTTGCAATATTTTCCAAGCTCAGATCAATCTCACTGTCTTTCATCATTCTTTTGTGTTCATGTAGTTATACTGTACCATTAGCAAGAATTTGCCAAACCTATATATATATATATATATATATATATATATATATATATATATCCCTTCCAACCTTCTATCTCTTTACACTCGTTAATTATTTCACCGAGGAGAGAGAGATGATTGAACCAGTCTCTTGCCTTTGAAAAAAAATAAAATAAAATACATACACAACCGGATACATATGATATTTGTAGTTATTTTTTTTTTCTTTTTTTTTTTGGAGAGGCGGGGGGGAGATATTTGCGCATCAAATGAGCCAAATGAGGGAGTAGAAAAATAAGGGGAAAAAAGAAAAGCCCCAAATGAGAATAAGCAACCGAAGAAGAATATTAAAATGAATTTACAAAAATGTGAAAATAATTATTATCCTTTTATCCCCACTCCACCTCCTCTAATGTAAAAAAACATGTGCATATATATATACACATATATGTAACAAATTTGCAAAAATATGTGTATTACACAAATTTCCCTTTTAATTAAACCTTTTTGACAGCGGTAAAAAAAAAAAAAAAAAAATACGCAGCTTTGCATGTTACGCAAATTGTGCGTGTGATCCCACATATTGCACACGTGTTTTTTTTTTTTTTTTTTTTTTTTTTCCCACTAAAAATATGCTAAGATCAAGTATGATACATGGCAAAATTAATTTTCGAAAAATTGTTATAAAATGTTATAATCTATGTAGATGCGTATCCTTGAATAAATAAAAAGAAAAAAAAATTCATTGATAAAATTTTTTTTCTCCTTAATTTCACTCTTTAGTCGTGTGAAATTGGGAAATGTCACACTCTCCTTTTCCCTCATTTTGCAGTATGTCCCATTTTACTGTGAAGACCAAGTGGTGACTATAGTACCGTACAAAAGTGAAGGAGAAAAAAATATAACAATAATAATAATAATAATAAGTGAACAAAATATAGCAATAAAATAGTGACACAAAAATGGGGAAAATAAAAAAAAAAAAAAAAAAATTAACAGTGGGAAAATTGTTATCAGCTCGATATGATTGAATATGTATAAATTAAAAATATTTTTATCCTTGTATAGCACTTTTCTATACATATAAAATTCGCTTTAGATAACTATGCCATTTTTACTTTTCCTTTACGACAGAAGGTACATGTGAGAGAACATAACTCGTATCATTATCATATGTAAACCGTTTACACATTACATGCATGGGATATTTTACACACTTTTCACAAAAATTGCAGTGTCTTTGAATATAAATTTGAATGTCAAAATGTGGATAAGTATGAATGTTGTGCCATTAATAAATCGGATTAAATATACATATCACTAGGTTTCTTTGTGGACTATATGAGGAAGACAAAAATAAAATAAAATAAAATAAAAAAAAAAAAAAAAAAAATGCCTACTCTGAAGAATGAACTAATAAAAGTAAAACATTGATAATGATCTACATTTCTTTCAAAATACTTAGTCTTATAAAAAAATTCACCAAAACTGGATTTTGTGTTCTCATTTTGTGTGTTCATAAAAACTGTTATTTAGATGACGACGGGAAATAAAAGCGCTTTTGTATTTGCTCGATTGTGTTTACACCTCTTGCACACTTTTTTTTTTTTTTTTTTTTTAAATTTCTTTTCCTTTTTGGGTCTTCACTGAAAAACGTACCAAAAAATAAAGTACATGTATATGTCAGTATATATATATATATATATATGTACATGTGTCTGTGTATGTGTGTACATACACACATATATATACGGCGTTGTGAAGAATGGATCGAAGCTTGACCAAATGTTTGCCTCGAATGACTTAACCTTTTTTTATTGAAACCTATGAAAATGCATTAACATCTAGAAAATATATAAACATTTTAAGGAAAAGGAACTCCCGATTATAGCATAATTAAGTTATACTCGTTTTGAAATTTTCACTTTGAATACTTTTTCTCACATATTAAGAGAGTGGGAAAACAGGTATCATATTTTTATTACACTTCCGCTAAGATTTAGCAGATTTATCCCATTACTCACAGGAAGAGGGGTAGATTACATGCGCAGAATTAATACAATTAAGTATACGAATTACAAACTTTATGAATTACACCCATGTTTAATTTTGCCAATTTGGGACATGAGCTTATATACTGAACATTCTCTCGTCCACAGTGTGTAATTTTTTTGGCAATTTTTTTGGCAATTCTTTTAGCAATTTTTTTAGCAATTTTTTTAGCAATTTTTTTAGCAGTTTTTTTAATGACTATATTTTCACATTTTTTAAAAATAAACGTTATAATTTGTGTAAGAAAAGGGGGGGGGGGGAGAAATTATCGAATTTACAGAATCCATGGGTTTAAGGAAAGATGGAACTTTTCAAAGGCATGTTGAAAACTTTCCATATACTCCCCCCTGGACATCCTGGATAAAGTTTTTCTTTTTTACACTTTTTTAATTGCACTTAAATTTTCGTGAATACAAAATAGCTATGTCGACAATTAGTCCCCAATTTTCTACCTCCTATGTCCCAACTCACAATCGTAATTTTTGTCAAAGGATGTTTGGGGGGTGGGGGAGAAGAGTATACATAAAATATAACAAAAAGTGTTTCTACACATCTAATACTGTTTTCTGAGTGCCTTATAGAAGTTTACATATATGCTACATTTATTTAAAGAATAGGTATTTCCTTCATTCTCATAAGGGATACGGGTATGCATATATACTTATAGGACTTATTTAGCATGTACATACAACACTCATTTTACAAGTACATTTTTTGAGTACTTCATTTTTTTCAATTTTTGGATGCTTCTTCAAACTCGCCAACACATTCTACAAAGTGAAAAGATTTCTCCAAGGATTGGATAAGGAAAAAAAAAAAAAAAAAAAAAAAAAAAAAAAAAAAAAAAAAAAAAAAAAAAAAAAAAAAAAAAAAAAAAAAAAAAAAAAAGTAAAGAAAGCGAAAAAAAAAAAAAAAAAAAAAAAAAAAGAGATTCCTTTAGAAACAGCACCAATGGTATATAACTGATTGGGGTTAATGTCGAATTTGTTTTTTGTAAGAGAAAACCCCTTTTTTTATTTTTACGGCCGTAATTTTTCTCTCTATTCAGTCTTCCCTTTAGCACTTTCCTATATGTACATACATACATATGTGCATTCGCAACTTCGTAACTTCTCAGCATCGCAACTTTGTAACTTCTCGCATCACAACTTTGCAGCATCGTGGTATTTATATTCAAGCACATAAAATGGCACTCGTTTTTATTCCTGATCGTGTACATGCAAAAGTACACTTATAAACTCATGCTAAACCCACATTTACGTAATGGAGAAAAAAAAAAAAAAAAAAAATAAATATATAAAACTTATGAAAAAATTAAGTACACAAAAATTAGGTATGTACAAATTAGGTATGTAAAAATTAAGCATGTACTAATTAAGCATGTACTAATTAAGCATGTATACAAATTAAATGTAAAAAAAATAAAGTAACACGAACGAATAAACTATTGCACAATTTAACCATATCACTTTGGAAGCAACCCATTTGATTTTGATATACTCTGCTCAGTTTTATGTAAAAGCAAATTAAGAAGAATCTACATTGTGGATACTAAAGAATTGAAGGGTGGAAGGAAGAGAGGAAATTCCATCATTCTAATTATTTAGCGTAACAAATTCTACTATTCCCGTACAATCACAAATCTGAATATAGATGTGCATATGCAAGTTCTCATTTTCTCAAGTTTCTTGTGTTGAAATATACTAGTGTATATAGAAGTATTTATGAACAGAATACCAACCTCGTGTGAGCCACAAATATATACATATATATATACATATATAGAGAGAGAGAAATAGAGAAAGGTCTAAAGACCCCTTTTTATTAACCACGTCGCGCAGGCAGAGGTGGAGATAACTACTGAGGGAAACGAGGAAAGTGTGCATGTGCTTTGCATTTGGTTTGAAACAAATACATTTGAAGAGCAGTAGCTGAAGAAGCACGAGAAAAGTGGTGACAAAAGCGGTTGCAGTAGGAACAGACGTAGTAGCGCCCGCTGGAGGAACCCAAAATGAGCGATAAAGGAAAAGAGGGAAAGAAGAAGAACCACACAAACAAGGGAGAGAAGAAGGACTCAACAGAAGATGAAAAGGATAAAGAATTCGAAGAAAAAATAAAAAATTTAAGTTTTGACGAGAGGGTGAAGAGTGCATTAAATTTAAAGTTAGAAGGGAACAATGATTTTAAAAAAAAAAACTATGAAGAAGCTATTAGCAAATACAAGGAAGGTCTAAAATACATAAACAAATTGGAAAACAAGAATGATAAAATTGTTGAATTAGAAATTGCTTTTCATCAAAACATGAGTATATGCTACTCCAATGTAGAGAACTATAATGACGCATATGAACATGTAAAAAAAGTTTTACATCTGGATAAAGATAACGCAAAGGGAATGTTCAGACTTTGTCAAATTGAATACAACAGATCCAACTTGGATATTGCGAAAGAAAAAATACAAGAATTTATCAAGTGCTACCCGGATAATATGGATGCAAAAAAATTGCTGAAAAATATTGTTATTAAACAAAATGAACATAATAAAAAACAAAAACAGGCATTTTCAAAAATATTCGAAAAAGCTTCTGGTCTATATGAAGATAGAGAAAAAGAAATTCTTCGAAAAAAGAAAGAAAAATATGAAAGTTACATGAAATCCTGTGCAGAGAAAAATGAAAAAATAGTCGATTTTGACGAATGGGAAATTATGGAAAATGAAAAAAGGGAAAAAGAAAATGAAGAACAAAAGCAGAAGCAGAAGGAGAAACAGGCGGAAAAAGAAACGGAGAAGAGAAAACAAAAGGATAAAGAAAAAAAAAAAAAAAAAAGTGAATCCATAACATCGAACACTACAAATAACTCGTCCTGCATAGACATAGATGAAGAAGATCAGAAAATAATAGATGAAACAAAAAAAATGGGTTATTGTTATTTCAAAAAAGATATAAAAGAAGATGATAAAAAGTTATTCGAAAAAAATATCCCCATAAAAATTGAAAATGGAGTTAGTGATGATTACAACTTGTGCAGTAATGAAAATAAAGCAATTTCTTCATGGAATGCTGCAGGAACAACATATGAAGAGAAAGACATGACAAAATGGGCTAAACAAAAATTAGAAGAATGCTTAAAAAACATTCATTTCAAAAATACGGAAAAATCAGATTTCTTAAATTTAAATAATCAAAATGAATACAATTTGTTAAATGCTGATTACCCGGAGGTTCTACCAATTCAGTACCTTTACAAAATCGATTTAAATGATATAAAAGATTTGACTGTAGATGCCCAAGTTGTTGTTATACGAGGAACCAAAAGGCACATCTTTGAACTCTCGTGCTCCTTATATGTAACTTTAAACATAAACATAACAGAACTTCACATTCATAAAGTCATTGTTGAGATTACAGAACTGTCAAGTGAGTTAGAGGCTGGGAAAACTTGGAGGAATTACATCACAGTGAAGAAGAACGACAAGTTAAAAGTTCCTGATAAATTGTTTAACAGCATTTACGAGTTCCTTATAGAGAAGGTGGAAAATCAAGTCAGATACTTTACTGAGGAGTACAAGAAAATGTGACCGCGCACGGGGAAAATATCGAAATTGGGAAAAGATCGAAATTGTGAAAAGCTGGAAGTGATGAAAAACGACAAGGACATTTCCCCACACATCCACACATACACAATGAATGGATCGCAGAAGAGGATGCCCCCAATAATTGTGAAGATGGATGTAGAATACATAAAGTCCATTCATGCACATATCTTCCCGTTTTGGTATATATACTTTACACATAGTGCATAACACAAGCGTAAATTCATATATCGGTGCTACGCCTCCTTCCATTTAAGCACAGTGCTTATATACTCACGCATGTGCAATGTAAGTGAATTGATTTTTACTAGCCGCCCTCTCCTACGCCCATTGATATTTACACATGTATATATACATATATACATATATATATATATATATATATATATATATATATATATATATATATGCACGTGTACACACCTTTTCATAAACAAATTTGACATAATTGTTCGTCCCCATTGATTTGCCCCCTTAAACATTTCCTCGAGGTCATATTAAAAAACTTCTTAATTGCGTAAAGAAAAAAAAATAAATATATAAAAAAAAATAAATAAAAGTAGAGTAAAATAAAACAAAACAAAACAAAATCATAATGAAAAAGTTCTTTTCAAAAAAAATTTCATTTTACGTAGTTTTTAGCGTGTTTCCGAAAGTGTACCTATTTCGCCCTCTTCTACTTTGTTACATATTATTATGGGAAATTTAAAAAAAAAAAAAAAAAAAAAAAAAAAAAAAGGGGGGAAACGCGAATAAGAAAACAAATATGCATAAAAGGACTTACGTGCGTATACACAGCCATTCACAAAAAAATTATGCATATTTATTTAGACTCATTCGTTGAGATCTTTTTCACTCTTTTCAAAAATAGACAAAATTTTGTCTTAACTCATATTAGTGTTATACATATATATATAAAGCGAAATGTGCAAAACAGGGAACAAAATAATTGAATATATGAGGAGTTCATTTTTTCCCATTTTTCCCAATATTCACAATTTCCACATTTTTTTTGAGGCTAAAATGCTTTCACAGTCTGCAGCCTAGTTGACATCCCACATTCAGTAGAATTTTTCAAAGCAGAATAGGATTTCTCTTCACGTGAATAAATTAATTGTACCTTTTACATATCTACACAAATTTAGATTGGTTTATTCTAAAGCATGTTCATTAAATCGCTTATATAATCGATCATCTTATCGTATGTGTCCGTCTTCGTCCTTTTGCCATTCAAGTAAGTATGTCTCTTGGCAAAACTATAAACACCGGTTATGAGATTTTTAAATTCATGACTAAATTGTTCGTCATGCAATACTTTCTTAAATGTTTTTACAAAATTTTCTTTTTTTTCTGGATCCGTAGCACCTTTTGATAAAATATTGCCCAACAGTTTTAGACTTATATCATATTCATCTTGATTTAAAACAAGCTTATCATATTGTTTTCTAAAATCGTTGTACTTTTTATGATTCTCTCCTTCATCTACAATGTTTTTTTTATTCTCTCCCGCAAGCAGTTCATCGTACAATGTGTCTAGATGTTTGACTTGCACTGCGGGGTTAGCTGGAGCTTGGGGAGGGGCAGAAGGAGAAGAAGGCGGGTTCAAGGTAGGTTGACTTTGTGAAGCTTCTTGTACTTGCGAATCTGACTCGGTTGATGCAGCTCCTTGGTCTTGTTGGACTTGTGTTGATTGAGCAGCCTGTCCACCACTAACACCTTGTCCAGTTGATCCCGTTTCACTCGATATTCCCGCACTAGGGACAGCTCCTCCAGGTCCTCCACTTCCTGTACTTCCAACAGATTCTCCCACTACAGAAGCATCATTCCCGCTTGCCCTTACTTCGTCGTCATTTCCCTTAACGCCCTGCTCGAAGAATTGCTTATTGTGAAGTTCCGACTCATCACTGGGATCGTCCGAAGTGCTGCCTTCATCGTCCTTCCCCTTTTGAAGAACTTCCCCTGCTACGTATCCATTTTTCAAATTTTTCAATTCTTCCATTTTTTTCTTCAAAAGCAGAATATGTTCTTCTGAGTAGTTCTTTGGGAACTTGTCGGATTTAATTTGTGCACGCAAGTTTTGTAATTTTTCTTTTAACGTTTCTATTTCAGTGTCATTTCCATTATTATTATTATCATTATCATCATCTGTGTCATTATTTTGCGCTTCGTCATTATTTTGTGTTACATCATTATTTTCTATTGTCAGTATTGGTTGTGCGAAAAACAAAACAAGGGAACAAAAAACAATAATTCTCCCTTTCATTGCGCATTCGAGAAAAAATAGGTTAAAAAAACATGTGTGATATTGAAACTAACCCAATGATGAATTTTTGACTGTGCTGAATTATGTGTAAAGAGGGGAAATAATTAATGACAAAATAAATTAGGCGCAAAAAGTGGGGCTGAAGTCTTCACAAATGCGGCTGAGAAGTTGATAAGAAATTGGTAGGAAATATGTAACAAAATAGTAACAAACTTGTAACAAAATTGTAATATATTTGCATAAACGGTCTTAAAAGATATTCCCCAACTTGGGAGTGAAAAATAAAACAAGTTGGCAGCAGAATAATCGGGTACCAAAACATCCATGGAACGAAATAACCCACGAGTATTCCCACACGTTACACACCACTCAGATCGTCACCGTACATGCCAATTTAAAAAAAATGGAAATTTTGAAATGATAACCTAATTAAAAATAAAGAAATTATTGGTATCACGGAAAATTAAAATAATGACAAGGAGAAATTCCATATTTTCACATTGAATTCATAAAATTATTTCAAGAGCGCATTTAAGTGCACTTACCACCTGACTGTTCAGGCAAAGAACAAACAGAAAAAAAAAAAAAAAAAAAAAAAAAAACGCTAGTTGCATTATTTTGATTTCCACTTTTACAACCCCAGCAAAGTGCACTAAAATTTTTTTTTTTTTTTTTTTTTGCACATAATAAATCACCGCATGAGGTTAAAACAAAAAAAAAAAATAAAAAGTAATATTCAACGGTTCGTACAATTTTTTTTTTTTTATATTTTTTAAAAACGTACATACCAAAATAGTCTAATTAGCATATTTTTTTTATGTTCATATCTTGCGATGGAGTTGGAAAAATATGAACAATTGGAGTCAGACATTTTAAAGAAGTAAAATTTGGTTGCACCACAGGGAAAAAAAAAAGATACACACACATGTATGTAGATATATAAATATATAGATTTGTAGATATATATATATATATATATATATATCTACGTAATACTACACGCGCGTATGCCCATTTTAAAAGCGAGAATAACCATTAATGCCAAAAAGCAAATACACACAAAAGTTTTAAAATTGTAAAAGTTTGCGAGTGTATAATTAAAATCGATATGGTCACCCACTTCCCCTTCCCAAATGTGCTATTATGCACCTTCACACATCCTAAGAAGTGCAAATATTTAATGCTAATTCCAAGGCTCATATATGCCTATCATTAGCACATTTAAAAATATGCGACAAAAAAAAAAAAAATGAAGTTCCAAATATGTATATCTTTTGGTTGTAACTTCAGTGGGAATATATATACATTTATGTATGCCGAATGGGCAAGTTATAGTGCCTGTGTCATTATTTCATTTGAGTGGTGTTGAGTAGGTTTATCGCATTTTTTAGGAGATTTCCAAATACATCCTCATTGTTCATCCGTTCTTGACTTAAATAATTGTGCCGCTTAGCAAATCCGTAAAGACCATGTACGAAATTGTCAAATTCTTTTTGAAATTTCTCTTCTGCCAACACTTTTTTAAACACTTCTGCTATGGAATTGCTAACAGTATTTTCCCCTTCCTTTTTAAATCCAATATTAAACAGATTTTTCACTATTTGGTATTCTGTTGGAGTCATACTAAATTCGTAATTTTCTCGAAGTTTGTTATATTTACTGTGATATGTCGGTATGTGTATTTCGTCTTTATTGTTTTTCGTCCCCAGAATATCATCATACAGATCATCCAAGTACTTCACTTTAACATCATTTCCACTTGGGCTCTGTTGTCCTTCAACTCCTTCAGCTCCTGCTTCAGGCGCTACGACAGGGGATTCACTCCTTTGGGTTGCGGGAGATTCTTCTTGTGTATGTTCACTAACTGGGTTGGGTTCTTCACCTCTTCCATTTCCTCCGTCTGAATGTTGCGCTCCTTCTCCAGCATCTCTTTGTGGTTGTTGATCACCTGTTGTTACCACAGAACCTTCTGTTTGATTTTGTGATTGTCTAGAGGTGTCAGCTGTATTTTCTGCTACACGTGGCGATCCTGTATTGCTATTTGTGGATAAGGAAATGCTCCTTGAATTAACTGTTTTGCCATCTGTTGAGACATGACCAACTTCCACTATTGGCGCAGGAGGAGATTGACTCTTTTGGTCCCCAGCCTGACCTCCTGCTACATTTTGTACATCAGCAGTTCCCTCAGCTTGCCCTATAACTTTTACCTTGCTCTGTCCAATAAAGTCAGCATCGTAGCTGTCCAAATCTTCTTCATCCATACCGAAAATGGTTTTTTCGTCAAAATCATCTTTTGATTCATTTTCCAACAGGTGTCCAATGTTTCCCTCGGTATTGTCCACCTTCCCCTGCTGCAGTGCCTCAATTTGCTTTTTTAATGATTCAATTTCTTTATTAAAAATTTCTCCATTATTTGTTTCGTTAAGCTTATACAATTTTTCCAACTTCTTCATAAGCATATGTGCAGCATCTTCTTCTAAATTTTTTTTTTTATTCATCTGAGGGACAATCTTTTCAGACAATACTGGACGGAAGGAAATTAATAAGGAAAATGAAAAAGAAAAAAAAAAAATTACGAAAATTTTCCTCATTTTAGAAAACCAAAAAAAAAAAAAAAAAAAAAAAATGAAAAAAGAAGAATTGGATGTTCTACCAAAAAATGTTATGAAAAATTATTTTTATTTTAAAATGTATAACAAAGGGATAATAAAAAATGGGCGAAAATCAGAATAAATCATGCCCTACCGTTTTATGTATTTAATGTGTGTATACAAATTTATGTTGTGCATACAAATGCACAAATGTGTATTTATTATTTTTTTTTTCTTTCTTTTTTCGTCACTTGCCTGATGTATACAAAATAAAAATTCGACATTTTTTTTTTTTTTTTCCTAAATAACCTCATGTCGAAGAAACTAATTTTAAATTTCAACAAAAAATGAAACTAGCGAACTGAACTAATCATGTTTCATTCATAGGTCCACAAAAGGATTATATTCGTTGCCGAAATAAACCCAATTGCAATTTTTAAAAAAGTGTGCCCTGTTAAGGTCAATTAAGTCCATTTTAGTAAAAAAAATATACAAAATTTATCACAGAATTATTTTTTTCACGTCATTTTATTCAATCAATTTTAAGTACACTCAACTAGCACACCACGTAAAACAAGGAGGAGAGATAGACCATTTTCGATTAAACTTCTCAGAAGAAAAAAATAAAAACAAAGTTGGACTGAATTGGACTGAACTGATATGTAATATCATGGCAATCCATGAAAAACAGAATAGAAAAAAAATAACAAAGATAAAACAAAATAAATTTTTCTACTACAACACTTGTCCTAATATAACAAAATTACATTATTAGAATGGGCAAAATATAATTGTTTTCCATTAAGACTTTACAATTATGCAACAAATTTCAAGTCTGCTAACGATTGATCAAAATAAAAATAAACTAAAAAAAAAAAAAAAAAAATATGGAAAAACATACAAAGAGCAAATAAATGAGTAATATATTTCTCTAAAAAAAATTTAACTAGTACACTTATGCATTACGCTACATCAATTGTGTTCAACATGTTTATGATATTTGTAAACAAATTGGTCGATATATTCGAATCCTTTTTATCTCCCCTCAAATAATTATGACGCTTAGCAAATCCGTAAAGACCATGCATGAAATTGTCAAATTCTTTTTGAAAACTTGGATTATTCAGAACTTTTTTAAACAATTCAACGGGGGCGCAAGCAGCATTTTGAGTACCATTTTTAGGGAAGCAGGCACTAAATAAATTTTTCACAATGTCATATTCGTGTTCATTCATCGTAAATTCGTAATTTTTTCTAAATTCATTATATTTGCTATGGTACTCAGGAACGTGTATTTGATTTTTTTCGTCCGTTTTAAGAACATCATCATATAGCTTGTCTAAATATTTGACGTTTACTTTCTGTCCATTACTACTCTGTGTAGCAGAGTTTGCATTAGGGGAAGATCCGTCTTGAGGTGTTCCTTGTGCTGGATTAACTTCGCTAGTAGCTGCACTTGAGGAACTCTGTGATGGGGTTTGAGAAGAGGGAGGATTTGCTTGTCCACTCGTACGTGTATATGAACTAGAATATAAAGGCCTATCGCTATCTCCACCTCCCCCAAATTCATCACCCAGTTCATAGCTATTTGCTATTACTTCCTGTTCATTAGCAGTTTCACCATCATCATTTTCATCTTCACCTTTCACCTTTTCTTCATTTTCATCTTCACCATTCTCCTCGTCTTCATTCTCAGGATTTTCTTCCCCTTGAGTGATGTCTTTTCCTTGTCCAATAAAATCTGCGTCGTAGTTGTCCAGATCGTCTTCATCCATGCCGAAAATGGTTTTTTGACCAAACTCATCTTTTGATTCATTTTCTAGCAGCTGTCCAATGTTTCCCTCGAAATTGTTTGCTTTCCCATGTTGCAGTGCCTCAATTTGTTTTTTTAATGATTCAATTTCTTTGTTAAAAATTTCACCATTATTCGTTTCGTTAAGCTTATATAATTTTTCCAACTTCTTCATAAGCATATGTGCAGCATCTTCTTCTAAATTTTTTTTCTTTTTCTGAGGGCCAATCTTTTCAGACGACACGGGGGTGCAAGAAAGTAACACAAAAATGGAGCCAAAAAATATAATTCTTTTCTTCATTTTTTATTTCCCAAATTATTATTATTTAAAGCGTTATAATTGTGTATTCTGATTTATTTCTGTAACAAGCGTATTCACAAAATTCGTGTTTGAGGGAATACAAAAGACTGTGTTGTAAAAAAAAAAGAAAATTTTAACTTAGCCCTAATTTTTTTGTGCAGTTATGCACATATATGTATGGCATACATGTACATGTATACATATATATATGCATATATATATGTTTTTTTTTTTTTTTTTTTTTTTTTTTGTTTTTGCGTTGGTTTCCATTCCATTTATACCCCAAAACGAGTCTTTTACATCAAATTATCATAAGGGTAATAATTCTCCGTTGATTGGACGCAGACCCAACTTTGCCTAGTTTGGTCAAATTATATCAAAGACATGCTAAACGGTGCAAAATTGCTTTTCTGAAATGGTCGAGAAAAATAGGTAGTGCGTGCAGATGATACAAAATTTTATCTTTCGGTTTAAAAAAATAAACATACTTGAGTTTTTTCCATGTTTAGCTCCAAAAAGGTGAATATTTAAAAAAAAAAAAAAAAAAACACAACTCTCCCAATTATTTATTATCCAGTGAGCAGAAGCGATCGAAACAATTGTAGGCACATATATATACAGTATATTTTTTCAAATTTAAGAAAAATGGAATAATAAAGTTCAACAAAGACAACCATTTTAAACCAAATGTATGCACGTCAAAACAAAAAAGGTACAATACAAGGACACCACTAAAAGAGCTATAATTAGAACAAAGCTAGCAAAGAGAAAAATGGGAAATCTAAAATGAAAATCACAAAATATTCGATTTATGGCTAACACAAAATGAGAAGCGAAAAAAGGGAATTCTAATGGTGAATTAATTTAAGCTCTGCTTTATTTTTTTTTTTTTCTCCCTTTCCCACGTAGTGGCACACCATTGCTGGCATATACATTGACTAGCAAGACGCACATTTAAAAAATGATCAAATTTAAGAGTATCACAAAAAAAAAAAAAAAAATAAAAATGATAATGAAATAGTTATGTAGCTATTCAGCTATGCAGTTAAAGAACTAAACAGTTGTTCACATGACACTGCACTCAAAAAAAAAGTGACATAGGTAAAGCCATGCCTCACTTTTACTCCATTATGATGGTGTTTAAGTAACTTAAAGCATTTAGAAACAAAGATTTATACTCATCAGTTAGATTCATTCTTTCGCCTCGCAAATAATTGTGGCGCTTAGCAAATCCGTATAGACCATGCACGAAATTATCGAATTCTTTTTGAAATTTCTCATCTTCCAACACTTTTTTAAACACATCAATGAGGCATGCTACGTTCGAATTATTATCTTTCTTGAAGCATGCACCAAACAGGTTTTTTACAATATCATATTCCCGTTCATTCATTGAAAATTCGTAATTTTTTCTAAAATTGTTAAATTTGCTATGATACTCACTAACGTGTATTTGATTTTTTTCGTCCGCTTTAAGAACATCATCATATAGCTTGTCTAAATATTTAACTTTCGGCGTCTGTCCATTTTCAATACTTTGTTGTTTCTGATTTTCTGCAACTGATTCTTCTATAGTTGGTACCTGTCCTGCATTGGTCAGCGTTTCTGGTTCAGCTTCTCTTCTCGCTGGATCTGCTGAAGACAGTGCTGTAGTTTCAGTTTCTCCAGGATTTTCCCTTGCACTTGCTCGTTGCTGTTCTAATGCCCCCTCCAATCGTTCTCCACCTGATGCACTTGTCTCTTCCGTTGATTGGACACTGTTATCTGTATCTGATTCATCAGTCTGGTCAGTATTATCCTGGGTGGCTACTTTAGGTTGACCGTCACCTTTGGAACTTTGATCTCCTGAAGGTTCATTTCCTGGGGAAGGTGAAGGATTTTGTTCTTCCTGAGATTTGCCTTGATCCGTCTGTTCAACATTATTACCACGTTCACTACTTTGCAATGTGTCTCCACCTTCATCACTGGCTTTTGTATCTCCAGCATTTTGACCACCTACTGTGCCAGTAACAGTTTCATTTGATTCACCCTTAATTTCTGTTTTGCTTTGACCCATAAACTCCACTTTGCCATTATTTATTCCATTCATACCGGATGGAGAAGTATTTTTTTTTACTAACTCATCAGTAGATTCATTTTCTAAAGTGTGACTAATATTTCCTTGATGGTTTGTAGTACCATTACCTGATTTATCCTTTGAGCGGGTTGAAATTGCCTCAGACTTTACTGAAGACAATGAGCATAATAAAAAAAGTGAACCAAAGAACAAAACTTTCGTATTCATTTTAATTGTTTACATTTAAAATGTCGCAAATTTTTATACGTAACAGTGGTAGTGCTAATGGTAGTGGCATAACAATTTTGTTTCTCTAAAATGCGTGTGCAGAAATGGAAAATAAATTAACTGAAAAGGAGAAATTAATTCATGGCTACTTTATTTATTGGTGCATTTTTTTGGCCACTCATTTTACCCACCATTTCAGCAATTATTTCACGCATGTGTATATTAATTTCTCAACCATTTTGCAAATCAAAAGTTTTATTTCGTTCATTTCGATCGCTTAAATAATTCAAAAATAATCAAAACAGGAATTAATTATAAATCGTGTGTAGTGATAGGTCGACAATGTATTTTCACAAAATGGGCAGCCTAATGCCACAGCATTCCCACAGAATTGACGTAGAATTAACGCAGAATTGTTGTCTAATTATGAAACCAAATTTGGCCCCCACATTCTGTTTTTTCTTCACTGAGATATAATGAAAAGAAAAAGAAGAAAAAAAAAAAAAAAAAAAGTTATTGCGAAGGTGTGTAGTACCAATGCGAATACTATTAAGTATAATATTTTTTTTTTTTTTTTTTTTTTTTCTCCCACTTCCTGCTGAACTTATGAATGTGTTTAAAATTGGGCACGAAAAATATGACCGATTTTTTATTTTTTAACAAAAGTACACCATTGGTAGAAAAATAAAATGTAGCAAAATTGGCAATGTTCTCATAGCAAGAGGAAATAAATCCTTTATCGATATGATCCTGATAATATGTAAAAATGTGACAGATTTTAAAATTTTTCCATATTTCCATTTTTTCAAAAATCAGAAAGTTGAAACATTTTAAAAGCAGGTATTCATTTTATGCTAAGCCACAGTTTTGCCTCCCCTTGTAAACAACCACGCAACTATGGTTATGTGTGAACACATTCGCATTGTCCGTGTATAATCCCCAAAAAAAAACACACACACATACACGTACATATATACACATACAAATACACACATACGTACACATATTTACAATTTTAAATAGGAACATGTACAAATGGAGAGAACCATGTTCCCTTGCTTGATGCATCATTTCACGTCCACCGTGTTGAGTAAACTGAGTGCATTTTTCAGAAAGCTCTTGTAACTCTCCACATTTTTCATCCTTTCGTCACTTAAATAATTGTGGCGTTTAACAAAGCCATAAAGACCATGAATAAAGTTATCGAATTCGGTTTGAAATTTCTCTTCTGTTAGTGCCTTCTTCAAAGAGTCCACAAGAGAGATTGAATCAGAATGGCCTTCTTTCTTAAAAGTATTATTAAAAAGATTTTTCATAATTTCATATTCCACAGGGTTCATGGTGAACTCATATTTTTCTCTGAATTCATTGTATTTGCTGTGATATGTCGGAACATGTATTTCTCCCGTTTTCCTTGATTCTCCAAGAAATTCATCATACAACTCATCCAAATATTTCACTTTAACATCTTTCACATTTGAACCTCTTTCGACAGAATCATTTGATTGTTCTCGTGCATCTAACGTAGGTACGTCTACGGTGGTTGCAACTGATTCTGAGACTTCTTCATGTGTCCCCGGGTTTGGAGGTAATCCCGATACTGGAACTTGTCGTTCTCCACCTTCTGATCCGTTTGACACTCCCGCTTCTACCCTTTGCAACTCGTCCTGTCTTCCCTCTGATATATTGGATTGTCCCGCTGCAGGTACAGAAGGGGAAGATACATTTCCATGGGATGCCCTATGATTTTGTAAGAGAGTATCTGATTTTGTATCTAAATATCCTGCCTCTACAACAGGTTTATCAAGATCTGGAACTTTGGGAGGAGATTCTTCACCACTTCTAGTTGCTGTTCCTACCTCTGATTCCAAATTGTTTGTAGTTGGCAAAACTGGAGAAGATGCGTCTCCACTCACCGCTACATCATCTGTAGCATCACCCACTGTTTCACCCCCTTCAGTATCTCCTCTAATTTTGTTCTTTCCCTGGCCAATGAAATCTGTCTCATGGCTAACCAAATCGTCTGTCACATGAGCAGAATTATTTACTCCCATTCCACCCTTATCTTTGGACACGTTTACTACTAAATTGGAATTAAAATTCTTCGATTCATATTCCATTTTATTTTTCCTCAATTCTTCAATTTTTTCCTTCAGTGTTTCTATTTCTTTGTCAAGAATTTCACTATTGTTAATGGACTTGATCTTGTAAAGAGATTCCAACCTTTTCGTTAGCACACTTAAAACATCTTGTTCTAAGGTATTGTGTTTTTTTATACAACCTGCATGTTCAGGCGAAAAAAAATGGAAAGAAAGTAATAGAAAAATGGAACCAGTGAAAGGCATACTTTTCTTCATTTTCGATGATAGAATTTTTAGTCTCTTATAAAAGTAACAAAGGGGTGAAGAAATAATAATACAATGATTTCTCCAACTAAATTATGCACAAAAAAAAAAAAAAAAAAAAAAAAAAAATATACGGGAAGAATATGGTGAATATAAAACAAATGCAGAAAAGGAAAAGAAAAATTAATTAAATCCCATTTGTTCATGCACTTGTACACATACTGAAGAATACACACACCTCTGAAACGAAAGAGAAAACCTTTGCACATCAAAATTACACCATGTTAAACAAGTAATTTTTACAAAAGATCAAAATGTTCAGTAGGCATAGAATATTTTACTATTCAGTACCTCATTGTGGGCCTACTACTAAATTTCTGATTTTGTTAAATCTAAAATGGATTAATACATTTTAATTTTTTTTTTTCTTTACACAATTTACTAAATTTCGTTCCTCACTGGGAAGTGTAAATACTATTATGGGAAATTTTCTTAATCATTTTTTTTTTTTTTTTTTTTTTTTTTTGAGCAAGTAAGAAAGCTACGTTTTGCTTAAAAATACATCATATAGGTTCAGTTTGGTTGTATACTTATCGAGATCGTTTAGACAACAGAATTGGGAAGAATAAAATAAATGAATAATAATAATAATGATAAAAAAAAAAAAAATACACTTGCGTGTACATATGTACACAATACCTATGAGATCAAAAGCTGCGCAACTACAAAAATTTAAATTAAAAAAAACTAATGGTAAGGCTATAATTTTGAGATGCAAATATAGGTAAATTACAAAATTATTTTATCACCTCTACATTTCCCCAGCACATTTGTGGTTAAGATGTAATATATATATATATATATGTATATATATACACAAAACAAACGTAATTGCTACGCCGAACAAAACAAAAGTAGTGCTAAAAAAGGATTCACTATAATCACTTAATAAGGTTTCATTGAGTGTGACAAGTAGAGATACTATTAAATGATGTGTACTTATGTATATACATATGTATGTACATTTTTTTTTTTTTTTTTTTTTTTTTTCTTCTCCCTTTTACACTACTTCAATCGTGTTAAGCAGATTTATCGCGTTTTCTACCAGATTAGTATTTTCTGTATTATTCTTCATTCGTTCTTCACTTAAATAATTATGACGTTTAGCAAATCCATATAAGCCACTCACGAAATTGTCAAATTCGTTTTGGAACTTCTCTTCTGTAAGTACCTTTTTGAAAATGTCCACAAGAGGATTGGTATTCATATCATCTTCCTTCTTAAAGCCAGCATTAAACATATTTTTCACAATTTCATATTCCACTGGATTCATACTTAATTCATATTTCGTCTTAATCGTGTTATATTTACTGTGATAATCAGGGGCATTTATCCCACTTCTGTTGTCGCAAGTAGTTAGAACTTCATCATATAATTTATCCAAGTACTTAATTTTAGATTCCTTTGCACTGTCTAATGCTGCGGGAGGGGTTGCAGGAGGGATTGCTGCTGGTTCACTAGGCACCTCGGCAGATGCAGCAGGTTGTCTTGAACCGCCTTCTTGAGGTTGTTCTGTACCGCTTACTTCAGGTGATCCAGGATTTCCTACTGCAGATGATCGTGAACTGTCTGCCTCAGGTTGTGTTACTTGTTCTACTTGAGTGTGACCATCTGCTGATTGATCCGCACGCTGACCTTCCGTTGATCCTGTTACGGGGACTGCTTCTTGTTGCACAGTTTGGGGATTTTGAACATTCTCTAGTCCCACTTCGACACTGCCTCCTGGGCTCTTTACTACAATTGATTCTTCATCTGTTTGATCTTCTGCAGGTGAAGCAAGTGATTCACTTTTAACTTCCTGAACTTGCTCAGTATCATTTCCCTGTACTGCAACAATTTCTCCAGACTGACCCATGATTTTTCCTTTACTCTGTCCAATAAAATCTGCGTCGTAGTTGTCCAAATCTTCTTCATCCATACCGAAAATGGTTTTTTGGCCAAACTCATCTTTTGATTCATTTTCTAGCAGCTGTGCAATGTTTCCCTCGGAACTGTCTACCTTCCCCTGATGCAGTGCTTCAATTTGCTTTTTTAATGATTCAATTTCTTTGTTAAAAATTTCACCATTATTTGTTTCATTAAGTTTGTACAATTTTTCCAACTTCTTCATAAGCATATGTGCAGCATCTTCTTCTAAATTTTTTTTCTTCTTCTGAGGGCCAATCTTTTCAGACACCACGCAACAGAACAAAAATAGGAAAAAACAACAGTTCACTCCAATTTTTCCCTTCATTTTTGCAAAAAAAAATTATGGATAAATTCTGCTTAATAATGGAATAAAAAAAAAAATATACATATGTATATATTTATATATGTATATATGTATACATAAGTTTACACTGTAACAAAATATTTTTGTTTAAAATGTGTGTAGAAGAAGAAAAGGAAAAATAAATAAAATGCAAAAAATTAATGAGTGCACTTATTATCCCGTTGTATATCTACGCTTGCATATGCACATATTTATTCACGTTGTGTGCAAATATTTTCCCCATTGTCGATGTGCAATAACTAGACAGAGAGAAATCGAATCTTCATTTTTGTCGAAACTGTATTTAAATAAGATAATGTGATATACAAAACAATTTAAATAATGATTAAATGGGGTTGTATTATGCTACAGGAAGATACCGCATTTTTTTTTTTTTTTTTTTTTTTTTTTTTCTTCATCTTCCCAATGTGTTAAAAATAAAAAATGAACAAGGTGGGGTAAAAATGAAAAGTGTGAATAATCAGTTCAATAATTTTCGTAAAGTTCTTTCGCTTCAGTTGAGAAGTCGAAAAATGGACGATGGCGTTGGGATAGCGGATAAAGTTAGCAAAAATGAAAAAGTGAAAAGGCGAAAAAGTGAAAAAGCGAGAAAGACGAAAAAATATAATATATTCAGGTAAAAAGGATAAAATAACTCTCCTATGTAAAAATACGTCCCATGGAATTTGAAAAAATTTAACATCTTACTGTACAATTATGTAAAAAAAAAAATAAATGAAGAGTAATGTGTGAATGAAAAAGAAAAAATATGTATTATGTAAGCTACACACTTGTTGTTTATTCAATGGTCTATAGCACATATATATATTCATATATGTTACATATTTTAATATGAAATCATATATAAAAAAAAAAAAAAAAAAAGGAAAGAAATTACGTAGTTAAAAATATGATTGTAAATGGAACACAACTATGTTAGCATATACATTAAAAAATATATATATATATATATATATACATATACATATTAAATGGTTAAAAATATATAGTAAGGGAAAAAAAAAAAAAAAATTTGTGTAAAATGACTTTTAATCAATTATATCACTTCAATTGAGTTGAGAAAATCTATCACATTATTAAAGAGGTCCAAGTACATTTTCCCCTTTTCCATTTTTGGTTCTTCTAAATTGTTATTACTCTCTGTATTTCCAAACATATTTTGAATAAAACCCTCAAATTCTTTCAATAAATTTTCTTCTTCTAATACTTTTTTAAATACATCCAATGTACATGTGGCGTCTGTATGATCCCCTTTCGTGCATGCATCACAAAATTTCTTTTCCAGTAAGTTATCAATATCGTTAGGAAAAGATTCATAACTTTTTCTATCACCCTTATGTCTTCCATGGAATATAGGTTCTTCTGCTCCGTTGATATCATCTGCAGTTTCGCTAACATCATCATTCTGTTTATCAAAATAATTCTCATTTGACAAATGTTCATTTTCCATTTGTTCTGAGGATTCCTTTTCACCTGATGGAGTTGTTTGGTCTAGTGTTACTTGTTCGAGATCCTCTTCAATTGATTCTGTGTTAATACCATCATCAAAATTTTTCTCCAAGTCTTCTTGATTTTCTTCTGTATAGCTTCCAATTGGTTTTTTTTCTAATTCTTCATAACTCGATGAAATCGAATTATCTAAACTAATGTCGGATATATCTGAGTCTACAAAACCATCTTCCATTGTGTATTCATCATTTTCTTCTTCTATGTACGACTCTTCCTCATTGATTTGTTCATTTTCTGGTTTTAATGTTGTCACTGTATCTAATTCTTCGAACTTCTCATCTGTTACTTCATCATGCTCAGCTGATAAACTTCCATCTACAGCAGTGTCCATTAGTTGGTCTTCTCCTCCTTCAAGCTCCTCTATTGCACTGATTCCTACGTTTTCAATGGAGTCTTTCTCTTCATTGTCCTCTAGGTTATCTACATTAAGTGAATAGTCTATACCATGTGCATTTTCTATAACATCCTCTTCATTTGCTTCATCCATTTCATCAGTCTCATCTTCCTCACTCGAGGTATCATTTTGGAACCCACCCCAAAAGAGATTTTTTGTAAGTTGATCCCCGGATTGTTCATTTAAAAGGGAATCTACGTTTTCACCAGATTGAAACGTTTCATCTTTCTGCAATTCTTGAATTTTTTCCTTTAGAGATTCAATTTCCATGTTATAATTTTCATTGGAATGGATTGATCTAAGTTTATTCAAATTCTCCAACTTCTTCATTAATATATTTAGTACATCCTCTTGAACATTTTTTTTCTTTTGGATTCCAGATTTTACTGTTGGTATGGAGCAATATACCAGGAGTACCAAAATGGAGCAAACGTTGACAATTTTGTTTTTCATCATTTTAGAGAAAATAATAAATTACTTGCTTTTTTAAAATGTACGAAGGAAGGCGGAAAATAATGCTATGTTAATATTCCTTTTTATGTATATGAGATATAAAAGTAAATCAATGCGTTAATGAACTTATGAGGGGGATGAATAACGAGTTAATAAAAAAACAAAAAAAAAAAAAGAACTGAAGTTTGTAATGCTCCTCCTATATATATATAATGTATGTATTCCCCATTATGCTGCCTAGCTTTCTAAATGATGAAAAGAAAACTTCAATTTGGTAGAATGCTTTTTATATGTAAGGGAAAAAAAAAAAAAAAAACACACAAAAAAGATTTTTAATATTACACTAAAATAAAAATTGCGATATATATGTCATGATGGAGCATATAAAAAAAAACCTCTTTACTTAAGAAAACCCTAATTTACAAAAACTGAAGAACTTAACCTCAATTAACCCGAAAATATGTCAATTTGAAAATTTACTGCCTAATAGGGATACTTCAAATTTTAATTTGCCATATATTAAAGAAGCATATTCCTTTTTCTTTTTTTTTTTTTTTTTTTTTATTTTCGGCGTGGGTAGAAATAAAATATGACCCTTTTTTAACCGGTTCGTCATTTATATGTCTCAGCATGCATGAATTGCACCAAAAAAAAGAAAAAAAAAAAAAATACACTACTACATTCGAATAAGAAACTTTGAAAAAATGAAAAGCTGCTCAAAAGGAGGTGGGCAAAGTGAAATCATGACATGCACACCAAAGTTGTTATTTGTATAAGAAAAATTACGTAAAAAATGACCTAAAAATGGTAGAAGGAAAAAAGAAAAAATAATACTACGTGTACGAATAAGAAGTGAAAAAAAAAAAAAAACCTTGGAAAAACTGATCAAATAATTAGAGGAAAAAAAGTATTCATGACAACATTCCAAATTATTAACACTGCGGAAAAATAACATAAAGAAATGGCGCAAAAAAAAAAAAAAAAAAAAAAAGTAAAATAAAATGTTTATTTTATATCTACACGAAAACACTTTTACATAATTAAAGAAACAAAAACGCAAATATAATATCTTATTAATATATACAACATTATTAAAAAAAAAAAAAAAAAAACTAAAAAAAATCAGATAAGCCAAAACACGGGGTTACACATTTAATATTTTTATTTTGACACATATTTAAAGCTGCGAAAAAAAGGTACTTCTTCTTTTCAAGTTCGAGAACATCAAAATAAATTTGCAAAAGGAGGAACACATGTGGGAGATCAATGGAAATATAGTTTTATGAAACATCTTTTAAGCACTTTTTAAAAAAGTATTTCCAATGTCTCATTCAACTACAATTGTGTTGAGTAATGTCAGCGCATTTTTTATCAGATCAGTGTAGCCTTGTCCCCCATTCTTCATTCGTTCTTCACTTAAGTAATTGTGACGTTTAGCAAATCCGTACAAACCACTCACGAAATTGTCAAATTCGTTTTGGAACTTCTCTTCTGTAAGTACCTTTTTGAAAATGTCCACAAGAGGATTGGTATTCATATCATCTTCCTTCTTAAAGCCAGCATTAAACATATTTTTCACAATTTCATATTCCACTGGATTCATACTTAATTCATATTTCGTCTTAATCGTGTTATATTTACTGTGATAATCAGGGGCATTTATCCCACTTCTGTTGTCGGAAGTAGTTAGAACTTCATCATACAGTTTATCCAGATATTTAATTTTGGCTTCACTTCCACCACCAGTTACTGCCACAGGTGCAGTTGTCACTACTGCAGGTTCGACCGGTTGATCACTTTGAACAACTCCAGCTGCCACAGGTGTGACACCTGGATTTTCAGTCCTTCCTTCAGAAGCATCTGCGCTTACACCTGCTTCACGTGCGGGTTCTGGTTGTGTTTTAGGAGAAGATTCTTGTTCACCTGAAGCAACAGCGGGTTGTGGGGATACCTGTTGTGTATTACCTTGTGAATTACCATCGCTATTACCAACAGTACTACCTCCACCTCCTGCACCTGTTGAAGTTTCACCAGCTTCCGCCTGACCACCTGGTGCTGCAGATGGAGGAGATTGCCCTGCTTCTTCTACCTTTTCTGGAGCTTTTTCGGAACTTGTGGCATCAGCCTGACCACTTTCACCACGAAGTGCCACCTCTGAACCGTCTTGTCCGAAAACAGTTTGATCCTGCTTCTCTGGATCACTTTCCTGGTGGTCAGATTTTATTTCATTTTCATCACTACTCATTTCTTCAGGTTCATGATGAAAAGTATCATCAGAGTTCTCATCTGCATGTCCGTTTTCATAATTCTTTAATTTATCATTTTCATTGTGATATTCGTCCGATATGTCATCTTCTATAATCTCATTTAATTTTCGTATTTTTCTTCCAGACTCAGTTGGCTCATTATGTTCGTTATTAAAAATGTTTTGGACATTGTCTGACTTTTCTTCACACCATGTTAATTGTAGCAAAAGGGAGAAAAAACATAAAAAGTAAATGTAAAGTAAATTAACTTTTTTATTCATTCTGTTTGGTAATATATGTAATATAAGAGAACTTATTATGATATTTTGTTTTTATCTAAAACGCTGTTAGTGCATATGGAAAGGTGCAGGCAGACTATGAAAAAAAAAAAAAAAAAAGAAAAAAAAAAATTCATGATATACGAAAATGAACAAGGTGAAATAGTTCAAATAGTTAATACTGAAAAAAAAAAAAAATTCCAAATTTTATTTCACTAAGTGTACGTAAAAGTATGAAAAAATTGTCTAATGTTTTCCACTTTACGAAGGTGTAAATTTTTTCTGTTCATGCAGATATATGTACGAGAAAACACTTTAAAACAATTTAGCATGTCAGAATAATCATGACTGTAACGATAGGACGAAAAAGAAAAAAGAAAATTTTATTATTACACCTCTCTGATATGCAGTTGGAAAAGTGAAAAACTACACACGATATTTTTCTCAACTAAACATGTCGACTAAGTCTATTTTCAAAAAAAAAAAAAAAAATTAATTTATCCCACACCAAGTTGCTATTATCGTAATTTTTATATATGCGTAACGATTTTAAAAATTGTATATAAAAAAATAATAATGCAAAATGATGTCGATATATTTTTCAAATTCTCCAAAAAAATGAACAAAACATCTGAACGACCAGCAAAGGTAAAACATAAATGATTATATGTAACATACCCCCACAATGTGCACGAACAAAAGTGAAAAAAAAAAAAAAATAGTAAAAGTATTATTCTTTTTACAACGTTGCATATTCTAAATCGATGTTTTTAAAACAGATACAGTTTTCTTTTATCATCTCATAACATGCTAAAACGGTTAATATGTTTCTATTCGTTTGACATTGTACAGTACATATTTTTTTCATAATTTGAAAAAAAAAAAAAAAAAAAATTTCAAAGCACCAAACCGTTGGAAATATATAATCGTGCACGAAAAACATTAAAAATAAAGTTAAAAACTGTTACTGACATGTGTTCAGAATTATTTTATTTCAATTGTGTTCAACATGTTTATGATATTTGCAAACAAACTGGTTGACGCATCCGAATCCTTTTTATCTCCCCTCAAATAATTATGACGTTTAGCAAACCCGTAAAGACCATGCATGAAATTGTTAAACTCTTTTTGAAAATTTGGATTACTCAGAACTTTTTTAAACAGATCAACTGGGGCGCAAGCAGCGTTTGGAGTACCATCCTTAGGGAAGCAAGCACTAAATAAATTTTTCACAATATCATATTCTCGTTCATTCATTGTAAATTCGTAATTTTTTCTAAATTCGTTATATTTGCTATGATAATCTGGAACGTGTATTTGATTTTTTCCATCCGTTTTCAGAACATCATCATAAAGTTTGTCCAAATATTTGACGTTTACTTTCTGTCCATTACTATTCTGTGTAGCAGAGTTTACATTAGATTGAGGTCCTTGAGGTGATGATTGTGCTGTGCTAATTCCGGTGCTATCTGTCGTTGCGTTACTTTGTGATGGTCCTCCTTCGGAAGAGGAAGGATTTACGGGTCCACTCGTACCTGTAGATGAAATGGAAGATGAGCTTTTTGTTTGCACTGCACCTCCACCAAATTCATCACCCCACTCATAGAAATATGTTTCTTCTTTTTTATTACCACCATTAGTAGCTTCATCTTCACCTTTCACCTTTTCTTCATCCGAATCTTCTTCCCCTTGAATAATGTTTTTTCCTTGCCCAATAAAATCTGCGTCGTAGTTGTCTAGATCATCTTCATCCATACCGAAAATGGTTTTTTGGCCCAACTCATCTTTTGATTCATTTTCCAGCAGTTGTACAATGCTTCCACCAGAACTGTCCTCCTTCCCCTTCTGCAAATCTTCAATCTGCTTTTTTAATGATTCAATTTCTTTATTAAAAATTTCTCCATTATTCGTTTCACTAAGTTTGTACAATTTTTCCAGCTTCTTCATAAGCATATGTGCAGCATCTTGTCCTAAATTTTTTTTCTTCTTCTGAGGGCCAATCTCTTCAGACGACACGGGGGTGCAAGTGAGTAACACAAAAATGGAACAAAAAAATATAATTCTTTTCTTCATTTTTTATTTCCCAAATTATTATTATTTAAAATGTTATAAGTTAGGCACTCAGATTAATTCGTACAATAGTTCATTCACAAAATTCGCTCTTTAGAGTGTAAAAATTGCACGATGAATATATGATCTATTTTTTGTCCTAATTTTTTTTGCCCAAATTTGCACAATTACAGGGACGTTTATTTTTATTTATGTATTTTTTTCTGCTGGACCTAACATTATTACGAAAAGCCAAAAACGGTCTCATTAAATGGGAATTTGTCTAAGCATAATAATTTACCATGAATAATAAAAAAAAAATTAATTCATTTTAAAAATTAGAACAAATTCATAAAATTATAATAGAAAAATAACAAACGGTGCTAAATTCCATATTGGAAAGTGTCGAGAAACAAATTTTATATTATTTGTATTTCCAATTTATTTGTACAATAAAAAAAAAAATAATCGCATTTGAGTTTTTTCTCCGTTTAAATCTAAAAGAATAATTTTTCCCATATGAAAATAAATGAACCAATCTGTACAACTTAAAGATCAGTGCAACCTGCGAGTTTGAATATTTGTGTGTGTAATTTTTTTTTTCTTTTTAATTTTAAGAAAAATGGAATAATACTAAAATTTAGCTGCTTCATTTTTTGATCGCACACGTGTTGATTTTAAAAAAAAAAAATAAAAAAAAAAAAAAAAAAGACACAATTGAGGTTATCATTAACAGTACTAATGAAGCAAGCGTAACGCATCCAAGAAAGAACAACATGGAATTTCTAAAATACAAACCATAAAATATCTGATTTATGCCTAATAAAAACTGAGAAGCAGAAAAGGAATTTTAATAGTGAACTAATTTAAGTACTGCTTTATATTTTTTTTTTTTTTTTTTCTTCTCCACATTCTTAGTAGCACCAGTGTAGGCATATACTTTGACTAGCAAAGAAAATTCTTAAAAAATGATCATATTTAAAAGTGTTACAAAAAAGAAAAAGAAAAAAAAGTTAAAAGTCTAAATACCTAATGGGATAATCAGCCAAATATACAATATCTCACATAAAAAAAAAAAAAAAAAAAAGGAGTTAAAGAAATTGATCATTTTCATTCCATTATAAGAGTGTTTAAGTAACTTAAAGCATTCAGAAACAAAGCTTTATACGCTTCAGCCAAACTAGTTTTGTCGCCTCCCAAATAATTGTGACGCTTAGCAAATCCATATAGACCATGCACAAAGTTGTCAAATTGTTTTTGAAATTTCTCATCTTCCAACACCTTTTTAAATACATCAATGAAGCAGGTTACGTTCGAATTATTATCTTTCTTGAAACATACATCAAAGAGGTTTTTTACAATGTCATATTCCCGTTCATTCATTGAAAATTCGTAATTTTTTCTAAAATTGTTAAATTTGCTATGATATGGAGGAACATTTATGCCATTCTCATCTGTTGTATGAAGTATTTCGTCATAAAGCTTGTCCAAATATTTAACATTAGGAGACTGTCCATTTTGATTCTGTCCAGCAGGGTTTGCAGTTGCTGCTGGTCCTGGAGGTGCTGGCTGTTGCGGATTTTGTGATGATTCGCCTGAGCCCTCTTGCTGAGATTGAGCTGGTTGTGCTTGTGGAGGTGTTTGAGGTTGTGCTGATTGGTTTCCCGTTACTTCAGTTGTAGTAGACTCAGCAGGAGCTGGAGCAGCTGGTGCAGATGGAGACGGCGCACTGGATAAAAGTATAGCAGCCTTGTTGCTTTCCCCTTCATGACTATTTTCATCTTCTTCTACCTCGTCTTCTTCCACATCTTCATCAGAAACATTTTCCCCTTGAGTAATGTCTTTTCCTTGTCCAATAAAGTCAGCATCGTAAATGTCCAGATCATCTTCATCCATACCGAAAATGGTTTTTTGGCCAGAGTCATCTTTCGATTCATTTTCCAGCAGCTGTCCAATGTTTTCCCCGGAATTATCCACCTTTCCCTGCTTAAGTGCTTCAATTTGCTTCTTCAATGATTCAATTTCTTTATTAAAAATTTCACCATTATTTGTTTCACTAAGTTTGTACAATTTTTCCAATTTCTTCATAAGCATATACGTAGCATCTTGTTCTAAATTGTTGTCATGTTTCGGCACCCCAAACTTATCAGATAATGCTTCTTGAAATGAGTGGACAAATAAAAAGCAACACAACACTACGTAATTTCCCTTCATTGTATCAAATTATTCTAATAAAAAAAAAAATGATTTAAAAGTAATTTTGGAATTGATAAAAATATTGTAATTAGTCGATTTTTCATATAAAATACATATTCAAATGAAGGAGCGAATGAATGCTGTCTCTTTTGTGATATTATTTATGTGGCTAAACATGTTTTCATATGTCTGCACAGATTTATACATATTTATGTATTCATATTGTTGTAAAATTTTTACCTTTTTGAAAATGTAAAAAAATTCACTTAATAAGACAAAATAATTTAAATAAGAGGTAAAAAAAAAAAAAACAACTTTGGAAAAAATGAAAAAAAAATATAAAAATAATTAAATCGACTTTTTCAAAAATTGTGCATACAACATTTTTATGATTATGTATTTTTGTACATGCAAATTTCTTATTTAAAAAAAAAAAAAAAAAAATTAGCACACATCTGTTGGCCTCTAAATTTTGCTAAAAATAAAACTAATTATTTTATTTTTTTTTTTTTTGCAGCATGCTAGTGCTATGGAAAACAGTTTCATTAATTTTTTTTATTTTATTTTTTTTTTTTTCAAAAACATCTTTCACCATGTATGCACAGAAAAAGTAAAAATTTAGAAAATTTTCAAACACCGAAATTTTATTTCTTAAAAAACTGCACACAGGGGGCACATAAATAAAGAACAGTTATATTTCAATCTTTCTTGAATTACATAGTTTGCATCGTGTCTATCTACACACATGTCAACTTTTCCTAGTTTTCAAAAAATTTTCGTCACTTAAGAGTGATAAGAATAGGAGAAAAAAAAAAAAAAAAAAAAATACGGGAAAAAAGTGCACGAAAAAAACGCATATAAGGTATTCATTTTAATAAAATAAAAAAAAAAAAAAATAACCCATTTAAATGTGCATTAAAAAATGGGTTGTCAAAAAAAAAAAAAAATATTGTCTACCTTGGTTACTTTATTTCAATTGTGTTCAATAGATTAACGACATTTTTTAGAAAATCTGTGTACTGTTGAACATTAGTCAATCTTTCGTTTCTTAAGTAGTTATGTCTTTTTGCGAATCCATAAAATCCATGAATAAAATTTTCAAATTCTTTTTCAAATTTTTCATCATTCAGTACATTTTTGAACATGTTAACGAGAGAAGAAGTATCCTCGGATTCACCTTCCTTCTTGAAACAAACATCAAAAAGTTTTTTCACAATTCCGTACTCCTGATTATTCATTGTAAATTCGTACTTTTTTCGAAAATCGTTATATTTGCTGTGAAATTGCGAATCATTTATCCCATTCCCATCTGTTGTCTGAAGTATTTCATCATATAATTTATCCAGGTATTTCACCTGCTGTGTATTTCCATTTTCACTTTGTTGAGAGGCCTCCTCTCCACCTTCTGAGTTTCCTTGGGGTGGCTGTCCAAGAGTTGAATGTGGATTTTCCTGTTCTTCACTATTGGTGATAGACAAAGAATCGGCACTTTCCACTTCTGATGTTTCTCGTTCATTAACGTCTACCTGTGGGTTACCTTCTGAGGATCGCTCTGACGTTTCACTGACTGAACGAGAAGTATCTTGTGGATTTTTTCCTTCTACGGTAGTAGATGAACCATCGGATGTTTCTTCTCTGGGTGATTCAGGACTATGCTCATTATTCTGATTTGACGAATTTATACCATGTCCTTCTCCATCACTCGCCTGAACACTTGTATCCGCTGTGTTCTGTCCGATGAAGTCCCCATCGCAATTGCCTAAGTCTTCCTCATCCACTCCGAAAATTTTTTTTTTCGAGAAATCATCTTTGGATTCATTTTCTATAAGGTCTCCAAGATTGTTATCCCCCGTGCGTTGCAAGTTATGCTTCTGCAATTCGTCAATCTGCTTTTTTAAGGATTCAATTTCTTTATTAAAAACATCATCAGAGTTTGTTGTGCAAAGTTTGTTCAAATTTTCCAGCTTTTTCATTAGTATGTTTATGGCATCTTGTTCTAAATTTTTGTTCTTTTTATATTTGGTGCCAAACTGTTGTGACGAACCATGAGAAAATGAAAGAAGTACAAAAATGGAGCCGAAGAGCACTATTTTCTTCTTCATTTTTTTCTTCATTTTTTTGGCAATTTTTTTATACTTGTTAGGTATGCACCAAAATGTTACTGGCGTATTTTGTTTTTACTCACTTAAAAGGGCATGAAGGAAAATTGAGAAATAAGCTAGTAATGAGAAGTTGACCCAGTCTTTGTTTTTATTCTTATACTCATGCAAGCGAATATTTCTCCCTTAATTTTTTTTTTTTTTTTTTTTTCTTCACACACAGCTAAGAAATGATTATCATTCATGCGTGATATACTCACAAATGGAAAAAAGCATTTAAGTGAAAACCAAAGTGAAAATAGAACGGGAAATCCTCATCATTATGTTCTTTTATGGAAACGATTGACAGATTATTTTTCTCTTTCCTGAAGGAACAATTTAATTGTCCAATCATTAAATGCACACACTAAGTTTCTCCAAACACAGTCTTTTTTTTTTCCTGAAGTTGTGTTTTTCCAAGAAAAATAAAAAAAAAAAAATTGTTTCCATTTTACAAAATGTTTTTACTACCCAAATCTAATAATAGATTATTTTAATTGATTTTATAGTATTCTTTTTAAAACATTTGATACAAAAAATTGTTAACAACTTGGATTAGAATATTACGGATTTTTTTTTTTTTTTTTTTTTTTTTCTCCCGTGGAACTAGCAAGTTGTAAAAAAAAATAGCAAAATGGTAAGGCAGCAAAATAGTGAAGTAGCAAAAGAGCAAAATGAAAAAAATATGTTGTGCGAAGGAGAAACAAACAGCGCAGTGAAATATAAAGCACTATTAGTTTACAATTAAGATTTAAAAAAAGGAAAATAAATTAGGAAATAAATTAGGAAAAAAAAAAAAAAAAAAAAAAGGAAAGCTGAGAAATTCGATGATAGCATGATATTCTCTAGAACTGATAAGTTTATACAAACGGGAAGATATATTCGTCACAACAAGGCACTATAAAAAAAGTTCAAAAATGTATCATTATATTACACACACACATGTGTGTGTGTTATATGCATTTATGCACACTAATGGACTCGTGTCTGTTTGTCTGTTCCATTGTCCGCAGGTGGCGTACTTAAGTTGCACAAACTGCACAATGGAAAGACAAGTGCAACAAAAAGGGTAAATAAAAAGAAGTTAAGCGAGGTCTTAAAAACGGAGTTAAATAAAATAAAATAAATTGGTAAATACACTGATGGATAAATATATTGGTAAATACACTGATGGATAAATATATTGGTAAATACACTGATGGATAAATAAATTGGTAAATACATTGATGGATAAACAAATTGGTAAATAAACTGGTAGGCAAATAAACCAAATGGCAAGTAAATAAATGCGTAACTAAACAAGCCTTCAAGCAAAATAATCAAACATGGGCCCCCAATTTTTTTTAAATTAATCCTCCCTTAAAAAGAGATTAAACAATTTCGAGTTAATTCTCCCTGAGTTAAATCTATAGCATGTTAAGCAAATTAATGACATTTTCGAATAGATTTAGATACATTTTAAGTTCTGTTGTTTTGCCACCTCTCATGTTATTTTTACGCTTTGCATAGGAATAAATACCATCCATGAAATCTTTAAAATCTTGTCGGAATTTCGGATCAGTAATGGATTTTGTAATTGCTTCATATACCGAATCTGCATCTTCATCGATTGCATCGTTATGCATAGAAAATGCATCAACGAGCTTTTCGATAATTTCATATTCTTCTTTACTTAACGAAATAAACATGTCGTAATCTTTTTTAAACTGTTTATATTTATCATCATAATCCTTACCATTATGATCATCTTTCTTATTTAAGCTTAACATAATATCTTCATAAAGTTCATCTGAATATTTCAAGTAAGGTGATCCGAAACTTTCTCCTTGAATTTTTTGATTCGAAGAAGATTCCTCTGTTTCGGAAGAATTTGTACCATTAGATGTTGAATCGTTTGAACTTGAAATTTTTGCTTCTTCCTTATGTTCATCATTTGAATCAGTGCTAAATTCGTCTATAATATTTTTAAAATATTTGGTTATGCCTTGTCCGCTAAAAAGTATGTTCTTCTTTCCACTCTCTTCATTAGTGGTCATCATATTATTCATTTCATCACCATTTTGGGAATCTTCATTTTCTTTTTTGTAATTTTTTCCATTAACTGGGGTATTATCGATCGATAGCACGACGCGAGACGTAAGAGAAACAGCTGCTAAAAGTAATATGTAGCCTCTCATGGTGATTATTTGTAACGGTTAAAGCTTATCCTTTTGTGTTGGTCAGATCAAGTTGTAATTTTTATGATCGGTTATATGCCTGATTAAAGAGTAAGTTCACATGTGTGTGTGTACACACCTCAATGTTGTTATTAAAACGAAAAAAAGGGGGCTACTAATTATATTTAAAATTTCTGTATCAAAGAAAAAAAAAAAAAAAAAAAATTAATATAAAAAAGCGGCTCGATCAAAAAAAAAAAAAAAAAACATGTTTTATATTCGAAAGGGAACCACATGAGGAAATTAAATTTAGGAAACATATATATAATATTACTATAGGGAAATATTACATCACAAAAATGCACCTCATTGTTTTTTGTGCTACAAAGTTTTCACTTGAAAAAAAAAAAAAAAAAAAAAAAAAGTCTAACAAAAAAAATTCATCAATCGAAGTATTCGTTTCGAGAAAAATGCACACACATGGATAAAAAAAAAAAAAAAAAAAAATATGAAACCAATCTTGGATTAAATACGAAATGTTACATAGATCAAAATTTTGTCAAGTGCAATTATGTGAAACGGTGAACATTTTTCCAAACTTCGAGTCAAGCAGTTTTGGAAGTTTTACGTGAGTTCAGCGATTGCTTTATGATCATTTGTTTAGATATATATATGTATGTATTTTATGTGTGAATATATTTTTTCTTTTTTCCCCGTTTGAAAATGATAATTTTCCATGATACAAACATTTTCGTATGTAATCCACGACTTTTGCAAATCATGCAATATTCAAAAAGCAATCTTTCATATACTTCAAACTTGTGTCATTCAAAACATTTTGGAGAGTGCTAAAAATGCCATTCAATCCAATCAATCCATTCAATCCAATCAATCCATTCAATCCAATCAATCCATTCAATCCAATCAATCCATTCAATCCAATCAATCCATTCAATCCAATCAATCCAATCAGTCCAATCAGTCCAATCAATCTTTCAACATGATATTACTTATTGGGAACTGCACATATATATAGTTAAAGAAAAAAGAAAATATCAAAGCAAGTACACACACTTTTTCATTTGACACGTTCCTGAAACGCACCAACCCGAATAGCAATTTTTGGTATTTTACATGCGTGCATATTTCACCGTGAGGCATAACCTTTCCATTTTGTAAAATGGAGAAAAAAAAAAAAAAAATAATCTGCAAGGATGGTTGTGTTGCAATACCGTTTTGTTTCATACTATCGCGTGAATTGCTTTAACATGAAAAAGAAGAAAAAAAATTACAATAATAAAAATAAAGCATAATAAAGCATAATGAAGCATAACAAGACATAACAAAATAACCGACGGAGGGAAACATTTGCTGGTCCAACGTGTAACAAGTTTTGGGGCAGCCTAGTTTTTGTCATAATTCCAAAATTTTATCATGACTATTCTTTTTTCCTCCTACCAATTTGGGTGTCTGCTTTCCCATTTTGACGTTACTAAATACAAGAGGTACGTGCGAGAAGGGGGGAAAATGGAAATCAAAATAGACAAATGGGAGAGTGAAAAACGCTGACATAGTAATAGTTGTTACCAGACAGAATGACCCTCTTATTTTACAATATGAACATGTGCATAAATGTGTGTACATGCGAAATTTCTATTTTTTTTTTTTTTTTTTTTTTTTTTTTTTTTTTTTTGCAAAAGACAAAAGTACCCACCTGTAGATGAAGAAAAAAAGGGAAATATCAACATGTTCACATATATTTTGAATAAAAAATAAAACATAAAATAATTTTGCAATGCTCACCCTATATCCATACAGGGTAGGTAAAAAAAATTTGTAATTACAAATGGTTCATTTTAGGATGCCCATGCTGTTGTTAAGCATAGGCGATCATTGGAAAAACAGTACATATCACACATATATATATATATATATATATATATATATATATGTAAATATAGATACAGGCGCATTTCATTTTTATTAATTATCCTTCACAGTGATTATCACTTTATTAAACTTTTTTTTTTTTCCCCTACCCCCACATTTGACGATTTCATTTTTGTTGTCATAGTTTTAGGAAAAATAAATATTCATTTAAATTTTCTATCATAGTGTACAATTCCCTTTATTTTTTGTAATACTGGTTAATCTATTTTGCAAACACATTATATTAGTTCAACTATTCCCAAATTATCAGTACGATTTGCTCATTTTAAAGGGGAAAAGTAATCATGTATGTTTTCCCCAAATAACAGATTTTCTTCATTTTTACAATTCTTACCAAATGTGTACATTCTGTTACAAAAATTGTTGTGCACAAATTTTGTTCGAAATATTTCTCACACTCGAATGAGAAACGATGTGCTGATATTCACATTGTTTCCAAATCGATACATTTAAACCAATATTATTTCTTAATTCTTAATCTTTGAAAAAAGTAAGTTGCTTATTTTGTTCATACGATTTGAATATTATCCCCTATCATCTATCCTCTAATTGTGTCAATACCTCTTATCTTATTCAACATTTCCAATCTTAAGGAGGAAAGTGTGTCAAGAAAAATATGAGCACCAATCTGAAAATTTTAAAATGTGCAAAGTTTTCATTCACAAAATTGAGCTTGTACAATGTAAATGAATAACAACGTTTTTAGGCTTTTCCATTTTTTTTTTTTTTTTTTTTTTTTTTCCTTACACACATGAACATGCATATATTTATATACTTTTTAAATATTTCACAAATAGAAAAAAAAAAAAAAAAAAAAAGTAACATTGTTCAGACGCTTAAATACTAGTGTTACAATTTTTCTTTTAAAGAAATAATAAATGATTAAAAAAAAAAATTGCTCTATCTGTATCAATCCATGTATCCATCTTTCTTTTATTTCTTCTACCTTGTTGAGGTAAAAAATATGTCAAACATTAAATGGACTAAATTGATCATAAAACCGGCACCCACACAATTGGATGAAAATTGACATATCTTATAAACACTTGTCTACACATCAGTATACACATCAGCATACACATCAGCATACACATCAAGTTTTTAATGTAAAAAAAGAAAAATATCAAAATTGGAAATAAGAGAAATGTCTTGATCTTTTTGATGTTGTTCGTCTTTTAATACCTCACATAAACTTTAGATGACAATAATTCGAAAACAAATGAAGAAAATGTGCATTTTCCATATTTGTTAAAATATACTTAAATCGTAAGGGTGCTTAAAGTGGAACATTATCATTCCGCAATGAATATAAGAGCTATCAAATGTTTTGAAGTATTGCCCCATATAGAGAGAAAGTTTTATTATTTTTTTTTTTTTTTTTTTTGGTGAATCTTCCACCAGTTTACACACTTCCTATGAATATTAACATACGTATTTTACAAATGGCGAACTTAAGAATAAATAAACTCATTGCTGTAATTGCGTAAACTTCTTTGTGCTTTGTTAATATCATCATTTTTGGCACATCTCTGTGCAGGTATTTAAAAGTGTGCCAGTAAATATGGCCAAAGGGGTGCAAAAATAGAGCAATAAAATGAGACAGGGCGAAGCAAATCGAATCGAAACAAGGAAAAGTAAATCGAATCGAACCATGGCAAATCAAAGTAATACAAAACAAAGCGAAAGCACTTTTGCAAATCAGCAAAAATATGAGGGAAACGGGGCGTAAATGAAAATAAAAAAAAATTGACAAAAAAGACAAAATTGAAAAAATTAACAAATTGACAAAAAAGACGAAAATGAAAAAATTAACAAATTGACAGAAAGGAAAATCACGAAATGACAAAGACCATCTCGCCGCTTCAATATCGCAACATCGTGATGACAAACTGAAGCGCGTTATCAAAGAGGAAATTCAATAAATCACTTTTCATTCCTATATCACCTAAAGATTCATTCTGTTTGGAGAATTCATAAAGATCATGGACAAATGTTTTAAATTCATTACGAAGTTTTTCATCGTCTAATACCTTTTTAAATAGATCTATTACACGAGGCATATTTTGATAGTTCCCAGCACCGTCATTAAAATAAGCATCCATAATTTTCTTATTTAATTGATAATTCTTTTCATTTGATGTAAATGGATTGTATGTTATGTCACTGTCGTAATATATCCCATCGTGTGGAGAGAAATGCATTTCATTTGTATTTGTCGGATTTCCAAAAAGTCCATCAAAAAATGTGTTCATATTCTTAATTCTTGATGCTCTTCTATTTGCATTTTCATTTATGTACGGAAATTCTGCTTCTCCGGTTCCAATGGAATTTTCACTACTTTCTTCCGTTGGTGTAACTGTTGGAAGAATGGGAGTGTTATCCACTTTTGATTCATGTTCATTTGTTTCTTCCAGGTATTTACTTTCCACAGGATCGTCCTTATTTAAGTTGTCCATTGTCACAGTTTCTGGTATGGACTCACTTTCTTGAGAATTATTTGTCTGATCTTCGCCCTCCCCTGGTGAGGATGCTTCTTCTGGACACTTCTTCGTTTGAGTTTCATCTGTTTGATGGGGTTCCTCCTGTTGTACTTTCGATTCTGGAGATTTTTTACCTCCATTTATGTCATGACCGTCTTCTCCATTAGCAGCTTCTTCACCAGCAGCTTCCCCATCAGTAGCGGCATCCTGCCCTGTCACTTCTTCTTTTCCGGCAATTAAACTTTGGGGTTTGTTTATAAAATTCTGGTTGTCAGCATTTACCCCATCGGTCTCCTCCATTTTCAAGTCCCCTTTCTTCGTCTGTTGCTCTGATTTCTTTTCTGTGATATGATCATTTGAGTGTGGCTGATATAATTTAGTTTCATCACCATTTTGATCTGGTTGTTGATCCATCAGTGTATCATGTTCTCCACCTAACTTAACATTTTCTTCTTTTTTCTTAGATTCATCATTTTTTTCATTCAATATCTCAACATTTTTTTTTAAATCTGGAGAAGTACAATCAGTTTCACCAGTGTTATTTTTTTGCTCTAACTTCCCCCTTAATAAATGTGACGTATTATCATTTTCACAATTTTTTTTATTTTTCCCATTTGGGTATATATTTTCTGACAATACAGAATGTATGAAAAATAAAACGGATGTAAAAAAAAATAAATGCCCTGCTTTCATTTTTCCTATATTAAAAAATTATGAAACATATTTATGGACAAACCCAATTTTTTTACATAGCATACAAAAATGTGTGTGTAAAGAGAGGTCAATGGTTGACGATAGGAAAAAAAAATTTGTTTATTCTAAAATGGGATATAATTGCAGGAAGAGAAAAAAAAAAAAAAAAAAAAAAAAATTAAAAAAACTGTATTCTAAAAAGACTTCATGGTTCACCAAAAATTTACAAACACATGCACATGTCTGTAAATGGGTTATTAACTCCTGCGAATATGTACACCTTCGAATAGCTAGTTCTTACCAAAAAAAAAAGAGGAGACGGTTGCACCCGTTTTTGTGTGATAATTCAGCAATTCTCCGGTTTATTTTTTTACTTATTTATTTATTTTCGCTCATTTTTTTACTCATTTTTTTACTCATTTTTTTTCTCATTATTTATTTATTTTTTTTTTTTTCGAAAAGACAAATCTGTGCAGTGCGGCCTACACATGGTAAGACGAAATACACGTTGCAAATATCTATTTTTTTGTGCACACAACCTGAGAATTACATGCATTCGTTTTTTTGAATATATGCAACCCGTTAAAAAAAATAACACATACAACATTGAATTAGGATTTTCCTTTTTTCCCATTTTTGTGGCCACCTTTAGATTGACAGTGCATTTTGAAAAGGAAATATTTCTGCAGCAAATGAACAAATAGTAAGAAGAAAAAATTATCCCTATGCCTTTTAGTCGATATTGTGCGTGCATGCGATCATTTACGGGAGCAAGAAAAGAAAAATATATATATATATATATGTCTATTTGTGTACATATGTGTGTATTTGTTTACATGCGTGTATATATTCACCCATACAAGTATCTTTGTACACATCCAAGTACATTTGTGTACATACAAAATATATGCGCATACTTATGTGCATATATATCCGTTCGCTTTTTTTTTTTTTTTTTGTGCCCTATTTTACTCCCAAAGGGGCACAGGTCAATGGACGCGTCCCAATGAATGAACTATTTCCTCATCCCCCCTCGAGGGTCTAAACCGTAGGATGATACATGTGTGTACACAGAGAGAGAGAGAGAGAGAGAGAGAGAGAGAGAGAGAGAGAGAAAAAAAAGAATTAATCAGAGCTACAAATTTGTTGCATTCAATAGGAAAAGCTGAAAAGTTATTCACAAGTGATGTTACGTATTTTCTGAGTTATGAGAAAAAAGGCTGGGTTTGGGAAGGTATGCAATTCATTTTATTTTTTCTGATAAGTGGGAAAAGCAGAACATTTTTCAATTTTTACGTTATTTCGATTTGTGCCCCTTTTCGATATTCGCGAGTTGTTGACATTTTTGTGCACGCAAAAATTGGGTTCCTACTAAATCGTAGGCAAAAAAAAAAAAAAAAAAAAAAAGACAAAGCGGATTTGAAATTATATCTCTTTCATTAGTATGGGTAAAAAGGATGTGCATCTTCTTCTTTTGGAATGTAGGAAAAAAAAAAAAAAAAAAGAAGCACAACTAAGATCCAACATACAAGACACGACATAATTTTTTATGAACAACTAACAAATGCGTCTATATGTCCTGAGAACAATTTCTTCCCCCTTACAGATTTAATTAGACATAGTGATGCTTCACTAATGGTTCCACAACGAATAGTTCACCATACATAATTCGCTATAGCTGCTACAATTGCTACTACAATTTTTTTTTTTTTTTTTTTTTGAGTGACTTAAATTAAAAAACAATATAAATAAAGGGAAGCTCTTTTGAATTTCTCTCTATTCATCAGTTAATTCTTTTTCAAATGTTTCATTTTGTTTGTTGTTTTTCATCATTTAACGATATGTTTTTTTTTTTTTTTGTATAGCCTTTATTTTATTTTTTAACTCCCTTGTCTATTATGAAGAAAGGATATATTAGTGGATATATTCATATGTCTCAAGAAAAAGATAATCTCTCAAGATGCAAATTTGTAATATTTATACAATTATGATTATACCATGTAGTGGTTTGTCATGATCCTTTGATTTTATTTTATTTTATTTTATTTTATTTTTTTTTCAATAATGAGAGTATACATATGAGTAGAAACATACGATCATCCTTGGCTCTCCCTAGCATCCCAAACTTTTCATTCCTTGACGAGAGTCACCATGCAAAATGAAGAATAAAATTATCCCTGTGTGATGTTTGTACACTCTACCGTTGGGAATCATTCAATATTGTAGTAAAAAAAAAAAAAAAAAAAAAAAAAAATTACACACGTTCATCCAAGTAATGATGCAATATCCAACACACGAATACTCTTTTATGCTATAGTCATCCTTTTGTCTATACGTGAATCTCATTCCACAATTATGATAATCTTCATTTTAATAAGGTGCCAATATTTGCTCCATGTATAACTAATTACACATAAAGCAACATAATGAAAACTTGAACTTCTTGTTATGAAAAAATATGGGTCATACTTTGAAATGGAATTTTTGTCCGTAACACATATAGATGTACTTCGAATAAAATGTCACTCACTTGAAGGTACATTAAATGTGCATCATTTTTTTTTTTTTTTTTTTTTTTTTTTTTTTTTTTTTTTTTTTTTTTTTTTGTATATCCGCAGGGATATATACTCATATAGACAATAGTGCATTCAAGGAACATGCATATGATGACATGTTTTACAAATAAATACTTCTATTTTTCAGCCTTCTTTTATTCGTCAAAAAAAAAGGGTGGGGGAGAGTATCGATCCTTCTTTCTATTTCCCTTATGATTTACAAAATTATGAATTCCCCTTAACTTGTGAATCTCCCTTCACCTTTGAGTAAGGTTATACATTACAGTTCGATACCCTTTTGATGTCTTAGAATATTTTTAAAAGGCCCCCAAAAGAGGTTCTACTTGAGCCCATTCGGTTCAAAGGTTACACATATAGGGAGTAGTGAATATAAATGAGCGTATACAGACATGTAGACATATATATATGTATATGTGTGTGTAAATAAAGGTAGTAGTGCGATAAAATAGAGATGTGTGAAACTTATGGAGCACAAAAACCTTCTCGTATGGAAAAAAACCCATCATGTTCCTAATTAGATGCAGAACAGAATGCAAGTGGGAGTGTAGTATGCAAAATGGTAGAATTCTTTATTAAGAAACGGATATACGCAATTGTCATGCTAGAACAGTATAATGCACAAATTATGTTGAGTATAATGTTACGGATAGTAGAATTCACAAATATGCTTTCACAGGTGCATGACTTTACTTATTCCCGAATTTGGACGACTCACTCGTGTTTGTGCACCACCACCCCCACCATAGGTCTCACATAACAACATGGATGACGTGTTCAATATTTTTACAAAAAAACATAAAACAAAGAAAAGGGCATCTACTGGAACAAGGAAGGAAGAAAATAAAAATGAAAAAACAAAGAATCTTTTCATTTATAACAGAAAAAATCCAAGAAGAGCACATAACGAAGATGATACGTACAATAACTATAAGGGAAATGCAAATCCAGAAGATAAGGGAAAATGCAATTATAATAAGAATATAGAAAATGTTATTGTTGTTGATTTTCCTCCATTGCCTTTAAAAAATGTAGAAGTATGTGTTTCGTTTTATTACATTCAATACTTAAGAAATCAATTAATATATGGAAATAAAAATATAAAAATTGACGAAAATACAAAAATGATTGGAGAGTCATTACTTGATAAAATAGAAAATTTTATTTATGAATATGAAAATAATAAAAGTAGTGAAGATAATTATAAAAATGAAATTAAAATTATTACATTTAAATCTATTTATGATAGGTATTATAAAATTTTAACAACTTTAATTTCATATTCAGAAGCTATCCCACTCCCTAATAACTTATACGAATATGTGTTGAACAATGGGGTATATGTAAGATCCAAAAAAAATAATGATTTTAATGCTAGAGAAAATATACATAATGTATACTCCTACTTGGATAATGTAGAAGTAGGAGATAACGATTTATCTTTTAACAATGAAAAAATATATATTGATAATATTGACATAAGTAGACCTACAATAATCAACAAAACATTAATAAACCTAGACATTGATATTGAGTACTTACCACTCAAACTCAATTCTGCATATTATTACAATAATATACAATATGCAAAGTTGTTCTTAAATGACGCTATTAATATGTCTATCTATGATAAAGCCTTGGGTGAGTTGGTAGTTGTCAAGGCTCTCGTGGACATACCTCCCCTTCCCATTGAATTTGTGGAGGTTAGCTTCACTTCTCCCGCCCTACTCCATGCGCATGTGGATATGGATATGCATACGGCTATACATACGGATATACATATAGATATACATATAGATATACATATGCATATACATGTACAGATACATATACATGTACGTATACAATTGTTGGCCTAATTTCAAAGGAACGTTCATAAGTTTTCCCTCCCCTACCAACATACACACACACTATATACAACCCATTTCCCATGCAGGGTTTCGACATAAAAGAAATGAAAGCAGGAGAGAGACAATGGATGCCAATTTATCTTGCCATCACTCTTTCATCCTTCACATATGTTGATGTCGAGTTCCCTTTTTGGTTTTACATAAAGAATTTTATGAATATAAAAGAGGAGGAATACAAAAACCAAGGTGATTTATTTGAACTCCCTTCGCCATACTTCTTTGAAATTTGCTTTATGTTTATAGATCAAAAATTATTTTCAAAAGTCACTCCGATTGAGACCGTTGGGCAAAAGAGCTATTTCAAGTATATGTCCAAGGTGGCAGGTAATCTATTCTCACTTTTAGGAAAAATCATCAATTGGGAATTGCATATGACTATGAATTGCACATAATAATGTTGCGTATTCCTAAATGTTTGTAACATCATCGGAGTTTATGTAGAGTCTTTTTTTGATTGCTTCCTGCCACATTGTTTATACTTCAACCTTTTTTTTTCCGTTTACCTTTTCGCCCCTTTATTTCATCCATATCTCTCCTTATTCAATACCCAGGGTATGTTGAAGACATTAAACACTGTAGAACGGAAAAAATCATAAAACACCTAGAGGGTCAAAATGTACATTCGTCCCATATTTATATTCAAAATTTGCAACACTCTGAAACGCATTTAATTAACTTGACTTTATACAGTTTTTGGAAATATGACAAAAATTTAAATGAAAATTCGAATTCCATTGATTTTACCTCATATCTCCTTGAGCCTTTTATAAGAGATGAAGAAGATGAGAATAATGTAAATGTTCTACAAGATTTATAAGATTTCTCTTTTCATAAAATTTTGAAGCACATCTCTGGTCAATGGGCAAAATTTTTTTTTTTTTTTTTTTCTTATTTACGTATAACATGAATATTTTTTTTTTTTCTGTGCACCTTTCCGCTTAAAACAGTTGTATGAAAAACATGATGAAACTATTTTAATAGAGAAAGTTTAGTTTTACATTCAAAGAGTACAAATGAATGAGGATATTATTTTTTACCATAATTTTTGCATTACATGGAAGATGATGGTTTGTGTTTTCACGAGATACCGTTAATCATTCTAGGGGGGTAAGCAGTTCGTTTGTTCCTTAGTTTGTCCACCCATCCGTCGTCCGTTTTTTTTTCTTTTTAATCATCACCATCCATTATCTTATTTTACTTCAATTTAGTTTATTTTTTTCACTTATATTTTATATTTTCAATTTTTCTATTTTTTTCCTATTCGAATATTTTTATTTACTCCCTTGGCCTTATTTCAACGCTGTTATTCTCCTCATCACAAGGCTCTTAACATTGTTTATTTTTATTTTTTTCATTTATGAATATAATGTTTGTGAGTAGGATGGGTGTAATGCAGCTTATAGTCCATTTTAAATGATAAGATCAAATGTACATGTAAATATGGCAAGGTTAAATTTTTTTTTTTTTTTGCGTATATTTCCTATTTTTCTACGCATGTACAATTTAGTATTTACAGGTACAGTTAACAACTATTTAAAAAGAAAAAAAAAAAAAAAAAAAAAAAAAAAGTATACATAGGAAGGGAATTAAAAACACTTTTTCGTCCTTTTTTTTTTTTTTTTTTTTACCGCTACAACTTTTACTGCGTATATTATTTCCATCTTTCTCCCCACCCACCAGATCACTAACGAATAATTGTAAAAAGTTTATGCAAGTGAGGGGGAAAGTGGTAGAAGCAACTTATATAAACTATATAATAAATTCAAATAATTCGGTTATTGTATTAGAAGCATATGTATATAATACGTATTTCTATGTACATATGTATATACATACATGCCGATCAAGAGTTTTTTCAACCACATAGTCCCACCACCCCCCACGTTCATCTTATTACAACCTTGAATTTTTGTTTGCGTCTTCCCAAATGGATGAATCCAAAATATGGAGAATATTGTCGTAAAAGCTGTTACTTAATGTATAAAGAAAAAAAAAAATAAAATAAAAATTAAGAAAAAAACATAAAATGAGAAGCGAAAGTAAGCTCATGAATCAATGTTTCAATGGAAAATATAACATTTGTTTTAATCTCAAGGGAAAAAGAGAAGATGAAAAGGAAAAGAAAAATGAAAAAATCATATTGCACAATTGCATCCAAACCTTGCTATCAGATCCAATAGTTGTTTTGTACACAGACGACAATTATATATGTACAGGTAAAGGCGCTCATAACACCTTTTTTTCATCATATGCATATATACATCCATACATACATAAATACATGCACACCTTTTCTCCTCATCGTATCAGTTGGTCGAATTGGTGCATGCCATCTTTTCATCAATCCATTCTTATATGTTCCCCATTTTACCACATTGCAGGATCACTAACTGGGAAAGTGTGCTTATTCAAAATAACGAAGAAAGAGAATAAGGAAATTAACACCGAGATTTGCCTTATTGAAAGTAAATCCAAAAGGGCAGAATTGGATAAGAATAACTTAACTGATTTTAGTAGTAAAAATATAAACAGCACTCCCAAGCGTAATTTTGTGGAACAGAATTCTAAGGTTAAAGAAAACGGGAATGAAAATAGCAGAAGTTACAATATTGGAATAGGTACTGGTAGCAAAAATAGTGGTACTATTGAGGTAATTGAAAAGTATAACATTTTGTGTATGTTTAGAAATAACAGTATAAAATCAATTTACATAGACAAGAAGTATGCCTATGTATACTATGAAAGTTGTATAGATGTATTTTGCATAAAAACATATCAATTTATAAAGAAAATTAACGTTGAAGTAACAAATAACAAGCAAGTAATATATTTTGAAAATTTGATTTTATTTAATAATTCTAAAAGCTTATTCATATACGATATTAGAAATAACTGCACTAGCTATTTTTATAAAAATTTTTTAAAAAATATTGTCATATTTGATTTTAATGTAAATTACTTGTTGTGTTATAAGAACAATTTCGGTAAATGTCATATTCGAGTTTTACAAATTAATATAAATGCACAAAAGTGTGAACATGAATTAATTTTTTGTGTCGATTTTTCTTCAAAATTTATAAGTCATGGGAAATTTCTGGACGATGAAAAAATTATTGTAGCAAAAAATGGAAGACGATTAATCATATTTGATTTTAAAAAAGCTGTAGATATGTATAGAATTAAGAAATTAAAAAAAAAAATTTTAGATATTTACAAATCAGTAGAAAATTTGCTATTCATATTGGTTGAAAATGAAATCTTCATATTTAATTTATCAACATTTATATTTTACAAATGTGTACGATTGCCCACCGGCCTCTTTTATTTTAAATGGTCCTATTTCATACGACACAAGAATAACAAAATTATTTTTTCCTGCGACAGGGGAATTTACTTTATAGATTATCCCATTGAGGAGGGGGGTTGATTTCGCTACCCCATTTGGCACTGCCCTGTCACGACCCTATCACTGCCCTGTCACTACCCTATCACTGCCCTGTCACGACCCTATCACTGCCCTGTCACGACCCTATCACTGCTTTATCACTACCTTGTCCTCTCTTTATCACTGCACTATCACCGGTTTGGCAATGACTTGTCACTTCTTTGCATAGTGTTGTGGTAATGGCGTCTTTCGTGGCCGTGAAATGGTCTAGACCGTACCGGGGGGTAAGGCCTAGAAACGAGATTGTAAAGGTTCCCCTAATGAATACTTTCCTTCATAATATATATATATATATATATATATATATATATATGTGTATATACGTTTTTCCCCTTTTTTTGTTTTAATTAAAATATGCATCCAAGTTTTACCATGCTGCGATAAAAACCGTTTGTTTATAATTTTTTCCCCCATTTATCGAACTCTTTTTTTTTTTTTTTTTTGTTGTTTTGTCATTGCTTTTGTATTATTAAAATAATTAATTTGATAACAAAAAGAAGGAATGTTTTATTTTTAAAAAAACAAATTATTCACCTAAAAAATTATAATTTTCATTCATGTCGAAATGTTGATGAATGTCTAAAAAGACACAAGTGTACTCTTCATTTGAATTCAAAAAAGTAAATAAATCACTTAAATAATTTTCCTCAAAAATTGTTTTAATCTGGCTCGAATATTTGTATCTTAGTAGGATATAGACCTCGCTATATGGGGGGAGGGGGGGGGGTGAAAAAAAAAAATAATAAAATAACAATATAGCAAAATAAAAGAATCACAAAATAACGAAATAATGAAACAACAAAATAACGAAATAATGAAACAACAAAATAACGAAATAATGAAACAACAAAATAACGAAATAATGAAACAACAAAATAATATTTCAAAACTCCAAATTTTTTCAAACGAATTAGGGCACGCTGCTCCATTCGAATAAAGAACAATGCGCATTCATTTGCGTGCCCAGAGAAGAGCCACTCACCTAAGCAAGAATATTATTTTGTATTTTAAAACTCCCATAATATAGGAAAAGAGAGATGGGAAAAAATCATTTTCGTGTGGTTTGTCCGTATTAGAGTAAATAAACAACTTTGCATAAAAGTATATCTTTGGATATATATCATGAATTTTTTGTTTAAAAAATTGTAGACTGTTTTTTACATCATCCATGTTGCAGTAGCTCGGTGCATTGTTACAATCTTCGTTATATATAATCTTTTCTGCATATTCTTCTAGCAACTCAAAGTTGATATCTCTCAAAAAGGAAAAGCTCACTTCTTTGTTATGGAATACTGCATTTCCAGCACTATTCCTTTTTGCATTTATCATTTCGTGAATTAGTCTTTTTATTTCTTCCTCTTTCTGAATCGAACTTTCTTTATATTCAACTGAGAGAATTTTTATCAAGGGGAAGCAAACTGCATGGGGATGGACACAGTGGGGGGAATGGGAATGGCGCATATATGTTCAATAACAGTTTTGTTCAACTAGCTACACAAGCATGTTGGAGTGCTTAGCGCTTGGGTGTGGATAATCAAAAGGGGATCCTCAAGATGGGAAAAACAAAAACATGCACACGTATATGCATTCACACGTATATGCATTCACACGTATATGCATTCACATGTATATGCACGTACACATGTGGGAACAATTGGGGAGTCTCCTCAAATAACACTTCTTCCCGCTTTAACTTACCCCTCGAAACAGTGGTTATGATAAAGTTGTAGATTCCCTCATTGAAGGTTGTTAATATTCTCTCCTTTACATCGTTGTGGGATGATATATTGTAAACTTTTTTGATGAAATACAAAATAGAATTTTCATTTTCCACACTCCTTGTGTCATTGTTCTTTCGATTAACATGTTGTTTCTCCAACCATTCCTGTAGAGATGATCCAGATAAAAGGCTTTCGGTCAATGATGTGTGCAGGTGAAAATGGAATAACTCGCGATCTTTAGTTACTTTGTGAAATAAATATATCAGAAGACTTAAATTTTTAATTAAATATAGACTCCCATTAAAGATATCCTGGGGATGATTTTTCATATGATCTTTGTAAATAGACAATATAGAGTTAAACGTATTTTCTAAACATTCTTTAAATAAATCCAAGAATGTATTTTCATCAATTATAAAATTAATTGTTTTCAAAATTAAAATGGTTCCAATGATATTTATATCTATTCCTGTTAATCCAAATTTCGTGTCCTTGTTGAATTCCCAATTGTGAAAGGAAAATGGTTTGTATACGTTCTTATCATTTAGTATGTTTGTATTGTATTCACGCTCCTTATTATTATTCCTATGATTTAGCCTTTCCAAATTATCTAGACTTTCCAATTTTTCCAGATTTTCCAAATTATCTAGACTTTCCATACTGTCTATACTCTCACTGGTATGATCACCTACCTTGACACTCGTCCTTTCAATGAGTTTTTTTAATGTGTTATTTTTAATACTGCTAATTTGTTCAAATTTTTCATCACTTTGTGTGTTCTTGCCAATGAACGGTTTAATCTCAGTTTGGGGGGTCAAATTCAGAATTCGTTTATCTATCTTTTTCTCCTCCTTTTCTGAAATCTCTTTATTTTTTATTGAGGATTTTTCCCCTCGTTTCGCATCACATGCGATAAAATATTCATCGTATAAAAAATTATTCACCATATTTGTAAATTTTTTGTTTAAGGGGTTAAAACATACATAAGGTAAATTTGCAGATATGTTTTTGGTGTAATAAGAGATATACATTTCTATTACATTTAACAATTTTTCCTTTAAAATTTTACATATATTTTTTAAATAATCACATATTATTGTGTACGTACTATCACTATAAGTTTCTATAATATCCACATAAATAATTTGAATAATTTTTCTTATTATTTGAATGTTGTTAAGCTGTAGTAAATTTTCATTTATACAATCGTACACACAAACTCCAATGCTATTAAGAATTATATTAATAGAATTGTAAAGATTATTATCAAATATATGCACATATAAATCTACCTCTAATTTTGATATATATATAGCTAAAAGGCAAATATTTTTTATGTATTTACATATATCATTATTTGAAAATTTCTCAAAATTGTTCAGTATATTATTATTCAATATTTTTACTCTTGTACTTGTGTAAAAATTTTCCAGCTTATAATATTCTTCTGAATATAAGTTATTCTCGTCCACTAGGGACTTCTCATAGATAAATTTTATAATTTCTCTCATGCAGTTACACTTCATTTTGTATTTCTTATAATATTCAAATTCGTTGATATATTTGCTGAAATATATGAAGTTGAGGTTGTTGTACATTCCGTTCGTTTTGCCCATTTCGCCAATTTCGCCGGTTTCACCTATTTCGCCAATTTCGCCAGTTTTACCAATTTCCCTAATTTCCCCCATTTCCCCAATTTCGCCAGTTTCTCCAATTTCACCTATTTCATCATTTATAGGCAAAAGCTTCTGCTCTTTTACCAAATCATTTCTATAACTTGGGTTCTCATTTCCCAATTCTCCTCTGTTTTGGTTACTTGTACCTTCTGTTCCTCCACCCTTAGTCTCCCCTTCAATAATGCTACAACTTTTACCATCACGATGTTCATTCTTAATGGTTGATGTGTTTCCAATCACTCGATCAGATTCTTTCCTGAGAAGTCTCTTTCCATTTTCTCCTTGATTTTCATGCTCCTTAATATCATAAGAACCAGTTGCACTTTTTTTCTTATAATAAGAGTTGTAACACATAAGATCTTGCTTTTTCCACCATTTCCCATGGCTTAACTGTAGATGTGCGAATGTTCCATTTCCATTTCTTTCACGAGATTCAATTTCATATGGAATTCCGATTTCAAAATCTCTTCCTCCTGGGGTCATATTAAATTCTGCATTATTTAAAACATCTCTAAACAAATTTATGACATACTTTAAAATTCGTTTAATGATAGACTGATACTTGTTTAACTTGCCCTTAGCATTGTAATATGTGTCATTTTTTTTAAAGAATTTTATAGCCTTTTCAGAAAAGTCAAGCATGTGATAAATTTCGTTCTTCTCATTCATATATTTTAATTTTTTATTTGGGGATTCATTTCTTATCCCCACCTTCCCTACGTTTTTCTTTTCGTTCTTCTTTTTCTTTTTCTTCTTCTTCTTCTTCTTCTTATTCTTTTTTCCCTTTCTTTTTCCTTCTAATCGATCGTATAATTCTTTCTCCAAATTATTATTATCCATTTGGTAAGGAAAAAATTCTGTACTTCTACATAACTCTTCTTTGAAGAATTGTAGGGTATACTTATCCCTGATTCTTAGTAACTTACTTAACCGTTTTATTCCTATATTTTTTTTTTTTTTCTGTTCAAGATTTGCATCCTTGTCCTTATTAATTGAATCTTTTTGACAACCATCTTTTTCGTTCTGTTCCCTAATTGGACTAGTCTCTTCCTCCTCTCCCCTAAGTTTCCCAATCAACTTTTCTTCAGTTCTTCCTCCTTCAATGGAAGGGTTGGTACTTTCATGTTTCTCTTCATCTTCCAATTTGTTACATCTTTTTGTGTCTGCATCACCTGTTTCATATGAAGAGACCCAATTTTCTGTAACATCTCCAGTCCAATTTACTTTTGCACCTTCTCCAATCCAGTTGTTTATATCATCATTATTATTCTCCTCATCAATCGAATTATCCATATAGAAATCATCATCACCAATCGAACTGTCCATATAGACATCATCATCACCAATCGAATTGTCCATATAGACATCATCATCACCAATCGAACTGTCTACAGAGACATCATCATCATCTTCCTCTTCTTCCCCAATATCAGTTTCTTCATCAGTATCACTCTCGTTCTCACTCTCATTCTGATTCTCACTCTCATTTTGATTCTCACTCTCATTCTGGTTCTCATTCCCATTTTTGCTAGCCCCCAAATTGCATCGATCATCAGCCAATTCTTCCCCGTTCTGATATCCTACACATTTTTGTAAAGAGTTATTGTACATATCGATAAAATAGGCATATTCATTTCTCTCCATATTACTAAGTAAGCTTTCAAAATGTTGTACGTTCATGTAATATTTCAAATGGCGTTCGATTTTTTTTTTGTTCCTTTTGATTAATTTTACTTCTTGATATCTAGAATAATAATTTAGAAAAATGGAATAAAAATTTTCATAAATAAATTCTTTATTTTTTTCCAAGTTGTGTAATTCATCCTTAATTTTATTGTAATAATTTATAATGTTATCAATTTTTTGAAAATTTTCTAATAAATTACAACTTCTCTCATTCTTTATAATTTCAATTTCGTTTATACTCTTATACTCTTCCATTTTTCTATTCAATTTAAAAATTAGGTAATAGTTATCAATTTCGTTTAAAATGTCGTTATTTTTTTTGCTTCTTCTTCTTCTTCTTCTTCTTCTTTGTGTCTTCTCTTCAGATTTTGCATTTTCATGATTGTGCAAAAATAGTTCCCCATTATTTTCACTACTTCTATGGTTGTTGTTCTCTGCAATCGGCTGAAAATTGCATCCATGGGAATACTTCCTTCGTTCTGTTTTTCTTGAGAAGAGTAGATTCTCATTGAGAGGAAGAACGATCTGTCCTTCATCTTTATGTTCTCCCACAGATGAGCATGCAGATTCGGGTTCGTCCGAATCACTTCCACTGCAACTCAGATCAAAGCAATAACTCCAACTTCGATCAAAGCAATCGCTACAACTTCGATCAAAGCAATCGCTACAACTTCGATCAGAACAGTCACTGCAACTACGGTGAGTATCATCATAATGTGCATACTTATCCTCAACATTTTCCAAATCAGAACCTGTTACTCTTCCTTTTCCATCAAATGAGTAATTTTTTCTTCTCGGGTTGACGTTTATATTCCCAATTATATCATTTCCATCACTCGTATCGTTTCGATCTTGTTTTTTACTTTCGTTATATTTTGCTCTTCTCTTAATATGTAATCCATTGTTCATTTCCCTGGTTTCTTCATTCACTTCCAACTTGTGTTCATTACATTCACAGTTTTTTTTTTTTTTCTTCTTCTTCTTCTTTTTTCTTTTACTAATGTATAAAATATGTTTTTTTGCTTCCTCCTCAAGGTTAATATCATCAAATGAATATTTATCTAATTTGTTTATATATTCATACAATTTGAAATATAATTTATCTTTGATACATGATCCCTCTTCTTCCATTTTAATATTTCATTCAAATTGTTACACCTTTAAAAAATCACAGTCATATATATACTCCCCCCATGTATAATTTTCTCTACACATTATTATATCCTTTGGATGCCAAATTATAGTGATATCCTAAATGTGTTGTATGTACATAAATATATGTATTTCAAAGAAAATGTACATAATTTTTCCATAAATTTTTAAGTAGCCATACAGGATGGTTTTACAACGCCAATATCTTTCTTTTTTTTTTTTTTTTTTTTTTTTCCTTCTTTTCAATTTCGTGAAATTTCTCCTTTGCCTTCAAATGCACAAATTGTTCATGATCTTCATAAATGCAAATGAGGCATGTAGCTTAGATTTATGTAGAAAACACCAAAAAAAAAAAAAAAAAAAAAAAAATGAAAACTGGGAATGGAAGTAGAAACAGGGCAGAAATAAAAAATGAAAATGAGACCTCAATTATTCGGCAACCCTTTTATGCAAAATTAACATGGCATGAAAGCTTGAAACAAATTTTCACATGCACTTGGTAAAAATAAATTATTAAAAAATAAATTGGTACAGAAACAGAGTAAAAGGATTTTCGAAGCAGCGGGGAAATATACGCATAGCAGTGAAAATGTTCCCAATTTGAATAATAAAGTAAAATGACTAATTTTTAATATTAGTAGGTACCTTATTGGCACAAAACAAATATGAACCATTTCCTCCTTTTCCTCTTTTTCCACTTTTCTCACTTTAAAAAAAAAAAAAAAAAAGAGATTTTCTCATCTGATGGCATAAAAATAAAGTTGGCTTTTTTTAAAAATAAAATTTCACTAGTGGTATGGCTTTTTTTAAAAATAAAATTTCACTAGTGGTATGGCTTTTTTTTTTTTTTTTTTTTTTTAATCACATGCACAGTTTTCCACTCCGTCCTTAAAATTATTCATCCAGAGGTAGAAAATTTCTAGTCTAGGAAAATTATCGAATTGTTAACTGAAAAAGTAGTATTTCATATGAACCACCTCCACTGCTTACACCTCAATGAATAAGCCAAAAAGAGGAGATAAATATGTCCGATTTTTTTTTGGGCACTAAATTAACTAATCATGATGTGGATGAAATCAGGAAAGAATTTAGGGAAAAGAGAAAGTATCATGGTGACGAGTATGATTTTTATGTATACTACAAAAAGGTACTAGCAGAAGAAAAAAAGAAAAAGGAAAAAAAAGAATGGAGAAAAAAACGGAAGGAGAAAGAACAGAGAGATGAAGAATTTAAGCCGTGCAATTACATATCAAGTATTTACAAAACTAAAGTAGATATTAAAAAAAAAAATATCTACGATTATATTGATGAAGAAGATAGTATATATCAAGACATAGTCACTAGTGCCCAGTTTGATGATAAAATTTATTACCCAGATGATATTACTTTTAGTCTTTTTAATGAAAGTGTATCCTACGCACTGTTAAGGAATAATAATTATATTGATGGTATTCCCATCGGAGTCGATATTAAAAGGAAAAACAAATTTCTACAAAAAAATTATAGCCAATCTGATAACACAAATGAGAGTAATCCACATAATCATGTTATATTTCCAAGTAATAGAAAAGAAACTTCTCCATCACCTAAGTCCTTGCCTCCCAATGATGATGATAATTTGGGGACACATGCTGAAAAAAAATATACAAACGAATCCAAAGCAGACAACGAAAAGGGGAAAGACAAATTAAAAAAGAAATCAATTGAACAGAAGAAGAGGGATGAAAGTGAAAAGGATGTTTTATTTGAAAATAATTATCTCACAACATGCAATCAAATAGGACCAAAACTTCCAGACATATTTGAAGAAATAAGACATCAAATAGGAAAAGAAACGAACTCCTTTGAGCGTCATGAAAATGAATATATAAAGATTTTGTCTCTTAGAGATCGTGTCATTTCAATGAAAATGAAAGAAGAGAAACAATTTGAAAAGTTAATTAAAGAATCATATAAGCCGAAAAATAATTTTGAAGGTGCCTTTTATGAAAAGAACCCAAATAGTATTGATCAAATAAAGAAGCGTGAATTGAATTCTTTGCGAAAGGATTTTTTTTTTTCGACACATGAAATGGATTCATACAATGGAGGTAGAAAAGAGTATATGGAACAGATTGATGAAAAAATAACAGGAAGAAAAAAACAAAAATTTGGAATAATAGAGTACGAAGATTACTCAGATAGTTCCTTAGAAGACTTTTACATAAGTTCTTCACGAAAAAAAGCACTTGAGGATTACTCTATGATACAGGAAAGGGAAAAAAAACAAAGTGCCAATAATAATAGCAGAAGTGCAATCCCATACAATGATAGTAGCAGAAGTGCAATCCCATACAATGATAGTAGCAGAAGTGCAATCCCATACAATGATAGCAGTAGAAGTGGAATCCCATACAATGATAGCAGTAGAAGTGGAATCCCATACAATGATAGCAGTAGAAGTGAAATTCCATTCGTTTTATGTAACACTGAGATAGAACACAAGGATGCAATGGTACTTTATTCCAAATTTTATCGTACCCTTTTTCAAAATAGAAATATAAATGAATATCTGAATTATACCCCGTCAGAAGAGTTAGAAGATTTAAAAACACAATACTCAAAATTAATTAATCCTAGTGGGGAAGCAAAATTAAGCAAAAGAGAATTAATGAACTTATATGTTCCAAAGAAAATGTGGGTACACGCGAACAGTAGAATAGAAGATGACAAAAATGTGCAAAACGAGATCTATGCATTGAAAAATAAAATAAATTTTAATAACGATTTAAAAAAAAAACATAGATTTTATTTTTACTGCAAAATGAAGGAAAAGGACACAAGTATGGGCATAGGCATGAGCATTGACACAAGCATGAGACACATCTTGGGCCCAGCAGAGTGTGAAGAATTTAGTGAATTAAGGAGAAAATTGAAAGTATATTACCTCGATTTTTACACAAAAGAAATTATCAATGAGGATCTGAGTACCAACTTTCAAATGCAAGAATACGAATTTGACACATGTGTGTGCTCTAAATTAGGCATTTCGGACGTAGGCCAAGATGACAAAAATGGGAAAGGGACTAAACCAACAATTGTTGAAGATTTTTTGAAGATTCCAAAGTTCGTTTTTGAAGCTATTTTTTGTGCATAAATGGAAATATGTGTGAAAATTGCTTGTGCACTTAGTATAAGAGACGCGTTCCCGTTTGGAAAAAAAAACCTTTTTTTTTTTTGATGTTGCAAAAAATCATGCGGATAGTCTACAAGTAGGCATGGTTCCTTCGAAACAGGATTGGTGTAATTCCAAATGAATAAAAAATTCTCAATGTTCATTTTTTCCTGTTCACGTAGAAGGGAGGAATTCTCGTTTTTGTTCCTCAGACCCACACATGTTGTGCCTCATTGTGTGCCCAATTTTTTGTCCCATTTGTGCCCAATTTTGTGCCCCATTTTGTGTCCCATTTGTGCCCAATTTTGTGCCCCATTTTATTTTTAATTTCTGTTATAGATTTTGTTTAGCAGCGTTTTACAGTTTTTGGGTTAGGGATTTATTATTTTTTTTACCAATTTGCAACGCTGCTGAGAAGGCCGTAGGATGGTCAAAGGTAACACCCATCAGCTGCTCGGCATAGGGGAAAAAAAAAAAAAATAATAATAATAAAAGCACTCTTATTAAAGAAAAAAAAGTAGAAACATTATTTAAAAAAAAATAAATTGTGGCACTATCACATCAAAACACAAATGTTATGATAAAACAAAAAAATACATACATGTAGAGGATACCTACATGTTCTTACAACACTTTTACATCACATAACCACTTTCCCCTGAGAAAGGGCAACCAATCATGTAGAATTTTCTATAGGAACTCACAAATTTATAATTTGACACAAACGCAAGAATAGAAAACTGTCCGTCCATCATTCCCTAAGTCTTATCCGTCATGTTTAGTCAAAATTTTTTTGATTTTTTTTTTTTTTTTTTTTTTTTTTTTACCTCATTTTTTAAAACCTACGGAGTGGATTTAAAAATTACATTTATTTTAAGCGATTTATGAACTTGTTTCCTTTATTTTTTTTATTTTATTTTTTTTTTCTCAAACAAAAAAATAACACTTTAAAAAATACCTCATCTGATAACGTTATTATATAAACACAAACTTGGGTAAATTTCAATTAAAAATTATATTGACAAAGGAAAATAATAAAATAGAAAAAGGATAAAAGCGTAGAAAAATAAGAAAAAAAGAATAGACAAAAAATAAAACAAGCAACAAAAAAAAATAGCAAAAAAAAACAAAAATATAGAGCAATATATAGAGCAATATATAGAGCAATATATAGAGCAGTATATAGAGCAATATATAGAGCAATATATAAAGCAAAATATAACAAAATGAAAAGCCATACAGAAAAAAAAAAAAAAAAAAAAAAAAAAAAAAAAAAAAAAAAAAAAAAAAAAAAAAAAAAAAAAAAAAAAAAAAAAAATAAAAAAAAAAAAAAAAAAATAAAAAAAAAAAAAAAAAAAAAAAAAAAAAAAAAAAAAAAAAAAAAAAAAAACCAAAAAAAAAAAAAAAAAAAAAAAAAAAAAAAAAAAAAAAGACAGCATAAACGTTAATAGAGCAAATTAAAAAAAGAAAAGAAATTAATTTACGAAGAGCATTATTTTTCAATTTTATATACGTTATACATATTTTCAAATTGGATTTATTGCGGGTGCAAATATATATAGGATGCGAAATAATAGATGTTTTTAGTTCACGTACTAATAGCACGGATACACAAATATATGTTCACATATATGCATATATAGGTGATGGATCAATTTGCACATTATTTTATTTTATTATTATTTTTTTTTTTTTTTTCCCCTTTTTTTACCTAATGCAATCAGTTCCAATCATTATCCTCTGGTAACTTGAATTGATCTCCTTCTCCTGTTTCTTTATCATCTTCTGCCATTGCCTCATCGAAAGGAGCAGGTTCACCTCCCATTGCTGCAGCGCTACCATGTGCTATAAAGTTATAAGCAAATCCAACACATCCAACTAAAGCCAATCCGGCAATAACACCACCTGCAATTTTGTATCCATTATTTGTTGACTTTTTTCCATTATCTTGAGATTCATACTCAGATTGTACAGGTGTATTGGGGATATCTGAATTTACACTTGGTCTATTATTATATCCTCCTGCGTTTGATGATGTGTGTGGTTTTGGGTATCTGTCATGAGAATGATCATTTTTATTAGGATGCACACCTTTGTTATTGTTATTTATATCTTTTTCGTTGTCTAATGTTTTTGGAATATTTTGTTCACGTTTTTTATCATGGTTAGAAGGATTTGCTGTTTTTTCATTAGTTGTTTCATCAGAAGATGGTTGTTCTACTTGTTCTACTTCTTCTACCTGTGGTTCTTCTGGATTCTCTGATATATTTTTTTCAGCTTCTGAAACCAAATCATCATTTGTGTCACTTGGAACAGCTGGTACTAATGGTATAACGTTTTCTTCATCAGGTACAGAATCGTCAGCTGGTGGGAAATCATTTGACTCTTTTGGATTTTCTTCATTGTTATTATCCTCTACAGGTGGAGTATCATTTTCTACATCATCTGGAACATCTAGACCTTTCCTAAAATTAGGGTGATCATCATCATCATCATTATTACGGGGAGTAGTGTCCTCAGGGTTGGATGGGATAGGTGCTGGAACAGGTACTGGTAGAGGTTCAACTGGGCATGCTTCTTCTTCACATTCAGAAATCATGTGAGTTGTGCATTTTTCATGCATTGATGGTCTTGATCTACTTTTTGTTCCCTTTCCACAAGTAACAGTACAAGGGGACCATTCTCCCCATGAACCACAATTAGCAACCCTTTCTACTTCAGTACATACTTTATTTATAAATGGATTTATAATTGATACTGCTTCGTTCCAATTAGCATGTGAATAGAATTTACAATTTGGTTCACGGATATCACATCCAGCTAATATTTTATTATAACTATGATTGATCTTTTGTCCAATTCCAATAATTGCCAATTTTACATTTTTTGATTTTAATTCTTTTGATAATTCTAAAGCATTAACCCTATTATTTGGTACACCATCTGTTAGAATTATAACTAACTGAATTGCGTTTTCTCTGTTGACTTTATCTTTCAAATGCATTAGAACTTCATATAACGCAGAAGACAAATTTGTTGTACCATATGGAACATATGTTTTCCTTAAATTATGTACTACTTTTAATGCTTCAGTTTTATCAATAGATGCACCACTTCCCAATCTAATAAGTTCTCTTGATCTGTTTGCAAATAAGTTCATATATAAGTTAATTGAATCTCTTGAAATGTTTAAATTTTTAATCAGCCCATCTAACATTGGTGTGACACCGATAATCCAGTTGGCATATCCTATACTTCCCGATCCATCTACTAGTACATATAAATCGACACTCTCATTACATACTTCTTCATTATACTTCACTTCGTCTACTATCCTATTCTCAATTCTGCCAAAAAGGCTAATATACAAAAAAAGCACAACCAGTAGGTAACTCTTGTCCTGGAAGATCTTCATCGTTTGGGCTTTTATTCAAAAAAAAAAAAAAAAAAAAAAAAAAAAAATCGGTCAAAAGGTGATTAACGGCTCCCCTCTCTGTGTTTATATTATCACACAGTTTATATAATGAACATTCTTGCACGGATGTATTTATATATCAGTGTATGTATATATATATATATATATATATATACACTTGATGTGAAAACAGGTTTACATCCAAACTTGCATAAACAAATCACACCACGCTCAATTTTTTTATTTAAATGTATTCACATGTAAATGGGCAAACACAGGGACAGACACAATATTATCGTCCTGAAACAAAGCTGCAAAGGCAAAAAAGAAAAAAAAACTTACTTGTATTATGGGGGGTTGGGGGGGGTAAGACAACTTGAAATGAAGCTTATACATATACACATATAAGTATGTGTATATATTTCATGAGCGTTTGTTTGTACAGGTTCAATTCAAGAAAAAAGGGAAAACAAAATTATTTGCTATAAAGTCCAAGATCTTAAAGAATTCGGAGGGGTGTAGAAAGATTTATTATTTTATATTTGAAACTTTTTTGTTGTTGTTTTTTTTTTTTTTTTTTTTTTTTTTTTTTTTTTTTTTTTTTTTTTTTTTTTTTTTTTTTTTTTTTTTTTTTGCTTTTACTTTTGCTTCTATTTTGGTTCTTGTTCTTGTTTGTTCTTGTTTTTTGTATTGTTGTTATTGTATATTTTACATTTACGAATCAATATAATTTAAATTATATATTCAGTTTTATTAACGCTTTTAGCATTTTAATGCTTATATTTTCAGAACAAGTAAAAATAAAATAAATAAAGACAAACGAAGGTGTAAATATATGGTTCTTTTTAAAAAATATATAAACCAAAAATAGCTGGTAAAAATGGTTATAAACAGAAGGGAAAAAATTTTTAAACACACAAAAATTACGTTCAAATAAAAAAAAAAAAAAAAAAGAAAGAAGAAAAAAAAAGCCCTATTTTAATTGAGCTTATAATTTTTTTTTTTTTTTTTGCTTATATAAAGATGTAATAAAAAATAAAAAAAAAGGTTCAAATAATGAAGATGAAAAGTAAGATGTAACAGGGAAAAAAGCAAAAAGACAAAAAAAAAAAAAAAAAAAAAAAAAATCAGACAGTTGTAAAATGTTAAGTTAAAATTGCATGTTAAGTTGACTTGTGATCAAAAAATGCATGGTGTGTATGAAAATATGTATGTATATCTATAATCATGTATGCGAATGAGTATATATGTTTATAAATATGTGTATTAACACCACACACATAACTTTTTCAAGTTATGAAATGTGTTCATATAGAAGTGAAACATATAAAATAACATGCATGCTTAATTAAAGAGTAACCATAGATACTCATCCTGAGCATGCTTGTGAAAAGAAAAATTATATCATGAAATATAAAGGATTAAAACAGCCGAGTGGAAGATATATCTGATCATACTTACATAAATGTGGAACCTTTGTAGGAAAAAAAAAAAAAAAAAGAAAGGATCTATATATATGTGTATATTCGTTTGTATATATTTATGTTTACACACAAATCAACCGTAGATTAGAAAAAAAAAAAAAAAAAGGCTAAAGAAGGGAACGAGAAATGTCTCTACAACCTTTATGCCTTAATTGTTAGATACCTTTTTTAAAATCAGTTATGTCATTTTAAATGAACTTTTTTTTTCTTTTTTGCATGCAGTTTTTTTTTTTTTTTTTTTTTTTGTAATATATTGAAAAAAGAAAAAACAAAAAAAATTTTAATTGGCTTAGGTTTAGCTAGTTCACTTCAAAGCAACATTGAACAAATGAAATAAAAAAAGAATAAACATATATTTTTAAGACTCTCTTTTATGAAACATTTTTTTTTTTTTTTTTTTTTCATTTTGTTCTCCTATCCTATACAAGGTGTATTTTGTGCTTTGTTTTTTCGTTTTTGCAAAAAGTGGACAAGACGGACTTTTTAAAAAACAAAAAAAAAAAAAAAAAGACATTAAAATATGCACAACACTATTTTCCCCATTTGTCACACATTGACATAAGCACTTTCTCATTCTAAACCATTCGTCTATACTGTCGTATGACAACTTTTTGCAAAGTGCGCACAATTATCTTCCTTATATTCATAATGATATGCCTTTTTGAGTTGTGCGTGAACACATGAATAGGAATGGACAGTAAACTTTTCAGAAAATTGAAATGTCAAGTGTGAAATGCAGTGAGAGTCTCGAAAAAAATTTGTTACATGTTTAAACAACAGTAGGTGAAAAGGAGTATTCTTTTCATCATTCGGTAGAAAAGATTACACAAAAAAAAAAAAAAAAAAAAAAAAAAAAAAAAAAAATTGTATTATATTTTTCTTTGTGTAAAAATTCAGAAACGGTCTTGAAATTCCTCCTCTTTAGTGAAACTAATTAATTTCTACTTTTTTCATGTACAACCCGATTTGATGTCCAACAAGGGAATAATGTTACAAAGCCCATTAGTATGTTTCTTAGTAGTACTTATTATAAACATTGTTAAATAAAAAGGCTCTATGAAAATTAAGTAGATAAAATTAATTATTAAACTATGTTAAAGGAATTTCTTTTTTTTTTTTTCTACATTGCCAGTATTTTTTTTAATTATAAATCTTATGAAAAAAATTCTTTAAGCAACTTTTCTTGTATTTGTTTCACTTAATTATCTGTTCAGTAATAGATAATAGTTTTTTTCTGTATTATGTATATTTCATTCATTCCCTTTTTCCAAATAATGCCAAAAAGAAAATGTCCAAGTGTATATTGCAATAGCATAAGTGTGTATATTTATACACAACTATATATATTTTTTTTTTTTTTTTTTTTTTTTTTCATCATTGTTTATATCTCCCTACATGACCAACAGCTATAATACATATATTAAGGTATCTTAACGTATTTGCCCCTCTTAACATTCCCTAAGTCTTACATTGTGTGCACAAGTTAAAACTTGGGGGGAAAAAACTCCGGTTTGTTTTTATATGTGGATAGTTTCCCACAAGGCGAACAGAAAAAAAAGAACAGAAGTAGGAATAAAAAAGTACGTATACAAGTATACATATATACATGTATATATATTCCAGCACAATTATTCGTACTGAATTAAATAAATCTGAAATTAATAAGATTAATCTCATGTACCCCGTTTTCTTTTCCTATTTATTTATCATAATTATTCATTTATTTATTTATTTTATTTTTTTTTTTTTTTACTAACCTTCAGATTTCTTTTTCTTTTTTTTTTTTTTTTTTTTTTTTTTGTTTTGAATAATTTTTTTAATATTTTTTTTTTTTTTTTTTTTTTTTTTTTTTTTTTTTTTTTTTAATAATTTTATTAAGATATTTTTAATTTTTTTATTTTTTTTTTTTTTTTTTTTTTTTTTGGTGAAAAGTGAAGTGGAAACACTTCTTTTTAAAAAAAAAAAAAAAAGGAAGAGATTTTTATGGTTAAGTAAAAAAGAGTATACATAAAACAAATGTAGATATAAAAAATATTTGTACGTATGCATACAAGTATATATAACTTGTTTTATAGAGATGTTATCGATTTCATAATATTCTCTTTACCTCTTCATCTCTTTATCTCTTCATCTCTTTATCTCTTCATCTCTTTATCTCTTCATCTCTTCATCTCTTCATCTCTTCATCTCTTCATCTCTTCATCTCTTCATCTCTCCATCTCTTTTCACCTTTTTTTTTTTTTAATTTTTTTATTTTTAAATACTTATTTATGCTGTCCGTCACGTGTGTTATCATCCGAAGTGATGTTTCCATTTGTGCATATTCGCCAAATTATCATGTTATTTTTGGAAAAGAGAATTGTTTAAAGAACAGGGACATGCATTCACCTCTTGATCAAGAGTTAGCGTTAATACGTAAGAATATGTGTATGTATACATATATATATACATACGTGAAAACACAAGGACATGATAAAATCCTCCCATTTGAACCATTCGTTTCACGTGGATAAAGAGAATTTATGCAAAACATAACAAGTCGTTTTTGAGAAAAAAATAAAATATAACTTTTCCGAATTTTAGTAACTTTGTATGTTCTACAAAAATTAAGAAGGAAGAGAAATATATACACAAACAAATACGTACGGACATGTAGACACATGAATCCGGCAAATCTACACATATGTGTATTATATGTGTTTGTGGGTAGAGGAAGAAATTGAATGACGTCTCCACACAACATATATATAGTTATGTAAAAAAAAAAAAAAGATGAATACCTTTAGCGGTTTTTCACCTAACGACATAAGTAAAACCAATGAAAGTAACACACTAAATAATTTTTTGGGAGCACAACAATCACCCATTAGTTCAAATAAAATAGAAAATGAAAAAACTCTTAATGTTAATAACACTACCTTTAATACCCCATCCAATATAGTCAACTCTTTTAGTAACAAAACAAACATTTTAATAAGTGAAGATAAATCAATCCAAAGCGGGTTTACAAATGTATTAAATAATAACATGCCACCAGTGGCGAACAAAGCAGAAAATTTGACAAATGTGAACAACACGAATAATGGAAATGGCAACTGTAACAACAACAGTGCTAGCAATAATATCATCAATAACGATGGAAGTAGAGACAACGAAGACTTGAGGAAAAATGCAGAAAAAAATGATTTGCAAATTGATAGGCACAACGGAAATATTAGTTTTGAAAATAAATTCAATTTTAACAGTTCCCTAAAAATTAGGAAATCCTTGACGGAGCAACTTTGTGGTAATGCATAAAAAAACGAGAGCTCGTAAAATTTTGTTTATTCCATATTTTAAGTATATTTAATTCCTTATTTTGAATGTTTTTTATTACATATTTTGAATATTTTTTTTTTACATATTTTGAATGTTTTTTATTACATATTTTAAGTATATTTAATTCCATATTTTAACTGTTTTTTATTCCATATTTTAAGTGTATTTTTTTTTATATTTTTTGTTTTTATTTACCCTATGCGTTATCTTGAGTTGCCTCGTTTGTCTACCAAGTCTCGTGCATTCCTACGATATAATCTTTTAAAAGGAAGGAATTTCTTCCTGCTTCTGCGTAGGAAACCATATGTGTCAGCGTGAAAACACACACATATATGTATATGTATGTGTATATGTATGTGTATATGTATGTGTATATGTATGTGTATATGTATGTGTATATGTATGTGTATATGTATGTGTATATGTATGTATATATGCATACGTATGTGTATATATACATGGGCAAGCACTCCCCACATATATATAATTCCCAACCATATGTAACATCACATCTGTGTGTGCACCATTTTTTTGCCCTCACCCAATTTCAACCCACTCAGAGGAAATATCTATGAAGCTTGGGAAAATATTTTTGTGCAAATCGTACCTAGAAACGTACGTTTTTGAAAGGAATCCATATATGATGAACTTCATTTACTTGAAAGATGACATGAGTGAATCGAAAAACCGAGTTTTAAATTCTTTGCTTTTAAGCTCGTTCTGTAATTTAATATGGAATAATAATATATACAAACATGAATATTTAATTTCGAAAGAAATATTAAGTAAATATGCCAAAGCAATAGAAAAAAACCCAGATAAAAATAATTTTTGTATTGTACCTATATACAATTTAGAGAAAGTAAAAATGGCCTTAAGTGATCAGGAGAAAAATATAAAAATTCTGAAAAAAAGAAAGTTACTTATTAAAAAGAATAATGAAAATCTTTTATTCATTTTATATATTATAAAAAATAATTTTTTAGAAATAAAAACAAAAGCTCAGCGCATTATTCAAAGATTATTATTCAGACTAGATATACTAGATAAACTTTTTATGCTAAAAAATAATTCTGTTTTTTTTTCAAATAAATATGAATTTAATAAATTTAAATTGATGGAAATCTTGGATTTCTTTAACTCTTTCAACATAGACAGTCAGCTTCAAAAAATTAATAAAAATATAAAAAACCTTGTACAAGAAAAGAAAAACCTTCAGAAGTTTCTTCACTCAGATAACGAATTTACAAGCTCTTTAAGGAATACTGTTGAAAAAAACGAACAGGTGTGAAGCTGCATAATCTTGACAGCATTAATTCAGCATGTGTGGCAGTTTACATATATATATCTACGCGTTTAGTAACTCATATATATCACACCACATGCGAAAGAATTCATAGAAGGATATAAAATTATTGAATTTATGTTTCAGATATATACACACTGCTAGAGTGTTAAAAAAAAAAAAAGCCTTTTTCCAATTATTTTATTTTTTTACCATTCCTATCACACTATTATTCCCATTCCTAATTCTAATCCTAATATTTTTTTTTTTTTTTTTTTTTTTTTTTTGTCCTGCAGGACATAATCGAACTGAAAGGAACAACTTCAGAGATATGCATAAATTTGGAAGAAAATAAAGAATATATATACCACTTGAATGCATTTGAAAGGGAAGAAAATTATGAAATGTTATAAGGGTATATTTGTGAAAAAATAATTTTCTTCTGGTATACTAAATTTTTTCCCCCCTCTGCAAAATAATACCGTTACATTAGGCTCATTTGTAGTTATATACATACATGCCTACACAAACGCATACATACACATACACACATACATATAAACATACACGCACACACACACACACACACACACACACACACAGTTGTATAACAACTATCCCTATATTGTGCACATTTTTACAACATGGAAATAAAGTGTTCACGTAATGTCTGCATATATGCATTATTTGGACTTTTTTTTTTTTTTTAAATTCGTTTTCTTCTCCTTTTAATACGAAATATGATTTGTTTTAACTCTCAAAACTAGTAAAATTATTAACCAATATATTTTTTTTATTTTGTAACACGGCTTGATAGCAATGTGTTATCACCTCGTATTAAATAATCAGAGATTAAAAAATTCTGGTTTTAGGAACCTATCTCCTTTTTTCTTTTTCCTTTTTTTTATTTTGCAACCAGAGAAAGGTATAATCTTTGTACCCCCCAAATTTTTTTTTTTTTTTCTGTTAGCATTTTAAAAAAATTAAAAATGGAACATAAAATTGTGGAAGTGTAACTTTTCGACATGAAAAAGAAAAAAAAAAAACACATCAAAAAAAGCACACCAAAATAAGCACACCAAAATAAGCACACCAAAATAAGCACATCAAAAAAAGCACACCAAAATAAGCACATCAAAAAAAGAACATCAAAAAAAGCACATCAAAAAAAGCACATCAAAAAAAGAACATCAAAAAAAGCACATCAAAAAAAGCACATCAAAAAAAGAACATCAAAAAAAGCACACCAAAATAAGCTAATCAAAATAAGCACATCAAAAAAAGCACACCAAAATAAGCTAATCAAAATAAGCACACCAAAATAAGCTAATCAAAATGGTGGTATTACATTTTGCAAATAACTTTTTCAGTTGGAGAACAAAGAAAAAAAAGCAGAAAATGGTCGAGAAGAGTGTATTAATTTTTTTACGGGATAAATTTAAATTGTAGAAAATCAGTAATGAATCTCCAGCTTTATTACTTAATTTTTTTTAGTTTTATTTCATTTTTTCTTTATTTTAATTCATCAAATAATATGACTTATGTTTCCTTCACGCTTGTGTTGAGAAGCAGGCAAAAATAATGGAAGCGTAGAAATGTAAATCGTTTACATAATTTTGCAGGTTTATGTATTCGAGGTTTGCGAAGTTGAAAGTATGTCCTCGAAATTTATGAATTCCACATTTATGAATCCGCATATTCATACGAGAAAAAAAAAAAAAAAAAAAAGGAACTTCTGCTCCTTCTTTTGCTCCTGCTTCTTCCCCTGCTTCTGCCCATGCTTCTACTTGCAAATACAAGTGATTTTGTAGGTTATAACCAAAATGTTCCGTGATCATTTCATGAGATCGAAAGCTATGAGTAATTTGAAAAAGAAGTAAAAGAAGAAAAACACTTCACACATATTTTTTTTTTTCATTTTGCCTTCCCCGTTCATGTAGACGTTTTGCACAGTGGGAAAAATACACAATTGTTATTAATTAGGATTAGTTCACTTTTTCATTTTTCACTTTACTTGTTTCGGTTTCGGTTATTAGGATTTGCCAAAAAGAAATTCTTCACAACAGCAAGCACACAAATTTATGGGGACACATCACTTCCAGTTGTGGGAAAAGGAACGTTAATAGATGTGTATGATAATTATGAAGCACTAAAAAATATAAAAAAGAAATCTAGCCTTAAATGTTCATTAAAGAGGTTTAGAGAAATAGTTCAAAGTGAAACAAAAGGAAAAGCATACAATTTCTACACAGGATGGCCCCCGATAAACAGGATTAAAATTACGCAAGACGAAAAGGTAAGATGATCTAAAAAATGCACTTGTAAACATTTTTTCCAACGAAAGAATAGAAGATTAAAAAGAGAGTCCGGGTATAAGCGAAGGAAAAAATGCATATATAATATATTGAATTTCGAACACTTTGGAAAATTTATATTATTTCTTTAATTTTCACTTATTCTATTTTGTGTCCATAAATATGTGGTCTCGCGTCATCTGATCCTGCCTCATATTTATGAGTTATCAGCTCGATATTGGTGAACGAAATATTTCATCAAATTTAACAACGGGTGAAAGATAGTCGAATTAACTTTTTGCATGCTAGTCTGGAACTCAACATTGGTTCAATGCTTTTACGTCTCATTTTTGCTTCCATGTATGCACCAATATGTGCACCAATTTTTACACCAATGTATGCACCAATTTTTTTTTCTCAACCCCTTGTCCTTACCATAACGGGACACTACACATATCACAGCTTGGCTTATATGGACGGAGTATGTTTGTATTCAACCGAATAAAAGGAGTTAAAGGAATGGAACCTAATTTATGTATATGTTGCAAAAACAAGAATGTTCTTTCCTTTAACAAATCCGAATTTGAATCCCTGTTAAAAAATATGGATACTATAAAGTACCAATTACAGGAATTTGCAAAAAAACTTTAACAAAATCTCATATAGATCACATGTCCATGGTACTTATTTAGTAAGTCTACACTTTTGCATGATTTTGATAAGTATAGCGTTTTCCCCTTTTCCCTCTTTTTTTTTTTTTTTTTTTTTAATTTTCAAGTACACCTAGCATATAAATAAGTACACATTTTTTATATGATTTTTCATTAAGTTATATTTTTCATGCTTAGGTATGTATTAGTGTATGCGCTCCTTGAATACAAACATTGTACATGGTAGGTGTGACAAATGAAACGCATGTAAAAATATCTATCATATCGCATGTGTATATGATTTGTGGGCCCTGTTAATCTACTCCAATTTCGTACATGGAGTAAGGATTTTCTCCTTGTTTCACATATTTATATATATGATATATGAAAATGTGAGTGTGTAAATAAATGAATGTATAAGTACTTATATATAGATTACTTTTTTCTTCTTTTTGAAGTTTATATATTTTTGGTTTCGTTTGGACCTTTTCTTTTTTTTTTTTTTTTCTTTTTGCTATTTTCTGCTGTTTTCCATTTAATCCTTCCTTTTTTTGTGTCAACTAATTTTTAAAACTTCTTGTACTCTTATCAAAACCCCAAGTGGGGAGGGGTATATGACGGGGTGAAAGAAAAACAGGGAAAAACAAATCGGAATTAATTTCGATACAAAAAATAAAAAATATATAAGAATATAATGAAGCAAAACGAAAAGTAACGTAAACAAAGTAAAGAACGAAAGAAATGAAGATGCATAAAGTCACGTAAATGGGGAAAAAAAAAAAAAAAAAAATAAAATAATAAAATATAGAGTAAAAGAAGAATAAAAATAAAAAGGTGCATGGAGAAAGAGAGCTAGAACGAACTCCCCACTATCCAATTATTCCCCTTTTTTTGAAAAAAAATCGAACAATTCGCAGTGAATTTACTTATATTTCATGTTTTACCCGTTCCTCCATTTATTTTTTTGTATTTTTTTTTTTTTTTTTTTTTTTATTTTTGATAGTTACCACAAATACTAAGGAATAATTAAATACATGGTTTGGTCACAGGAAAAACAAATGAATAAAAAAAAAAAAAAAATGTATAGAAAAATCGCATAGTTAACTCAAAAAAGGGAATATAAATATATATATCTGCACGGACATTCCAACACGTCGAGAAAAAATGTGATATTTAAAAAACACGTGTAAATGTGAAAGTGAATGTTGAACATTTAGTAAAAAAAAAAATTGTAATGTCTAGCTGAGGTATTTAAAAAAAAGGAATAAAAATAATAAGGAGAAAGAAATAAGTAACATAAATAAGAAAAAAAAAAAAAAAAAACAGGAGAAAAATGCAATGTATGAACTATTTCGTATCGTCGAGTACACTCTTTTTTGTTCTATCCATAAAATGTGTATAAATATATAAGCATGTACAAAAAAATACGCAGAAAAGTGTGTAATAAAAAAAAATGAAAGAAAACAGTACAGCAAATAACCCCTTTGCTGTATATAAAAAAGAGGCAATAAATAGAGAAAATGAAAAGGCAATAAAGAGAAACAAAGAGAAGGAGAGAGAGGGAGAAAAAGAGAGGGAGATAAAGAAGGATGACGAAAAGATCATCCATGCAGATTCGTTAAGTGATATTTCCATTTCAACTGTGAGCAACAGTACTGGAATTGACTCCGATTTGTATAATAACGTAGTGAGAAAAATTAAAAAGGAAAAAAAGCAAAAGAAACGGGAAAAGGAACGGGAAAAGGAACGGGAAAGGAAGAGAAAAAGGAGAAGCAAAACGAGAAGCAGGACAAGAAGTAGAACTGGGAGCGAAGGACAAAAAAAACAGAAAAATAAGGGAAGCAGTGAAACAATAAACGAAATTAAAACATATGGGAATAGGAATGAACAAAGGGTTGAAAGGAAAGAACTCGAGAAGGACAACCTAAACGGACATAAGAGGGAGCGAGCCAGGGAACGAGAAAGGGAACGAGAAAGGGAACGAGAAAGGGAACACGAAAGGGAACATGAAAAACACCATGAAAGGAAGCAAGAAAAGCAACATGAAAGGAAGAACGAAAAAAGAGATCACAAAAGGAACTCTCTGGAGGAAGACAAAAGAAATAATGATGATGTAGAGGACAGGAAAAAGAGGAAGAATAAAGAGTCTACCCATGCTTATAGATCTAATGAAGAAAAAAGAAAGAAATATAAGGGGGCTTCCAGTTCAAGCCACAATAGTGACGTAAGGTCTAGGAAGCGTAAAGACACAGACAGAAAAAAAAAACATAAAAGATCAAGATCTAGGAGTAAGCGGTAAGTAATAAAAAATGTCTTAATGGTCAACTTGTATTAAAAAAAAAAAAAAAAAAAAAAAAAAAAAGTGTTATTTTTTCGTGTAAAAAATATTTTTCCTGATTAGTTCCTACATGGGTTTTATACCGCAAAATCAATCGTAATAAGGTGCAACGACGCATAACATGACTAGGCAACAACTAGCATGGCTTAACGACACCTAATATGACGAAATCCAATAGGCCATAATAATTTATTACCATCATATGTATGCTTCATCCATTCGTAGATCACACGATGACCCAATACCTGAGGATCCGTTCAATCCACTATTGATGGCTTACGAAAAAAGGAAAAGACATAGAAACAGGTAACACCAAATATGAGTTAACTGTCTCTCCACCAACTCTCCAAAATAGAAAAAAAAAAAAAAAAAAAAAGAAAAGTACCAAATAATATAAAACAGTTTTCCAAAAATGTAAGAACCCCACGACGCATACTTTTTTTTTTTTTTTTTTTTTTTTTTTTTACACCTCTTAACCTTTTGAGGCAGGAAAATGAATGATGAAGTATCGGACTCAAATGGCAGATGGAAACACGACAGGTAAAATATACACACATAGTGAGTGTACACTTTTTAATCTATAACAGTGTTAATTCATTTGTTCCTTAATGGACTTTTTATAGTGCTTTTCTACATATTATATCTTATTATGTTCATATTTTTTTGTTTTATAAATTTGAATTCATTAGATATGAAAGTACATCTGATGACCAAAATATCCCTGTTAGAGAACAAAATCCAAATAAGTCTCAACACAAAGTAGATTTACAGCAAGTGAGGAAAAATTTGTGGAAGTCAAAGGCAGGGGTAAGAAAAATAAAAATAAGTGAATAAAATGATGGACATGTTATTTGTGGGAAAAAAAAAAAAAAAAAAAAGGTGAAACAAATTAACAATTCAGTTAATTTAAATTCTCAGCTTATTTAATTTCTTTTTTTTTTTTTTTTTTCTCTCCGTCCAAAAATAATACACATTTATTCACTTTTAAATTCTCTTTTACATGCACCTACCCATATATTTAATTAAATGTACATCTAAGCATGTCTATGCGAATCATGCATATTTAGTTTATCTACATTGGAATTTTTTTTTTTTTTTTTTTTTTTCATTGTAGGGTGTCTGTATTCCGCAAATAAGCGAAGATACGGACTGAGGAGAATGAAGAAAAAAAAAAAAAAAAAAAAAAAGGAAAAAAAAAAGGAAAAAATAAAGGAAAAAAAAAAAAGAAGAAAAAAAAGACAAGTTTTATAAATGAAGCAAACATATATTTCTCTGATTTTTCCTTAAAATCATGTATACACAATTAGTTAAAATTGTCACATTTTATAGTAGTTACATTTTAGGGATCATTTTTTAGTTACTTTTGTGTAATTTTATTTTCCCTTTCTTTATAAAAATATACCTTTTTTGTTTATTATTCCAATGACGTTTTATTCTTAAAGCGTTAACGGAACTTATAAAAAAAAAAGTTTGAACGAAGGAAGAAAGCACCAATTATTTCATTCCTTTTTTTTTTTTTTTTTTTTTTTTTTTTTTTTTTTTTTTTTTTTTTTTATTAAAATTTTTTTTTTTTTTTTTTTTTTTTTTTTTTTTTTTTTTTTTTTTTTTTTTTTTTTTTTTTTTTTTTGCACGAAAGTATATATGTTAATTTTATTTTAGTGCAAAAACATTTCTTTAGTTGTTTCTGTGTTAATAAATTTTATTTCAAACTTATTGAAATGAAAAAAGGGGAAATCGTGGTAGATCCGTAAGATAAGATAGACAAAGACAGACAATAACCATTGCAAGGTCTTCACAAAACGTCAAGCAACGCTGCAAAGTTTGGTGAGATGTTATTTAACTGATCAGTGCTGAACTCAACAAGTGCCTTATAAGCTCCACTACTACAAACTTAGAACAAATAACACGAATAATTACGAATAATACATAAAGTGGAAAAGGAAGAAAAAAAAAAAAAAAAAAAAACTTCAGCTGGAAAACGTTAAATGGATAAATTATATGGAGACTATGACAAGGTTTTTGAAAAGTATAAAAACAGCAATTTACACAAGAGAAAAAATGAAAAGGAAATAGCTCAGGACAGCAAGGTGGAAACAAAGGAAAAAAATGCATTGAAAAGGGAAAAAAAAGTGTATGAAAAAAAACCTAAAAAGGGAAACAACCTCCCTTCAAGTGAAGGAAGAAAAGATACCTTTACACATCCGCATAATAACTTACCCACTGGAATTCCAGAATATACCATAAAGGGTAAAAAGAAGGACGACAAGGGTGGAACTAAAAAAGCCAACAATGATAGTACTCACGCTACCAACCATGAAAACGGTTATTCTAGCGATCATGCAAGCAATCACCTTGGCAATCACACTGCCAATAATGTCAGCAATAATCTAAACCCAAACTCTTATCCCAACCCTGTCTCGAGCAAGCAGAATGGAAGCAACTACAATAGAAGTTGTAACAACAGCAACAATAATCAGGTGAGGGAACGCTCCGTAAACGAGTATAAAATAAGAAAAAAAGTTAGCATAGAAATTAACCAAAAGATTTACAGCGATTCTGAAAATACACATTTTGATGATAAATCGTTTTTAGAAAACAAATTTGGAATGAATGAAAATAATTACAACTCAAGAAAAAAAAAAATAAAAAATGATGATCAAAAAGTCAACAAAAAAATGTTAAATAAAAAAGACAAAATCAAGTTTTTTGTAAATTTTTTATTTGTCCTTTATTATATATTTTTCCTTTTTCATTATATAATTGAAATTCAATTAAATCAAATATATAATGTAGTTATTAACACTTTTACCATTATAATAACAACTGTGCTTTTATGTTATATTTACTTTCTTAAGGCACGAAATAAAAAACTTAAAAAAATCATCTTCTACATAACTACGTATATAAATTTGCTCTATTGCTTGCATATATTCAATACATTCACTTTTTGGTTAAATATATACCTCAATTTTACCTTAAGTAAGAGAATATATTTAAAATACAAAACATTGTATAAAAATATCTCCTTTGTATTTTCATACTTTAGTTTTGATGAAATTTTTTTTTTTCTTTTAATTTTCTATGCACTCTTTTTCCTAACAACATCAATGTTAACCTTTACTCTCTTTTATTACATATATAACTTTATAAATTATTCCTTCTGAATTTATTTTTTTACGAAACAAGTATCTCATTTCTGGTTTGGAAAATTCGCATTATTTTTTAACCTGCACCCCCCCCCCCCTCCATACATATTTTCTCGTGTGTGATAGGGGCGCAGCATGCCCCATGGGGGAAAAAAACTCCAAAAAATTGAGAGAAAATAAAAAAAAAAAAAAAGAAGTAAAAATGGACGTAAAAATGAAGGCAAAAATGAAGGCAAAAATGAAGGCAAAAATGAAGGCAAAAATGAAGGCAAAAATGGACGTAAAAATGGACGTAAAAATGGACGTAAAAATAATAAGGATTAAATGTGCTGTTTTGTCATACATGCAAAAAAAAGTGTGTAGACAGAAATATCTGCAATTGTGCTAAATGCATTGCCAGTTCAATCGTTCACCAGAAAAAGCATAGGCCTTGGTGTAGAGGAATCTGTGCATTTTAAGAATGGCATAAAAACAAACACATATACATAGTGGACACGGTGCATGGAGTATGTTTGAGTGGAGAAGGTGTTACCCCTGAAAAATTCGTTTAACTCTACAAATATATAAGAAATAAGTAGTGCCTACAATTTTTACTAAAAGCACAAATTACGTAAGCATATAAGCATGTGCAAACGCACATATGTAACTCTATGCACACATTAATTTAACAAAAAAAAAAAAAAAAAAAAAAAAAGTTGCTACTTTAAACTGAACGACATTCATCATCATTGGTCACGTCTAAATCCTTTGCTGCTCCTTCACCAGTTTTGTCATCAAAATTTTTCTCCTTTAATTTATTTTTGCTTCTACTTTTTTTTCCTGACTTTTTTTTTTCTTTTTTTTTGTATTTTTCATAATATTCAATATACCCTGTCTTCAAGTTTTTCAATTTGGGTATACTGCAGGGATACTATAGTATGGGATGAGTGAGGGGAAAAAATAAAATAAAAAAAAAAAAAAAAAAAAAAGGGGTATCAAACAAATCTCACACATGGATGGGTACAATTAACATATGGAACAACTGCATAGGTATATGTGTATATGAGAAGATCACTTGATTTTCCTACCTTTGAGCTCAGTACATTCTGCGTGAAGAAGATATTCTTCACAATATATTCCAACGTACTCTCTGTGTGCAGAAAAATGCATGAAGTAATAAATGTAGAAGATAATTATATATAACCTCCTTTCAGTTTGGTCATATTCATTAATCAGTTCGTAGCCTAATTCGCTACAGTTTGGTTATTCTTTTTTTTTTTTTTTTTTTTTTTTTTTTTTTTTGAAACTCCCTTTTGCTTACCACTGTCAACGTTGTAATAACTCAAAATGATATCATCGATCCTTTTTAATGTGGTTTTTTTTTTCTCTATTTTTTGTATTAACTTTTTGGCTTCCTCACTCTACAAATTATTCAAAGAGAATGTGTCAGGTTAGGTGTGGGTGGGGATAATACATACACACATAATTATATGGAAATAAAAAGTGAGAGAATGACAGCTCTCAGAAGAGAAGAGAGTTGGACAGGAGGAGAAAATAAAAAAAAGGGAATAACGAGGAAAATGAAAAAGAAATAAAAGTAGAAAAATACATTAAAATCCTGGTATGCCATAAGCATCATAACATCATCGATCTCGCTAATAAGGGATGGCTACGTTGTGGGTGTTGGTCGTGTAAAACGAAAAAAAAAAAAAAAAATGTTAAAGTGTTAAAAAAGCAGAAAAACTGATTATAAAAAGTTAGGGAAACCAAAATGGTCAAATTATATCACATAGGGCAAATGACCTAATGGCGGAATGTGAGCAAGTTAGGAAAGGAAAAATGAAATAAAATGAAGCATGCATGAAATAAAATGAAACGTGCATTAAATAATAATAATAGCGTGTAGAGAAATAAGCACGGGAAGAATAAGTGTAGTGTGCTTTCCTCACGCACGTGTCTACGTACACATGTACAGTATCTCTCTATAGGTGCGGATGAACAAACCTTTTCTTTCACATAAGGAGCTAATTCCTGTTGTGAATATGTTATTGCCTCCTTAATATTATTCTGAAATGAAGAGGAAAAATGTATATTCTCTATATGCACAAAAGGAAATAGCACATACACCTGTGCGTATGTTTGTATGTGTTTGATTCATAAATGATAAATTTTTGTTAATTCACTATATCCTCACATTTAAAATTAATTTTAATAATTGTTGTTTCTTGAGAAAAAAAACGATATCCTTATGTTTTTTCAAAATCTGGAAATGGAAAAACGTGAACAAAGCAGAATTATCAAAATATGCTCGTAATGTGTAATAATGGTGGGGCAAGTATGGAAAACAAAATGATATAAAAAAAGGGGAATACGAGAGAAATATTTGTTTACGCCTTTATCTAAATTATTGATATGTTCTATGGCTTCCTCAATTCTATTATTCAAAATTTCATTTTGAATTAAGTATCGGATCTTTACTGTGTCTATAGGCATATCAGCTGCATGAGGATAGTGTAATGATAAAAAAAAAGAAAAATAAATTCATACATGCATACATACATACATACATTTTGCAGAAAATATCTTTATTTAATATTTGTCTGGTTATGCAGTGCCATATTTCTACATCATCAGAATTGTGTATATGAGCTCAACTGAAGGCGCAACCAGAAATATGACGTACGTTAAATAAGAATATCTCATTGTAGTGTGGTGTAGTACAGTATTATATATTAAAAAAAAAAAAAAAAAAAAAAAAAAAAAAATCAGTTCAAGGATGACCTTAAGTATCATCATTCTACGTTGTAGTACGATTTTTATTTCTGCGCATAAAATCATCATTTTTTTTTTTTTTTTTTTGTCATTTTTTCATGCTGTTTTTCTATTTGTGCCAAGAATGTATCATCGCAGTGGTCTGTTTTTATATTCTCTCGTATGTCACTCAGACTTAGGCCACCTTTTATGTACAATTTCCCTTAGAACTCTCATCTACGTACGTTTAACCCTGGTTTCTTTATGGAATTCATTTGCAACATCATACATCCGATGAACACAAAAGAAGTTCATTAAGACTTCATTCAAATCATTTTCATGTATTTTTGTGTGTTCGAATTCTTTAAGCCAATTTTTTCTAAAGATAAAAATTAAGGGAAAAGGAAAATAAAGGAAAGGTGTATAATTCCTTTTTGTGAAAATATGTGACAAAATTTTTTTTTGTACACCTAGTTCACTGCTTGTGCAAATATTTACGTATGTTTTGTGGGTGTATTTTCCATGAATTCTGTTCTTTGTGCCACACCCGGATAATCATACAAATACACACACACACACATGAATACGCATATGTTCAGAAAATGTGACGTGTTTATGAACAATAAGCAAATGTCTTACGCGTTCAGGTATACGTTGCAATTATCATCCACTGGATCTTCAATCATTTGATTAGGGGCTGATGGATGAGGTAGAATGAGGATATTAGGCAGAACAGTTTGCGTTTCTCTTTTTCGGTTTTTTTTAAAAAATATTCTAATCGTTACGTCTGTAGGATAATGTAATAACAAAAAAAAAAAAAAAAAAAAAAAATGTGTTTTATATATGAACACGAACAAAGAAAATTGACACATGAATGTACACTTTCAACCTACTTCAAACGTATGGAAACCCTCCCAAAAAAAAAAAAAAAAAAAAAAAAAAAAAAAAAATCAAAAGCAATACCGAATTAGTAAGAAAATGAAAAGGAGTTGGAAGATGGACCTATATACTCACATGCTTATATAACACACAGTTTACAAATCTATGAAAAGTATATATATGTTTATTTTATTGTGTAGCAATTTTTTTTTTAACGTCTGTTGTAATTAGGCTTATATAATAGTCACATTTATTCGCATACATCAGCTTGTATTGAAGTATTAGGACTCCATGCCAAAAAAATGGAAAAATAAATGCACACAAAATGGGGTGTTATAGGGAGCCCAAAAGTGCATATATATATACATTCATATGTAAGTAGTGTATATGTATAATTATTTCTTGTGCTATATGATGTGAGGAGAAAAAAAAAAAAAAAAAAAATGTATTACCTTCTTTTACATTTTGCAATGGGGTTACATGAAATTTATATCATGGAGCTTTACTCGAATGGTATTGCAAGTTGAATTACAAAATCGAGTAAGAATATGTAAAAAAAAAAAAAAAAAAAAAAAAAAAAAAAAATCCATGACCAGGGTGAGCATACGTTAAAATTTTCAACGTGGTACTACTTAACGTTACAAAGCATGAGAAAGTAAATTTTCCTTTCAAATAAGTAGAACTACAATTTGTTTCAGGCACTTCAAAACTTAATTTGTTAGTAAAATAACACAAAGAAAAAAAAAAAAAAAAAAAAAAAAAAAACTTTTGATAATGTCACACACACACACACAAGTACATAATTTAAAAATTCTTTTTTCCTGAACAGGTTATCATATATATGTATATAAAGCTGCTTAATTGAAATGTACCTACTGGCTATATTATGTCTAGTTTACTTTTTCACTTTCATTTCAATTCCTTTTGAACAAATGAGAATTCTTTATTGTGTGAAAAGGAATGAAATTTTTTAAAAAATGTGGCATAGAGGTATACACTTTGCATATCGGACGAATTCATATGTTGAATTTGTTTTTGCATATATCCATGTGTTTAGAACGTTGTTTTACACGAGGCTCTACTATTTTGCCACCAATTATTACACGAATTTTTAATTTAATTTTATATTTAATTTTATATTTAATTTTATATTTAAATTTTTATTTTAAATTTAATTTTCATTTTAATTTTGAATTTAATTTTGAATTTAATTTTGAATTTAATTTTGAATTTAATTTTTTTTTTTTTTTTTTTAACCTGTAGGAGTTTTAACCTTGCTTTGTAACTCATGTCGATATGTTATTCACAAGTGGCATGTTCCATTGTTGGGTATGTAAAAAGGGTTTCATTATGTGCGTGTGCAACAATTTGAAGACTCAATTAAATATTCTTCTATTTGCAGTATCAGTACATATAAAGCTCTTTTATCATATGTATCTGCATGTGTTTGAAAAAAAATTATAACGATAATTTCTTCTACCTCCAACATATTTTATATGCTTCCTTCCTTTGCGAAATACAAAAACATTAGGAGTCGATTGTAACGCAAACCCAAGACACAAACAGGTTTTATCTAACCCTGCACCTAGGTCTAGAGGAATTCCGAAATATTTAGAGAAGTACATTTTTTACAAGCAAGCACCTCGGAACCCTAAATACAAGTCTCAGTTTATTAATATGTACACGGCAGGTTAGCATATATGGTTGCGTGTAGAGAGACGTTGAAATTGAAGCCAATTTGTTCGTTATTAATATTGCTACGATTACGATGATTCATATTTTTGCTACTATTGTTATTATTTTTTTTAACTCATTTGGGAATGTCAAAATGGAACATGATATAAAGATCACCCATAAAAAAGACAATCCTTTGCAAATATCAATTTTAGATGAACATTTAAAACGAAATTTTCATTTTTTCATAAAATATTTATTTATGTATTTTATTTTTTTCTCTTTGCACCCCTCATGTATTTCCATATCGCAGGTAGGAAGTATAGACAACAGATTAAGAAGACTGGTTAAGAGGAATTAGGAAAAACTACGATATTGTTTCATTTTTTCCTCACACTTTTTTTTTTTTTTTCTCTATTTTTTATGTCAATTTTCAAGTACTATATTTTATCATATTTTTGGTTCGTTGAAGATTTACATTTTTTTACTTTTTTTTTTTTTTTTTTCTTCTTTGTTAATAAGGAAGTCTATTAAAAAATGAGTGATAAACGTGCAAACAAATTCAAATAAAATCTAAAATAAAGGGTGCACATAAAATGCAAATATATATATATATATACATATATACCATGATCTGGGTTTATTTATTGCGTTTTCTAAACGGGAAATCATTAGGGGAAAAAAAGAAAAAAAAAGAAAAAAAGAAAAAAAAAATAAATCATCATGTAATGTCATCTTCACGCATTGCATAATATATCTAAACAGGTGTAGTGGGAAGAAGGGTTCGTATATATTTCCTATCCAAATGAATTTTCATCAACCTTTGACACGTATGTTTTTTTTTTTTTTTTTTTTTTTTCGTCGGTCTTGTATATATAATGGAAACAATACCATATAACCAAATACATCACTGGAATATTGTTTTTAAAAAAAAAATATATTACATATATATATTTACATAAAACCTATGAACATTTTTTCATTTTAAAGATCTCTTTGCGGATTCAGCACACTGTGACCGCTCTTTCTTTTCTTCTGCGAAACAAGTATTTCCGATTCCAATAGACTAATTATTATTTGCATTCATTTTTTCAAGCAAATCTTTTAAATGTTTATCATTCGCATAATTAGCATCTTCATCTTCATCATCCTCCTCATCCTCATAATCATCCTCACTTTCAGCATCCTCATCATCTTGGCTGTCATCATTTGAATTATCAATTGCTTCATCATCATCATCGTCGTCGTCACCATCATCATTATCCCCTCCATTATAATTTCCATTATGAATATAATTATTATTATTTATATTTCCATCGTCAAATATTGCTTCAGGTGATTCTTCTGGTTCCATCACTTCTCCGAATTGTTCCATATAATCGAAATCCTCTTGTGGGCTCGGCATTGGCATTGGCATTGGTACTTGACTGCAAAGGCATAAGTTGCCATTATCTTTCTTAACGTACGAAATAAAGTTAAAAAGAGCAAAAATAAACGCCCACTTTTTGATAACCATTTTCGATACTTCGTGTAGTATAATATATAAAATAAAATTGGATCGAGCTATACGGGTATATACAATAAACACGTTTATGCGTTACTAATACTTAACCTCTAATCGATTACTTAGTTAAGCATTCAAAATAATTGTTTGTTTGTGTATGCGTATATATATATATATTCATATAAGTTATAAGTATGTATTTTAAAAAATTTCACACTAGCTTAAAATTTTTTTTTTAAGAGTTTGTTAATCCAGGTATTTTTTCATGTACAAATAATGATATCTTTTTTTCGTAAAGCTTTATTTATTTATTTATTTTTTTAAAAGAATAAACTTAGTAAAGGTAAGTTTGGAAAGGAATCTAAAGAAATTTTAAAATGAAATTGTCGTTCCGATAAGAATTTCATTATTGCCCTCAAATATTTTTTTTTTTTTTTTTTTTTTTTTTTTTTGTTTTACTGAAAATGAAATGAAAGAATATTGTGGGTGCTTTTAGTAAAAAAGGGTTTCAATGTTTCCACCTACCTAATTTCTCTCTTTTTTATAATTTTATTAAGATGCTAACAATTTCTGCATGAATAGTTTTTATTTGTTAATATATATATATATATAGATTTATATGTCGACCTGAGAGATTCGTACCTATTTATTATTATATGTTATTTAGCTATTTTCATAGTTTTGTAATTTTTTCAATTTTTTTTATCTTTTTTATATTTCATTAATTAAAAAAAAATTTTGCCCTGATGACATTTTTTTTTTTTTTAAATTTTCGTGAATATATTTTTTCTTTACTCAAACTTCGAAGAAGAGGCTTGAAAAAAAGTAGCATGGGGAAAATGATAAGATTGCAATTTTAAAAAATTAACAAATAAATTATTATTTTATTATTACTATATTTTGTACATGTATATATATACATATATATATAATATTTACAATTTGCTTAAAATTCGTGAATTATTGAATCACTGAAAAGGAATTTTAAAAAAGTTGCATGATTTTTACTTCAAAGAAATTTGATGAATTGATAACTCGTTTAAAGTTTTTTGTTTTTTTTTTTTTACAGTTTATTTTTGAAATTAAATTATAAAAAAAAAAAGGAAAAAAAAAAATCAAGCATGTTATTACATAATATACCCCTAGCGCATGTGCCTTTATTTATTGTAGTGTTATTTTACTTAAATAGTAAAATATATATATATGTATGTGGAGTTTTATATATATTTATATTATACTAAGCTTTGTATAGGAGTGAGAAATAGGCCAGATATATGAATATATACATTATATATATATATATATATATATATTAATAATATTGTATGTGTATATATTTGTATATACAATATATCAATTATGCGGAGTGTTTATTGTATTATCCAAATGGACTGACCGACTGCGAGGGTTGAAAATACAAAGATATAAAGAAGGAAGAAAAAAGGTCCATTTGATCATATGTATTATTAGTATACCGAATTTGCACTTTATGATTTGACAATTTTTATTTTCATTAAAAAACGGGCTTGTTGAGTTCAAACGAATCATTGAAATTGTGCCATTTTGTTATTTTAAAATAAAAAAAAAAACATAAATTAAATAAAAGTAAAATTAATGTAAAATAAAAGTAAAATAAATGTAAAATAAATGTAAAATAAAATAAAATGTAAAAATAAATTATTGGAAATACTTACAAAAAAGGAAAAACAAAAAAAGTGGCCATAAAATGGAATTATCATCGGCTTGTATTTTTTTAAAAATCTTTTACTTGTCACCCCATATACCTATATCCACACATGCATGCATAAATAAAATACATAAGACTTCTGAAGGAATCAAATCCATTATTTATAAACACAGAGGGGGAAGCCGTATTTTACATGCAATTGCAATTAAATAACATTAAAAGCTTTTACTACTCTCCTCCTTTGCCCTATTTACCCTCAGTCAGCATACTTTTATTTTTTTTTTTTAAAACATTCAAAAATTATTTATGTATGCATGTGATATTGATTTTATATATATAACTTTGCTTCATAGGAAAAGAGTAGTTTTCTTTTTTTTTTTTTTTTTTTTTTTTTGTTCGCTGTATATAGAATAAGCTTTCATAAAAAATTCGATATCGTTGAAGGGAAAAAAAAAAAAAAAAAGGGAGATCAAAGAACTCAAAATTTTGGTACTCTATTTTTAGCTCCATTTTCGAAAAAGTACCTTTTCTCGAAAATGGTAAGAGCCCAGACGGAACTATAAAAAAGGAAATAAGTAAAAAAAAATACACATACATACGTACATATATATATATATATGTCTACTTAACAAGGTATACCAATAAACCATGAGGCCTTCTCCATACAAATGACATAATTTTATGCAATTTTTTTTAAAATATAATTCCCGTGCGATAAAAAAGAAAAAGAAAAAGTGTAATAACCTTAGTGTGACAAAAACTTGAACACACAACTTCGAAATTGGGCAAAAACGGTACTTACAACCTGACCCAAAAAAGTAGTTCATATGATATATTTTGGGGACACACTCTTTCCATACCACCACTCCACCCCCTTTTGTAAGCACACAGAGAGTGAAATAATTAATTGACAAATGTTAATTAACTTTTGCCATTTCTTACACACATGGGGGAATTGTTAAGGGGTGAGCGATCAGAACTGCTAAGAGGTAAGTGGTGATAATTCTTCTTCTTTTTTTTTTTTCAAGTTCTACTTATTCATGCAAATACGTATGAATATAAAAAGGCCGAATTTAAAGACGCTAAAATAAATAGTACTGTGGTACTGAACTAAGAAAAAAGTCCCTTTTCAGAATGTAGGTTAAAATTTTTCTTTTTCATTTTCCATTGAGTCGTATTGTATGGGAATATTCTTAAAGAAACGGGGAAGGTATAGCTTATATAAGCTTATTACACTTTCCAAATTTTCAATATACCAAGTGGGATATATAACCCAAAGGCGAATTCCCATTTACTTATTTCAAGTCCGTCTTTATACGTTTGATTATTCATATAAGAATTACATACATTCGACGAAAATAGTTGTGCTATATATTTATAATTCCTACATACCAATACAATACTCGCGAAATATCGCCATACGTGCAGTTATTCGTTTCGTTTGCCAAACATGGTGTTGTATATATATATACGCATTGTGTTGTGTGCATATAACAGCTGCGTAATTATATGTATGTACTGTCACATATTTGTGCAAAACAATCGATGGTATTTTCCTGGGTGCTTATCGGAATATGCTCCTCCCATTTTTCCTACCTGTCCTTGATTTTTTCAGTAATTTTTCTTTTCCTATCTCATGGGTACCATTAAAAAATATAGTAGTTATTTTATTTTTTCCTCCCTAACTTTAACGTAACAAGCTTGTAACAATTAAAGAGTGCAATATGCTTGCTTGATTTGTTTACATATCTTAATGTATATCGATGATAAGTGTTTAAAGTTATTTTTTTCACTTCAAATTGGTAAGTCTTTTTTTTTTTTTTTTTTTGGAAAAATAGTGGTAACTGATCAGTAAGAGATAAAACTTGCCAATTCATAAATAAGAAAGAGGAGGTATGTGACAATCATCTTTTGTGAAAAAAGATTCACCGTTTTATCAATTTTTAAAAAGAGGTCTTAATGTTAATTGCGTTTTTATTTCCTCCCTTTCTTGACCTCGTATTAATACGTACTGAATTGTATATAAATATGTAGTATTATACATATATATTCCCCATTTTGAAAAAGTGGTCAACTGTTGCGAATGTGCCACTTAACAATTTCTTTCCCGTACTCTACATTTTTACTAATCTAAGGAGTCCAGCCAGTTAAAATTATTTTTCGCATTTTACACTATTACGCCTAAATGGTGAAAAAATGACAATTGTCGTCGTTGGGATAACTTCCTCATAATGCATATGGTTTGAGGAAAAGAGTAAAATTATTTTACATTAACTCCACGGGTTTTATTACAGTACATGCTCCTTTTACAAAAATGTGAATCATGAAAATGAATTGAGTGAGTGTTCTTGAGAGAATAGCACAGCACACATATATATGCGTACATATGAATATATACATATATATATATGTATATATATATATATATGTATATGTATATATATTTTACCGCTGTCAAAATGAGGGGGGGAGAGATCACAAACATTGAACATCAAGCATGTGCAATGAACGGCTAAGCACACTGAACAGCTAAGAGTGTTTTTTTTTTTCTTCTTTTTTTTTTTTTTTTTTTCCCAACTCTGACGTGGCAAACAATTTTATATTTACAAAAAAAGAAAAAAGTAAAACTAAAAGAATAAGGAGGAGAAAATTGCATGAGAAGGAAACCTGCTTTTTTTTTTTTTCTCTGTTTTTTTTTTTTTTTTTTTTTGAGAATATACTAAAAAGGATTACTCTCTGCAACGTGTAGATATATGAATTTTTTTTGTTTTTTCTTCCCCTCTCTAAAAATAATACCGCAATAATAGGCTCATTTGTAGGTATATACATACATATACACATACATATGTATACATGCTTACACGTGTGAGTTCCTATGTTCGTAGATACTTTTGTATATTCACAAGCGTAGCCTAAATCAAAGATTACCCACAAAACACTCATTTGTAAATTGGCCACGACACAATAAGATATATACCTTTACGGAATAATTTGAGAAAAAAAAAAAAAAAAAGAAAAAGTACAACATGGATACAGATATAGTGATAAATGAAAAGTTCGATTTTATAATGCTAAATATTGCCAAAGAATGTGGAGATATAAACAGTCTGATGAACCATTTTTTCTCTTTTTTGTTAAGGAAAACAGATTTCATTACGAATTCGAAGAACATAGAACAATGTGAAGATATTGTTTTAAAAACATTGAGAAAATATTATAAAAGGAAAGAAGAATATTTAATTAAATTAAAAAAAGAATATGAAAAAATGGACGAAGAAAAAAAAAAAATACAAGAAAGGGAATATAATTATAACATTAATAATAAGAAAGATCATATAAATGAGAAAAAGAAAAACGCAAATCTGAAATTAAACAATAATATGAAAAATGGAGTAACAATGTCAGGGGGTGATGAAACATCTAATCAAAAACGTGTTGTAGAAATTGATGAAGACGGAAAAATGGGAGAAGAAGAATTGGCTATTCAGAAACTTCCAAATGGTAAAGGATATTCCAGACAGGAAGGAAGCGAAAAAAAAAATATCTCTGATAAGAACACTACCAAAGACAAGACAAAAAATAAGGGAAAGGGAAAAAACGAAAAAATAAGTGAAAAATCAGATAAGTCTAATGATGACGATGGAGATGATGAGGACGATGATAATGAAGAACCACCCAAGGGAAATGGTGGAGTAACAGAAAAATATACATGGACACAAACTATAAACAGCCTAGATATGTATATAAATCTTGATGAAAAGGTAAAAACGAAAGACATAAAACTAGACATAACTTATAAGAAATTGTTTGTAAAGGTTAAAAATGAAGTTATTATTGATGGAGAATTTCATAAGCATATAAAACCTGAAGATTCAATTTGGACCTTGGAAGATAACAGGATTATTCATGTGTGCATTGAAAAACTAAATGGGATGGAATGGTGGTCAACTGTTATAAAGGGGGACGAAGAAATAGATGTTAAAAAAATTGTTCCTGAAAATTCAAGAATGGAAGATCTAGATGCAGAAACTCGATCGGTGGTAGAAAAAATGCTCTACGATCAGAGGCAAAAAGCAATGAATTTGCCAACTTCCGATGAGCAGAAAAAATATGAAATTTTCGAGAAATTCAAAAAAATGCACCCTGAAATGGATTTCTCCAAAGCAAATATCAACTATGGCAACTCCTCCTCCAACAGCATGTTCTTTGGTCGATAGGTGCGCATGCACATGTGTACTTATACATGTATATACATATGTACACATTTGTCGACATGTTTATATATATACGGATGAATGTATGTGGCGTTGGTTTTGTTGTTCATAGTGTTGTTGCTTGTGTTTGTGTTTGCTTTTGTGTTGGTTTTTTTTTTTTTTTTTTTTTTTTTTTTAAAGCATACATGTCCTCGTTTTTATGATAACGTGGAGCACGTATGCTGGGAACTTCTCTTATTCTTAAGTCTGCACCTTGTGTATGTAAACTTCCCCCTCTCTCCCCTTCCCCTCCTCTTAATGACTCTAATGCTATGCTTAACAAACTCAAATAGTTATATTAATTTTAAGCAGATATAAAAAAAAATGCATATTTGAGAAATATATTTTCGATTTTCAAAGTGTTTGCATTTGGAACACACACCCAGAAAAATATAGAACATAAGATAAGATATACTACTCAACATGGTGAATTCCCAACCACAATAAAATGCATAAAATTAATATACGCGGACATATGAGTTTCAAATAAATAAAGAATAGTCATTGTGGCACAGATAAAAATATATAGGAATAATAATGATGTAGACAGGAAAAAAAAACTTACAGGAATACACGTTTACATTAATAAAATAGTACTAACATAACAGCTTTGCTTCGTTTAAAATTAAAAAAAAAAAAAAAAATTCAGCCATGTATTAAACGAAGGATGCAGACAAATGTCGATGTATCTCTTTCGAACACAGAGAGTGAAAAGTTCTCCTTCTTCTGCAACTATTATTCCATTTTTTTTTTTTTTTTTTTAGATCACTATTCAGATTCTACATAAGTACTATATAAATAAGTGAAAGAAACATTCTTGCCTTACTTCCTGCTAATTTTGGTGAAATTTTCCTTTTCTATATGTTCTTTAAAAATCATTAAATGGTTAAGGAAAGGGGAGAAAAAGGAGAAACAAAAAAAAAAAAAAAAAAAACATAGCATGACATAACATAGCATGACATAACATAGCATGACATAACATAGCATGACATAACATAGCATGACATAACATAGCATGACATAACATAGCATGACATAACATAACGAGACATAACATAACGAGACATAACATAACGAGACATAACATAACGCGACATAACATCGCGGGTTTAATTACAAATAAATCCATGATAAAAGCATTTGATGCACCTCCAAAATAATAATGCTTATTGATAAAGCACTAAGTTACGTCCCTTTAAATTTCCTGAGAGAAGATTTATTGGGATCAAAAAAATAGGCAATCTCTTCCTCAGTTATGGATTGTCTCCTTTGCTGGTGCTTCTGTATGAGGTCGATTAAAATGTCTATAAGAATTTTTTTCAACTCACCACTTAACAGCTCCCCCTTTTTATATTTATCTCCAATTTCCTGCAACTTATTATCATCCTCCATAAGATATCTCAAATACTGGTAAGAAATGTCTTTTTCTAAATTTCCACCTCTTTCTCTATGTTCTTCAATAGTTGCTCCTCCTCCACTGAAGGCATATTTGTTAATTTTATTTTTAATCTGTTCAGGTGAATCGGTTAAAAATATAACACTATTGTTCTGTTCCTTGTTTTTGCTGTTGTTTGCATTCGCATCTTTCTCGTTACTCATACTCAGTCCATCTTTTCCACTTGTGACACTTTTATCCTTTTCATCCTTTTTCTTAGTGCTACTCATCTTGGTATTCACACCTTGCAATCCTGGCATAAACACAGAATGCATTACAATTGGTTTATGTAAGGCCAGCTTCACAGCTATATCTCTACTAAGTCTAAAATAAGGGTCTTGATCTATTCCTTGTGGAACTAGACACGGAATATTTTTTGGAAGAAAATGTGGGAAACATTGAGAAAAACAAGGAGCAATTTGAAAAGAGGGGTACGAAATTTTTCCTATATTATCTGAATGGTTAAAACCAAACACATTCATACTTTGATTTAATGTTGTTTTTTTATGTATATTTATAACAGTTGGATATAAATATCCAGCATATTCTGTATTTTTGAAAATAAAAGTTAATTCTGGATTCAACCCTACTGCAATTATGTCCTTTACATTTTCCTTAGTTAACGTATTAATGTATTCTAAGGAATAATTTTGATTAAATAAAAATTTTTCATCATCTGATAGTTGAATAACTAAGGGTACATTAAAAGCGTCTTGTAAGTACTTACAGAAATAAAATGGAATCAAATGACCTAAATGCATTGATAATGAAGAGGGTCCTCTACCAGTGTAGATATAAAAACATTTATGCTGTTCATAATAATTTAATAAAAAATCTAAATCTCTATGACTAAAAAATATTTCTCGTCTAATGAAATGATGTGCTCTTTTATTCGTCAACTGTTCGATCCTTTTTACATGATTCTCTGTAATTTTGGAGCACCCAAATTCTTTAATTAATTTGTCATAATTTATTCCATCTTCTGTTATGTTTACGTCCCAAGGAGTAACTTCTTTGGACCTTTCATAACTTATACTTTCAACTCCTGAAGGTGGTAGGACTTTATTTTTAGACAAAATGTCATCCACATGTAAGTACATAAGATCATCATTTTTATTTGACTCATCCTGTTTACTAATAATGCTTGGCTCTTCTGTTAGCACTTTTATAATGGGTGCTAGGAGAAAATCATTTAAACTTTTTTCGCTTTTATGTGTATTACTCAATTCTTCAAAGGTGTACTTGGGGTTCACAACAAAATGTACTTCTAAAGACTCTTTAGCAGTTAAATATTTAAACTGATTTATTTGAATGTCTTTTATAAATCCTGTGTTTTTTAAAACCCTATTTCTATTACAGTTTATATTCCATTCTTCTAATATTATGAGATTCACTTCACTTATATCCTTTGAAAGTCCAAAATTGTCGTATATACAATCTCCATAAAAATTTTCTGCAAAGGCTCTATTCATTTGATAGTTGTAAAAGGGCACTTCTTCTTGGATTTTATTTCTGATCAACTTCTTTATGTCATCATACTGACTTATCGTAGGTTCCATCAAAATGGATTTCACCGTTAGCACTCCATTGTTGCTTTGCTGTCGAGGGGAGGCAGGGAAATATCACACATGTGGGTGGAATGTAAAAAAAAAAAAAAAAAAAAAAAAAAAAAAAAAAAAAAAAAAAAAAAATAAAAAAAAAACAAAAAAAAAAAAATTTTTAAAAAAAAAAAAAAAGGGGGGGAAAAAAAAAAAAAAAAAAAAAAAAAAAAAAAAAAAAAAAAAAATAATAAAATGTCCAACGCATGCGAGAAATAGTACATTTGTGGTACAAGAACGAATTTCACACTATACCAAAAAAAAAAAAAAAATAAAATAAAATAAAAAAGCATTCCTCAGTTGTAGGAAGAAAAAAAGAAAAAAATATATCACTTGAACTGTTCACTTTCAAACATCAGACATAGGGCATTTTTTTTTTTTTTTTTTTTCCTTTTCGGATTCACTTTACCTTCCTTTTTATGCTTTCTGTTGTCCTACTAGTGGGAATCTGTAGGATAATACATAGGGCCCCTTTGATTATGCTCAAGGCAGAGTCCACGTATACGTTTTTTAGTTTATCCATTAAAATGGTCCTCCTTCCTGAATTTTAAGTAGTTGGTAAATGGTTGATTCTTTTTAAGTTAAATTATGTTTGCATTATTCAGAAATGTGTATTTTTTTTTTTTTATTTCTACAAATTTATGCAAGGAAAAAAAAAAAAAAAAATTTGACTTAACAAGAATACTAAAATGTTTTTGTTATGTGTAAAGTAGTGGCGAAGGAAAATTCCCCATTTCTGTTATGTTTATGTGAACCCTTTCATTAGTTAATTTTTCCTTTTTTTATTTTAATCTGTGTTCATTTTTCATTTGTTGTACTGTGATTCATTTTGTTTTGTTTTCCTTTATTTTATTTTATATTATTATTTTTTCATATCAATTTTGCACAACAATTTGGCTTATTAATTTTGCCTATTAATTTTGCTTATTAATTTTGCTTATTATTTTGCCTATTAATTTTGCTTATTAATTTTGCCTATCAATTTTGCAGATTATTTTTGCTTATCTATTTATTTTTTGCTCTAAAATGTAAAAAGGACACATTTCTGTGTTAATTGAACAAACAAGTACAATTGTTACAATTGTAAACTGAGTTGCACTAGGAGTGGTCTAATGGAGCACTTGACTTGGCATGCACATCACAGAATGTTATGACAAACTATTGCATATTCTGTTAGAGCCAGAAAGGACTTTTTTTTTTTTTATCTCTGTTCCTTTTACTTTCACTTTTTTTTTTCTTTCCCCAAATTTGGACTTATTCGATTTAAGTATATACCAATTTATAAATTTCTCTATTAAAATTACTACATCGAATGTCTTTATGCCATTGATAAACTTGAAACCATTTCATCCCATTCATCCACCCCCCAAAAAAAAAAAGAAAAAAAAGAAAAAAAAGAAAAAAAGAAAAAAAAAAAATATATGAACACTTCATGTTTCACGGAACTATGAACCTTCCTTACCATTTACCCTCTTTGATAAGTATGAAATTTTTTTTTTTTTTTTACAAAATGAATTTATGGAAAACTTTAATTTTCTCTTATGTTAAAAAAGGACAAGGGATTTTAACGTTAAAGTTTTCCATAATTTCATTTTTGAAAAAAAAAAAAAAAAAAAAGGATACGTATATATTGGTACACATTTTGAATTAAGAACAATTTTTACCATTTCACTATTTCAGTAAAAAAAAAAAAAAAAAAAAAAAAAAAAAAAAAAATTAATTGCAGTTAGAGAGATTGCAAAAATGAATTATATTCCTCGTTCTTGTTTCCCCCGGAGTAATGCTCCAAAAAATCGTCAAGTGGAAGATGCTGTGGATTTTCCGTGTAGTATTGAATCTTTGTTGTATCTTCTTCAACAAGAGCAATGATATTTTTTAAGCTTGAATCAGTTGAGCCCTGAACAGATATGTAAGGTGTAGGAGAGAGAGAGGGGAAGGGGAAAAAAGAGTATACATATATGTATATATATGCATATGCTTCTCTATGCATACATTCATTAACACACACATATCTATATAGGGGCAGGCGCATGCGCATGCCTGTGCACACATGGATGACAAAGCGGTGAGTTTAAGTGATGCAATTGGAATCTCACCCCCCGCATGAAGTTCACAATATCGGCTGCCTTTGCCTGATTCATCAAATTATCCTTGAAGGTCCGATTCCAAACATATTTGGATAAAACGGAGCAATACAAATAGCAGAAGTAATTTGCCGGGTAATGAACAAGGTGTGTCGTTTTGGAAAAATGTATTTGGGGAAATAAATCTAGAATAAAAATGTTTTTGTAATAAATTCCAGAAAAGTATGTATTTATTTCTTTTTCGATTAATTCATTGCGTACAGTAATGGAACTGGATTCATGAGATAGACAGTAAAAGATCTGATCAATGATAGATTGAATAGTAAGCTGCATGATGGAATAATAGCATAAAATATTTTTATTTTTCAAATACTGTTTTATAATCGATTTTGTGGTTTCTCTTATCAACAATTCTTTATCATCTCCTTCTTTTTCTTCCTTCCCATACAATAATAAGAGAGCATCATAACTGTTTAAATATTCTTCAAAAAAATGAGAAGAAAATTCAGAAAAGTCCACTCCACCTCGATTTCCAGATAAGTGCTGCAAATATGTTGAGCTCAGTATGCAATGTAATGCATGTCCAAATTCGTGAACAAACATATTAACCTTATCTATAGACATTTTTATTTTTCCAAGTGATTTGGTTATATTTTCATTTATGAAAATATTACCCTCTGCAGAATTACTCTTGCTATCTGTTTCCTCGTGATCATTTAAATTTATATTAAAGTTACAAACAAGAAAGGTTGATGTAGTTTGTCGGTAAATTTGTTTTCGAATTTTTGAACAATTCTGAGTATCAATTTTTTTTACACTATTAGATTCTGCAGTAATTATATTATTACACGTGGTAGAAATGTATAAATCATCCTTTACTATCCCTGTGTAGAAGAAAGGAAATTTGTGGACATCATCCTCAAACCATTTATACTTCAAACATGTGTTCATATTTTTGGAACATCGGACAGTGTACTGAGCTATCGAATGGCTTTTGTTTTCTCTCTCGAACAAATCCATATATAAATACCCATAGGTGTAATTTCCTTCCTTTATTTCAAATTTTAAAATGTTTTCATCCCATAATTCGTTTGATAATGGCAAAATGTTCACCATATCTAAAGAGTAGGAATTTTTCAAAAGCTTCATCACAAATTTTATAACATCATAAAGACGTAAAGAGTTATTCATTTGTGCTTCGATTTTTTTAAGTTTTTCTTTTCTTATTTGATTCATATGATAGAACAAATTTTCTGGGGTTAACTTAGAGTGCATACCCTTTTCGACAAGATTATTATTCTGAGAATCAATTTTTTTAGCTTCCCCTGTGACATTCGCACTATGATGTACTGCACTCAAATTAAAACTCGTTCCCTTTTCACTTATTGATTTGGATGAAGTCAAATCGATGTATTTCTCAATAAATTGTAATTCTTCAAAGAAGTAAGGCAAAATTTTGTTTAAAAATTTTTTTAAAAAATAGTTTACCTTGTCTGGGCTATTTAGGATACAATTTTTTAAAGCATATTCACTATAATTTTTAAAATTTCTAAAACGTGCTAACATGTTTCTATAATATTGTAATATTAATATGTTTTTCAGAAATATTTGATTTGGTTTTTTAAGCAATGCATGTGATCTTTTTGCTATGTTTTCATTATTGACATTTTCCAATATTGTCATAATGAAGGGGCTATCTTGAAGCAAGTACACATATTCATCTGTGTTGTGCACATCTCTACGACTTTGACAAGTATCACAGATATCATCCGTGGTGTTTATTTTTATTCTATTACTTTCAATAAACGGTTTTATTTTTTGTTGGTAATTATGTATAACATGTTCATCAATAAAAGGCATGAGTTTGTTCTTTTGGATGAAAAATCCATCATATTCATTTGAAAAGTTGGATGCAGCGTGGAAAGAAAAATACTTCTCCTGCGCTTGCAATTCCAAATATTCACATTTTTTTTTTTCCTCTTTTATGTGGACTCCTTGATTTTCCATAGACATAATCATATTTAGTAAAACTTCTCTATGTTCCCGATCTAGCATATGTACATGTTGTTCATATTTTTTTTTTAAAAAATAGTAAATTTGTTCATCAATATTAATTCTATCTATATAAGTGGTTAATTTTTCCATAGCATCATGTGCCTTGGCTATGACTTTTTGGTTATTGTGTAAATTTCTCAGCAATTCTAATGCATCTCCTAACTTACATAAATTATTGGAGACCGTGTCTACCATGTTTATAATTTTAAATATATTTTTCTCTTTGCACATTCTTTTTAATATATTATCACATGTACCTATACATGCAAGACTAGCTTCTGTGATATTTTCTCCATTACTTCTTATTCCAATTAGTTCTAATAAATACCCCTCCTTATATTTCTTCTTCTTTTTCTGAAAGCTGTTTACATTATTAAGAATGTTATCAACTCGTTCTATATCGTCATCGTTTAATTTGTCTACCTTTTGAAGACATTCTTCCTCAGATTTACATAATAATTCGCAATAACAGTTAGCACCCTTCTGATTTTCTTCATTCAAACTTTTTACACAGCTTTTATTGTTTCCTTTTTTTACCAAATTTTTTAAATTTATTTTTTCCAAAAATTTGAAACTCTCTTTTAAATTATCTGTATCATTTTGGAAAAAGAAATTCCGTTTAAAATTTCTGCTGTGAATTATTCTCGAAAATGATTTCCATGTTCCTGTTTTAATTATTCTCCTGTTGCATGTTATATAAACCAAATTGTACGATTTGTGATTCATGATGTTGTATAGTATGAAATTAATTTTTTTTTTTTTTTTTTTTTTTTTTTTTTTTTTTTTTATTTACACATGTTTAATGATTTATATTAGGTTTTTTCGCGAGTGTGGGGGTGGGAGGAGGAAATGTACCCCAAGCTGTCCTACATCCATGCATGCAAGAATACATGTAAAAAAACATGCTTTTATAATTTTACATGATTGAATACATATGTATGAAAAATCATGTTCAGAGTATACAGGGTAAGGTAGAAGAAGTTAAGGGAATGATTTGGTGGGTGCGTCTTTTTCCTTCGTGCCTGAATTGTAGAACTGTGGTTTATGTATTGGTGTATTTTTTTTTTGTATATCTTCTCTACCCTTGGTTGTTTCTTATTTATTTTAAATAATTTTACACAATTCACCCATTTTAACATATTTCCTCTTTTTTTTTCTTTTATGTCACCCTGTAGATTGTTTTTTTAGCAAAGCTAGCTAAAAGGCAACTGAAGGAAGCAACTTTTTTTTTTCTTTTTTTTTCTTTTTTTTTCTTTTTTTTTCTTTTTTTTTCTTTTTTTTTCTTTTTTTTTCTTTCTTTTTTGGAGGAGAAGAGAAAAATCATATTTTTTCTGCAGATTTACATACAAGTTAATCTATATCAAAATTATTTAAAAGAATGTACGAATTTGTTTAATATTCTTTTTGAACCGACTTGATATTTTCTTCTACAAATTAACACATTTTTTATTTAGAATTTAATCGTAATTGTATCCCATAATTCCTTTGTTCTTTTTGTGCCAATGGATATATCAATTGGGGACTTTTCTTTTTTTTTTTTTTTTTTTTTTTTTTTTTTAGAAATTTCAAATTGAGTGGCTTATTCTGATGAAGGAGAACCATAAATTAGTTATGTCATGGGAATAAATTGGGAAAAATAAAAAAAGGCGTATACTGAAGTTTAAGAACAAAATGCACAGTTTGACTACTACACCTTAAGTTTTTTTTTTTTTTTTTTTTTTTTTTAAATTTTTTTTTTTTTTTTTTTTTTTTTTTTTTTTTTTTTTTTTTTTTTTTTAAATACTTTCACTTATTTTCCGAATTACCTGTATGAGATCACAACATTTACATCCTGCCAGGTTAAAAAGAACACAAATTCCTCAAGTGAGAAAACGGAGAAGGGAAAATATATTTTTGAGATTATAATACCGAATTGGGAATTCTCAAAATTAGTTACATCTAATATGTGAGAAGTAGGAGAAGAAGGAGAAAGGTGATTCTTGCCTACGTCTAAAAAAATTTGAACATCCCCATCCCGTTAGAATGATTCCTAGGAATATTTCAGATTTTGAGTTCTTGTGTGTGATAGGGAAGGGTACATATGGTAAGGGTTGCTCAAGTCCATTCGTTTTTTGTTCACCCTGAGTTCATTAGCTGCAGTGAAGTGAACATACGAAAGTCCTCCGCATAAATGTACATGCATATTTTGTTTGGCTTCTACATTTGCGCTGCTTTTACACGTGCACAGCTTTTACACGTGCACAGCTTTTACATATTCCTATACCCCCTTTACTCTAGGTATAGTGTACAAAGCGCTGGACAAGGAAGAAAAGAAATTGGTAGCAATAAAAAAAATTATAAATTTGTGCGATGATAACTATGGTATAAGTAAAAGCATCCTAAGGGAGTTAACAATCCTTCAGAAGATTAACCACAAAAATATTATAAGTATATGAGACATGTCTAAGTTGTGTACACCTTACATATATGAACAGTTGCAATGAATCTACTTCTTAACCGTAGTGGCATGCTTTCCTTTCACCCATGGCACTATTTTTTTTTTTCTTTTTAGAATTGAAATATATTTTTTATGGGAAAGATATAGAGGAAAAATTGAAGGGTGAAAATTTAGAGAATTCTTGTTTATATTTGGTAGGAGAGGAGCCTTTCCCTTGTCCTTATACATCTGAGCCAACGGAGAGTACATTATGAACACACACACTAAGGGGTATTCGCGAGAATACATTATGAACACACATCCGGGAAATATTCACGAGAGTACATTATGAACACACATCCTAGGATGTATTCATGAACTTATGCGATATTCCCAACTTGACCTTTTTTTTTTTTTTTTTTACCTTCTGGAACAAAACAGGCATTCGAGTACTGTGATATTGATTTACTCAATTTTGTGAAAAAATATAACATGAACATTAGGGAAGTAAAATATGTGATCTTTGAGTTGCTACTAGCCACGTGTTATTTGCACTCAAATAATTACCTACATAGAGATATAAAACCTGAAAATATTTTTATAAATTCAAGTGGGGAAATTAAATTAGGAGACTTAGGATTATCAGTTGAAAAAACTGAAAACATGACTCCAACAGTTGTAACACGCTGGTATAGATCACCTGAAATTATACTTCAATCACAAAATTATGATCACAAGGTAGACGTGTGGAGTTTGGGTTGTTTATTTTCAGAACTCATAACTGGAAGGTAATTTTTTTTTTTTTTTTTCCTTTTTTCCTCAACTTGGTGCATATTCGTGGACACAACTTATCGGCAACACTATGCGCAATGTCTTTATATTTTTTTTCCATGTAAGAATTTGTATTTCATCATGAAAATACCAATCACTGGATTATGTACATGTACATTTGCTTCCTCTTCTTCTACAATTTTCACAAAAAATGGGCCTCGTGTAAAAACTCCAAAGACCGCTCTTCCCAGGGAAGAATGACGAATCGCAGGTAGTCTATATAAATATGAACAGTCCTATGTGTGCATGTGTGTGTATGTGCGTTTGTATGTGTTTATATGTGTGTATGTGCTTTTGTACGTGTTTATGTGTTTACGCGTGCATGTATTTATATAGGTAAATAAAACACACGCACGTACATCGCGTACATAGTCTTACACATTACTGCATGAATGCTCATACACAAATTTTTAGCTAGATACAATTTACGACACTCTTGGCGATAAATCCAAAATGGAGAATGTGGATGAAGAACGGTACAACATGTTTCCATATTTTGAAGTAAATGAAAAAATTACAGTTGTGTGTATATTCATGTCTCAATATGCGCGCATGTACATATATATATATGTATATGTAAAGTACCTGCTACAGGAAAAAATAATAAAAGCATGAGATAAAAAAAAAAAACAAAAAAAAAAAAAAAACGGTTGGTTTATCCATAACACAAGAGACATTTCACCTACATTTGATCACTGTTCTTTCCCACCTCCATATCCATATTTCCTCTTTTTTTTTTTTTTTCATATAGACCAATATATTAAAAAATATAATTTGTGATGAAGGAGCTGCGGATTTAATTTCCAAAATGCTGATCTATGACCCAACTTACCGTATATCTTCAAAAGAAGGTTCAAATTTAACATGTAGAATTGCAAAGTTAATGTAGAAAATGTGTATAATTATATGTTTGTTTTTTTTTTTTTTTTTTTTTTTTTTTTTTTTTTTTTTTTTTTTTTTTTTTTTTTTTTTTTTTTTTTTTTTTTTTTTTTTTTTTTTTTTTTTTTTTTTTATGTTTTTTTTTCTTTTTTTTTTTTTTTTTTTTTTTTTTTTTTTTTTTTTTTTTTTTCCTTAAATGAATTTTTCTGTATTCTTATATAAGTTCTCTTTTTATGTGTGCTTCTACGCCGTCTACCCCTTCTGAGTGTTCTCAATTATTTATTTTATTTTATTTTAAATATATAATTCTACTTTGCTGTCCTTCCGATATAACATATGTTATACTGCGTGATCACACAATTTCTTTCTATATACTCACAACACCACCACAAAACCATTCCCTTTGGAGTTAGCCTTAAAGCATCATTGCTTCAATGACATGGAACAGATAAAACCACAAGCCATTGTGTAAACAAAATGGGAAAAATTCATAACTCTGGAATCTGTATTTATATGTTATGCTATTGTGAAGCACTTTATTAACAAATGCACATGTATGCGGACATATCTATAAGCAGTCCCATAAGGGGGGCGGGATGTAGTGCATAAATTTTCACATCTTGATAGGAAGAAGTAGAAGCATCATTGTGTCCTGTTGTGTGCTGCTTACTGTAAACTATATATACACTGTATGATTTGATATGCACGTGACACAACAAAACGTGGTATGTTTCTATACTTCATTGACCAGATTATGTGTTTTTTTTTTTTTTTTTTTTTTTTTTTTTTGGAGAAAATAAATCAATGCCTCACTTGCAGTCGTTTTTCTCCACAACTAAACCTTTTTTTATACATCGCTCGAAAGGTTTCGCTTCGCACGTGTCATAAAAACTTCACCACACATGAAATTTTTATTGTAACTGCACCGAAAACTTGAAAATGAAAAAAAAAAAAAAAAAAAAATGATTGACCAATCGAATGATCGACTGAACGATCGAACGAATGATCGATTGAACGACAAACCGAATGATCGATTGAACGACAAACCGAATGATCGATTGAACGACGAACCGGAATGACCAACCGAAGGAATGAAAAAAAGTATGAACATTTTAAATGGCACGTGCTCACAATTACCAAGGATCCTTTTAAAGGAAAATCTTGAGCTTTACTCTTTCCCCCCACCCCCTCCATTCCTCACTGTAACCTATCATTTATTATGAAATAATGATAAGAAAAAACATCAGAGCATCATGTTCATAACTAGCTCCTTTTTTCTGCTATGCTTTGGGTTGCTGTTAATTTCCATGCATATCAGTTTAAATGCAGGAAGTAACAAATGTGAAGGAAGCAGAAATGTAATGCATCCTAACCAGTTAAGCAAAATTACGACAAAACGACATTATTTGTGTAGGATCTTTAAGGATGCATTATTTCCCTGTTTTTTTAACATCCCGAGCTATGATGTGAATTGTTATAGTAGGAGCCTTAATAATGGGGTTACTCCATGCAATAAATATAAAACAAAGAAAAAAAAATATGCCAGTAATGGTTTTTCTAATGACAACATAGCAGAAATAATAGGGAAGGAAGACAACAATCCCGCTCAGGATGGGCAATGTGTATATAGAAATAACAAAAGGAAAAAAAAGCACCAATCAGATGGAATTTACTACACAATTTGTAGTAAGAATTACCAATGTAGTGGAAACAAGATGTTGATATATCCATCCTTATGTACAGAACCGAAATTGTTATTTATAAACCATTTTAATTTAACCCGTTTGATGAAGTATGGACTTAAAAAGAGAGGGGAAAAATTTATTCATAGAAGAGACTTTCATCATAGTTACGGAAGAAGTGACTCATGGATGAACAATTCGAAAAATGGAATGATAGAAAAGGAATTATTCTGTGCCAAGAAAGAAAATATCTTATCATGTAAAGACATACAAGAAGGTAATAAAAAGAAGAGAAATTTTGAACAAGTTGAAAAGAAGCATCATGATGGTATGGAGCCATCACCACCCTGTGGTAGATCAACAAAGTTAGACTTATATTTTGATAAAATAAATAGATATATAAATATAGAAAAATATAAAGACATATATAATGAAGAAATATATAATAACATGATAAAATTATATGTAGAAAGGAAAATTCCAGAAAAGTATGAAAATAAATTTTTTACAGAACCAGTAAAAAAAAGTATCGTATTTGACATTGACAAATATGATGACAATCAATTTGAAAAATTAATCGAAGAAGAATTTCAAAGAAATGGAATTTTCATAAATAACATTGATAAAGAATATTATAAAAAAGGAAATATAAAGAAAATACAACAAATTCTGAACTATTTACCTCTCCTAAATTTAATTAATAATCCATATGATTTGAAAAAGTTAAAAAGTGAATATTTACCTCTTCTAGCACACGAATTAAAAATGTTTCTATTCTTCATAATTAATATAACTGGTGGGCATTTTTCCGCTGGCTTAAGCTTGTTAGAAGTTCAACTCTTGCTACTGTACATATTTAATCAACCACATGATGTTGTCATATATGATATCGGGCATCAGGCTTACATACATAAAATTTTAACTGGGAGAAAATTACTATTTCTATCCTTAAGAAAAAAAAAAGGAATCTGTGGATTCTTAAACATTTTTGAAAGTGTTTATGATAAATTTGGGGCAGGTCACAGTTCCACTTCTCTAAGCGCAATTCAGGGAATATATGAATCCGATTGGCAGGTATGGGACAAAGAAAGGAATATTCAATCATGTGAAGAGATCCGAAACCGAAATGTAATGATAACTGATTTGGATAGACAAATGGACGAGAGGAAAACGGACCCGATAAGGGTCGCAACAACTGACACGAATAAGGAGGAACAACACTGGAGTAATCCTGATAGAAAGAGAGCAGAAAATAATTACTATGGAAGAAATAACTCCTCTGATTGTTTAGAAAAATTTCATATTGCCATAATTGGGGATGGGGGATTAACTGGTGGCATGGCACTGGAAGCATTAAATTACATTTCATTTATAAATTCAAATGTATTAATTATTTATAATGACAATGGTCAGGTGTCTCTACCAACAAATGCACCTAGCATATCTGGACACAGACCAATCGGTTCCATCTCGGATCATCTGCATAGTTTTATCAAGAAGAAATGTCAAAGTGGTGAAGATAATAATTTGCTTAAGGATAAGCATATGAACAATATTTTTGAAAATTTGAATTACGACTATATTCAAGTGTCGAATGGAAATAATACTGAAGTGCTTTATAAAGTTCTCTCCAACATTAAAAAGAACAAAATGAAGAAACCCACGGTGCTTCATGTATGCACTAGTAAGTCCAACGAATTCATAGAGTCCAGGGCTCCAATAACTATAATGCATTCTATTAAAAAAAATGAAATATTTCCGTTTAACTTGGGGGAGTTGGACAGGGGGAGCGGCAAATACAAATGTGAAGACACGATCGAAGACAAGATCGAAGACAAGATCGAAGACAAACGTGAAGTAAATATCGCAAGCCAAAAGGAAGACGGAGAAAATGGCGAGGGCCCACGCAGCAAATGTATATTCAGCACGATACAACAGGAAAACATGTTTTCCAAAAAAACATTCACAGATATATATACAGAAGAAATGTTAAAATATTTAGAGAAAGATAAGAATATTATTTTTATATCCCCAGCCATGTTAGGGGGATCAGGATTAGTTAAGATCAGCTCGAAATATCCGAAAAATGTGTATGATGTAGGAATTGCTGAACAACATGCAGTAACATTTGCAGCAGCTATGGCAATGAATAAGAATCTAAAAATTCATTTATGTATTTATTCTACATTTTTACAAAGGGCTTATGATCAAATTATACATGATATGAATTTACAGAAAATTCCGTTAAAAGTGATAATCGGTAGAAGTGGTTTAATAGGAGAAGATGGTGCTACTCATCAGGGGATCTACGACCTTACTTTTTTGGGTTCATTAAATAATGCATCCATAATATCACCTAGCAATCATGTAGACTTAAAGAAGGCACTAAAATATTGTAACTTGGATAAGGAAAAATCTTTGTTTATTCGATTACCCAGAATTAATACCTTCACGGATGAATACATGGAGAAGCACTTCCACATGGATCTGCAGCAGGAGGAAGGAGAGGAAGAAGAAGGAGGAGAAGCACGTCAATGTGGTAGCACTGTGAAAGATACTCAAAAGCGTTACCTTGAAAATTTTTATGGAAAAGCAAGAATTATTAAAATGAGTTCAGAAAAGGCACCAAACATGGGAGGCAAAAAAAAAGTAGCAATTTTTAACATGGGTAGCATGCTATTCAATGTAATCAATGCAGTCGAAGAAATTGAAAGGGATCCTGTTTTTTCTGAACATTTCTCATTTTCAATTATTGACATGATCTTTTTGAACCCAATGGATAAAAATATCATAGACTATCTTATTAAAGAAAATAAACATCATTTTCAAATTACATATGAAGATAATACCATAGGTGGTTTTTCAACACATTTTAATAATTACTTAGTAGAAAGGAATTATATTTATAAGTATAATTTATCTGTTCATAATATTTATTTGCCAAATTATCCCATCGAACATGCTACTTACACAGAACAACACGAAAATGTCAAAATGGATGCATGCAGTTTAATGCATAGAATAAGAAACTATTTGCAAAAACAAGTGGTCATCTGAATTTTTTTTTTTTTTTTACCCTAATGAGTAAAATATAATACTTTGTTTGAAAAATGTGTAAAGCACATTCGTAGCTTTTACCTGAACCGAGTTCACCAATCTGGAATATACATATAATAATGTTTATCCTTATTTCTTGTATTTTACTGTCCGCTCTTCTGTTTTTTTTTTTTTTTTTTTTTTTTTTTTTTTTTCTAAAAAAAAAAAAAACATGATCAGAGTTTAAAAATGGAACATCGATTATGAGATATGTGTGCACATTCTCTTACGTGTCGCTAAATTGTTTTATATGGATGTGTTTTGTTGCGATGAGAGATTATTAAATCTTATCGTTTTCCACATTCTAAGACAATGTAAATATATGAAAACTTAAATAGAGAAACATGGATACCTACATGTGGCAGTTCAAAACGAGGATTTAATACTTATCAAGAGGATATATGCATCTCATATATCCTTGTTAAGAAATTGTACTAATTGTGATATTTTTTGAACACTGCACAATTTGTAAAAAAAAAAAAAAAAATGATATCTTTTTCTTTGCATTTATTTTATTTTTTATTTTTTTTTATGGACGGTAATTTATTTCCTGATTTCCCAACAATCGTTATATAACAACAACAAGTGTCTATATGTTAAGGGTAGGTTAGAAATAATCGTGCAAAGTTATCTCCATTGTGATAATGAAAATACTTTTCCTTATTCATGTTCCAAATGGGACAAACATTTTTCCAAATTTTCATAATTCGGAAGGTCTTACGGGAGTATTTTGAAAAGTGCATATATGTATATATACATACGTATATATACATATATATATATATATATATATATATATATATTTTTCTTTTTTTTGCGTGATGAACTTTTCCTGATTCGTTTTGCAGGCACCTGTGTATAAAATTCTTCGCTTTAATTACTATATTTTAATAAGCGAATGTGCATATCCTATGTGTATTATATATGCATGAATATATTTCTTCCCCTCTCCCCTTGGGTGTCATGTTTTTTCTTCTTTTGAGATTTATCTTTTTTTTTTTGGCTTAGCCCGTAGATTAGGGTTCGTCCAGTAGTGATGCTATAGACTTTCATGCGTCCAATGTAAAATATGTGAAATATGTATAATATGTATAATACTAGTATATGCATATACGGATATATAAATACATAGCGAAAATAAAAGGGCAATTTTAAATCACCAATGAAAATCTAGTCATCTATCTTTTCATACTTTTATTATGAACGAAGCATAAGGGGGGTAGGGATGGGCATAAGTTTTGCTTTACATTTTTGAACCTTCAATTTTGGAGTAAGCAAATGATATTACATGTAAGTGACACAATAAAACTGTATCACAAAAAAAAAATTTCATAAAATTTTGTGCATATAAGCAAGAGTATAAAATAAACGCACTTGTTCTAATCGTTATATATATTTTATAAATTTATATATATATTTTTAGTATGCCATTTATATGTACAAAATAATTCCCCGTAATTTCACACAACTGACTTGAAACTGTTATTTTATTTATTATTTTATTTTATTTTATTTTTTTTTCATATTTTAAACTTGTTCCTTCGAAAATGAACTGTAAATTAAATTTTTGCATATACAAAATAAGGAACAAATAAGAGAAAAAAAAAAAAAAAAAAAAAAAAAAAAAGAAACAATTTTGCAAAGGGCTGCCATCACATAATTGAAGAAAGCACCCTTTTCCCCAGAGATTTACATTTTAGTCTTAATTTTAATCACAACTTAATCGAACTTTAATCACAATTTAATCGAAGTTAAATCACAGTTTAATCGAAGTTTGATCGAAGTTTAATCACAGTTTAATCGAAGTTTGATCGAAGTTTAATCACAGCTTAATCGAAGTTTAATCACAGCTTAATCACATTCTAATCACAATTTTAATTTCCATTCAAAACTGAAATTTTTCTGTAAATGCTGAAGTAGGGCTTTTTTTTTCGCACGTTTCATTGCTATGGAAGTTTTTTTTTTCAGGAGCTATTAAAACACTTCGCATGCAAAAACAAACGCATACGTATGCAGGTATGTTAATGTGTCCACCCATGTAACTGACTCACGCATGTACATGTGGAAACAAGTGAGAATGGGTCAGCAAATCTAGGGAGGTATAAAGATGTATGCACATGTAAAGTGCATATGTATACATAAAATTATTCTGAAAGAGAAATAGGGGTGAAGCAAAACGTTGATTTTTTTTTTTTTTTTTTTCTTTTTTTTGGTGTAAATGAAAAGGTAAAAAAAAAAAAAAAAAAAACCAAAAAAACTGAGGAGAAGAGAAGCTGATCATTTAGGAGCACATCCGTTACATCTCTGCTGCCACAACTGTCACTCCCATCACAACTGTCACATCCATCATAACTGTCTCCTTCATCACAACTGTCACTCCCATCACAACTGTCACTCCCATCACAACTGTCACTCCCATCACAACTGTCACTCCCATCACAACTGTCACTCCCATCACAACTGTCACTCCCATCACAACTGTCACTCCCATCACAACTGTCACTCCCATCACAACTGTCACTCCCATCACAACTGTCACTCCCATCACAACTGTCACTCCCATCACAACTGTCACTCCCATCACAACTGTCACTCCCATCACAACTGCCTCTATCACCACGAGACCCACTACTGCAAGTTCCACACAGATGAAGCACAAACGAAAGAACCAACCGAGGGTTTCCTTAAATGGAAATAATGTGACGAATGGTAATAGGTCTAGAAATGCAAAGAGGAAAAAATTAGAGAAGAAAACTCAAGGGCAAAATGAAGTGAATAAAAACTTACACATATTTTTTTACGGGAATAAAAATATATACCTAAAAGATATTCATAATTTTATTATTAATCTGAGAATTGAGAAAAGCATATATAAAAATGATCTGTTCGTCATAAGAAATAATGAATATGTAAATAATTTAATTGTTGTTATTGTTCCAAATTTACCCAGTTGGTTTATAAAAGATGTTTCATCAAATGGTGTATTTACAAAACTGCAGAGAAATAATAATTTTCGAAAAATTCATACAGAAAATTGTATAAAAAATATTTATAGCAATTTAATTTTAAAAACATTAAGTGTATCTATTTTGAAAAATAATAGTATATATAATAAAAATTACTCCAGTAAAATATTTAACATTGAAAAATATTTACTCAACAATGAACAAATGCTATTGAATAGATACCCCAATGAGGACTCTGAGGATTATATCAATTTTGAACACATTCCATATGTTAAATGGGATAAGAAAATAAACAACTTACGTGATTACTTAAACAAAACTATGAATTCAACCACCGTTGTCAATTGCAATCAGAATATGATTCAAAATGAGTTAACCCATTTGAGCCAGGAAGATGTGTCTCTCATGGATTCTGCTCTTACTGCATCGAAACAGAATGGACAAATCCTGAAGGAGACTGACAGGAAACTTGTTAATTGTGATAAAGTGGAAAATCTTCACCATGTGGAAAATCATCACCATGTGGAAAATCTTCACCATGTGGAAAATCTTCACCATGTGGAAAGTCTTCACAATGAAGAAACTGTTGAAGAAGGGAAAAATATCTTTACAGAAGAACACATAACGATGTATGCACACGTGCTGGAGAAACTGATTAAAGCATCGAATAAAGGAAAGCTTATCCCACTATGTTATCAAAAGTTAAAAGTAAAAAATGAGTCGCAGTATGCTTCAGATGAAACAGAAATCCAAAATGATAAAAGGGACGCTAGGGAGACGAATGAGAATGGAAATAAGGAGGACAATTGTACTATTTTAGAAAATCCAAAAGAAAATGAAATGACCAGTTTAGCAGGTGACACTTATGATCATCATGAAGCAAAACCTGAGGGTTCAGAAAGTGGAAATGATGACGAAGAAAAAAATTTCCAACAGTGTAAAAGTGGGAATGAAAACGAAGTAAATAAACAAAACAGGTTAAATGGACACAGTTACTTAAAACAAAACATTGAGAGAAAGGAAGTACAAGTAGAATTCAACCTAGACAATATATACAGCATTGATTGTGAAATGTGTGAAACAACAAATAAACGAAGAGAGTTAACAAAAATTACAGTAGTAGATGCATATATGAATATTGTATATGATTCATATGTTGTGCCAGATAATGAAATCACAAATTATTTAACATTATATTCAGGAATAAGTGAAAGCACTCTCGAAAATGTACATACAAAATTAAAAGATGTGCAAGAATATTTAAAAAAATTTTTAAATAATAAATCCATTTTAATTGGTCACTCACTTGAAAATGATTTACATGCACTCAAAATAAATCATCCTCATGTCATTGATACATCAGTTATATATTCAAATTCTCCATACTACTTTTTAAAACCTTCACTATTTAACCTCGCGCAACGTCATCTGAACATTACTATGGAGCGAGACAATGGCCACAATTCTATTGATGACGCTAAGATAAGCATGTTTTTGGCATTGAAAAAGGTACACGCTTTTTTGCTCACTGTGATTTTTTTTTTTTTTTTTTTTTTTTTTTTTTGGAGGCTTTTTCCACTTATGTCGTCCATATCTCTTATGTTTCATTTTGCATACTCCTACTTGTATCACATTTTTCCCCAATTTGTTTTGCTTCTCCCAAATTTTTTGTGCAACACATTTTCCATTCCTCTTTTTTTTTTCTGTATATCCCTGCAGTTAAGCGAATTCGATGCGACCGAACCTAACCACTTATACCAACCGCTACCCATCTTCTTAAACCCAGAGAATTTCTCAAACATGAAAGGAAATATAATTCATGACGAAGATATATGCTACAAGTACGAGAAGAACCTTTGCATTTATGATGCGAAGAATGAATTTATTGAGGAAAAGTTGCCCAAACATTTTCTCAAAAACTGCTTTTATTGTGCATGTGAAAATGATGAAGAATGTGTTGAAAATTTAATTACGAATATCAGAAATAAAAATAAAATAAAAAATTACTTACTCATATTAAGAGAGTATGAAAATTTATGCAATCGGAAAATTTATAAATGCATACAACATTCAAATAAGGAGAATTTTAAAGTAGAAGACAATGATGAATTGTTTCAAGTTCCAACAAGAGTTGAAGCAAGTGAAATTGTAAAAAGGTTAAGTGCAAATATTGAAAAAATGTATGAACATTTGGAAAAAAATGATGTTTTATTGCTTCTCTCATTTAGTAATAATCATCTGGCAGAAGAAAAAATTAAAGAAACTTTATATTTAGCAAAAGATATATTTCATGCAAATGCAGATACTAATGAAAAATTTCGTCAGCTTACCAAAAAAATTAATTCTATGGAAAAAATACTCACCAAAAGGAAAAACGACAATGAACTGGTCAATCTACATTTTCTAGAATTTAGGTACCTGCTGCACAATTACGAAAGGTGCATACTAACATACCTTAATGAACAGAAAAATAGTGACAGAAATATATTTATTTTGAATTCTCTTACCAATCTCAAAAATAGTTTGTGCATTAATACCAAGAAAAAGAGTTTCAGTGGATGGTTTTCCATTCTCCTCAGGACTTGATTTCATAGCCATCTGTACATCCATATTCGTTGCCACAATGAGCAAATTCGACCTCCTCATACACACACGTACTTACAACCATGTGTACGCGATCGTGCACATCAAGCTTTTCCCACGTTACGATATTTAACACCACGTAAAACTTTCCTCACACGAAGCCACATACACATACGTATTTGTCTTATTTTTCCTCTTCCAACCAATACTTTGTTTTCCACTCACGTTATTTGCTACCCTATTTCGTTTCCAATTTTTTTTTTTTCTCCCTCTGTTTAGTTCCCCGAATTTATTTCCACCACTCCGGTGATGACCATTTGTGCAATTGCTGCATATTTTGAACTTTTATTTGTCGAGAAACAAATTTGAAAAATGAAAATACTGTCAAAAAAAAAAAAAAAAAAAAAAAAAAAAATTTTGTTTTTTTTTTCATGAAATCCAAATATAAATATTAAAATTCTTTTGTTATTTTTTTTTTTTTTTTTTTTTTTTTTTTTTTTTTTTTTTTTTTTTTTTTTTTTTTTTTTTTTTTTTTTTTTTTTGTTTTTCTCTACGGAGGTCAATTTAGTGCACCATTTCTGTGGTCCCTCGTTTTGTTGTTTTATCATCTTATTTTTTTTTTTTTTTTACATTCTCACGTGTCAGCAAGAAGAGTTAGAACAAAAAAGAGTAACAGATAAGAACGAAAAGAAATAGTGCCACATGGTGAGGTATAACAAAATTTACAAAGAATATCATGTATTCACGCGTCCTATTATTTATATACCGATTTTTTTTTTTTTTTTTTTTTTCTTCTTAATTAGTTTCTTCAAATGGGTGCGTTCCTTCTGATCAATCACAGGTGAAATTGTATAAATATATATTTATCTATGTATACATGTATATATGTACATATATGAATGCATATATACAAGAATGTTTGTGTTTGTTTATTTATCCAGAAAAGCAGGGCAAGCATAAATGTTAACCGAACAGCATGTAAGCACAGAAATGTTTTGAATGTAAAGGAAAGAAAATCTGTCACAAGGAAGGGGAAAAAAAAAAAAAAAAAAAATATGCTCCTGTCGAGAAACGAAAGAATGCTGTAAAGTAAACACAAAATAATGGATGATAAGGACAAATATGCAAACCATTTGAGAAGAAAAATAATAAAATTTTTCAATTTAAAAAATGAAGAATTAGATTTAAGTTACATTAAATCCATACTCAACTGTAAGTCATATGATCTATACGGATCTATATATCTCATCAATGAATCATTTTATGAAAATAGTAAAAATGTAAAGTGCACCCTTAACTCTGTTCAGAAATTTACACAAGATTTGGTAGACGACAAAAACAAGTTCATATCATCACCGCAGGATCACCCAATTGGCCAAACAACACGCATCAACGGGATCGGAAGTGGAGACTTAAGCGGAAATGGAAACGCAAGAGCAAGTGCAAGCGGACAAGCAAATGCAGACGAAAAAGCAAGTGCAAGCAAAAAAACAAATGCAAGCAAAAAAACAAATGCAAGCAAAAAAACAAATGCAAGCGAAAAAAAAAGCGCAAGCGAAAAAACAAATGCAAGGCACCCTCATGTGAAACACATAGATGAGGACTATACACCTGGGAACAATCTCAGTCGGAATGATTTTAAAGGAAGAAGCATAAACAGCTACTTTGAGCAAGTCTTTAAAAGAGAAGATGAAAAATCCAAGAAGAAGGTGGGGGATGGTGTCATGCCATATAAGGAAAAATTTGTGGGCGACCCTCTAAATCCAGCATGTCTGGAAACTTGGGAGAAACAAACGGGAGGAAATAACAGGGAGAGAGAAAAACTGGAAGCTCGGTCAAAAAAAATCACCATGGATATTTCCACGCGTGATAGGGACCTCGTCCTAGGTGAAATGATAACGTGCACAAAGGAAACAGAGCAAAAAAAGATACACACAAATGTTAACGGAAAAAAGTACAATGGAGGATTTAACAACTCACCGAATGTAAACCTGCCATACGAGAAAAGTTTAGAAAGCGAAAAATCGAAAGAGTTGGGGGGCATAAAAGAACCACATCACGCTGAAATCTCCAATAGGGACAAATCTGTTCAATTCAAAAATGGCCAAGAAAGGGAGAAAAGGGAGAATGACTATTTTTCATTCTTCAACGTAAAAGAAAATTTGTATTCATTAAAAAGTGTGATAGAGTTCATAGAATGTGATGACGCTAAACTTGATGAATCGAATGATAACCACATGGAGGAAAAAGAAAAAAAAAAAAAAAAAAAAAAAAAAAAGAGCACACAAATTTGCATGTGTAACGGAAGAAACCATCAAGTATATGCCAATTGTTTAATATGTGGAAAAATTTACTGTACTAAAATAAAATACAGACAATGCATTTTTTGTGGAAATCAATTATACAACGCTACATTGATCAGCAACCTGTTTCTTCCTGCGAATAACTGTGATAATGCACATAAGAAAATCGATGAAGCGATCAAAAAATCAGATCCCTTTCTCTTCAAAAATTATTTCGACTCCAGTAATGTCGCTCTGCAAAAAGGTAATATTATGAATATATTTTTCCCAAATGGGAGAGGATATACAATATGTATGTTCATCTGATGTTCATTCTTCAACATGTCTGTTTATTTCCTTTCTTTCTGAATTGTGTGACAATCGGTTCTGCTCTGTTCCCTCCCACGGAAATGACACCATACGATTCATTACCCTTGCCCTTACAGCATTCAACCTGAGGGACAAAATGCTAAAAAATTCAGCCAACGAAGAACACACAAAAATAATAGATGATAGTATTGATTGGTTTGAAGATGACATTAAAAGGGAGTTCAACAATTCAGATGTTCACTTCTCCAACTATGATGATGAAATAAAAAATGAAATTATAAACAAATATTATGAAATTTTCGGGAAAAAATTTGGTAATGAGACATTTATCTACTACCACTTTTTTTTTTTTTTTTTTTGTATGTATGTACTCTTACTCATTTTTTGTATAGAGGAATGTTATGGCATCTTATAAACATGTACTCCATGAAGACCTCTAAAAAGATCGATTATTCATCCCTTGTTTTCATGTTCATGTTTTTTTTTTTTTTTTTTTTTCCATCAATTCTGTATGCTTCCCCTCGTTCATTCAGGAGACATTAACATCGATATCGATTTGGTGAAAATGAAAATAACGGAAAACAAAGATCATTTGAAAATCAAAGAATTTAATGATTATCTAAATGAACGAGAAAACGATTACAAAAATATGAGAGAACTTAAAAAAGCAAGTGATATTAATACGAGTAATATTCACAATTATTTGGTTCATAAAGAAAGGAAAAATTTAAATTACATAAACGACTTGAGGAAGTTATTTTTCGTTCAAGGGAACATGAGCAAGGTGGATGCCACTAACAAGGTGGATGTCACTAACAAGGTGGACGAGCAGATTGTCGCATGTTCAATGGATCCTACAGTTTCAGCTAAAAATAGGGAAACAAATCCATTTGCAAAAATAAGAAAAGGTAATCAAAATTACACATGTCATGTGCTGAGCATGAGTGATGAGGAATATGAAGATGTACCATAAGGAAAATTACTCTGCGTTCGTTAACCTTCACATGGGAAATGTAAAATATGAATGTACATAAACTATTAGAATATATCTATCACCCCATGCCTCCATGAGACAGTATAATATATATATATATATACATATATATGGTTCTAAAAAAGGAAAAAAAAGTGATTTCAAAGTTCAGAGAATGCTTAGGAATCGAAAAGGAGAGATCTATCATTTTGGAAGTTTCAAAAGTTAAGAGATATATTATCATGTTTTCCTCTTTGCCGCGTTGGATATATATATATATGTACAAAAAAAAAAAAAAAAAAAAAGGAAGTTTATACTCTATGTTGGCACAATACAAATATGACGATACAGAATAAAGTTAACAAGTTTGTTGTATGTAGATCGAAAATTTAGAGCTATCAAAAATGGACATACACACACGTACATACAATAGAACACGTATGTGTGTATGCTGATATAAATACATAATGGTACCTGTTCATATAGGGATAGGAAAAAAAATATATACATGCACGTCCGTGTATATGTATCTACGTTCGCACGTATGTATGTGTGCATGCGTTCATGTATATACATACAAGTATGCACCCTCTCCCTTTGTAGAACGTGAAAAACGGCATTTTACGTACGCAAACAAGTGCAAAATTGTGCAGAAATGTGCAAAAATGTGCAAAAATATGCAAAAATGCACGCACAAACGTATGTGTTCTAATTTTTATCCGTTTATTCGTCACAACAACCTTGGGCAAGGAACACAATCTATGTGATGATATATTTTTTTTTTTTTTTTTTTTTTTTTTTCTTTTCAGTTTTTCATTTTTCTCTCGTTGCTTTGCCGTACATATATGAGTACATGCGTATGCATACGCGCGTACGTTTACAAATCATAAAAATCAAAAATTCAAACGAAACGTATATGTGTGTGCCTATATATGTTTATACATATATATATATATATATATAGTAAAGTACAATTCTGCTGCCTCCTGTTTGTGTCTTTTTTTTCCTTTTTTTTTTTACCAAAATTATATAATGATGTAACCAAATGGATAATTGGCAATTTCACATGTTGCATTAACTTTATGGGTATATGGGCTACATATGTGTTATCAGTTTTTGGAAGACTGTTCAAGTTTCTAAACGCAATGGCTTGCTCGTTTAGCTTGCTCATTTCTGCTTTTCTAGCTCCTCTAGCTTTTCCGTATACTTTTTGTTTTATATGCTATATCCATGTACCTTTTGAACTTATCAATTGATGTCTTACATTTCGGTACAGTTTAAATGGCGTAAAAATATATGTGCGTCATATGGTGTTCTATTTTTACGCATACAAAATGATGTTTTCTATGAGTCCTTCAGACCCCCTCCTCCTGTGCATATCTAGACATATAGCTTTTTTTCGTCAATTGTGCTACATAGTTGAAGTTCCAGCAGTGGTTCTTTCCATATCAACCATCGTGTCTCGGTTCGATTCATCTAGCATGCTTTCTGCATAATCATTCACTAGTGAATTGTGCTTATTTATTATTTCATTTTCACAACTGGTTGGCATATTATTGTGATAAATGGAAAAATTTGTATTGCTAAAAATATTCATTGAACCAAACTCATCGTTTGTGTTAATAGGAGGAGTACTACCACTTCCACTACCACTAGTACTACCAAAAACCTTCTTCTGTGGGTTCACTGTTTGGTTATTTCCACAAGCATGCAAAATATTTTTCACGTTTTGATTCATCATTGCATTTTCATACAAGTTGGAGGTATGCGTAGTGTTATTTGTATTCAAATTTATTCGTCTACTTGATCGTTGGTTGGAATGTATGTTTACAATCTTGTTAATACTAGATCTTGTGTTTAGACAACTTCTGTTATTGCTATTCATGTCATTTCTCACATTGTTATTCATCCTATCAATGGTGGTATTTCTTTCCCCGTTGTATTGTTCATTCATATATTTTTTTTTGGACAGCTCCTCTTTTTTTGAATTGTTTTTAAAGTAGAGATCTAAATTTTGAGCGTTGCTTGTGCGTGGGTTCATTAAATGAAAATTTTCAAATGAATATCCATCGTTCATATTGTTAAAATGCATAAAATCAACAGTGGGAGGAATATTATTAATATCTTCATATATGTTCATAGGGTTTTTTGTTCCATTTCTATTATTATTGATGTTTCGCATCATTTGTATATGAGGATGAGGATCTGAAATGTAATTCATGTTTGGTTGTATATACATCTGATCGTTTATGCCACTTAAAAATGTGTTCATCTTTTTATTTAACAGGTTCAAGTTAGATGTACACATTTCCTTTTTTGTCGATAAATTCCTATCTGTGTACGAATCCTTCGACATGTTCTTTTTCTGCATCACTTGATCTTTGTTGCATTTCCCACTGCTGCAGTTCCCACTGTTGTTGTTGCCATTGTCACACATAGGCTTCTTCCCCTTGCCATCTAACGGATTCTTCATATTATTCGCCATTTGGGTTACAACAACCTTTTCATTCTTATCAAAAGAAAATTCTCCAAGGGCAGTAGAACCACCCCGCCCTCCTCCTCCTTTTCTATTGTTGTCTCTTCCCTCCGGAGCTGCCATCTCGTCGTTCTTGCTAATTCCAAAAATTTTTTCCTGATCCTTTAACTTGTCTATGTAGTTCATAATTTGAGTAATATAAGCTTCATCTTTTTCATTAGGTTTTACAGGGAAAAGTTTTCTTTGTTTTTTCTGTTTTCTGTTTATAAACGTTAGTATATAACTTGATTTGCTATTGTCATAGTGAATGTAGCAGTTTTTGCATACTTCCTTATTTTTTTGCACATTTTTATTTAATGTTCTTATGTCCATCTTTTGGTATATTTTTCTTTTATCTAAAGATGTATATTTTGGCATTTTTTTAGAATAGGATTTTTCCAATGTGTTTTCAATGTTCCCTGAATCTTTAGCTAACATCTTATCGTTCTTTGTACAACTTATGGAACTCAATTTCCTTTTTTTATCTTTGGTCTTTGTCTGCATGTCTTTTTTGTGAGAAAAAAGGAGAGAGGTGTATTAAAGTGGAATGTAGTTATCAAAATGTTTGCCATTTTTTTTTTTTTTTTTTTTTTTTTTTTTTGTGTAATGTAAAAAAGGATGGGCGTCTATCTACTTTTATAGATGTGCTGCAACATCTATAGTTTTCGCGTTCTCTCTCTCTCGATGGTGCTTGTACGCCACTTTGTTTGTGACTGAGATTGAGGTTCTGATTGAGGTGGCTCTTTTTTTTTTTTTTTTTTTTTTTTTTTTTTTTTTTTTTTTTTTTTCCGTTTTTGACATTACTTGTACTCATTATGTCAATGATTTTTTCAATGTCTGCATTGAGGCTGTCGCTTATCATTTCATTGCTCCTCAAGACATTGGGGGGTATGCAATTTTCATTCATCAAGTATTCATCTGCATCCGTGTTTTTTAATTCTTTGTTTCGTAACATGCTGCACGAGTTTAGCATGTTCTTACAGTTGTCATACATCATTAAAATCTCTAATTCGTTCTCGTTATATTTCTGTTTACTATTTTTGTTATCCTTACTCGATGTCGTCGCGAGTTGTAATGATTCTTCCAAATCTGTTAATTCATTTTTTAATGAATCATCATTCTGTATTATTTTATGAATATCTACATATGCATTATTAGCAAAACTAAGCAAATCATGTTCCATATTTTCGCTCTTATCGCACATGGTTATCATGTTCGTTTTGCAATTCAGTAGACTTTGTTCACGAGTATTATTACTTGGTGCCTCTGTGTGTGGATTCTCCATTTCGCTCTTTACTAGATCATTTCTGTGATTTCCAACGTACATATTATTGTTTCCACTAATTTGGCTAGCTGAACCAACGTGGTTTTCCACGTACATATTATTGTTTCCACTAATCTGGCTAGCTGAACCAACGTGATTTTCGACGTAAATATTATTGTTTGCACTAATTTGGCTAGTTGAACCCGTGTGTTTTTCTACACCCACGCGTACTTTCAATTCCTCGGATGATATACTCTTACTTGGCATTTCAGACGATTCCCTGTCAGCGTGAGTAATATCGTTAGTCATCACATCCCTATTCCCTTTCCTTTGATTCGACGCGCACTCGTTCGAGTGAAAACGTTCCTCTTCCACGTTGTTACTGTTGTTATAGATGTTGCAAAGGTTGCCATAGTTGTCATAATTTCCCCGACTGTCGTAATTGCCATAGCTACCATAGCTCCCACGATTGTCGTAATTGCCATAATTTTCATAATTGCCATAATCACAATTTTCATAACTAACATAGTCACAGTTGCCATGGTTTCCATAGTTGCCACAATTTCCATAATTTTCAAAATTTCCAAAGTTTTCCAAATTTCCATAGCTCCGATATGTATTGTAGTTTGTGGGATCTACGAAGGTTCCAGGGTTTCCATCGTTTCCTATGTTCGAGAAATTAAACTGATTGTTAAAATTTATGAAATTGCTCATATTGTTCATGTTTGTCATATTGTTCATGTTTGTCATATTGTTCATGTTTGTCATATTGTTCATGTTTGTCATATTGTTCATGTTTGTCATATTGTTCATGTTTGTCATATTGTTCATGTTTGTCATATTGTTCATATTTGCCATATTGTTCATATTTTCCATATTATTCATATTTTCCATATTATTCATATTTTCCATATTGTCCATATTTGCCACATTTTCCATGTTAGATTGGCTAGTCACTATTCCTGCACAGTTCACCTTTCGTCTGCTGCTAGCATTGACTGTGGTGGTAGGAAGGTTCATTTGATACAAATTATTACTTAAGCCAATGCTCCTATCTCCACCAGAATTAGATGTACCAGTTTCACACATCTCTCCATTCTTTCTGGGTTCTGTCTGTGGACGATCTTCCAAAAGAGCTTCGACCTTTTCGTCAATATTTGATGGATGTGTATATTCCTTATCAATATCACTTCGAGTGTCATTTTCAGTAGCTCCGAATTGTTCGATGGACTCATGCATATTGTTCTCATGCATATTATTCTCATGCACATTATTCCCATGCATATTATTCCCATGCATATTATTCTCATGCATACTATTCTCATGCATACTATTCTCATGCATACTATTCACTTTAAAGTTATTTTTTTCCTGTTTTTCTACCATCCCACTTTGAAATTGGTTCTGAATGACATTATTGGCATACTCACTGCTCTTTTGATTTCCTTCATCCTCACGGTCTTCATCTTCTTTGTCTTTATAATAGTTATTTTTCCCTTTGTTTCTATCTTCTCTATTCTCATCATCCTCATCATTATCATTCGTGCCACAGTCGTTCTTTAGGTTGCTTCCATAGTTTCCACTATGACCCCTGTTATTGCTACCCGTTCCATTCGTGTAGTTATTGTTACGTTCTCCACTTTTTCCACTTCCTTCACTTTTTCCACTTCCTTCACTTCTTCCACTTCCTTCACTTCTTCCACTTTCACCACTTCTTCCACTTTTACCACTTCTTCCACTTTCACTACTCAAATTTGTACCACGGCCAATAAACCCATTATTAACACTTTTCACAACCTGAACTGGAATACCAACTTCTGGAAAAATGGAATTTTCTCCAACACGGAGTGATTGAACCCAGCTGGAACATGGGCTATCGTTACTGTTAAGACTGTTGCTTCTAGCAATATTATGATAGAATTGAGAATTCAAAACTGATTGACTCTTTTTGTATGATTCAACAAACGAACTTGTTCGCATTTTCCTCATTAGAGAGCAATCAGTTGTGTTTAAAAAAACACCATCTCTGCTTCCAGTTTTTTTGAACTCATTATTCAAGTATGCTTTATATGTGGTATTTTTTAATATATATCTTTTGTAATTATTATCATTTTTGATATCCAAACTCTGGATATATACACCGGCATTATTAACACCTTGTGGTGTGCTTCCCCAGTTTTCACCAATCTCATAATTAGGTGTTGCACTGAAGAAGTGCTTATCGTTTGTGTTGTGATTATTATCATATTTATTAACTATGCTTAAGGAGTATGTCTTGCCAGCATCTGTTCCTGATGCTCCTTCTTCTTCCACTTCTCTCTGTTCTACTTCTCCCTGTTCTACTCCTCCCTGTTCTACTTCTCCCTGTTCCACTTCTCCAGTTGGGCAAAACGCATCATCACCAGTGTTACTATGTCCATTCCTGTTTCCACTCTGAGACTTTCCAGTTGGGTGCCCTTCAATTTTATGAATATTTTTTGCTTCGTCTGTATCTGTAGAAGTGATTAGCTTTGCATCTGTTTCTCCTGGTTCTGTTCCGTTGAAAATTATCAGTTTGGTTCCATTTTTTGTATTCGTTTGAGGGTAAAAGGAAAGATTGCAATTTTTATTTTGTCTTGCATTTGTCATATTTCTTATTGGTGATAAACGACAGGAACGGTTCCTATCATTTACATCTGTCATCTGAACATCAAAGTGGTCAAAGTGGGCTTGACGATATCTATCTCGATATCCATCTCCTGACCCTGCTTCTGTCCCTGCTGATGCTCCTCCTATTTTACTGTAATTACCTCCTTCAACAATCATGTGATCATCATTTGTGCTTCTCAGACAATTTTGTCCCGTGTAACAGGTAATAATTTTTGATCCTCCAAAAAAATTCTTTTCTTTTCTTTTTTCATTCAATTTTAGGACATTTTCAAAATTATTGTTATATGTATTCAACTTTTGCTTTCCCCCAAGAAGCACATTATTATAATTTTGTGAATATTGATAATTTCCATTTTGTATATATTTATCAAACTGAGAGAAATTATTTTCTTCTCTATACAAAGGAGATGATGCACCAAATTGATCATAGCTCACCATATTATCACCACAAATTGTTTTATTTATTTTCTCTTTATTTTCCTTTAAATTTTCGTTTGCGAAAAAATTCCCTCTTCTTACTTGCTCCATATCAGTTGACTCTGTGTAACTCATATTTGATGAACTCAAGTGTACAGAACTGTTTACATTAACTTTATTATTATTGCAAGAATTTTTCAATCTTAGCATGTCTTCAGGTAGAATATTCGAATAACTGTTCAGATTTTCATTAAGTTTTTTTTTAATGTGGTGTCTATCTTCTCCATTTATGTAAGCACACTTCATAGTCACAAAATTGTTCTTCTTATCATTAATTCTTCTAACTACATCGTTTCTACTTTCATCCGTGTGACTAAAAATATGAATTACTCTCTCCTCATTCTTATTATTCAATGGGTTTATGCTATGCAGAATATCTCCGTTCACTCCTTCATGTGAGTCCTTCATGTCTTGGGAGTTGTATGTGTTGGGGTTATGCATGATTAAAAACCCATCGTCTCTGCCATCTCCACCACTTCTACCACCTCCACCACTTCTGCCATCTCCACATGGAAGAATATCCAATTTGTTCCAACTTGAGGAATAAGCTGAATACCCATTTTGTGGATTATATGTACTCCTCACTGAATGGCTACTAAAATGAGGCAATACGGACTTTCTGAAATTATCTTCATCTTTTAAATATCTTTCATTTGAGATTTTTTCCTGTGGAAATTCCCCTTGCAGAATTTTATCTTTCAAGTTGTACAGATAATTTTGTGGAAATCCATAGATGTTATTATTTTTTAAAATGTCTTCTACGATATAGTCATAATTGAGTACAATTTCATTTAACCTTTTTCTTACTATTGTTAGATCCGTTTGATCATCTGAGGGGTTCGGTGAATATTCCTCCCCATATGTGTCTACATATTCATATTTGATTCTAGAAAGTTCACAATTTTCATCGTAGAACTTGTTAAATGGAGAAAGCAGATGCATATAATAACTTATAATATTTATGTACTTAATTTTAATACTTTGAAAATTCACATTACAAAAGTTGTAGTACTTACAAATGCTTTCATCATGATTCAAATTTATTTTAAAATATTCCATATTTCTTCTTAATTTATGAATGTCATTATTACCTACCATCTGAGGGGTCATAACTGTATCTTTATACAGATCATTCTGTATATTATTCGCTTGCAAAATCACATATTTCATTAGTTCTAAAAGGACAATATGTTTTCTTAGGTTTAATTTATTTTCAGTAATTATATCTTGTATATTTTTGTTACTATCCACGCTTCTTTTTCCCATATCTCCTTTATTATTTTCATTTATAATTTCACTTGTCCTCTCCTTTCTACAAATTTGATTAATCAGAACTTCTACTGGTGCATCATAATTTCCAACTTTGTTCATGCGTGCCTTATTTTTACTGCATTCTTTTGCATGATCAAGCGGCGTTGTTTCTTCTCCTACTTGGTCTTCTACTTCATCTAACCCTTTTTCTCCTACTCCTACTTCTTCTCCTGACATGTGTACATTTCTCACGTTGCTACATTTACTATGCTGCCTTCTGCCACTCACCACTTCGTTCATATTCTTCCATAATTTTTCCTTTTCATCATTTATTATACTTTCGTTTTCTGCAATGAAATATTCAGGTTCTGCAGTGAAATATTCAGGTTCTGCAATGAAATATTCGCTTCTGCAACTTTCCCCCCTTGCAGGCTCAATTTTTACATATTGGTTTTTATCTACATATGCACAAGGTTCTGTTTGTATTTCTGCAAATTCTTTTGCAGTTTTAGAATCTACAGCACTTGTTGTTTCTCGTTCTTCAAGAATTCTCATGTTTACACATTTACTGTTACTACTGTTATGATCTTCTATGTTCAGTTTTTCACACGAGTTGTCATTACTGGATGAATATAATGATCTTTCAAACATGTTGTAAACATGAATGACTATTGATTGAATATGATTCACAAGTGTTTCATGAATATTCAGTATGTCAACATAGATGCTGTTAAAGTCTGCCTCCCCTACGTGCAGTTTCATTTTACTGCTTGTTCTATTCATGGGGTCAATTGGGATCATTTCATTTTGCAATCTACTCATTTCGCTAGAACTCGAATCGTGAATCATTTTATGACACTTTTTGTGAAATTATTGTAATTTTTCGTTTACATTTTTCTTATTCCCTTACATTTGTTATTCACAAAAATGTTTACATAACCGTTTATGCTTCCTTTGTGTCTTTAAGTTTACACGCAAGTCTATACTTTCATATAAACGGATTTTCACACTCCTGCTACGGGGTCTGCCAAAGAGTCTGCCAAAGTGTCTGTTAAAAAGTCTCCTAAAGCGTCCGTTAAAACGTCTCCTAAAACGTCTCCTAAAGCGTCCGTTAAAACGTCTCCTAAAACGTCTCCTAAAACGTCTCCTAAAACGTCTCCTAAAATGTCTCCTAAAGCGTCCGTTAAAACGTCTACTAAAACGTCTACTAAAACGTCCGTTAAAACGTCTGCTTACACTTACACCCCCCCCCTGCTTACATTCCCATTTTTTGGTTTATTTTTCACCCGATAAACCACAAAATTTTTTTTTTTCACAATTTGTGTGTCAGCATGTAGGTGTAAACGTGCCTCCGTTCTGTATGCATGTATTAGGTATGCACCTCAGCTTCTTACGTATCCACAACGGAAAAAAGGATGAAAAAGAATGTAGAAAAAATAAAATAACTTGTATTTCAATAAGCGAATATATACAGAAGGGGGTATGTGTAATGTGTGTATGTATATGCACTTCTCTATAGGGCAACAAAAATATATACATATATATATATATGGCGCACTGCTGGAAAAATGAGTGAAATAGTGAGAGAGAGAAAAAAAAAAAAAAAAAATAGAAATAACGGAATAAACCTACGAGGTGCAAAAAATGTAAAACTATCTATATTCTCCTTTTTGGATACCTCACCCCCCCCCTTTTTTTTTTTTTTTTTTTTTTTTTTTCTTCGTTTTTGTTTTTCTGGTTATAAAATAAAAATTCACATTCTCCTATTTTCACAAATTGCAATATTTAAAAAGGCATAACAAAATGGGAAGAACTATTTCTTGTCTTAATAAAATGAAGAAAAATATTATATTTTTGTATGTATATGTTATATGCATGTATATACAAAACATTAAAGCAACCACATTTGACAAATGAGAAAAGAATAGGAAAAATGTGCAAGCATTTTATTCATATCGTGTGCGTAAAATATAGCTATGTGTAGCGATTCTTCAATTTGACCTTTACCTTACGATGTGTATACATGCATACTTATATGTGCATGCTATAAGTGAATGCTATATTTTTGCATGCTATAAGTGAATTCTATATGTGCATACTATAAGTGAATTCTATATGTGCATGCTATAAGTGAATTCTATATGTGCATGCTATAAGTGAATTCTATATGTGCATACTATAAGTGAATTCTATATGTGCATGCTATAAGTGAATTCTATATGTGCATGCTATAAGTGAATTCTATATGTGCATGCTATAAGTGAATTTTATATGTGCATACTATAAGTGAATTCTATATGTGCATGCTATAAGTGAATTCTATATGTGCATGCAGTATGTGTAGATGCACATATGCATGTACATGAACACTCTGATGGTGTAAAAAATTCCGAATTTAAAAGCAAAACCTTGCTGCTTTTTCACACCATTTAAAAAATTATAAATGACTTGTGCTTTTTTCATAAACGTACGCGCTATATACAGGTAGATAGAAGTGGCTGCAATATATATGTATATATATTCCCGTGGAGCTAGTGGTACATGCACACACGTGGAAAATTTATATATATATCTGGCTAAGTATATTTAATTAGCACCAAAAAAAATGGTGGAAACACGAATAGGATTATAAAGATATGGGGCTATATACAAAATGCAAAGTAGTAACATGTGTGCATGTATAACTACAAAAACGGATGGATATTCATATAAAAACAAAGATATTTATTCACGCATAAAGGGCGTTAGAAAAGTACAAAAATATAGCTATATACACTAGGACGTGAACATATGGATATATCTATATTACCGTGGACTTTTCTTATGCACATAGGTACACACATAAGAAAGCAAACAATATAGATAATGATAAAAATTGCAAAAAAAAAAAAAAAAAAAAAAAAAAAAAAAAAATTAAAAAAAAAAAAAAAAAAAAAAAAAAAAAAAATTTTTTAATTAAAAAAAAAAAAAAAAAAATAAAAAAAAAAAAAAAATAAAAAAAAAAAAAAAAAAAAAAAAAAAAAAAAGCCTTTTAAATCAAGCTCAAATGTAAAAACAAAAATTAATTTTTTAATCTCCAACAGAAAGTAAAATATGTTGCATTTCGGAAATGTAAAAAAAAAAAAAAAATAAATATATAAAAATAAAAATGTGTATATTGTCCTAATATATTCCATATTTATGTTCAAATTCACCCACGTTATGAGGCAGATAAAAAATTCGAAAAGCGTGAGAATAAGAGAATAGAAAGCGTACACATATTTGTCTAACACATATGCAGACACACAAGTACATATATATATACAATATAAAAATGCTCATAAAAATATGTTCATATATGGATTTGAATGCAAAAGAGTGACAAACCCAGTTGACCCTCTTTTCACTACAAATAATCTCTCTACTTCTGCATTTCCTTCTTTTGTCTTTATATAAAAATAAACCCATGCGTTATAACAAAGAATTGCAAATTAATCGAAACTCATTTTTTTTTTTTTTTTTAAGCATATAGATTAATTAAAGAAGTGAAAATTGAGTGAAATGAGAGAAGAAATGCGGGGCAAAATTTAGAAAAGATAAAGTGCAAGCGATCACAAAAAAGGGGGAGAAGTAATATGTCCCTAAAATGAAAGGCAAGTGAGCTCGCAATAATGAAAGGCAAATATGTTCTCAATTATGAAAGGCAAATATGTTTGAAAATGTGAAATGCAAAAATTCGAAAAAATGAAAAAAAAAAATGCTCACGCAAATGAAAAGCAAAAACTCGAATAAGTGAAAAGTCACTTGCGCAAGTGATGGGAAAAAACTCGAAAAAATTCGAAAAAAAAATAAACAAAAAAAAAGGCATAAAATTGGAACATAAAAAAATTAAGGCTTAAAAGGTGAGTGTTAAAAAATGTTTATGGTGACTTAAAGGAAATTTCTCTTGGATACAAAAATAAATTGGTGTATAAAAATTAAAACAAAACATAATCTTTTTTTTTTTTTTTTTTTTTTGCCTTTTTTCTGCCTTTTTTCCTACCTTCTTTTCTGTCTTTCTTTCCGTTTCCTTTTCGACGTTTTTTTTTTCCGCGTTCTTTTTGGCGTTCTTTTCTGCTTTTTGCCCACACGTTTAGTATACACGTTTTTATAAATTTATTTATTTTTTTATGTGCATTGTATATGCCAAACAAAACCTATTATGAGATTTCAGAGTATTGGCAAATATTACCTGCGCGAATGTAGATAATCCCTTCTTTTTGAAAAAACATGTATTGCATGAACATTTACTTTGTGTATATATCATACACCTACTAGTATCACAGAGCACAAGGATAAAAGTATCTTGTGTCTATATGTATCCCTGTAGTGTCTGTATAAATGTGTATGCATATTTATAATATTGTTATGTAAATGGTGTAATAAAAAGGAAGCTTAAATGGATGCAACACATAAAAGCATAAAAAATGTAGAGATATAAAAAAAAAAAAAAAAAAAAAAAAATACATATATCATGAAAAACAGAGGCAATACAAATATATCTACACATTCCTGTTTGTTGTAAATTATTAAGTGATTCAAGTGTAAGGAAAAAAAGTTCATTTGAAATGGATGGAAAATATTGTATCCTTTACTTCTTCCTTCGATTGGCTTTTTTATGTACATATGTGGAAAAAAAAAAAAAAAATAAAAAAAAAAAAATTAAACCAGAGGATGGGTGTAAAAATAGATATATCCCAATGTTAACATAAAAAAAAAAAAAAAAAAAAAGAAAATTATGAACTGATTTAGTGATGAATTGATGAAGTGATTGTACAAAAGTTTTGTGAGTAGAGAAATGGAAAGGGGATAAGCTTGGAGGAAAAGAAAAAAAAAAAAAAAAAAAAAAAAAAAAAAAAATCTTAATTATGTACACATGTAAAAAAATTAAAAAAAATAAGATGAGATAAAAAAAACGATAAAATAAATAACAATAATGTAAAACCAAATGGTGCAAGAATAAAAACACATGGTCTTATAAAATATCCCTATGTGGCTTCTGTGTTTTGAGGTTGTTCATGTATATGCTCATATGCATATATAAAATCACCTGCACAGCCATACACCTACTAATTCAGAAGAATGCTGACATGCATATGTAATAGGCTTTTTTATGCAAATATACGCTTGGATTTAAAGGAAAAAATAAAAAAAAAAAAAATCGTGTAAACAACACAAGGTGGTGTGTCTGCAGATATTTTATGGTGGGGTTACACTTATAAGTTCATATGTATTTACATTTGCCACCGGTCAGGTATATATATATATATATATATATATATGTACGCGAATTTCTATACAGACATATATGTAATATGCCTATATTGAGATACACAAAAATGTAAAGTCGTCTTGAAAAAAAACAAAAATCCTTACTTAACAAAGTGGAAATGAGCTATATGCAACAAGTTCATAGGGCATAAAGAATTCAAAAAATGCATACTTACACAGGTGCCATAACTCCACTAATGCAAATTACTGAATTGTGTGTAAACAAGAATGTTTTTTATTTTATTATTTTATTTTATTTTTTTTTTTTCACAATTCATTAGGCACTAACTTTTCTGCTTATAACTATATTTACACTGCACACACGCACAACAACAAATTGCACTCACTCCACAAGGTGATTGCTTCTACATTTATATGGTTTCACGCGCGCGTGATTGCATGTGCATGCGAATGTACATACTGGTGTGTAAATGTGCATATATATATATATATATATTTATTTATTTATTTATTTATTTATTTATTTATTTATTTATTTATTTCCTTATTTATACGCCTTTGTGCATTTATCCACATTTGCACACGCGCATGGTGGCCTCCGCGTGTTAAGCAAAAGCAGAGTACTGCTATTCATTCACTAAGTGATGTTCCAATAAAAGATGTTGTTTTCGCTCTGTTGTTAGCTCCATGTTTTTGACAATACTGGCACATATATGTTTTGTCAATCTTCTATGTTAAATCAGCTAAGTCCCAAAACGTGTGTATAGTCATAGGCGTACACATGAGCATATACGTACGTACATATATATATATATATATATGTTCTTAGAGGAACTCAGTAACACCTCTCTATCCCTTAAACAATAATCACATGAACTTGAACAGTAGCAATTCCATGAACCCATAAAAACGAATATATCAATGCCTAAGCAATAGCAACTAGTGTAATTATCATTCCATTTTTCTTTCTCATTTCCACATTACCCAACGAATAATTTTATTGAATTAAAACTTTTAACATTTATTTGGAACTAACGAAATCGAAAAAAAAAAAAAAAAATTAATTAAACATACAACATAATACTCATTATTCTATTTTTTCTTCCTCGAATCCAAAGGTTAAAATTATTCAAATTGAAATGTGTGAAAATGAAAAAATTGCACCTACCAAGTTGCTCTGCTTTTTTTTATTGCAAAAAAAAAAAAAAAAAAAAAATTACACCTTGCAAGTGTGTAAAAAAGGATGCATACTGTCTGTACTTTCAGTTCAATTCCCTATTCATATCATAGAGGTGGAAATGCCCATATATACAAAATTCTACTTATATATGCTTATTTGTACATATATAAATTGTATCTACGTACGGTTCCACATTCAGAAAATCTGCCTGATGTGGATACCTGTACACATGTGTTAATATATATATATATACATATACACATACTGAATATATTGCTTATAAGGAATAGAATTCTCTTATTACAACCTTAGGGATAGGAGATATACAAATACATAAGCCATCTAATTTCACACAAAAGTATACATATTGAAAGCGACAATAATTTATATGACTATTTAGATGGATCCATCTCCATTATTAACGTTCAATTGTAGCATATATACATCTGGATGAATAAACTTTCAAATCTTACAATTTAGAGTTAATTAAAAAGTATAGAAAACGTAAGAAAAAAAAAAAAAAAAAAAAAAAAAAAAGGAAAAACGCAGGTGAAAATTCACATAGATGTTTTACGGGCTCAACAATTGAAGATGGAAGGAGGAATAATGGTGTAACAACGTATCACTAAACGAGCCTTTTAAAACATATTGTCATAAAAAAAAAAAAAAGGCATTCTTTTTTAAGATGAAGAATAATTGAAGTAGCAGCAGGATGTGCCCCTGAACATTATAAGTTTTCTACCGATTCGTGCAATTTAACCATTTTCGGAAAAAAAAAAAAAAAAAAAAAAACACAATCACATAAATTAGGGAGATTAATACCCCCAGAAGGGAATATAAATTTTAACCAAGTGATCTTATAGTTTTCTTTTCATCTTCAGACCATTATGAAAAATTAAATTGTGGCACGCAAACTTTTAGAGCATAATAATTATAGGCCGTATTTCTTACAAATGAGAAAATTACCAAAAATGCAGCTTTTTGACTATACATAAAATTCAACATGTTTTTTGATAATGTATATATATATTTTAAGTGAGTAAGTGAGAATTTAAACATTTATTGTTCGGAAGGTATAAGTAAAATGTTTTATGCGCAAACTTTTTTAAAGAGCAATTAAAAAAATTACCAAAAGTATTTTTTATCGTGTATACATAAAGGAACTCCCACATATTTTGTATGAAAAAAAATAAATATGAACACCCCCTCTGTAATAATTATTTTTCGTGCATTTAAAAGGATATTTTTTGTAAGAAAAAAAATTTATTTCGACAGCTACAGGATTCGAACCTGTGCGGGCAGAGCCCAGTTGATTTCGAGTCAACCTCCTTAACCACTCGGACAAACTGTCTCAAATTGTGTTTATCTATGAGCTCTTATCATATTAAATTATATTTAACAGAACGTGACAAGATCATCCTACAGGTAATCTAATAATAACTCACAATCTTTTTGTACTTACTTGGGTATTCATTAGAACAAGTATTAAAAAAATATTCCATTATAGAATTTTTTCTTACTCTTCATATTTTTTTTTATATAAATGTTAATAAGATCACATAAGTTTTAATGCGTCACAAATAGTAAATATAAATAAGAAAAATTTTACATTTTTCTCCTTCACGTTGTATTTGAAAGAGGGTAATATATATATATATATTCATATATAGAGTCAATAGTGTTAAGTAACTGATTTATTTTTATTTTTTTTTTACACCCAATTTGTAAGAAAGTAAAAAAAAAAAAAAAAAAAAAAAAATTTAAACACCCAAAATTGTCTGAACAGGTCATGTAAAATAATGCCTACTGTACGGAAAATGATGTTCCATTAAGACTAAATTTATTTTTATTTTAATAAAATATTTTAGAAAAAAATGTGATTCATAAATTTAACATATACCTACTGGAAACATATTCATTTATTTAAAGTTATTATGAGTTTTCATGTATATAGTTTTTAGGGTTCATTTTCATTTCATTTTCAGTTGACCAAATGTTCAATTAGGAAAAAAATGAAAGTCTGAAATTTTTTGCTTAAAGCTTCCGTAAATTATAGTGTGCATTTATTTGCGTACGTACGAACACATGTACATTCTGTGTATACTATTCATTTAGCATGTTTTTTTTTTTTTTTTTTTTTTTTCTCCTTCTCTTTAATAAAGAATGAAATATAGTTGTAATGGCACCAGAGCATGGAGACGTTATATATACAACATGGGAATAAATATGTAGATATATATGTGTATATAGCATATGTATACCTATCTGTGTTTATGTGTCTTTTTTATTCTCTCTTTATGCCTATATTACGTATGCATAATTTTGTCTAATTTTTCTTAATTTTTGGTGTATCCCCAAAAAATATACGCTCTGTAATTTGTATTTTCACAAAATGTGAAAAATGAAACTGTGCCTACCGGTGCTTGAAAATTCACATCCGCTTAGCATGAATTGAAATACACCATTGGGGAGGGAGAAGCAGGTGCAGGTTTCTTTCGTCCATGTGCATTTACATATGCAAATGGGTATATATTATTTATGTATATATATATATATATATACATGCACAAGTATATACGCACGATATTTTACATCAATGCACGAACATGTATATACACAAGGGTTAATATGGAAAAGGGTGCTCATCGAAGAGAGGGGGAATGCTGGTTGACGAAATAAAAAAAAAAAAAAAAAAAAAAAAAAAAAAAGGTACAGCCTTATCAAGTTTTGCATTTGTAGGAAATAAAAAGATGTAACGGGAAAATATTAAAAAAACGGGAAGAAAACAATCAGAATGCAAAACAAAATATATAATTAGATATGCAGAAAATTAGTCAAATAAGTAGGTAAATTAATTAAATAAACATATGAATAGTTAAAGAAAAAGACACACAACTGAAAAAGCAAGGAATCACCTCATGAGTGTGGCTTTTTTAGTTTTCCATTTTACACGCATACATTTTTTTTTCTTAAGATGTTTGACGTCAGTTCACTGATACACTTGGGAAACAGCAACTCCGTGAAAAACAGTATCGCGGGGGACCTGCACATGTACATGTCAAAAAAAAGAAAAAACGGAAAGGAGTATTCGTCCCCCTTCACACGTCTGCAGACAAATGATGCAGAAAAAAATAAGGATAATAATTCAGCTATTATACTAAACACATGTGGTGATAATTGTAACTGGCTGAAATGTTTTTGTTTCATTAAATCCAATTTATTTTATGTGTATAAAGTAAGGGGAGATTACAAGCCTTTTATAATTTTCTTGTTAGAAGGGAGTGAAGTACAAGTAATTAATTATCACCTAGCTTTAAAAAATAAGGTAATTTTTTTTTTTTTTTTTTTTTTTCCTTCTGAAAGCAGATTTTTACTGCTTGTTGAGATCTACATGTGTAATTTTTCCTATTTTTCATAATACACCTGTTGACACATTTGTGAGAAGTGGACGAGTGATGGGACACACACTACAATTTGTGCAATTTTTCTGCTGCTTTGCTCTCTCTTCCGTCCCATCTGTATACATATATATATATACATACATACGTGTTCGTATGTATGCACGTGTGTATGTTTGATAGAGGCTGTGCGAAAATATAAAGGGAGAATATAAGTAGACTCCATTATTTTGTAAAAATACATGAATTCCAAGCTTCTGTTCACAGATAATTAAAGAAACAAGAAATTTACAACTGGGAGAAAATCAAGATATCATCCACATAAAAACAGCTGCATTTGGAGCTGAACACACATACACATTTTATTCCTCTGATAAAGGAACCATAAAAAAATGGATGCGAACTCTGAATAATGCTAATTTTTCTGCTTTGAATAATAATGTCAAACTTATAAGTGAAGAAAATGGGGAAATCAGAATAAACATGGAAAATATAAAAAAACTCAGTGACATAGAATTGAAAAATAAGGATATCCAAATAGCAAGCTTGAATGAAAAAATAAACTCTTTGAAGGTATATTCAAAAGAAGAAAATAACTAAACAAACATTGCAACAAAAAGAAAGATCAACTTCATTCTTCCATTTCTGATACATTTCACCGTGTCTGAAAAAAGGAAGTTACTTGACTACCAATACATGCAAACGTAACATTTCTCAAAAAAAAAAAAAAAAAAAAAAAAAAATTCTCTGCAGGTTGACCTAGAAAATGTCAGGGCAAAGAACAAGCGTCTACAAATAGCTGCGGATGTGAATATAAAAAGTGCCGATGAATTATTGCAGAAAAAAATTTCAGAAATCGAGTTTATCCACAATGAAATGGAGACAAAAATGGATGGTAAGAATTGGTCCTGCATGGACTAGGGAAGAGAGATGAAAAGGGAGAAAAAGCATATTAAGGAGAGAGTTAAGAGACATGTAGACTATCCCTTCCTAATGTACTTTCCCCCAACAAGTGAATAAACCAGTTTAAGTGAACCATTTTTAGTTTACGTCTCCTTCGAGGGATGTGTCAACATCTCAAAAAGTTGATTCCCATGTAATTCACACACAACTGATCATGTATCGTGTACCTACGTCTATTTCATACGTACACCTGCAGAGATAGAACGGCTGAAGGAAAAGGTAAAAAATGCAACGTCCGAATGTGAGAAAAAAACAAAACTTATAAACGAATTAAAAGCAGAAAGAGACGTTCTCGAAAAGCGACTAAAGGAAATAATGAGGACGTACGAAGAAGCATGTAGAGAACCAGAAAAAATAGCATTAGTAAATTTTAATACTAATGAAAGATACCAGAAATTAGTAGTAAACCATAAACATTTGAAAGAAGACTTAAATAAAATGAATGAACGATTTTATGAATTAGAAGATGCATATAAAGATAAAGTAAAAAGAATTAAAGAGGTTGTAGAAATAGGAGACATATTTGATTATCTTCATAAATTAATTATATTATGTCAGACGAAAATAAAATTTTATGAACAATGTCATAAATATAATGAAGAAGAACAAAAAGAAATAACCAATTTAATATCTTACATGATAAAAGAAACGAAATTATCTGAGGCAAATGCAAGAGTATGCTACATTACTCATAGGTCTAAAATATTAGAAGAAAGATTACTTTATTATATTAACCGAAAACAACCATCTGATTATTTTCATTTTGCATGCACTACATTAAGGAGGTTAAGTTGGGTATTTGGAGAAATTGAAGTTTTGAAACCTATGCAAGTAGATGAAAAACATGAAGAAGAATATCCCATATATTCATACATAGATGACATGAACGTGATTCCAATGAGAGAAAAAATATATTTCAATGAAGGTTTAGAAGGAAGATCTAATTATCAAATTGTAAACGATGTTGATGTCTATTCTATACCTACCAAAATGTGTCCTTATGATGAAAAGATTCTTACAGACAACAAATATAATTACATTAAAATAAAATTAACTGATTTAAAGAAAGATTTTAATATAATCAAAAAGAAAAACAAACCACAGAACAGACATATCATATCTGACTTACAGTGGGAAGAAATTAAAAGAAATGCATACGAAAGGATGGAGAAAAATATGATCATTTTGGACATGCAAATCTGTGACACAACAATTAGATCATAAAAAAATTTTCCTTATTCCCAGGCATAAAAAAAAAAAAAAAAAAAAAAAAAAGTTACGTTTTTCTATGTTGAAGAAGGCATATTGTGGAAACACATAACCTTACTCACTCTGAATGGAACACCAGTACAAAATTTTTTAATGAAAATGGAGATATTAGCGGAACCAAAGGTACAACGTTTCGTGGGTGATCCTCTCTTACTATAGAAAAGGAACAGAAATAGCAAAAAAAAAGAAATAGAAAAAAGAAAAAAAAAAAAAAAAAAACATTTTACCCATTTCATTTTAAAAAGAAACATCCAGATATTAAGAATCTCTTAACATCCTCAAAATTGTTTTTATATTTATGTACTTTGATGCTTTTTCCCTTTCAAGTGTAAACACACACATACACACAAAAAAGGATGAATAAATGAGGACTTCACGTGCGGGGGTGCACTATCATTACTAACGTTTCTCCGCCAACACGTTAGCAGGTTTGCATGCACATGTACATATCGATACCCATATCTATGTCTATATCTGTGCCTATATATATGTCAATATCGATACCCATATCTATGTCTATATATATGTCTATATCTATATATGTGTGTGTGCGTAGGGTGGCCACATTCACAAATCTATCCGACGAATTTTTTTTTAAAAAATCCAAAAAGAAGAAAAACTTAATTAAAGTTTAAGACATTAACGAAACGATCTAACGGGCGGTTTCAAAATGGTAAAAATAAAGCAAGGTTTAGAATAGGAAGGAATGGAAAAAAAAAAAAAAAAAAAAAAAAAATTGGGAGAAGAAACGAGGGTAAGAAGAGGCGTTACACATAAATAATAGAAAAGAATGAGCTTAAAAAAAGAAATAATAGTAATGGCTATAGCAGTTATAATAGTAATAATGATAATTAATCCACGTTATTGTTGGAAGAATTGATAGGAGGGTGCATGAGAAGGAGGCCAAAATTTAACATGAATGTGTGTAAGGATTTGCAAACAAACTTGTTGTCCTAAAAATAGAGATATAAAAATACACATTTTCTCTGGCACATAAATTCCAAGGGAGAAATAGAAACATGAAAATTTTAGGGAAAAGACAAAACACTACTTAGCCCCAGTCATCATTTTGTAAAATTCATCATAATCAATATAACCATCGTTGTTTGCATCAACTTCTTTGATGAGATTCTCAATAATTTCTTTGCTGAAGGAAACCTGAACAGTACTGAAGGAAAGAATGTTATATAATTCATCTTTTGTGATAACGCCATCTCCATCCAAATCAAATACATTGAAGGCATTTCTACATATGACATCTTGCTGAAATACTGAATGATCTAGACAAGCGGCTAAGAATTCTGTGTAATCTATTAGTCCATTTCCATCTGTATCAAGTTGCTTAAGTAGAAAGTACAATTCTGTATCTAGTTCACTGTCATTAACTTTTAGACACTGAAATATTTCTGAAATTGTTAATACTCCATCTCCATTATGATCAAATGATTCAAATGTTTTTTTGAGTTTTCCAATATCTTTTTCATTTAACTGATAAGCAACACAAGTAACAGCTAACTTTTTTATTTTGCACAATTTATGAAATTCTTTAAATTTTTCAACTAATGCTCTATTTAATGTTTTATTAATGACAACATTATCACTTTTGAATTTTCGAAACCATTTATGATTTAGAACCCCTTCTACATCTATCCTGTCCTTATAGTTATAATTGAGACATTCACAGATGAGATCTTTAGCATCATCACTCACACGAGACCAATAACTTGGATCGAAAATAAATTCACCTTTTTTTACTTTTTTTAATATTTCATCATTATTTTTACCATTAAATGGAGGATATCCGCATAGTAAAATGTACATAATAACACCACTACTCCATATGTCACATCTTTTATCATATTTTCCTTTTAATATTTCGGGTGCAATGTAATATGGTGTTCCAACAACAGATTTTAAATTGTGATTGCTCATACATTTGCTTGCGAATCCCCAATCAATAATTTGAATTGGAGAATCATCAGAATTATCAACATATAAAATATTTTCAGGTTTTAAATCTCTATGCATAATATTTTTACTATGACAATAATATAAAGCAGAAAAAATTTGTTTCATAATTTTATATGCTTCATATTCTGAAAAACTACCACGTTTTACAATTTTATCGAATAATTCTCCCCCAGTACATAATTCTAATACTAGATATAATTTCTCATTATCTTCATATACTTCATATAATTTTATTATATTTGGATGATCCATTTGCTTCATGATTAAAATCTCTCTCTTTAATCTTTCTATATTGTGGATTTTTTTTTTTTCTATAATTTTTATGGCTCTTTGTTGTCCGGTTTTTTTATTAACAGCTTTAACTACACTTCCATAAGATCCCTTTCCTAATTTGTATCTATCCAGCTCGTATACATCTGTAAGTTCATCATTATTCATTAATATTATTTCTTGAACTATTTGAGATCTGTCAAAATATGGAGATAAGTTCAAATGTTGCGATAATGGATCACTACTACTACTAACACTGCATCTAGCTTTCCCTTTATTATCTTTAAATGCTTTACTATGTAGGATAATTTTATTCTTATTTTCTTCTGTTTTTTTCGACAAACATTTTGTGCACATTGTGATAATTGAGTAATCCTCATCGCTGTCTGGCACTGTGCTTTTTGTAGCTCCCTTTACCTCTTCTGTTTCTTTGTGATGGTTGCTACAATCATGAACATCCACTTTTTTATTTTTTTTTTGTGTGACTTCCTTCTGACATGCGCTTACTTCTTCTACCTTTTTTTCTTTCATCTTGGGTACGTTTTTCATTTAGAGGGTTCAGTTGGTGTGTTCAGTTGGTGTGTGCAGCTGTTGTGTTAAGTTAGTGTGTGCAGCTGTTGTTATAGTCTATTTATGTAGCTGTCTTACACGTTCAACTGGTGTACATGCTTACTTGTAAGCAGTTATCTTATTTAGTGAATCGAAGACAAGTTGATGTGTCAAATATAGATAGAGAGATTTGCATGCATGTGTGAATACGCTACATCTAAGTAAGATGCAAAAAAAAAAAAAAAAAAAAAAAAAAAAACGAGTACACACGGTCTGCAGCGAAAATGAAGAGTTAGTTGGAATAAAATGGGAGAAGAAAATTGCGGGAAGCAAATATGGAGAAACTAAATTCAAGGGTAAAATAAAATCACAAACAATGAAACAAATTACTAATTATTAATTACTAATTACTAATTACTAAGTACAAATAAAATCAGAGCGAATATACATATAACTGTACATCTGCCTGTATATCTAACAGATTCAAATAACAGTATGTTTGGGAAAGATATATATATAGATGACAAGGAAAAAAAAACATTTACATATGAACAGAAAATATGTACATATGAATGAATGATCATATATACATATATGCACTAAAAAAAAAAAAAGGAAGAAAGAAAAAATAATCAAAAAAGAGACAAGATCAGTTGACAAAAACAAGGAAAAGTTATTTACCTTATTTGTTTGTTTCAATAAAGTGTTGACTTAGCAATTAAGTGGTGTTTTTTTTTTTTTTTTTTTTTTTTTTTACCACACATGTAACTTATTTAGTATTTTATTTCTTTTTCGATTTTTTCTATATCTAAAGATTACAAAAAAATATATATATATATATATATGGGATACTATCCTTTTTAATGTCGTCTTTATGAAACCTTACTAAATCTTAAAAAATAAAAGAATAATATTTACATCCATGAGTAATGTATAATCGCTGTACAATTCATACGTTACACATAGTCGTAATCACTTAAAGATGCAGAAAAGAAAAAATAAAAACATTCGTGTGCAAATTCAAATAATGCATCGCAAAAAACTGTGTATTAGGTTGCATGAGTAAATGTAAACTGTTTAGAAATATTAAAATATTTTTTCGAGCAAGTATTACAACACTTGTACAGAAAAAAAAAAAAAAAAAAAAAAAAAATAATAAAATGGAATATTTTTTTTTGCTTCCTGTTTACTTCCTTTTTTTTTTTTTTTTTTTTTTTTTTTTTTATTTGTAGTGACAATAATGAAGAAGTGCTTTAAGGAGAGGAAAGATTTTTTTTATATCTAATCTAGTAGGGTAAGCTTGCAACTAAGCACTTCTAATAGATTCATTAGGTCACAATTAAATATGTACATTAAAATATACAACAATTTGTACAATTATACATGAGCTTATTAGATAGATAAGTATATATATCTTCATATAAGCATCATAATAATAGGTATATGTGCGTAGAATAGTTCTAACATCTACCCCAACATTGAGCATAATATATTTGAAAAAAAAAGTTTATTAGTTTATATTATTTATATTATTATTTTTTATTTTCACTGAAAAAAATTAAAATTTTTTTTTTCTTCTTTTTTTTTTTTTCAATGCATTGAAGGAAGAAGAATGCGCATGTTCCACTTCAGAGCAATTGAAAGGGTATAGGGCAAAAAAAAAAAAAAAAAAAAAAAAAAGTAAAATAAAATAATAAGAAAATAATAATAAAATAATAATAATAATATTAATAATAATAAAATTTATGCGTATGGTTTTATTGTTGGATTTATAAGTACATATTTGTGCTTTTTCAAGAATGTTTATGGGTTCTTTTTGTAAGAAACATGCATGTTGTTGTGAGATATATATATATATATATATATACATGTTATATATGTTTATACATTTACCTTTGTACATGTATACATATACCAATATAAATTCAGCACAACTCCACTCTCTGGTTGACAATATCAAACTTCACCTTTTGGCTTTGAAAATTTTCAGAAAAAAATGCTATTTCATTTTGTCAAATATATGTGCAATGATATAATCCTCCTATGAGTGCGTCTATATAAGCATCATGCAAACAGTAAAATATTTATTTTTATGCACCCGTTTGATTACATAAAATGCATATAACCAAATATCGAACACCATTTATTAACATCTTTTTATTTAGTGAAATGCTTGTAATGCAGTTTTATTATTAAAGCTATTATATTTACTTTAAAATGCACAAGTTTCTTTTCTTTTTTTTTTTTTTTTTAAAAAAAAAGAATGTTACAACTATTCATGACAACTGCAAACAATTACAACATCTGTTTTGACAAAGATTAGGAAGTTGGGTTTTGTCATTCTATTATTGAAACATGGTCATACCTTTAGAAATAAATAAACCATCCAATGTTTTTTTTTTTTTTTTTTGCATAGGTTAGCAAAGATAAACATGCATAAATATGTAATATATACACCTCCCTTTAAATTTTTTTTTTTTTTTTTTTTACTCCTTTCATGACATTATATTTACTGTTATTATGTTATATTACGCTCTTTTTTTTTTTTTTTCGTTAGATTGAATGTTTTTTATTCTACGTGTTATGAGGCTAGGTGTTACATGAACCAAATATTTTTTTCATATTTTTCTACCACCATTCTAACACCTTTCTACGATTTTTCTACCACTTTTTTGCCATTTTTCTACCATTTTTTTTTTTTTTTTTGCATGCTGATATGTACCAAAATGCACATTTAAAATAAAGAAAAAAAGTAACATTTCGAAATCGGAAAAAAAAAAAAAAAAGGAAAAAGTCATGAAAGAGTGTGGGGAAGAAAACAATTATTATATTTATTGCACATGATAAGAAACGCATCGAAAGGAGAAAAATACATTAACTGAAAACATTTTCGACATATTGGATGATGTTTAAGTTGCATCTTTAACATCGATAAAATAAATTCAATTCCCCATATAATTTTGAAACCTTCAAAGAGTAATTCGGTTCTAGTTTGATGAGTGTATTTAATTGCTACATCGCATGGTTTTAACCCGGGCACATGCATGAAAGTTTAAACTATATAGTTCGAGTATACTATATTTAGGGATTCATTTTGATTGTAAATAAATAAATATTCATACACTCACATATATATATGTATATGTGTGAATACAAACGCGTACGGCACAATTTTGAATATGTTGTGCAATTCCTTCACGGATGTTCTTAACACATGGTCAGGCTATCCCTAACTTTTTTTTTTTCCATAAAATGAAAACATGAATATAAATTTAAAGGAAGACAAATAAATGTTGATATATGTCTATATATGTGTATACGAACGCACATATAAAAACAAGTTTAGAAACAGTTACATAAGCAAAATTGTTTTTATGGTGATCACAAAAAAAACTCATGTCATCACACATTCTCTATGTAATGCTGTTTTCACAAAAGATCCAACGCCTTTTTTTTTTTTTTTTTTTTTTTTTTTTTTTACCATCTTTCTCATTCACTCTACGAAATAAGACTGGTAACAATGTGTAAAAAAAATATACATTTTTTACATATTTTATTTTCATATTTGACAAAATAAAATACATTTTCAGCGATATTTTTTTATCTTCCACAAGAATTAATAGCATTCTTGAAATGTTAACCTGTTGTAAATTTCATCATATAAAATTCATGCTTTCTTCGACAAAATTTTATCCTCTTGAAATATGTACATGTTTACACATATATATATGTATATATATATTTTTTTTTTCTTTTTTAAATCAAAATGAATATATTTATTGTGTGAAACAGATTAACATATCCATATGTAAGGAGAAAAGATACTTCTTCCCCCACGTAACGTAAATGTGGGTTGTTTAAATAAATCTCTTCTTAACTTCTAATCTTTTTAGTTGTAACCGATTTGGATAAAAAAATAAAATAAACTCCTCCTACTACTTTTACTGTATTTTTTCATTTTAAAAATTTGCTTTTTGTTCAAGTAATTATTGTGACACCCTATATTTTCTATGCCCACTTTTCACTACTCTTTTTTTTCTCTCTCGTCCGCTCAATCGCTCGACCGCTTGACCTTTCTTGCATTTTCAGAAGATAAGTAACTCTAAAAGAGTGAAAAATAGAAAACTTTACACTCATTTATTATTACTTTACAAGTTACATAATTGTACATGTGGAATTTTTTATTCACTTTTTATCTCTCTTAAAATCAACATTTCGCCTTATTGAGAGAGAGTCCCAAAACAATTTCTTCAACATGAACTGAACGGGAATACTAGTAAGTAATTTTGTTTTCTTAAAAAAACACAAAGTTCTGTGCAAAAAAAAAAAAAAAAATAAAATAAAATAAACGAAATGAAATGAAAAAATGTACACAATTGTGTACATTCATAATATACTATATTTTTAATTTTTTTTCTCTCCCCAAAACACAGTTATATACATATAAGAAAAAAGCAAAAACATGAAACACATCATGAATATATGAAAATAAGCAAGTTTGGGAATATTTTCTTTTTTGCGAACAAACAAATGAGAAAAAAAAATTACGAAGACACTGACTCAGACAGTACGGTGGAGGAAACACTGGTAATGCTAAACCTTCCTCAGTTAAATAATGATGAAAGAAAATTAAAAAATTTAAATATTTATCGTAAGAAAAAAGGAGAAAAAATATATAGAGAGAATGAAATGAGCATCAATAAAAAGGAAAATTATGAAAAGAAACTGATATCCTCCAAGGGCGAGAGAAAAGTTAACAAACTAGGGAACCAAAACAATTTAAAAATTGATTTAACGAACCATGAAGGGCATACAGGAGATACACTAATAATTGATGATGATACAGAAAGAATTCAAAGCTTTTCTCCAGGTGACACTGTAGATATGGAAAATGCATATCCTTCTGTGCGCGAAATTATGCAAGGAGGGGATAACAAAAATAATGGGGACAAAAATAATATGAACAAAAACGGTACACATGTAAATCAATCTATGCGAGACGAGGTAGATAACATACCATTCGAAATCGACAATATATCTTTAAAGAATTTATTTGCTGAATGCCCTGAATGTATAATAAATAACAAATACAAATTTAAGGGTATTCATACATCAAGTATTGGAACGAACTTTTTTTTCAAAGAACCAGACAGCTTAAAAAATAAAAGCAGTTTAACAAATTACGAATTGTCCTACGATCCTTTCGATACAAATATAAAAAATGAAAATCAAATGAGCAGGGATGATTTTAGTATGTATGAGGGATATTCAACCAAAATAATATCCTTCGAAATAGATCACTAGTTTGTGCTGGTTTGAACCTTTTCCTTTATTTTGCCTTTTACATGATAGCAATATGGATATATATTTGTATGCATATTGCAATACTTTTTTTTTTCTTTTTTTTTTTTTTTCTTGGTGCAACAATAAAACAGGTTACATATTTTGTGAACTACACATTTAAGGGACGTTTGTCCTTTTAAGCAATACCAACATTCTGCGAGTAAAAATAATACACATATAAATGCAGCCCTTGTAGTGATACATTTACTTTACAAAACCAAACTTTTTATTTTTTTATGGTAATACAATAATTAGTTTATTAGAAATTATGTTATTCACCGTAGTATCACCTTGTTTGGGCTCCTTACAATGACATATGCATTTCATATATGTTTAGTTGAGGTACATTTTAAATATTTTCTTTTTTCGTTTCCACCTGTTCCATTTTGCGAAGGGTTTGTTACCGCATAGATACTTTCTTGTTTTTATTTTATTTTTTCATTTTTTATATTTCACATTGCATTATTCGTATTTCCTTTCTCACCTTTGATTTTTCACTTTCCATTTTTTTTGTTGCGTGTGTAGCCATCATATGGTGTTGCGTAACCACATTCTCTACATTTGTGTAAATGCACACTGGAAACTTAAACTTTTGAAAACACAGTTTATCAAAATTTGTTCGCAATCTGTTCGTAGTAAATTAAGTCCTATTTGCAAATTATTACGCATATCTCGCCCCACCCCTTTTTTTAAAGAATTTTATTTTGCTTTTTCTCGCCATTTCTGATGTATTTTTAGAAAGGAAAATATATCTAAAAAAAAAAAAAAAAAAAAAAAAAAAAAAAATGTCAAAACTGTGATTTAAAATTGTTAAAAGATAGTTACATTTTTTTTTTAATAATTTATGAACAGGCAATAATTTTTTTTTTTTTTTTATTTTTTTTTTTTTTTATTTTACAATGATAGTTTTTTTAAAAAAGTAGTAAAATCCATTTATAAAAGAAGGAAAAGAAAAGGAATAAGCTGAGGTTGTGAAAAGTGTATTTATCTGCATAATTAGTAGGGCAAAAAGAAAGAAAAAAAAAAAAAAAAAAAAAGCATTACAATTGTCTTATGATGGATATCTTAACTTGTTGTATCTTAGTTACTTTAATTTTGGTAGGTTATAATTGGCTTTGTTACCCTTATTAGGGTGAATATAAATAATACCAAAATGTATACAAGTATATATAACACACAAACATATAAGATTTTTGTGTACTACACAAGCCAATGCAACCCTATATAGTTACTGATCGTTGGTCGAAAAAAAAAAAAAAAAAAAAAAAGAAAATGTAACCCATAGTGGAGAGAAAATTAGATCATTGTTGCAAATTACAGTGAACACACATTCGTAAACATGATATGCAGTTTTTTTACACGTACAATCGTAAACATTATAGGAAGTTTTTTTGCATACACAGCTAGCCAAATTCCTTTTCCTCCCTTTTTTTTTTTTTTTTTTTTTTTTCTGAACAAAATTTTTACAGTTAATATTTATATCATGTGGGATATTTTATAGACATTTTGTAAAAGCAGATGAATCGACGTTCTTACCAGCAGCTACTTTTGTTTTATCCTTGAGTACAAGTTTCATTTTAGTTTTGTTCATACCAGTAGACATATACCTGGTATCCAATGGGGTACACTAATTTTAAAAGGAATTTAATATAATTAAAAATATAAATATAAGTATCAGTTTGTGTACAATCATTTAAGTGAACTGCAAACACATTTTTTTTTTTTTTTCCATAACATCACCCCCCCCCCCATTTTTCCCCTACTGTAGAATCTAGAATTTTCAGATTTAGAAATAACACAAAAGAATGTATCTAAATTTTACCACTGTTAGCACAATAAACTAAGCATAATTCAGCTTCCTTCATTCCATTCTACGAGTTGCACAGATGTATATTCACAAATTATTTCCATTTGCAACTTTGCATATTTGTTCAAATTTTCTACCCTAATCTGCTTTGTTTTGTTATGTTATACTCTGTCTTTTTTTTTTTTTTTTTATTTCCCTCCTGCAGCTATGTTTTGGGTGCTCATATTTGAGGCGTATGTCGCGATTCCCTTCTCCTACTTCTATGTGAAAAATAAAGGTAATAATAAGAAAATTTCATTAGATCAGTTTGTGAATAGACAAATAATGAAAGTAGGACTAAAACCTGCATCACGTAGTATTGTTAGCAAGAGGTAGTTCTATATTATTATTTTTATTATTGTTATTTTTTTATTTTTAACAGGCTCGTACAGAAACGAATTTGATGATAATATAATGCCGTGCGAAAATGTGATTGAATCTTTAAAAAAAACCGTAATAAAAAAAAAAAAAAAAAAAAAAAAAAGATAACCTCTAAATGTATGTTTAATAGAAATGATCGTATCATAAAATACATCCCTATAAATTTCCAATTTCTGCAGATATACTTTATATTCTTTTTAGTTGTGTTGTCAATAATTGGTCTAATTTATAGACCTGGTCACAAGCTCGCAATGGTACTTTTTCAAAAAAAACTACGCTCTTATGTTATTCAAGAAGAGAAGAAATTAAACTTAAAAAAATTGTTCTTTCATCATGATTAGCATGAAAAGACATACATATGTGAATGTAAAACACGCGTTAGTAATTTTATATCACATTTTTAACCTTTCCGAATTATAAATATACCCTTATGTATTTTTTTTTTTTTTTTTTTTTTTGTTCATAAATTAATAAATAGGAAAAAGGAAAAGAACTTGAATACATTTCTGACCTCCTGGATATGAAAAACAGTTAGAAAACAAATTCTTAAAAAAAAAAAAAAAAAAAAAAGAAAAATGATAGAATAGTTAGCAACAGAAAGGGACAAAACTAATAATGTAGTATGATAAAGTATAAAAAAGAAATGCATACATATACATATATATATATATATATACATATAAGTATATAGCAAAGGAGCTGATAATAATGAACATTTTTTCAATTTTGTAAATTTTTTTGTAGCGGGAGAGTCAGCCATTTTATTTCTGATGGGATGTGTTGCCATGATTGGTGTTTCCTTTTGGGTTACTTACACGGTAATGATATATAAGAATGAAAGAATATTAATTATCTCAAACCAATGTGAGAAAAATAAATAGTCGAATTGTTTACCCGATTGATTTGTCACACACTCTGCCCATTTTACAGAGTTATGGAATAGCTTGTCTACCGCTATCATTTTTGCAGCAGAAAAACATTGAATGCGACAAGAAGGAGATAGAAAACCGATTTACAAATTTGAAAGAGAAGGAAAAGATGATAAAAGTAATTATAAAGTGATAAAGAGGGTACATGTATGTTACATATGTATGCATGCGCATGGAAAATATTTTAGGGCATATGTATTCCATGTATTCAATCGTCTCTGTGTTGTGTGTTTTTGGTCATGATGGGCCTCTGTGTGAATATGCCCATTTTATATATTTCGGTGGTATAACACATACCCCTCCCAAAAAAAAAAAAATAAAAATATAAAATAAGATAATGAAATGATAAAGTGATATAATGACAAAATAGTATAATGATAAAATGATAAAAAAAGACTTGGTAAAAAAAAAAAAAAAAAAAAAAAAAAAAAAAAAAAAAAAAAACAAAAAAAAAAAAAAAAAAAAAAAAAATTTAAAAAAAAAAAAAAAAAAAAAAAAAAAAAAAAAAAAAACATACCCATATTCGCCATGCCTTTGCAGCATAAATATAGAGGTCCAAGCGAAATGCAAAGAAACGATATGCACGAAATACGTAGAATAGAAAAAATGAAAAGGTATAAACTTTTGCCATTTGCACATTTGCACCAGAGTGATAATTTTTTCAAGTGCAAAGATTCCAAAATGTTAACATAAGTAATGTATTAACAGATCAAGACCATTCCTTGTTTGCCATTTGTGTTTGCGCCGAAAACTTTTTTCTTCGTACGGAGCCCAGAGAGCCAGCATGAATTATGTGTGCATATACATACAAACACATATGTGTATATTTTTGCGCCTTCAGGGTTCTGAGTAGGTACAACTACAAACTTCAGGAGATAGAAAAAACATCAGAATCTTGGTTGTCGTATGTTATAGGAATAATGCTTACCTTCAGGTTCGATAAAAATGTGAATATGTACATGTCCATATGATGTTACTCGTAGGTGTGCATATTTATTTTCATGAAGAAATGGTGTATATCGTTATATGGATGTTTATTTCTCCTTCTTTTTATAAAGGGTCCTAACCGGATTGGTGTTTCTAACATTCTCATTCACAATTTACATATCTCTGTTAGCTTCAATAACAGATAAGGTATGTGGGAGAAACAGATCTCCACATTATGAGAAAATATCCAAATTGTGAGAAAAAAGGTCCACATAGTAAGTGTGGTGTTTGTGTTAAAGTGGAGATATCTTGAAAAAAGAATAAATAATCATAAAAGAAGCAAAAATGAGGAGGAGTAGGAAGAAGAAGAACCAAAACATTTGGACTTGTATAGAGACGTAAACAACTAGATACACATAATTGTTTATCATTTTCTTTTCAGTACTTCAATTCCGTCTGTGCCTATAAATGTGGTTTTGTGCTAGAAAAAATAAACACAATTTTTAACTTATTGGATTCATCGCTTATATTATTTTCTCGGGTCTGTTTAAAATTAAGAGAGGAAAAAAATACAACCAGTGTGTTCTGCATTTTGTCTTCATGTGAATACAAAAAAAAAAAAAAAAAAAACGGGGTTGGTTCTGCTGAGGGTATCGAACCAAATCCTGTGAATATATTTACTTCTATTTTTTCCTTATTAGATATATGTACCTATTTTGACATTTTAATCATAATAACGCATTGATTTCTTAATTCCACACGCACAAAAACACAAACGCAAACATAAGCACACATACAAACACACTTTCAGTATTTCCCCTTGGACATTTTTATCATAGCAAGTTTGTCAATATATATTTTCTGTTGTTCCTTGTATGGAATTGTAAATGTGGGAATACGAATTTTCTTTATACCCTTTTACAAATTGAAGACGAGGAAATCTTCCCCCCAAGTAAGTATCAGATACATAGACAAGAAATTGAACGGGGCCTAGGAACCCTTATTTATACGTCTGTTATATGTGTTTCAATTGCTAGTTCCATTTTGTTATACACAATTTTTCCCTCTTTCCTTTTTAGACTATGTTAGTTCTTTGCTTTGTCATTATTCACATTATACTTGTGCTTATAATGACATTATTAACGGTAAGACAAAAAAAAAAAAAAAAAAAAAAGTAGAAGAAGAAGAAGTAGAAGTAGTAGAAATATCAAACTCGACATGGGAAACACATACTTTCACATTCTTTTCCCCTTATCCACCCTTACAGATTGCTCCTAATTATGTGACATATGGAATACAAAGGATACAATTAAAAGTTCGTGAAAAAAAATAAATAAATAAATAAAATGAAAAAAATGAGCAGAATGAAGAAAGCGAAAAAAAAATAAATAAAATGAAAAAAATGAGCAGAATGAAGAAAGCGAAAAAAAAATAAATAAAATGAAAAAAATGAGCAGAATGAAGAAAGCGAAAAAAAAATAAATAAAATGAAAAAAATGAACAGAATGAAGAAAGCGAAAAAAAATAAAAACAATTGTGCTTCCATTTTTGTAGGACACTGAAGGATATATAAAATGCTCCTTAAAGACTGATAAGAATATTTGCAAGATGTCTGTGCTATCTGTATTTTTTAATAAAATATTTTTTGGTTAGTAAAGGGGGAGAAATGTTATATTTTCTATATGTATTTTTTTTTTTTTTTTTTTTTTTTTTTTTTTTTTTTTTTTAATTTTTTTCTTTTTTTGTTCAGGTATACCATATTTTGCAAACAGCTACTTCTTCTCCAATTGGATGTTTATACGTAAGCAACGAGGGGGATGGTTTGTAGAGAACCAGAAAAAAAAAAAAAATAGACCATAAAATGAGAAAATCAAAGAATTAGAAAATGTCATACATTTTCCTTGCATGGGATAATTTTTCCCATTTCTTTTATTTTTTTTTTTTTTTTTTTTTTTTTTTTTTACTTTTTTTTTTTTTTTTTTTTTTTTTTTTTTTTTTTTTTTTTTTTTTTTTTTTTTTTTTTTTTTTTTTTTTTTTTTTTTTTGTTTTTATTTTTTTCCCTTTTTCTAAAACTTTCCTATTTTCTTGTATATTTTTAGTTATGTATACCCTTTCATTCGTCTACCGCGTTTGCTTCAAGCGGATCAGCTACCTAGACAGTTTGGACGTAAACAAGAAAATAACTATTACCAAATGGAAAAGAGAAGAAAAAAAAAAAAAAATTATAGATATAGACATATGTATAAAGCCTGCATTGAACAGAAAAGAGTAGTCTCTGCTTTATTTCACTGTTTAGCGATCCAGTTGATTCATTCGCAGTTTTTTTTTTATTTTCTTTTTTTTTTTTTCTACGTACACATAGATAGCATTTTCTAATCTGTTTTATTTTCTAAAATTTATTAGGAGTTAAGCCTGAGTAAGGAGAACATCGATGAGCATATGAACCTCTTACCGATGGAGAAGTTAACTTGATGTTTGTGCAGATTCTTGTACAAATGTATATGTAAGAAAAAATATGAACATTCATCATTATTACCATTTTGGTATATTCAAAAGTATGCCTTGTTTGATATATGTGTGTGATTTTTTTTTTTTTTTTCTGTCAATCCGTTGTCCTACTTCTCGTTTTATTTACTTCACATCAATGAATAAACATGCAAATGATGGCTTATTACATGTAATTTTATTATTAAAGTTTCTTTCCTCAACGCCATTCCCGTTTGCATCACATTTCATGAAATATTCCACCTCCATAATTTTATGCATTTCCTTCCATTTTAACGTGTAGCTCCTTGTGCTCGATCATAGGGCAAGAGCTAAAGTTTATTATCTTTTTTTTTTTTGTATAATTCTTTTTAAAAAATTTACTAAGTTTTTTTAAATTGTTTCACGTCTTCTACATATTAACACTTGTCAAAAGTGTCTTCGTGAAGGTACTTGTTTCTTTCTTTTTATGTAATGTGTATGGAGAAGTAAAGGATCTCGTATAAGAGGGAGGTGGGGTGTGTTTAGTTATGAAATATATCATTATGCCAGTAACAAGGTAGTAAGCAAATCAAAGAGAAATGTGTAATATATATATATATATATATAAAAGAAATATAAAAGTAATCGTTTTTTTATTATTGTATCCTGTGTATCGAAAACTTTTTGACCTAAACCAGAATATGCATTTTTTTTTTTTTTTTTCTTTTTTTTTTTTGTAAAATGTGTTGGGGAAAATTTGCTTCTTCCAAGGGGGGAAGCACATGACAAAAGAAAAAAAAAAAACAAAAAACACATACACACAAAATAAGGAATAAGGAATATCGAATATGGAATAAGGAATAAGGAATATGGAATATCGAATATGGAATAAGGAATAAGGAATATGGAATATCGAATATGGAATAAGGAATATGGAATATGGAACTTGGAACAGGAAACACAAGAAAACAATTTATTTATTTTTTTTTTTTTCTTTATCACTTTTACAACAAATACACGCTCATTTGTTGCTTCAACAAAAATAAAATGAATCCTTAAACTACATGAGCAATTTTGCATACGTCCAAGCGTGTGCGTAACCTGAACGCACATTTTGAGGCGTGTAAAAAAAAAAAAAAAAAAGCGAAAAAAAAAATGTCAGTAAGAGATAATCAGAGATAATCAGAGATAATCAAGATAATCAACGATAATCAGCGATAATGAACCATAATGAACCATAATAAGCCACAACAAAACATAATGAACAATCGTGAACAGTGGTGAACGACTCATTTTTGCGCTTCAAGTCGAAAAAAAAAAAAAAAAAAAAAAAAAACATAGGCAAGAATTAGCTACAAAAACGTTAAGGCATTTTTTTTTTTTTTTTTCCCTTTCTTTAATCTTAGATGAGATATTGAGTTTCTCGTTCACACCACCCTTTGAATTCCCCCTTTTTTTTTTTTTTTTTTTTTTTTTTGCTAGGAGATCTAATGAGCATCACATATACATACATATTTATATATATACATACATATACGTATGTATGTACATGCACAGGATTATTTTTGCAAGGTTAAAAGAAGCTCGCTGCTTAATTTTATATTTAGATTAAAATTAGCCATTCTGCTTCTAGTGCAAAAATAGTTTAGACCCCCTCAAAGTAAGAAAAATTTTGTACATCGATGATTAAATGTGAAGTAACGTCCCCTTGATCATGTAACATACTTGGATATAAGTAGTGCAAATTGGTGGCCAGAATTTTAGAAGGGTAGAAAAAACCAAGCCAAACTAGGCCATATTTTTCACTCCTCCATCTTGTGTCAAACGTAAGAATACCGATTTGGTATCACCCTTTAGAGAATTTTCCAAACATCTCGCCCGACCCAACTGCTATGCGTGCACATACATGTACACATATATACATAAATATACATATATACACATAAATGAACATATATATATATATACTTAAAGTGACAGGGGAAAAATATATCATGTGTATGAGCTTTTTTGCTATATAGGATATTTACCCGCGACCACAAAGTTGTATATGTTCATATGTGCTTGGATAATAAGTGAAAAAACAAAGAAAAGGTAGTAGTAGTAGAAGAAGCTGAAGAAGTAGAAGAAGTAGAAGAAGCTGAAGAAGGGGAAAAAAAATTCGAGAGCAGCTGTGGAGAAAACAAATTCCTCCAAAGGGCGAAACTTTAACTGCAATCCCGTTTGGTACACCTTTTGTGGAAGAAAATAGGAAGATATCGAAGTGCTTCTAAAGATGAAAGAAAAAAACAAGAAAGTAGAACAGACAAATGAGTTTGAAATAAAAGAAACATCAAAGAAAGAAGATGGAAGAAGTGTATTTGTAAATAATTTATTAACAAGCATTAACAACATAAGTAATTCAATTGTGTACAAAGACAACAGATACATACTTCGTATGTTAAAATATATAAAATGTATGAGATTAAGCATAAAGAACGAGAGTAACACATTGATGCCAATTATGATAAATCTGATTAATAAAATGTTTAAGGAAAATTATCCTATATATGGAATATTAAACAAATATATAAATGAATTTAAAGAATCTGTACCAAAGGAAATAACTGAGTTTACAAATATAAATGATAGAACATATACACATGCAGCACCAGAAATAGAAGTTTTTTTTTATATAATGATTTTACTATACCTGTTGGATGCAAAATGTTATGAAGAAGCAATGCAATTGTCAACTGTAATTGTTGACAGAATAACAAAGGTGAATAGAAGATCATTAGATTATATGAATGCTAAAATATATTTTTATTTTTCATGGGTTCATGAATTAGGTGGAAAATTATCTCAAGTTAGGCAAAGGTTATTAAATATTTATAGAAATGCATGTCTGCACAGAGATATAATGACACAAACAGTTGTTTTAAACTTAATTTTAAGAGATTATATAAAACATAACCTCTATGATTTGGCAGTTAAGTTTGTTAGCAAAACTTCATTTCCAGAAAATTCCTCTTCAAATGCACAACATGCAAGATATCTTTTTTACATTGGAAAAATATTAGCAATTCAGTTAGATTACAGTGAAGCACATAGTAAAATCACACAAGCAATTAGAAAAGCCCCTCAAAATAGTCAAATTGCAAAAGGGTTCAAATTAGAAGCTACAAAAATGGAAATAATTGTTGAATTACTCATGGGTGATATTCCAGGTAGATCTCTTTTTAGCAACAAAATTATGAGAAACAAACTTATCCCCTACAAACACGTCGTTTCAGCTGTCAGAAATGGAGATATTAACAAATTTGCAAAAGTTATGAATGATTATAATGCACTATTCATGCGAGATGGTGTTTATCTCTTAATAAAGAGAATTCACCACAATGTCATTAAAACAGCCCTGCGTATTATTAACCTTTCTTACTCTCGGATTTCTATCGTAAGTTTAGGGGAAACTTTTTTCCCAATCCTGGCCGCCTCGATATGAGACCGATCAACATCTGATCATGCTTGCATGAAACCGATCAACATCTGATCATGCTTGCATGAGACCGATCAACATCTGATCATGTTTGCATGAGACCGCTCAACTTATGACTCGCTTCTCCATGAGACCACTTAACATCCTTCCATTTTCAGAATGATATAGGGAAAAAAATCGGGGTGGAATCACCTATGGACATCATAGGAATAACAGCGAAGGCAATCCACGATGGAGTTATCGAAGCAACTATCGATTATGACACTCAGTGTGTAGAGTCTAAACCAAACAGTGATGTCTACACAACAGGAGATCCCATGAAAGCTTTTCATAAAAGAATAGCATTTTGCTTGCAGTTATACTCTGATGCCATAAAGGCTATGCAATATCCAGATGAGAATGAAAAAAAGGGAAATGAAGAAGCAAAGCAAAGAAAAATTAGACAACAGGAGGAGCTAGCACAGGCCGAGGAAGGAGATCTTGGAGATGAAAATGACTTGTTGTAAAAGGTGTATTATCCCAACACCCCATTGAAACTGAGAAACAAACACACATACACTTCTCCCTATTTTTAGGAATTTCAAATTTTTGTTCATGTCTACATATACAACCAAGGGAAGATACCCATATGAATTAATGTTCAAAATGATGACGTGTGCTGAACGAGTTTACTTTTTTTTTTTTTTTTTTTTTTTTTAAATACTATTACCCTACTCGTATACTTCCTTTCCACAAGTTCCCCATATTTTATGAGCGTGTGCACGGGCATACCTTGAGCAGTCTCTTCTCTTTTTTTTTTTTTTTTTTTTTTTTTTTTTTCCCTCATCTGTAAATAGCTAAAAAGGTGGTAGTTCTCCTGTTGTGGTGGTAAATACAATACTTTGCGTATAAACAAACACCCATTTGTACATAAGCACACAATGAATGGTAACATGTAATTGTATTCGACACAACATTGTAATAGAGAAAATGAAAAAAAAAATTAATATAAGAATTGACCAAATGAAATAATACCACCACCCCAAAAATTTAATCTAATGACTTGCAATTATTAATCAGATGGATCATATGCATGACATCACGAGAAATGAAACATTCAACTTTGAGAAAAATCTTCACCGATCCACCGAACAATTCAAAATTGTTAAATTTTTCATATGTTGAAACTTTTGCAACAAATCTGGGGTGGAAGCAATTGCTTATGTTTATTTATGTTGATTACAATACTTTCAAGTATGTGCAGAATGTTCAAGTAACGAATATATCATCTCTTCCCTCCATTTTGTTGACATCATTGGCAGTCTTAATTTTTTATAGGACCTACTAGCTTCACTCCCTTCAATTTTCTTTTCTCTGTTCTCCTGAAGAGCTTTTCACACCAAGTTCCATCATATAACATGCTCAAATGAGAACAAATAATTTTTTTTTTTTTTTTTCTTATTTTTGGACAATCAAATTGGGAGTATTTTTTTCTCTTTCAATCTTATTACGTTTTTTTCCCCTCAAATTCATGCCTGATGATGTTCTCCACTTAGATTGGAAAATTTTACAGAACTTGTGGATAAACACATATGTATGCGGAGACATAGTGATAGATGTTCGTCGGGGGAAGGGATATGCATATACAACTTTCACGTCCAATTGGTGCATAAATGCAAATTGTGAGTTTGGAAAAATAAGATATTATGTGTTCATGTCGGGTATGGGGAAAGCAGAGAAAAAAAAAAAAAAAAAAAAAAATTTTAATTTATGTAATTATATATATATATATATATATAACACACCAAATGAAATTACACAGTTACATGCACACAGAGATATAAAAACACATAGCAACATGTGTCCAACTGGCATATGTACAAACGGGTGAAGCAAAAAGATACAATTTAGAACTTCATTTTGTGCAGTGCCATATCATTTCTCAATGTAAATTTGGATTTTAAATATTCAGTAAAGATTTTGTTCTTCATAATTTGATCCTTAAGTAAGGCGCCAATTGCTTTTTGCGTTTTTTGCAATTGTTGCATTTTTGGATCTTCTTTCATTAATTCCTTAATTTTTGTTATTACATCATTCATAAAAAGAGCCTCATTTTTTTTACTGAGCAATTTTTTTTGTTTTTTTTTTATTTCTAAAGATTTCATAAAGGAATTGTCATTAATATCTTCAGCTAATTTCATAAATTCATCTTTAAGTCCTGCCATGTTTTCAAAATTAAAAATATTTGTTGATGTAACAACAACATATCTTGGGTTAACTCTTTTTAAAGGTACTCCATTAATTTCGTAAGGTCCTACGACAGCTAACAATCCTGAGTTTAATATTTTTGTTATTATACATCTTTTACCCATATGTCTACCCGATAATATAATTGCTACTTTTCCAATTTCAATGGATTTTCTAATTTTTCCTTGAACCACGTACTTTTTTTTTGATGCTAATTTTCTTCCATAATATTTTTTAGCAATAGTTTTCTTTGCCTTAACTGGGACTAAAATTTTTTTCTTTCCCTTTACTTTATAGAATTTTACTACTTCTCCTTCCCCTTTGTTTTTTTTATTTGACTTTTCTTTATTGCCTTTAGCCATTTTTTTTTTTTTTTTCTTTTTTTTTGTTCGTTTGAGAAGAGCGAGAAAAAGAGGCGGTGGTTGGGCGTACTAAATTTGCAAAGAGCAAAGAATTAATTTGTGATAATAATTATTATGTGTTGTTTTTTTTATTGTTTCCCCCTTGGGTTCAAATGTCAGTTACAAAAAATTGTATCTCTTTATAAACTAGCAAACTTATACATAAAAGCATATGTGTATGTAAATGGTTCTCTCTTCATACACGTACGCATATGTGCAATTGCAGAAATTTTGTTCAACTTGTTCGGGAAAAAAAAGAAAAAAGGAGAAAAAAATTTTAAATGTGAATAGGCAAAGTATACAGAAATAAAAAAGTGATGAAGTAAAAAGAGTGATGAAGTAAAAAGAGTGATGAAGTAAAAAGAGTGATGAAGTAAAAAGAGTGATGAAGTAAAAAAAGTAATGAATTAAAAAAAGTGATGAAAAAAAAAAAAAAAAAAACTTATGCAATAGATACGGTGATGCAAATATAAAAGGTATGTAATTATTATGTTAGTTTGGCCACTTGCTATATTGTTCCCTTTTTTTTATTTTTTTATTTTATTTTTTTTTTTACATGGTAAAGTTTCTCACGCTTGTTGTGCTTATGTATAAAATCAAACATTATTTATATATATATGTGAAGTTGTTAACAATGCGTAAAAGGGGAATATTATTTATATGTACATATATATATGTATATTTTTTTTTGGGGGGGGGGTGTGAGTCGATTTAGGAATCATCCTGGTCCTTGGATGAAATTGAACCGATAATTGAGGGAATATATGGGGCTTAAAATAAAGCGGAAAAAATTACTTGCAAATTTATCTTCAAATGAATTGCAAAACCTATTTGCAAAATTAACTGCAAAATGTTTTTGCAAGTATTGTTCCCTGTGAGTTGTAACATAAAAAAAAAAAAAAAAATACTAAATTGTACTTTTAATTTTCTCCCTTTGTGAGGTCATACAAATGTAAAAAAAAAAAAAAAAAAAAAAAAAAAAAAAAAAACATATTTTGCCATTTACAGTTTTTATAAAATAATACCTATTTTTATCTTCAAATTTTTACCTATGAGAAGGTTAAATAAATTTATCGATTCTTATGCACCACAAAACTGCTCAAATCTATTCAATTGCCCACTTCTCCATTGTTCTTTTTTTTTTTTTTTTTTTTTTTTTTTTCTGCTTGTGAAGATAAATAAATATATACAAAAATTATGGATACATTTTCTCCGTTCGCTAAAACATATTGAGTTTTTAAAATTTTTTCGTTTTTTCAAATCAAGGTATTTGTATATATATTCACATGAATAATATATATATGTATATATGTATAAACGTGTTATGTATAATCTAAAAGGAATACTCCAAAAGAATGGGCACTTATTCATATAAGATCAGGAAGGATGATAAAAAAGAAAAAAAAAAAAAAAAAAAAAGACCTCAATAAAAAAAAAAGGAAATTACAACTTTTTGTTTTTTTATATACATGTGTACACATAATATATATTTGTTGAATATTTGACATACCAAATGAGGAAATAAAAAACATTTTACACATTTGCTTCTATTAGTGACATCATACTCACAACCCTTGTGAATAACACACCTCGCCCCCCTTTTCCGATCTTTCAAATTGCAAAAAATTTCTCCCTTTTCATTTTTGCAACACTGTTGAAAATAAATGTCGTCACATAGAGAGCATCGCACACATGCATGTTACGTAGGTGTATATATATATATATATATATATATTTATATTTATGTATATGTATGTATAAAGACCATCCCTTAAATAGTGTTAAATAAATAACCATGTTCGAACTCGTTTTTCCAAATTTTGCACACATCGTCTCAAGGACAATTGCTGCACGTCCGTACATGTATAAAAGTGTTCATGTAAAGAGAGGCACGTTTATCGACTTCTATATCTTAGGTGAGAAAATGTTATTAATGAAAGTGCACAAAAAATAAAAACTGCATTTTCATTATGCACACACGGTATTTAAAGTGAATTATCATCTTTCATCCCTTATTTTTGTATTGTCACCAATCCTAGTTTACACATAAAGGATGTGGTAAAAGGAGCTGTTATGATGATAGAAAAAATTAGTAATATTGTTTTATTTTATTTTTTAAGTAAAATACCATTTCTTCTTTGTAATATTTTCTGCGCTTTACAAAAAAAAAAAAAAAAAAAAAAAAAAAACAGGACAGCTTCTTCTTAACATTTCCTATATTTTTCCCCAAACAAGTTAAAGTAATAATTACAAAGTACATTAGGAATATAATCTTAGAACATTTTTCATTTATAATTTTAAACAATTTTACATAATATTTTTGTTCAAATTTTATTTTTACTCAATAAAAATATAATAAACCCACATGTGTGGCTGTTCATGATCCATTAATTTGTTCGTATTCTGATAGGTATGGGTGGAAGCCGTTTCACTGATAATTCATCTGTGGCACGGTGTGTATAAACAGCATTTTTGCCAGTTTTGCCAGTTTTGCAACTTTTTTCTTAGCACCCGAATAAATGGGGAAACTTTTGCACACACACTTTTTGGTAAATAATGATGCTAACAATATGGAAACAAAATCATAACTACAAAAAGTAGTCACAATTTTAAGAAAGTATGGAAAGAATAAATAGTAGATAAAAAAATCTTTACAGGTATTTTTTTTTTTTTTTTTTTTATATGTTTCCCCACTTTTTAACAATATTATAGATCATACGAGGGGAGTGAAATGGCACAATTTTTCGCACATCAGAAATTTCACCAGCCCATACGGAGATGTAATTATGATGGAGGGAAATGTTATGAACAGGTCAGGTAAAAAAAAAATAAATATGATAAATTACATATCTTTGTGATGAAAAAAAAAAGTGGAAAAATTGACCAAGAGGTCGGTCAGTAGTTTTTCACTCCATAGATCCATATAAAATGGAAATCCATAACATAAGAATATATAATTTTTGTTCTTTTATAAAAAAAAAAAAAAAAAAAAAAAGTGTTCGATGATGTTTATACTATATCTTTTATATACAATTTTCCGTATAAAAATATATGAATTTAGAGTAGTGTAACTTTTCTCTACTTTAGATTGTCAAAAATAAGAGTAGAGACATTCTTTGCCGCCCAGCAAAATACACGGATGTAAAAATATTACACTACAACTACTTATTGGCATAATTTCATTTAGTTAAATTATTTGTCACTGTTTTTCACTATCGCATCAAAAAAAAAAAAAAAAAAAAAAAAAAAAAAAAATACTCCATATGTAACATGCTCATTATTTTTACATAGTCATTTACAAACTTTCGAAAAGGTTCCTTTGTTAATTCGTCCCACATCTTAGGGCTTTACGACATGTAGTACATGTATAAGTGTACATATATGTAAATACATATACATACACACATACTACATACTACGTACATATAAATAAATATGCTATATAGTGTGCATATAAATATACAAACTTTATTTTGCAACATGTGGGAAGCAATTTTTACATGAACACACCTAGCTAATAAAACCAAGAAAGGGAAAAAAAAAAAAAAAAAATAATAAAGGAGAATAAAATAAAATAAAAACCGGTAGCATAAAATAAAATAAAAACCGGTAGCATAAAATAAAATAAAAATAGGTAGAATAAAATAAAATAAAAATAGGTAGAATAAAATAAAATAATCCGTTTAAGCAAAAATAATAAACCGTAACCAAGTATATACACCGTTTTTCGCGCTTACCACATAAATAAATACATATTATATGTATGAGTTTGACATCAATTACCCTTTCATGCATACGTGCCCGTATAAATACACTTATATGCTATTTTGAAAAAATAATATATATTTTTTGAATTTTTTATACGTTTTTATTTTTTACATTTTTTCAATTTTTTTGACCATATTGAACAGTTTGCGTTGACTCATTCGATGAACAGTTTTTAAAAAAGTTATGAAAACATATTTCTTCCTGAATGAACCTTCTAAGCTTTATTTCACAGCATATTTGCAAAACAAAGGAGAGGAGTTAATTGTTGAACTACGTGAAACGTTGCTTTCTGAATCTTAATTAATTGGGCTACTCCCTCGCGAAGAAACAAAGCGTTCTTAGCCTTTGTATGTGAAGAAAACATATATATGCACAAGCCCGTATAAGCCATACACAAGTGGATACAAGTTCACATAAAGGCTCTTCCCACCCACTCTCCCTAAGATCAACAGCCCTTTTTTATATTCTCACCAGCGAAAAATGGACTTTGTAAGAAAAAATAAGGAAAAAAAAAATATATATTCACATGTACATGCATACATAGATATGTACATACTTAGATACGAACATACTTAGATACGTACATACATATATACATGTGAACGTTTCATATTGCACATATTATGAGCACCATGATTTTATAACGCATGCATGTGCCAGTGTGGGTATTAAATGGAATAAAAAAAAAAAAGAATGAAGGAGAGAAAGAGAGAAAATTGGAGAGAGTCGCATAAGATCCTTGAGTGAAGAAACATTCACTTTTGCAAACTATACATTCGTGTGACACGTGGGATCGAATGTGTACATGTTCCTTTGAAATGTTTTCTCCTATGAAGATACTCGATTGAATACAATACATGTGTATGTAAATAAAAACATCGCATATGTGTGGTATTACATGTATATGGGAGTAATTTTTTTTTTTTTTTTTTTTTTTCTTACCCTGGGTTTTCCCAAAACTGAACATTCAATAAATGTTCAATCGGTAGGGGTAATCGAATTGTATATTAAAACGATATAGAATTATTATATCCCATCCTATTTCTCTTCTCCTACTGGAAAAATTCACAGAAATTGTTAGGTCCGAAAAATGACATACGGTCACTAAAAGTACAAGTGGTAGCATCATTTTGCAACATAAAGCTAAATATTCCTCAATTTGAAATAGGGAAAGATGATAAGACTCAAGATTTTTTGAAACATTCCCCATTGGGAAGATTGCCAGTTTTAATAACCTCCCAAGGTAGTCTATTTGAAAGCAATGCTATTAGTAAATATTTATGCAACATAAGAAAAGAACATAATTTATTGGGAAAAGGAGTTTTTGAAGAAGGACAGGTGAACATGTGGGTAGACTTTAATACATATGAATTAGAAATACCAGTATGCTGTTACATTAGTAATAAATCTAATGAAAAATCGTTAAAGCATATAGAAGAAACTTTTAGCTGCCTGAATAATCATTTGTTGTTAAATCAATTTATGGTAGGAAATGGAATAACTTTAGCAGATTTGTTTATATGTGTAATTATAAACTTTTCAATTAAAGCAGGGAAATTAGATGAGAATTTTTTAAAAAAATATGTAAATTTGTTTAGACTATACAACACAATAAGTAATCAGAAGCAGTTTAAATATGTATTTTCCAATCAGCAGCAAGGGGCAGGGAAAAAAGGAGGAAATGCACAAGAGAAGAATGTAAAAAATAATGGAGACAAGACAAATAATGAAAAGAAAAAAGAAAAAAATAATAAAAAAAAGGATAATAAAAATGATGAAGATAATGATGAATTCGAACTATTTAGTGATGAACCAACAGAAAAAAAAACAAAAAAAACAAATCCATTGGATTTATTACCCGCTTCATCATTTTCTCTTGATGAATGGAAATACAAATTTAGTAATGAAAAAGATCTTTACAACAATGCCATGCCACATTTCTGGAAAACATATGATCCCAATGGATTTTCATTATACTACATGAAGTATGATAAATTAGAAGATGAATGTCAAATTTCTTTTGTTGCTTGTAACATGGCAGGTGGATTTTTACAAAGACTAGATAATAATTTTTCTAAATACTCATTTGCAGTTATTACAGTATTAGGAGAAAATAAAGATTATGACATTGAAGGTGTGTGGTTATTTAGAGGAACCGAAATTCCATTTGAAATGAAAGATCATCCATCTTTTGAATATCACATTTTTAAAAAATTGGATATCAACAATAGCAAAGACAAGAAGATTGTTGAGGATTATTGGTGTTCAAAGGAAACAGTCGCAGCTCGTCCACTTGTCGACAGGAAGGTTTGGAAGTGAACCCCTCATCTTATCGTTTTTTTATAAGAAAACAAAGTTGTGTGAAGGGTAATGCCCATGGAAGAGAGGGGGGGGGGGGGGACTCAACTGGGGGGGGGGACTCAACTGCTCGGGGTTATTATATTCCACATGCATTTGCAAAAGTGGAAACAGAAGTGTATTCAGAAGTGGATTCAGAAGTGGAATCAGAAGTGGAAACAGAAGTGGATTCAGAAGTGGATTCAGAAGTGGATTCAGAAGTGGAATCAGAAGTGGAATCAGAAGTGGAATCAGAAGTGGAATCAGAAGTGGAATCAGAAGTGGAATCAGAAGTGGAATCAGAAGTGGAAACAGAAATGTGTATATGTGGATAAGTGCATTTGTACATACCCCCTTTCCTCAAGTAAAACTGATGTCGTAACCCAAATAGGAAAATCATATGTATTATTTTCAAACCCTACGAGCGAATGGTGTCGTTAGTTTCCAAAGTTTTTCATCGAATTATGCAAATTTTGCATGATAGTTAGACTACTGTTTTATGATGATGTTTGATCAATTTTATGTCCCCATGCTTACAACATTATGTTCCCTTTTTTTTTTTTTTTTTTTTTTTTTTTTTTTGCACAAGTTACATTTTTCTTTTTACTTCCTTTGGAATCATGTCACCAAACTAGACCCTTCCAGTCACTTTGAACAAAAACACACACATCGTAGGGGAAGGAAAGAAAATGCTAAAAGATTAAAATATAAAGATGTTAAGTTATAAAATCATAAAATTATTTTATGTTTTTAAAATGTTACAAAAAAAAAAAAAAAAAGAAAACTGCTCAAAATTTCAAAATTGATTTGTCAGAGAAGAGAACAGTTACATGCGGTATAATTCCCCCCTCTTCTCTCTCGTGTCCATCCTCTGTCACACCTTTTTACACAACATTGCGTCTGTATGCATCCCTACACATATAACTATTCTTATACATTTATATGAATACATGCCTATTCATGGATTTTGATATGTGTACATAATAATCTCAGCGACTTGACAAACTCTACGTATGCAAAACTGTGATCAAGCACGGGGGTAGTATTCTTCTCATATATGGTGGCACTATTGGGTCGAGAAAAAACATTGGGAGAATATGAGAAGCATACGTACACTCGTACACAAGTTACATATGCATGTTATATATTATGCGTGTGTTTTCCCATCACATTCATAGATTGGGCTCCCTTTAGAGATCGAAATTATTTGCGAGCCAGAATAAATGACCTCATCCTCTGTTCAAACATATACCTTCTTTTTTGGCAACCACCCCCACCCCTACTACTACTACTATTGCTATCCTCACATGTTTTCAGTCTATTTCAAAATAATTTTCACTTTTAAACGCCTTCTGGTAATCAACAGAAATGTCTGGGAAGGACCATACTTTATTTTTGTTGTCACTGAACAAGTTTTTAATTAAATTGATTATGTCCATTTCATCAACTTCCTTTTGTTTTTCAAATGTGTGTTCTTTCGAATCTAAGATGACTATTGCATCGTTCATTATTTCTTCTTCTACGTTATCTACCCTTTTTTCAAAGTTATCTTTCGCTGTCAAGAGTGGGTAAAATGTGCGAGGGTGGTGTAGATAAGAGTGTGTGGAGGGGGAGAAAAGACATGCACTCTCTCTTTCTGTAGATCTTACATTAGCACAGTGAAGGTGTATACTACCTGACCTCACATCATAATACACACCTTCAGGCTCATGCATAGAATTACCCCTTGTCTTCTTATTCTTTACGCTTATAGAGTCTAACGCTTTTCCAAGTGCATTTGAATGCTTTTCTGTGGAATTAAAATCTACTAATTCAACATTCTTTGATGATTCTACTTGATCAATTTTGACAAAATTGCCACGGCAGTAAGATGAATGTCTTCTCCCTTCCCAAAGAGGGTTTAAAAAAAAAAAAAAAAAAATGAATCATTTCTTTATCTAAAAATACAAAATTTCCATATTGTAATTTCTCTACCCATTTGTATCTACCACTATAAGAACATGACTCATTTTTTCTCTCTTTTTTGCTTAACTTACACCACTTTTCTTTGGGTCCGGGTGGCCTATTCATTGATCTTTTGACATATCCAAAGTGAGGAGCATGCGTTCTACACACACCCTTTTATTTTATTATTTTGAGTGATATGAGGAGTGAAAGGAATTTTTTCATAAGTATGAAGTGCTTTTTTTTTTTTTTTTTTTTAAAAGTGTAGATACTTCAAATATGCACACACATCTAGTAGTGTGTAAAATAAAGAACCGGAGGAGCAGCATTCCCCATTTAGATGAGTCTAATATCTCTCATGTCTAACTGTACATCTCCAGACATGGTTCCTGTAAAAGTTTACTTCCTTATGAAAGCTGTGATATATAGTGATACACAACCCGGTTGCTTTATTTATCCTATACATATTTTTTTTGAATTCCTGTGAATACAAATGAGTAGAAAAAAGGGAAAAAAAAAAAAAAAAATGAAAAATCATTTTCAACCAGAGAAAGTGAGAAGGGACACATTGGCTAATGGAAAACGCTTACCGGACCGTGTCCATCATGTCGTGCATTACTTCTCGTTAAAAAGAGAAATGCATGAATCATTTCGTGTAGTAAGGTTTCCTAAACGTTTAGCATTTTTTTTTTTTTTTTTTGGTTTGTGTTTTGTGACAAAATGAGTTATATTTGGATGCATTCAGATTAGACAAGAAAAGGGGAAAAGTATTAGATGCACAGAAGGTGAAAACAGGTACATATCTATATGCCTACATGCACATGTGCATGTGTACATGTACATATATATATATATATATATATAAATGCAGAAACTGATGAGCATGTGCATATACCCTGTATTCTTTTATTTTCCTCAGCTTTAAAAGTGGGAGCGACAAGCGAATGCAACAATAGCCTGATTTCTAAAAGTTAATGTGTAGGATGCACATGAGCATAAAAGGACACATAGCGAGAAGAAGGGGTTGAAAAATATGAACTGTTTCTTTAAGGGAATAAAGACCTATATTCGAAATACACCTTTTTCTCTTCTTTTTCTTTTTTAGAAGTATATGCTTGATGAATGGTCGTAAGTCGGGTCATAACACTACCATTATAGAAATATTATTAGTGCACTTACCTTAAATACACATATCCCCGCACACAACTTCATTTTATTACTCCACTTCACTTGTACCGTTTGCAATTTATTAAAAAAATACTTTTCATTATATTCTGTAAAGAGTTCTTGCAAATCGGGAAATTCCGTGTCCTCTTTTGAAGGGGGAAAAAAAATAAAATAATAATAATAAAATGAAAATAATGAAATAAAAATAATAATGAAATAAAAATAATAATGAAATAAAAATAATAATGAAATAAAAATAATAATAAAATGAAAATAATAAAATGAAAAAAAAACGAATAAACGGTCTTACTGGATTCGTCATACACGACTGCGTCTTCCACACATTCAACGTCTGAATTATCATAAAAATGTGTAATTTTGTTTTTTCCTCTTTTTTTTCTGTTTCTTTTTTTGGGAGAATTATCCTTTTTATTATAAGCCACTTTGTCCCCACCCACAGAATCATCCGTATCAGATTCTATATGAATAGAACTCAGCTGTTTTATTACCTCCATTGTTTCATAATCTTCTTCCTCTATTTCTCGATTTGCATGATCTTCTTCACTATTGTCTACACATGTAGAGTTCTCAATTTCTCCCTTTTTGTTGCTATTTACATTTTCATTTTTGTAAATAAAATCCTTATTCGAATTCATTGCCTCTAGTACTATAGATTCCCCATTTTGTTCAGGGGCCACTTCACAATGCATAGATATATCATCATAGGATATAGATATTTTCTGTCTTCTTTTTTTCCCGCTCTTTTCCAAATATTCACTTTCCACAGATGTTAGTTTGTTGATGCCATCATTCATTTTGGAGAGTTATTATTTTTTTTTTTTTTCAACCCTTATTTTTTTGCTACGTTGTTACAGTTTCGGTTATATTTTTTTATTTCATCTTTTCTTCCTTTTTAAGATAAAAAAAAAAGGGAGAAAAAAAAAAAAAAAAAAAATGCCTACTTATAATATTATAGCTCACTTTTGACTAATTTTTCTCCCCTTCGCATAACTGTGAAAAAATACCCAAAATAAAAATGCTTCGGTGCCATTATAATATTTTTTAGAGGATGGGAGATATTTCCATTTAATAAATCAAGACATGAACTGATTTTACATTCACGCCTTCATCTCCTCTTTTCCAAATTTTTTTTTTTAAGAGTCTAATGTATGGAATTAACTAAGCATAATTCCTTTTATTACCTCATTTTGTTATATCTCTTTTGTTTTATTATTATTATTTAATTCAATTTTTTTATTTTTTTCCATTTTTTGTTAGTAATGAAATGGTCTAAGTAGTAAGGCATGCGTGATTCTAGGAAAGGAAAAAAAAAAAAAAAAAAGAGAAGACTGCACTATATTTTTTTTTTTTTTTTTGTAAAAAATTGTGCACTATGGAGATGAGAAGGATGTCGATACTATTACCAAACCAAGTGCATCATTCTCAATCACGATTTTGTAATTCTACATTTGCCTTCCTCACAAAAGAGGAGAATGATTGATGAATAGATAACTGAGGGGTGCACATCATACGTGTAACGTGTGTGTTTGTTTAAAAAAAAAGGTTTGTTCGATTCAAATATACCGGGGAGGAGTGAGGAAGGAGTGGGGAAGGAGTGTGTGGTCATATAAACATATATGTATAAACTAAAGTATTTGTACACGCACAAACAGGGGAAGCAGTTTATTTTTGCAATTTGTTTCATCTTAACAGTACAGTTACAGAATACCATTTGACCCAATGGAAAAAGACATTTAGAGAGATGTGCTATTCATAAATGAGAAGAATGAATACGGTTTTTACCAATTCTCCAAGTGGGGAAAACCCCGTAAAGAATCTGTGGAGAGTACAACTAGGGACAGGTTCTTACAGGTAAATAAAAACCAATGTTGTTTTCCACGTATCTATGTATAACCAATTTTGTTAACCACAAAGAGAGTTTTCACAAAAAAAAAATATGCAAAAGAGGAGAAAACAAAAAAAAAAAAATATAGATTGAGAAGGGAAGCAAAAAAAAAAAAAAAAAAATAATAAAAAAATTCGAATCATTATATTACATCCTTGAAAATGTTTAAAATTATGTTCCTATAAAGTTCCTATTATAATGATTTGCATTTTTTTTTTTTTTTTTTTTTTCCTTCCCTTTCTCAATCTATATTTTAAAAAATTAAATAACTTGATAAAAATCACCTTTTCTATAGCACACATTATTTAACACTAATATTATGATTTTCATGTGGAACTCTAATTATGATGTAAATCCCTTTTTGGATATATTTAATGAAGCTTCTTTTTTTTTTTTTTTTTTTTTTTTAAATGATAAGATAATATAATGGGCAGATAATAAGGGACATGTAAGAATATTTCATCCCCCCCTTCAAAATTATAAAAATATAAAAATATAAAAATATAAAAATAAATAAATAAAATAAAATAAAATAAAATAACGTCTACACAACCATAAACTCCTGCGACATGCTCCATTCCTCTCATGTTTTGTATTCCCAATTTTTTTTATGAACAGAATGATGATTAAGAAGAGGATAGTAGAATCAAAGAATCACTTTTATCTCAAATCAGTATGCATAGATTTTATACCCCACCACTTTTTCTTACGTTATCAAAGACTGTGTTATGGCAACTTGGTAGATAATGCTTCTCAGAAGTTAGCTTGTCACCATGCAAAAGGTTCAAGGAATAAAGACATGTGCAAGCACATCCAAACGCATAGTAGAATAAATTTTAAAAATTGTGAGGAGCCCAACCTTTTTGAAGAAGAATTAAGTAAAGTGTTCAAGGAGTACCCACTGCCAACTGATAACAAAGAGCCGATTGACAATGAAGAAATATTAATAACTCATAATATGAAGAATGAAATAAAAAATATTGGCAATGTTGTTAAGCTAGATGATTCTACATATGGGATGGTGCTACAAATTAATAAGCACAATGTGGTAATAGGAAAAATAAAGAAAACAAAATTTGATAATTCTACTCCAGAAATGGAAGATTATCACTTGAGAGTAGAGGACACGAGCAAAAATACAGAGAAATCTAATGAAGGTACTTGTCATTCTATTTTCTCCCAGCCTGTAAAAGAAACAAACGTTTATTCCCCATTTGAATACTTGAATTATCTCTTTTCAAATGAACCAATCAATCATTTAAATATATTCAGACATGTAGAGAAAGAAACATATCATCGAAAGCCTATCATCAAGCAACTGTACACGAACTTGCTATTGACAGATCTTTTCAATAAAATAAATTATGGGCAGAAAATTTGCATAATTGAAGAAACAAAAAATGATGGAAAAAAACAGGTTATTAAATCTATTCTTTATGAAAATTTACTGACCAATTTGGTTAAAAAGAATGAGCATTTTTTTATCATTTGTTCGAACAGCCCCAAGGCGGAAATACTCAACGTTTTTCATGAATTGCATGAACTGTTCAGAAAAATGCACACTTGTTCAGGCGAAATGGGAGGGGAAAAAAAGAACAGCTATCTTGGGGAGGGTAGAAGCGCTGCTAGTTACCAAGAGAAGGGTCAGCACCCAGGATACCACCAAACTGATCAATCAGGACACCACCAAACTGATCAATCAGGACATCACCAAACTGATCAACCGCGAGACAAGCGAAATGTGCAGGAATTGTACTCCAAAAACTACATGCACGGCAAGGTAAAAATGCCAAACGATGTGCTACTGATAAATGCCTCACCAGAAACGGGGTCTAAAGTTTCGGTGTACATTTCGCCACTCCTTTCCCTTTACAATTTAAATGAGTACAAAAAGAAGTACAAAAATGTTTTATTAATTTTTTATGATGTAACCATGTACAGCGAAATTTCATCAAATTTGCAAAAAGATATGAATACATTTGTTCGCAGTTACTATGAAAAATGGGAAGGAAACACATGGGGTAAGTCTTATACAACAATGAAGATTGGTTTAAGAGACACTTATCCAATATCAGACATCCCACCCATTGCGACCTTACCACTATCTGTATACACTGTGCTTTCAAAATATATGGCAGCATCCAAGTATCCTCATTTTGTGGGAGAAGTAGGTGATGAATCAACTGGTGGAAAATATGTAGGAAGTGAGATGACCTCGTCTAGTCCCACCCAAGGCCATATTGGTGATAAACATGTACGTAATTGCAGGTATGCTGATTCTGTGTTAGGTAGGGAACGCATAACAGATTCGCACAAGATAGATGCACACATGTTAGATACGCACATGTTAGATGCACACAAAATACGTGTTAATAAAAACCGGTGGGACAGCGGTGTAACCACATTTTGCTTCCTTAACAAGGGAGAAGTATCGGATCCAGTAAAAGATTATGCATTGTCAGTAAGCGAAAACAACATGCATATGCTGAGAAATAACTTTAATATTCAACCAGAATTTAATCTAAATCAAGTAATTAAAAATGTAACAAATGAAGAAAATAAGGTTTGGGAATTTATCAAAGAAGATATAAGGAAAGTAATTCAAAAGAGAAATGAAATGATACTGTTAAATGAAAATAAAAAAAATTATAACATTTTTATAGACGATTGGGAATATGAAGATCTTATTCATTACAATAGTATATATTATATATTGATTTATGTAAATCATCAAATGGCTACTATGAATTCCTTTGATATTATTCTCTTTCTCCGAATTTTGTTAACGTACAATTTTACAAATTCAGTCATTTCAAGAAATCATATTCATTCATTTTATATCCAATTTAATCAATTTTATTCCTCAAACTCTAAGTACTTTTCTCTCCTCAAAAATGCATATTATCAACAGTTAAGCTCCTTCAATGATAGAAACAGGGCTCACATATTTATACGTAAAATTGATCTTATATTGAAATGTATAAATCCACCCTTCCGATATATTCTATAGAATCGATGGACGGTTGTCAAAGACAAGGAATGGTCTGTTATTATGTCCCCATTTTTCGTCTCACTGTTCTGTTATGTAATGTTATGTTATGTCATGTCATGTCATGTTATGTTTTTTTTTTTTTTTTTTTTTTTTTTTTCCCGAATCGTTTGTATCGCTTTACTAGCATGCCCTCGATTCGATTACTCCATGCTTACGTGCATTTGCATTCATACAGATGTATGAGCACGCAAGAAAGAGTACATGAATATATACAAATCAGTAAGAGTGTACAAAGTTGACATTTTAGGAAACCTCCTTATCCCCATTATAAAAAGTGCAATTGCGAACATTTCCCCACCTGCCCATGAATATTCTGGAGAAATATATCAAGCGAAGGAACGTAACCAAATTGGTGAATCACATTTAATATCATCCAAAACCATTATTTGCAACATGTTAGTGATAAATGAATCTCCCTGTTTTTTTTTTTTAATCAAACATACACAGAACTAGCATATTCATTCCTCAGAAATGTAATCATCACCATCACTTCTAAAGAGATCATCATTTGCAATGTCATCATACTGTTCGTCGTCACCATCATCATCTTCTTCTTCCTCCTCTTCTTCTTGAATTTCTTCAAGAGGTTCCTTTTTCATGCTGGTTCTATAGTCATTGTCCAATTGTTTAATTCCACTAACTGGGATAAGATCACCCATGTTGACATTCACATTGGTTTCACCTTTATGAAGATCAATGATATTATTGGTGTTTTTAACCTTGCCAGAATAGTCAAGGTCTTTTAACTTTTGTAGTTCATCCAATCCTGTCCTCCTCATGTCTTGCCCCTTGTCATAATTGTCACTCTCATGTTGTTGGGAAAATTCGGGGACTATTGCATGTCTATCTTCATCATGCATTTGGTCTACACCCATCTCGTCTGCATCATCTCCATGACCTGGTTCGTCCACTTTCCCTGTCCCAGCACGTGCTTCACCGCCATTTTTGCTATCCATTGCAGCCTTGAGAACAATGTGTTCACGAAGTTTGTCTTGGCTATCACTCCTTAGAATCACTTTATCAATGGTGTGTACATCTATGTTTTCAATTTTTTGATAATTTAAATTGAGAATTAAATGAAAAGCACTTGGAGATCCAAGCAATATACCTTGTAATGGTGGAAACATGTTGTCTTTAAAAAAAACAGTAACTTCTTTTCCTGAGTTATTACACCAATCTCTTCGACACACAAGTATATTTTGACTAGGGAGAGATGAGACTACAAGTTCAAAGTATGGCAATATGACAATTTCTTCATCTATTTCTATTTCTTTTAATCTTTCTGCAATTTTTTTAACTAATTGTTTCAAATCAAATAATGTTATTTTGTAATTTTTTCCTTGGGTTTCATCAGGAGTAACAAATACTTCTACCTTCCCAGCATACCATGTCACATCATACAGATCCAAATTGGATGGTCTTCTCACTTCTTTCATTGGATAATCATACATTATTACATCTCGTATTACTTCTTCTGTTCTTTTTCTCCATTTGCAATTAAGAGGGTCGTCCCACTCGTACAGCATCTTGTCTATTGGTGATACTGCCTTTGTGTATAGCACATTTTCCTCTAGTAATCTGAAATTTTCTAAACTGTATTTATTATATGCATCTCCCTTATCCAATTCAATATTTTTAGTTTGGTTCTCCACTTCTCCCTCAGACAATTTGTCTCCATCGCCCTCTAACTCGTCACTCAACCTGCCGCTCAACCTGCTGCTTGAATGTTCTGTCCCGGGTTGACAGGTCCTTTCATCAGTGGAGTTGCCACCATCGAACTCAGATATGTCAGGGTGCAACCTCTTATATTCCTCGTTTTTCCTCTTCTCAATCTGCTTCAACTGATCCAACCTCTCCTTTCGTTTTTGCAGATACAATTTTCTGAACTCTTCAGGAAGTAAGTTCAACTCTTCTTCTGTCAAAATCCATTTGTTCCTTGAATGCCCTTTTCTTTCTTCCCATTTAATCATTTCTTCCTTTGCTTCCCTCACAGTTTTGATGTTTTTTTTGAAGTACAATTTTCTTATATCTTCTACAGATACATTGTCTGACTTATTCAAACCTGGTTCGATTGGTTCAGGGTTGCTTGTTTTTGCATTTGATGTAGTAGCAACAGATTGGGTGGATTCATTTATGTTCTCTTCTTCTCTCATGTCATTCTGATTTGATTTATTCAATTGTTCGTCCAACAATTTACGTCTAAATTCTCGATACCCAGTTTTGTCATAAGTTATGTTGTATTCTAACTCCAAATCTGTTTTCTCAAATTGGTAATTATCTTGATTCTTTTTCAATTCGTCAATGGATGGCCAAGGTCCTATACCTCTAAATGATGCATCATATTCTGTAAGATCATTTTCTTCATCATTTTCATAAAAACAGTCTATAATGGAATATTCATTATTAGGATTTGTAACAGATAATATAGAATGATGTATTTTGTCTTTATCATTTGAAGGGATTTTTTTAATTAAAGAAGGATGGATATATTTCTTACAATCCACATCTTCAATGTAATCATCAATAGTTGGATCAGGTAACGCTTTTGCTTTTGATAATCTTTCTTTATCCAATTTTTCTAATTCCTCTAGTGTCATTTTCCCTATACCATCATCTTTTTGTACATCTTTTTCTTCTCCTGATTTGACTCTACCCACTAATGTGCCTTTTTCTTCATTCCATTCTTCATCATTTTTTCCTTTCGTGTATAAATTGTCTGGAATGGTAATGTACGGATAGCTGCAGAGGGAGAAAAACGTGGGAAAGTAAATTTAAAACAAAAACAAAAAAAAAAAAAAAAAAAAAAAAAACATACATACATACATACATACATACATACACACATACATACATACATACATACATACATACATACATACATCATAAGCTCAGAATGGTGCAGACGCATTGTTCATACACTTTCTTCACATGTTAAATCCGGTAGTGATAGTAGAACCTTCCTCACTGAGCCCACTCTCAAACTGAACTGCACTCCTACTGGCACTACTACTACTGCAATACTTACATGGGTTCTGGGGGAAGATTATATTTGAAGTATTCGTCCGGTATATCATTTCCTGGAGAATTTGTTATTTTGATTGAATATAATTTTTTTTGTTTTTTCAGGTTTATCTTACACCTCTTGGATTTAAAAATGTCATAATGGTTCCTTTGCTTTACCCAGCCGTTCTTGGGTACTAGTCTGAGACGTGACGATAGGTGGAATGACATGTCGATATGTGGAAAGACATAACGATGCGTGGAAAGACGTAACAATACGTGGAAAGACGTAACAATACGTGGAAATACATAACGATACGTGGAAATACATAACGATACGTGGAAAGACGTGCAAGGGTGTTAATTAGAAATATTATCTGTAGATACATTTTGCAATTGTGTAACCCACCTGTTACCTCCATTAGAAACAATGAATCCATAGCAAATGGACACCAAAAAAAAAAAGGTACATACAAAATATGCTAAAAATGATGTGAACAGTTCTTTTTTTGGTTTCATGTGAAAACATGTTATATTTTTTTATTTTATTTATTTTTTCCTATCTCCAAATGAATATAACAGAGCTAAATTCGTTTTCCCCACTGATTATTCAAGTCGTTTCTTTTCATTTTAGGATGTAACTCTCTTCTCTTCCACAATGAAACAAACTTATGTGTGCTTATTCATCCTTTTATCTTATTACTACGCATGTATATATATATATATATTTCTAAATTTCCACACATGAGAGAAGTAAAAAAAAAAACATTATAGACTCCTCTGCATGTTTTCTACTACACCCTCTTAATTTGAGACCGGTTAAAAGGAAAAAAAAAAAAATAAAATAAAATAAAATACCGCGATAGATTAGATTTTGCTCTGATTTGTACACACGTCATCTTGTAACATTTGTCTCTCTTGATCCTTTTGAGGATTTAAAAAAAAAAAAGGAAAAACGAATGAGAGATTTTTAAAAAAAAAAATGGGGGGTTATCTTTTATATATTCCCATTTTGTGTTATAATGAATATTTGAAGAAATGGTAAAAGTTTTTTTTTTTTTTTTTTTTTTTTCTTAAGGGGTTGGAAGCGAAACACTACATTAAAATGTAAACATTAAACATGACATAACCATACCAAAATAAAAAAAAAAAAAAAATTTTCGAATTATTCATAGATACTAATATGGAAAGGTCTTTTTATATCAAAAAAAAAAAAAAGTTAGGGAAAAATTCTCCAAATAATCAAAATTATAATGGTATTTCCATCCGACATGATAAAGTGCGAATGAGGATAATGCATGTTCAATTTTCACCTACACCTAATATGTATATTATATACATGTATATATATATAATATGTACATATATGTATAATCATTTGTGTGTGATTCTGCCCAAGGGTACGGTACACCTTTAGGTTGATTCACCCAACTTCATACATTTTGTTGCTCACGCCCTCATGAATTTTAAATTAAATCTGAAAACATTAACATGTATTTTTTTATTTTTATTTTATTTATTTTTTTTGTTACAATTCTTTGGGTTGTGCGCACTTGACTAAAATGCTATTATGCACTTGTGTAGGAAGTAAAACAAAATAAATGAATAAATGAATGAATAAATGAATGAATAAATGAATGAATAAATGGATGAATAAATGGATGAATAAATGGATGAATAAATGGATGAATAAATGGATGAATAAATGGATGAATAAATGGATGAATAAATGGATAAATAAATTTATCGATGAATCTATATAGGTCATATTCCCCATGCATGAATGTAGAATATCATTGTAACTGCTTTCACAAAAAAAAAAAAAAAAAAACAAACAAACAAACAAACACTTAAAAAGTATTTACACAGAAACATTCAGAAGTTATGAAAAGCTGAAGACGCTACAGTGAGAGTTGTCATAACATAAGTGATCCTCTAAGGTGTGTATATATACCTATGCATAATTGTTTTGTTATATCATATACACACTGTGTGATGGATCTATAAACACACACATACAAGGAGGAATACTAATTCTTATATGGAGAAGGTATATATCAGGCTGTCTCTCCACCTACATAGCAATGGCCAATTGCATCATGGGGGTTTATTTTAACAAAAATTGATTCACTTAGATATATACGTATATATACATAAACAATGTAGTGGAAGCTATAAATTTAAATAGCAATATATATATATGTGGTTGCAAATGAAATTGGAAAAGTGCAAAAAAAAAAAAAAAAAAAAAAAAAAAGGGAGGGGAAAGGACACATCCTTCAGGTTGCATATGAGACAAACGGTTTTGTGTTTCTGGAACAATCCCATGGGTTCATCGTTAGAAGTTCAACCGCATGGTGAATCGCTTCTTCCACTAGTGCACTCCTGCTTGAGAAGCAAAGAAATTGCATTCTGTGACATAACAAAGGACACAAAAAAGGAATAAATAAAGGAATAAATGAATAAATAAATGAATAAGTGAACGTGTGTGTGGGGCGATCGCGATCAAAACGTGTGGTTATCCAGCTTAACCAAGTACTCGATGTGATTCGAATTTGTGCTAAGCCACTTTCTAGGTGCAGTGCTGGGTAGGTACCAATCCACCTCATCAACATTTTTTGTAACAGAAGATTTTAAAATGAGTTTTAGAAAATCTTGTCGAATGTGCTCAAAGTCTTGATACACCTCATTCCTCTTTTCAATCATATATCCACATGCTTTGTTATTATTTATAATTTTGCTTAATCTTAAAAATTTAGCTGCACTGTCATATTTAAAAGTGGCAGTATATATAGCTTTAAAAATGGTTAGAATATGATCCCTGAATTTGGACGAGTTGCTAGGTTCAACAAATATAATGCATGAGTTACTACATCTGTTACTATTACTTTTACAATTTTGCAAAGATTCTGATAAACTGTTAAACATATCAACAACAGATGGAGATATCTGAAGATCCTCTTCCCAATCATCACTATTTCCAATGTTATCCATTCGACAAGTAATGTAATCCAAAGTACTTTTAGCAAAAATGTATTTAAATGAGTTCGATTTTATAAAATTTGTTTTTGTATTACTTTGTGAAATATTTGATTCTGTAACAATACCATTCAGAGAATCATCTTTAAAATATTTCATACTTAATACTTTAATAAACTCTACTTTTCTTTTTAAAAATAAATTTTTTAATTTTTCACATTTTAATGCTTCTCTACTAGCTAATCCACTAAATTCAACTCCTATATATCTTCCAACTGTACCCCATTTCTCATACATCTGAACAGCCAACGGATGATTCCCATGTCCTATTTCCATAATCGTGTCATTTTCTGTAATTGGAGAAAAGTATTCCTTCTCATCGATAACAATTTTCTTAATTTTAGATTTTAACAATTCTGTAATCATATCAACAGCGAATTCTGTTGTTATACCTGTGAATGGTCTTACTTTATCAATTCCTTGTGTATAGTAATCATCCCAACATTTTTCTTCTTCTTCGGGTTCAAAATCACAGTGAATATATTCATTCTTTGATATTTCTGAATAGTTAGATGTATAGCTTGTGTTACTATTACTGTTCATTTCTTTTTCTCCTCTTTCTGAATTCACTTGTCTCTCCTGTTCAATATTTTCATGAAGCATTTTGTTTATCTTCGATTTTATCAATCGCTCACTTCTCTTAAGTGGACTACACAAATAGGAAATATATTCGTTCTTTATGTACTCAGGCAATTCCTTCATGTTTGATTCGTGCATTTGCCATTTATCTGCACTTTTTGCATCTGCTATTGCTCCCGCTATTTCTGCATCTGTGGGTTCTTTTAAATCCATGCATTTGTTTCTCTCTCTTCGTGGTGTGTATAAGTGTACCAACTCATCATAAATTGATTTTTTTTTTTTTTTTTTTTTTCTTTTTGTTACACTCCTATTTGTTTCTTGCTCGTTATGATGAACATTCATCATTTCATTTATTTTTCTTTTATTTGTATAAACCTTCTTAGGAGTGCTAAACATAGATACTCCTCTTCCATTCTCTTCATCTTCAAAATGGAATAAATTCTTCTTACTTGTTTTTCTAGGTGTGTATACTCTCTTCTTACTACTATATGTCTTTACATATTTTGCACTTTCACACATTATCTCCTCTTCATCATGATGATATCTTTTGCATGGTGTTTTACTCATAGATAAACTCATGATCACATCGTCTGAACCATCATCAAAGTTGCAAATTTCTTCTCGAAGTTTTTTCAATTCAAGTTGTGTCCTTTCATCCGCTATAAGTGGTAGAAAATCCAATGATTCTCTCTCTTCCTTTTTTTCTCCTAACAATTCATTTTTGTTTACCTTTTCTTCCATATCCATTTTGCTTATCTTCACCAAATTGCTGTATTTTTTTTTAGGTACCATTTCCTCTTGTTCTTCTACTCGATCCTGTGTTATGTTTCTCTGTGCTTCCATTATATGTGTCTACAAGTTTTCAATGGAACAACAAAACGGGGCGAGGTCAGTGGTGCAATATGTACGAAGTGCAATAGGTACGTGATCATACACTTTGTTCTGTTGTCCCACTGAGTGCACTTAAAGTATGCCCTGATTCGAACTTTCAACTTCCTGGGGAAACAGTGCAGCTGAGTCTTGTTTTGCACCTTCTTACTGCTTTTTCTCAAATCTTCTGTTTTTGGAAATTCTGTCTACTGCAGAGAGGGAGAGAATATTTTGATATCCCTTGTTTCCACTGGAGTTTCTCTTACCGTGCATGCACATGTAAATATATATATATATATATATATATATGGGCACATATATAAAGCATGAGAAAATCTATGCATTACCTATATGAACAGATGAATGTAATATCCAGATAAAACAAACAAAGAAATATTTACACTTACACAAAGATTATATGTTGAAATAGCAAACGAAAAGGTATTAGTTTAGGACAAATGAAATTTCTTTCTAGGGCTCATGTAGGGATGTCTGTATTTTGTGTATATGTGCGGGATGGGGTAAGGAAAGCATCAATTGTTCCTTTTTAGACGCATGTAAATATGATGCAAATCAGATTAACAACATATTGTTTATCTTGCAAAAAAATGTACAAAAAAGTATACAAAATAAAAAAAAAAAAAAAAAAAAAAAAGCGAATGGGAAAGGGAAAAGAAAAATGCTGTGTAGTTATTTTATATTCGTATAGTATCTTAAAAGAAATACTTCTGAATATGTATTTTTTTTTTTTTTTTTTTTTATAACACATATGATGAATTACTTCTTATGATATACATGTTTTATATGTGTAAAAACACTACTATTTACTAGGGGATGGGGAAAAAAAAAAAAAAAAAAAAAAAAAAAAAAAAAAAACATTCCTGACTTAATCAACTGCAACAATTTATCGTTACGACAATTCATTTCCGTGTGTGGATCCTCATTTATGCTTACATCCCATGGGATGAAAACTAAACAGGAAAATGTGAAGCAGTTACAATGTGTGTGTGTGGCAAACATGAAGCAGTTACAATGTGCGACAAAAATAAACTACGCTTATTTTTTTGTAACACCCAGTTGCCAGCAAACCTGTTGATTTATAACAAAAAGGGGATTTGGTGGAGAGGTACAACAAACTTTACGTGGGGTTAGGTTTCTTTTTTTTTTTTTTTTTTTTTTTTTTTTCCAAAAATGATTAAGCAAACGGATAGTAGCGATACAAATCTATCTGAATGTACAGACGCGAGACTTAAGGAGATGTTTTTTCCTTATTTTCTGACTTCTGTGTCAAAAAATTTGCAAGATGATTGTAATTGGATATGGAATATTTTTTATTTTTTGCACATATTGCTAGAAAAAGAAGAAAAAAAAAAAAGAGGCCTAGTGAGGGCAGTTGCAAAATTATCCTAAACTACGTGTGTGTTGGGGGCGGGGTGGGGGTCATCGCTTGCCATATTCGTCAAAAAAAAAAACGAGAAAAAGAGCGACAAAAAAGATGAGAAAAGAGCGACAAAAAAGATGAGAAAAGAGCGACAAAAAAGATGAGAAAAGAGCGACAAAAAAGATGAGAAAAGAGCGACAAAAAAGATGAGAAAAGAGCGACAAAAAAGATGAGAAAAGAGCGACAAAAAAGATGAGAAAAGAGCGACAAAAAAGATGAGAAAAGAACTAGATAAAAAACAAAAAAAAGTGAGAACTTTCCAATAGAAGAGTAATTCTTGCGGGTGACAGAAAAGCCCTATTTTTTAAAATATCATTATAGTATGGTATGAAAATGAATATTTGTCCTTACCCCCTCTATCTTTTTTGCTTCCCCACTTTTTGCTTTCCTACTTTTTGCTTCCCCACTTTTTGCCTTCCCATATTTTGTAGAGGAACACAGATCGATAAAAGGCCAGCATCGCCCATTTTGTTTTTTATGGCGACGAGAAAAACAACAAATCAAATTTTCCTAGGAAGCGGGTGCAAAGTAGTAAAAAAAGATAGTCTCAATAAAACAAGTATGGGAAATGGCCTGAGGAGAGCTGAAAAAAAAGAAAAAGAATAATATTTCAACTTCAGTCCTGGTATCCGTTCCAGCATTAGTTCGCGAGCAATCAGCTCGAACATTCAAACAATTTCAGCTCAGTAGGCATGCAAGCCAAAATAAAGTGCTACACGGCAAAAAAGAAAAAAAAAAAATACCACGTTGGGGAAACCGAATTTTCTTTTATTTCAAGTCTATTATATTTTTTTTTTATTTTTATTTATTTTATTATTTTTTTTTTTCTCCGTACACAATTGTCTTCCTACACTACAATCATCATTTTGGAAAAATTCCTCTTTTATGTGGATATTTTCATAATTTTTTAAGATAGCCTATTTTCACCACCATTTTTTTTATTAAACAACTATATATTCACCTTTTTTCCTTGTTTTTCTACATTATATATAATTTCGTGCAAAATGTGGAGAGAAATGACTCGGTGTTTTAAAAACTGTCGCGAAAAAGTGTGAAGTTGTTTATTCAGGGTGTGACAAAGAAGGAAAAAAAAGAAAAGGAAAAAGAAAGGCAAAATGAAAACTTTTCCACCTCTCCACTTGTCTACCTCTCCATTTTCCCCCCTCTCCACTACCGCAAATTCACGTATACACTGTCACAAAAAGGACTCCGAGAAACCTACACAGGCAATTTCATAATCATAAGATACACTCCCACATACATCCGTTGGCATAAAACACAGAAACATGATAGATGATAAGTTTTGTTATTATAATATATAACCAATTTGTGAATCCCCCCACCCTCACCCCTATATGATAATGCGTTATTTATATATTTACACACTCTTAACAATTAAACAAATAATATGGAATAACAAAAAAAAAAAAAAAAAAAAAAAAAACACCTTGCACATATATCCAAAAAATCTGTACATGTCTTCATATAGCACATACTTAGACAAAAAAAAAAAATAAGATAAAGCAAGACAAAATAAAGTAAAATAAAAATGAAAAAAACTTTCAATAAAGAAATAACATTGTGAACACAAAATTTAAGTCATTCATAAACAGAAGCAAACATAATAATTTGGTGCAAAGAATTGTCTTTGTTGCAATTTTCATGGATTCTCATTTTTTTTTTTTTTTTTTTTTTTTTCTTTACTGAAGTATGAATTTTTACTATTACAAAAAAAATGAACAGAAATATATCCACATCATTGTATGCACATGTTTCCTTTCATTTAATCTATTTCCCTTCCATTCGACACAAATGTGAAAACGTGAACATTCGCTAAATGATTGCTCCTGTTGTAGAATCTACTGGTCCTAAAGAAATGATTGTTATGGCATAAGGTAGTCTTATGAGTACAAAAATAAATATTTGCTGAGATGAATACATGTGTATTTGTTAATTGGAGAGAATGCATTCAAGGGGTGCCTTTTCAGTTATTACCTCTGTGAGATTTTTCCTTTTGTTTGGTTGCATATGCAACTGGAATTTGTGTGTAAATCTGTGACAAAATATCCAAGAAATGAATGGTTAGACCAAGTAGAGGAATTTCTTTAACACATAAAATTGATATGTATGAATGCCATACATATGTAGGTGCACACGTGCGTGTAGAAAACACATTTGTATGAGCACATTTATGTCTTTTTTTTTTTTTTTTTTTTTTTTTTTTTTTTTTTTTTTTTTTTTTTTTTTTTTTTTTTTTTTTTTTGCTGCTCCATTTTTGCTAACCATTGAATTCTGGATCTCTCCCTCGCAAGGCCAATCAATAGAACAAACATTTAGGAAATAATTTTTTTGACTATCGGAAATATTTTCAAATTTTGCATATTTTTTACATATACTGCTTTTATAATTAATTGGTGATTTACAGAATCCATTTTTTTCTGAAGGTACCCAACCAAGGGGACATGCATACGAGTAATTACGCATACAGCCGTTCCTCTCTAGGGAGAAGTAAAAAAAAAAAAAAAAAAAAAAAAAAAGGGAGTAGAAATATGTGTGATATGTTCCTTGTATATTCAAAGTATAAGCATCTAAACGATATGTTTAAATTATAGAGTAGGAGAGATTGGAAAGTGAGATTTTTCCTCATTTTATATGATCACATTTATGACATATGTGAAGTTTTTTCCTTGTTTCCATTTTAATGTGTACTATGTAAGTTGTCTAATTTCTCCCGCGTGGACTAACCTTTGAAAGGGAAATCCACCTGACATGCATTTGAGTAAGACTCCTTCTGTTGTGAATTCATGGCACCGAAATAAATTACATCGTTACATTTGTCATTTTTTTTGTAATTCTCTGGGGCCAGACAGAATCCATTGTCCATGAGAGACCATCCACTAGGTGCATCCGGGGTGCAGGGAAAGGGGAGCGAAAAAATCGAAAAAAAGGGAGAAAATGTAGACACTACATACTGTATCTATAAATGTTTCGTGCACCGGTTCAACCGTTATGTATTTATCGCTCTGTTTATCGCACTTTTTGCCACTCCTTTTGCCACTCCTTTTGCCACTCCTTTTGCCACTCCTTTTGCCACTCCTTTTGGTCGTTTTCCTTCGCTTATTATGGCCCTCTATATTCTCACATGGGACAGGGAACGCTGTAATCCCGTTGGTACTGATTGACTGTTAGTGTGTAAGGCCAATTTACAAGACACGCAATTTCCACCATCTTTTTATGTTCATGAGAATTGTACTTTTTCAAATTTGCAACTCTTGGACATGGGCCATCATAATTAATGGGTGCTTTACATCTGGATTCACCAATTTTTTCCCAATTGAGAGGACAAACTGAATCAAAATTTGTTTCAAAAATGGCAGACTTACATCTCCACCTGATTCCACAATCTGATTCCATTTTTTTCTTTTCATCAATAGATATATTAGAAAAATTTATATTTTTATTACATTTCTCATTTTCTTCTAGACTTTTACATATTCCTTTTCCTATATCGATCCAATTAATCGGACATACAGCACCATAGTCTGTTCCATGTGGGCACTCTTGGGGTTGACATGGCCAAATGGCATCACAAATTTCTCCCCAGCTTTCCTTCTGGTTATCATACAAGTACATGAGTTTATCTTGCACCTGATATGTGTCATGGGGTGGACTCAAAATAGAAGGCATTCAAAATAAGTTTTCCTGCGTTTATTCCGGAACACACTGATGTAGAAGTAGATGTGGAGGTATGCATAGATGCAGGGAGAGAGAAGGAATAGCGCACCTTACGACAAGGACCTTTGTACGAATCTAATGGGACACATCCAGAACTAGTTCGAAAAAATTCCAAGGGGCAAGGAAGCGAAAAATCCTGAAGACATATCTGGCAAATCCAAGCAAAATTGCAGGAAGACACATGGGTAAGCGGTATAAAAAAAGAAAAAATAAATAAATCAACGAAAAATTAAATATATAAATAAATAAATAAATAAATAAATAAATAAATAAATAAATATATATATATATATGTGCGCCATTTCGTGTAAGCCGCACTTTATCCGAATCTTCCATTGCCTTGAAAATTTAGGGGGAGGAAAAAAAAAAAAAAAAAAGTTAAAAAAAATGATTAATAGAATAGCAAATATGATCAGACATAATGCAGTATATTAGTATAATCTGGGATAACCTCGCAGATTAGACTGAGGTATGGTAAAAAAAAAAAAAAAAAAAAAAAAATATAAAAATAAAATAAATAAAAATAAAAAAAATAAAGGAAGGAGTATTTTTTCCACATATTACCTGTTCAATTTTTTCTAATTCTCTTGTATCAAATTTTTCATAAACAGTATCATGATTCATGGTGTTGATAACCTCCGCTTGATATTTCTTTACATTCTTTTCGTCCGTTTCTGTTTCTGGGTTGTTCTAAAAGAGGAGAAAAAAGAGACACACACATGTATGCAAGTATGTGTGTGTAGAAGGAAGAGAAGGCGAAAGAGTAGGAGGATATACCTCATTTAAGGATTTCCCTATTGTGCACTCTTGCTTTCATTGTTTTTCTTTTCTTTTCTTTTCTTTTCTTTTTTTTCCCTTCTCTTAGTTTTCTCCCTACCTGCTCATCATATGACGAGAAATTTTGTGCCGCTTCTTCCAAATCGTTTGATAAAAATTCACTGTCTTCACGTGCTTCTTCTTCATCTTCCTGAATAGGTCTTAGATCAGCAATGTATGTTGTATATTTGTTAATAGAAGAGGAATAAATATTATTTGTACTTTTTTTAATGTATACTTCACTTAGTCCAGATGCTGGCAAGTCCTTCAGCTTGTATTCTTTTTTAATTGCTTCACTAGCTTTATCTACTGAATCTGTGTGAGATCAATGCGTAAATAAGTGGGGTGAGGGGTGAAAGAAATAGGACAAGCAGGAAGAAATGTGACAAGTAGGAAGAAATAGGACAAGCAGGAAGAAACCACCATAAATAATTTTCCGCACATGTCAAACAGTTGTAACCGCATGATTCGAGAAATTTTCTACAGCTGTGCCCTCCGATGTTGCTTTCTTCTTCTTCTTCTTCCTCTGCGTGTGTCTATACTCTCAGCAATTTTATTTTGTTGCAGAATTAAGCTATATCTCTATCTACAATGTTTGACACAGAAATTTCGAGAAAATCCATTGTTCCTATATTAAGTACACATGCTTGTTATGGTTTCCCCTCTCTCTTCCCCCAATCCCACCATAAAACAAGATCAAATAAAACTTCAAACAAAACATGGAACAAAACTTGGAACAAAACTTGGAACAAAACTTGGAACAAAATTTCAAGTAAAAGAATTCATACCTTTCACACTTTCATTGGACGCATCAGCCATTTTGCTTTTCTCCTTCTTAACAATTTTATGAATTTTCATATTTCCATTTTCATTGTTCCCACTCTCATTTAACAACTCATTCGAATTGATGTCTCCACCATTGGATGTATTCAGATTAGAATCCCCAGAGAAGGTAAAAAAAGTTTTCTTGTTATTAAATGCAGCATTTGTGCATACATATTCTCCTATGCTTAAGCAAAACAGAAAACTCAAAATGTTAGTATGTTTCATTTCGAAGAAAAATCAACAAAATGATGAGGGGAGAAATGTAAGATAAAACTATTCAATATTCTTCAAATGTAAGACAGGAAAAAATATTTGTGTACGCTTAAAAAAAAAAAAAAATTTAAATAATCAAGAAAAATAAATGGAACAAAATTGATGAAGCAGAACTGATGAAGCAGAACTGATGAAGCAGAACTGATGAAGCAGAACTGATGAAGCAGAACTGATGAAGCAGAACTGATGAAACAAAACTGATGAAACAAAACTGATGAAACAAAACTGATGAAACAAAACTGATGAAACAAAACTGATGAAACAAAACTGATGAAACAAAACTGATGAAACAAAACTGATGAAACAAAACTGATGAAACAAAACTGATGAAACAAAACTGATGAAGAAAATTTTGCCATATCATCACAAGTTCATCAAAAACATAGGAAAATATTACAATTGAGAAAACAGTTTTTCCTATTTTTCAATGCTAAGTAACTGGGGTAATTTCTACACAAAAATCCATACAAACACACCCCTTTAGTATAGACCAATAGATTGAGGGAGATGGAAATTTGAATGCATATTTCTGCACACTCAATTATTATATCGTCATTTTTTTGCCTGAACAACTGATAATGTGTGTACATACACTTTTAAGCAAAAATTTGGAGTGGAAAAGGATAAAAAAGAGAGGTAAAATAGTGAGTTTAAGGGAAAATTCATCGAATGGACGATTGCATAATTATCATAAACAGAACTAAATATTTTTTTTTAAAATATTTTTTACTCTTTTGAATTTACAATTTGTCCATTCTTAAAATAAAATCATATGTGTTTTTTTTTCTTTTTTTTTTTACTATCCTCTTTTTATGACATACACAATAGGGTGTGTGTGTGTGTGGAATACAAATGTACAGCGGTGAAAAAAAAAAAAAAAAAAAAAAATCATCAGGCGAAGAATATCACCATAAAAATAGGGTTGGAAAAATAGAGAAAGTAAAATACGGAGGCAAAAAAACAACAATCATTCCACACCACTCACATTACACTACCTCTATTACTCTATCCCGATTAATCTATCCCCATTACTCAATCCCGATTACTCTATCCCGATTAATCTATCCCCATTACTCTATCCCGATTAATCTATCCCGATTAATCTATCCCCATTACTCTATCCCGATTAATCTATCCCCATTACTCTATCCCGATTCATCTACTCCCACTTCTGCACTTCCACAACTAGGGTTCGAAGAACCAGGGATGCCTGAGAGCCTCCTCAGCACTTATCCTAGTGGCATAATCAAACGTAAGCAGACGTCTGAGTAAATTTCTTGCATTTGCATTTGGAAGACCTACCCCCGAGGGATCTCTATCCTGTAGAATCTTCTGGAATTTCTCATCATCACATGAATTGTTCAAAAATATATGCTTATCCGTGTCTGTCCCTACGTCTACTGCTGTGTCTGCACCTACATCTGTGAATTTCCTTTTTTGCTTGTCTCTGAGGTGCAAATTGGCACTTATCAAATGCCCATATACAACTTCACCAGATTGGTAACCATATTTCACAGAATTTTTTAAGCTGTCATTGTAGGCTTCTAAACAATTGGCATCCTTACAAATAGGAGATGCATTCGGAATTACGGAAATTAACGAATGGCGTGCAGTGGAAAACTCCTCCAACATGAAACTGCTACATCTGTGCTTCTTTAAATTAATCAAGTTTGTGGTAAGAGAAAGGCTAATAATATTAAGAATTTTGTTATTTTTATATATGGATGAATAGGGATACTTTTTCTTTTTTAAAAGTATCAATTCATCGGATGATTTATTCCATGGGAGTAAACAGAGCTCTGATAAACTTTGCAAAAATATTGCTTCTTTTAATGCATCTGGAGTTGAATATTTTGCATAAAATTTTTGTAATTTTATTATATTTCTTTTATTTTTAACTTCTAATGGATTTTTAGTACCCAATACTAACTGTAAGAATATGATACCAATACTCCACATATCATAATATGGTAATCTCATAAAATTTCTTCTCATATGCCCAAATAACGATTCAGGAGGTTGGTATCCTTCTGTTTCTTCATTTTCTGAAGGAGTAAATAAAAATTCATCATTTCCAAATTTCACTGCACTTCCCCAATCACCAACACGAACAGTAAAAGGTGTACTAGCAGATAGGAAAATATTTTCCATTTTTAAATCTCTATGTGTGATATTTTTCTGATGTGCTATATGTATTCCATTTAAAATTTGTTGAATTATGTCTTTTAATACTAGCATGCCTATATTTTGTTTTTTTATACTCCACCATAAATTACTTGGTGTTAGCATCCCACTTGCGTTATTTTCATCTACATGAAATATATGATCCGATAAGGAATATCCTTCATTTGCAAATACTAACCATACATATTTCTGTTCTCCGTTCTCTTCTGACATTTCATATTCTGTAAAAAATTCAATGAATCTACTTATGTTTTCACAATTCTTTAGCAATTCACCAAAATATATTTCTCTCATTGCATTTGCTTCTGAAGTTTTTTCATTTTTATGAATTAATATCTTTTTCAAAACCACATTTTTAAAAGATGCTTCTTTTTTCATGTCTATTGCATACCATATTTCTCCAAAAGATCCGCTACCCATTTTCCCCTTCATAGTATAGTTTAATTTCTTTGGTTCATGTCTCCTTACGCTTTTTCCCGCATCAGGTTCTACTTCTGTGAAAATTTCTTCTTCCTTTCCCAAATATGTTATATATAATCTCTTCACAAAGTCGATCATTTTGTATGGCCCTCTTAGCCATCGCATGAAAGAGAAGAACTCTTCTTTTACGTCTTCTTCTTCTTCTTCTTCTTCATCTCTCTCTTTGCTTCTACCAATTCTGTTACTCATATTAATATCACGTAAATTTTCAGTAATCTTCTCCCCCCTCTGTACCATTTTTTCATAATCATAGTAAATCTGCACATCTGACGGTTCTATCCCATGAATCGATTTTGTATACCTCTCAGCAACTACATCATGTCTTAATTTTAGTGCATAAAGGGAATGCACTGTATTTACTACACATTGTGTGCATTTTTCATTACTTCTATTTTCTTGTTTTACAACTACACGAGGAATGTATATCACATCTAGTTCGCTCTGTTTGCTGAATCCTGTTCTCCGGAACACATCCTTTATCTTCTTTGTCAAGTAGTACTTATCGTTCAGCAGATTCTGTCCTAATGTTTGTATCTCCTTTGGATGCTGGAATATATTTTCTTCCCTTCCCCCACCAGGTGTACCTCGGTTGTCTTGCCACGTCAATTTTGTTTCTCTCTCTTCTCCATGTTGCTTTTGCTTCTGAACTTCGAATTGAGAATCGCAGGCGCGAGCGAAAGAAAAAGCGAATTTTTCCTTATCTCTTATTATGCCAGGTGTAAAACAAGACTCAGAAGTAGAAGTAACCGATACACTCTTCTCATGTAATAAATAAATATACCTCCACGTTTTTTTTAAAAGTATGTAAACATCACTGCAGAAAAAATGAGGAGAAAAAAAATATGCAGTGGAAAAAAATTGACACAACTTTTTGAAAATTCCTGGAATGTTTTGAAAGAATGTTGAAAAAATTTGGAAATTTTCTGCAATTTCCTTTTCTTCCTTTTCTACTGGATTGACATAAAATGTGTAAGAATTACACCTGGGGGAGGGTAGACAGTTTTTCAAAACAAACAGATGAAGCAAATGTGCGTGGCGAAATTGACCCCATTGGGTTTTGTCAGCAATACTGATAGAATCAGGAGGGTCATCCCATTTTGCGCTTTCCGATGGAATAGTGTTCCTTTTAAATGTGCTTAAAAACGTGAGGCCATCATCAAAAAGATTCACAAATGAGTAATGAAAAACTTCTATCACTGTGGTTATGTTATATAGTACAGAACTATAAATTATATATGAAAATAATTTCATTTTTTTCTATTTTTCATTTTTTTAGAAAGTGTAAAAAAAGAAAAAAAAAAAGAAAAAAAAAAACGGAAAAGGTTTAAAATGTTATCAGTGTTCCTTTAGTCCACTTGTTAAAATGTAAATTGTTGACATTTTGGAATGAGTTAAGAAATAAAAAAGAAATAAAAATAAAATAATTACCCATTGAAGGTTGCCTTGACAGAATAAGGTAAACACTTGGTTGATTAGATAACCAGTTACAGGTTAAGTACACGTTTTTTTTCCCCACTTATTTGTTCTCCACTTCTTTGATCCTCACTTCTTTGATCCTCACTTCTTTGATCCCTCCTTTTTTTTATCCCCTTTTTCTGTCACATTCGCGAAGCCTTTATAATCTCCAATAATTTGTATCTCATCTCTGCTGTGTACAAATCGGATGACACACAATCTCTTCTTTTCCACTGGTTTTGAGTTTTATATTTTATCGAAAGGGAAATGTAACTTTTAGCTATTTCTTTTAAAATAAAATAATATATATTGTAGAAGAAAATGAACCCCTACATATATATCATTTCTATGTACTTTTTTTTTTTTCCCCTAAACATTCTCTAGCCCTTTAAAAATCATTTACAAAAATTTATATTAATTATTTATAATCTGTTTTCTCTACCGGTGTGTAAATATAACCCCAATTGAGTTAAAGACAAAAAAATAGAACTTGACCGGATTGCACATCAAGATCTCATTTCTTGAATATTGAAAATTTGCTTAATTGGGCGAATATCATAAGAAAAAAAAAAAAAAAAAAATAAAATAAAATAAAAGACGTATATTATCTTATTTACCTTTAAAAAAAAAAGAAAAAAAAAAAACATACACTATAAACATACATGCATGTGAAAATCGAATGGATGAAGTAATATGGAGAATTTATACATCTTTTCATAGGAATTATTGAATGAAGATATGTAGGAAGTTTTTTTTTTTTTTTTTTTTTTTTTTTTTTTTTTCTTCTTCCTCTCAACCTGTTTAAAGAAAAAACATTAATCTATTTTGAAATACTGAAGCTGTATTTATGTAACATGTGTTGTGTAGCTTCACTAAAATAGTTCCCTTATGGAGATTTTTTTTTTTTTTTTTTTTTTTTTTTTTTTTTTTTTTTTTTTTTTTTTTTTTTTTTTTTTTTTTTTTTTTTTTTTTTTTTGTTGTTACACCAATAACCTTTCGACTCACCCTATCAAATTAAATACCATTTTACGAAACTTTACAAAAAAAATGAAGATGTCAGTAACCCTTCGTCAACATTTTTGGAAGACAAAGTTGTGTCCGCTTCATATGGAAAATAGGTGCAAGGAAGGAAATAATTGTGACTATGC